GATCAACTAATCATCCAACAATCATCCTGTATCACTCTATTTCCATATATTTCATTATATTTCCCATATTGTTGATGGTGAAGCCACTTTAAACTACATTTATATCATGACTAAGTCACCCCCTTTGTGTTGCATGAAACCCTCGCCCAGGCGCTCCAAAAAAAGTTCGAGAACTACGCGCGCGCAGAGAGCGATGACGATGCCGGGCCTCTGTGGGCTGTGACACGCAAGGGCCATGTGGATTAGCTGGTTAGGAAGTGGGTTAGAACATGTTATACCCTCTGGTAAACTGCTACATAACTATGGAAAACCACCATGCTATTAATGGGAAAATCCACTATTTCGACTGGGCCATTTTCAATAGCGAACTGTTAACCCACGAACTATTCCAAATATAATCCATTTACTACTGTGACTGTAACTGTTACTAAGTAGTTGACTAGTTCCATGGCCTATCGAAGTGGATCAAGTTTGGGTGACAAATGCTACAATAGACATGTACGAACCAGCTCAAAAGAAGGTGTAGGATAGCCAAGATTGGCCATGATTCTCAAACTTAAGAGTCACTATCCAACTGGAACAATGGAGCTCAAGCAACCCAACACTGGATATTTCCTGTAGTTTGATCCATTCTGTTTAACATACCATAAACATCATAAACAAATATCTGTGGACCTTTTCCAATATTTTCATTGGTATCCCGGATCCCGGACTCAGTGACAGCTGATCCTAGCCCAGATCTCGGCCAAAGTCGGAGGAGATTTGGGGTCAGATTCTCAGTGGGCGGGGAACGATTCCCAGAGCTGCTGATGTGGCCATCATCTCGCCTCACTGAAGATTCGTAGCGGTCATCATTCAGAATGGCGTGCTGGAAACGCCAGAAGTTTCGATGATTTTCCCAGCTAGAACCTCCATTTATCTAAGTGTTTAAATTGCCCGTGTTGGATTATCAGACGGTACTGTAGAGGATTGTAGAGGTTTTGAATCCGACTGCAGAGGTCTTGTTTGTTGCAGTTGTTGCAGCATCTGGAGGCCCATCACCAAGAAGAAGAAACTCTTTGGTGGCTACGAAATTGCCAATGTCCGGGGACCGATTAAGGACAGGCCTTTGGGAATTGATTAGATTTACCATCTGGTTATGACTAACATAGCCATGGTATAGATGGCCCATTTATAGATGGTTTACCTATTAAAAATGGTGATTTTCCATGGCTATGTTAAATAACTAGAGGGTAGTTGAGATCACTTTGAAGTAAGGTAGATAGATCGGACAGTGGCCCTCAAATGCTGGTAGATGTTTTCTTTTTTTGTGCGATGAAGGTCAACTACGAGGTGGTGCTCCTTACTTGTAAGACGGTTTCGAACACAAGCCCATCAATTATGATCTAACTATAGGTCATTTTATCAGTAGAAGCCCTTTCCGGTCAATCTAGTTCTATGCCAACTTAGCTAGCTATGAGGCACCACTTTGTTTGCAACAGCCTTGAGTTGCCATGCAGCGTCCAGCAACACCTAGGTGTTTCTGTTAAAATGATGCTGAGAATAGCACGTTATAACGCCATCCACTGCACCTTCTCTGACCTTACGACAAGTCATTAGATGGAAATTTCCACCATTGGGCCAGAAGAAGCCTGCCCTCTGGTAAACATAACTGTGGAACATCACCATTTTATAGTTGGGTAAATCAACTATTTCTATAGTTGGGCTTCATAAAGCAACAAACACAACTGGTTGGTGGTTTGGAACATTTTTTTTATTTTTCCATATAGTGTGAATGTCATCATCCCAACTGACGAACTCATATTTTTCAGAGGGGTAGGTATACCACCAACATAGGTAAATCATCTATTTCATACTATTTCTATAGTTAGTTGGGCTTCATAAACCAACAAACATCACTGGGGGGTAACATCAGCCTTCACCTTCAATGGTCAGCATGGCCAAGATCTCCTTTGAGCTGAAAATCGGCACCATCTCGGACATCGTGGAGTCCAGTGAGGTTTGTTTTGCACGGGCCGCGCACGGGGACGTTTTATTGAAACAAACAAGCAATATCACTGGTTGGTGGTTTCAAACATGTGTTATTTTCCATTTCATATATATATGGGATGTCATCCTTCCCATTGATTAGTATTTTTCAAGATGGTTATTGCACCACCAACCATGTGGGTTATTGGCTGATTTGCGGATGAAGTGTAGTAAAGTGTAGTGATTTCACGTCGTGAAATCACTGGAATGATGGTTTATACAGGAGGAATAATCCCCAAATGGCCCAACTGTTCAGACGTTTTCAGCTGAGTGAAATATAACACAATTCAGCCAGCTTTACTATGTTCTAGAAGACTTTAGCATCCATTTCCATTCCATGTCCCATTCCATGTTCGAATCTTGACACATCAGGGATGGTGTTCCACTTTTATAGGATGGCCTCTTGTGCGCAGGTGATGGATTTATTGGTTAAACATGGGACTCTTCAGTGTTGGTTGCTGGGTAACAATCATCATCGCAAGTGAAACATATCTTTGATTCCGACTTGCGACTTTACTAGTCATTATTGATGATTTTTGATTAGCTTTATCATCTGGTTAATGATTATTGTTGACTACATATTCTTATGGTTATTGACTATCAATCATCATTGACAATTTATCACACTAAATATACGGAGGCTTCCAAAGTCATGGGGTTACCCCTAGCCATCATCCATTGATGGATTTCCCACTATAAACATTAGTTTTACCATCCAGCTATCAATAATTGGGGATCCCCGATTTATGGAAACCCCATACAGCATCATACACCCCATGTTCCTATCCACAGGCAGAGCTCTGATCCCTGGCAGGCGGATCATATTCCATTGATTAATATTGAATATTATTGATTGATATCCATCATATTATTATTGATAATCCATCGTATTATTGATAATCAATCATATTATTTATCCATCATGTTAATATTGATAATCCATCATATTATTGATAATGCATCATATTATTGGTAATGCATCATATTATTATTGATAATCCATCACATTAAATATACTATATGAATATACTAATATGGTTATTGATTCATGACTAATGATTATTGACAATCCATCAATATTAATGCTGGTTGGTGGTTTCAAACATGTTTTATTTTCCATAACATATGGGATAATCCTTCCCATTGACGAACTCATATTTTTCAATATGTTTTTCAAGATGGTTAAAACCACCAACCAGTTATTGACAATCCATCAATATCAATATATTCCTACAATGTGAGGCCCCCTAGATAGCTAAGTTGGTTTATAGCTCCAATAACTATATGGTTTATGGTACTTATAACATCTTATAGCATCTTATAACTATAGTTCCTGGGGCCTTTGTTAACCAACTTATAACTGGGGGGGGGCCACATTGTATAAGGATGATCTCCAGGAAAAAAAAACACCAGCCTTTCCAGCGAAAAAAACTCGGTGCAGGGCGTACATCTGGTGGGACGCTTCGAATGAGGTGCGAGCAACGGGACTTATAGCAACCCATTGATATGGGTATGGGTCAATACCTATAGATACATTTTTAGTGGGATGAACATCCATAAATCCCAGCTATTTTGATGTGAACTACAGGGGTACTATTGGTTTTGACACACTGTCAATATGAATAGGGACATAATCTGTCGACATGAATGTCCATGATTCGATGCAGCTAAGCAACTTGAGATGAATTTTGGGCATGTATGAAATGAAGCCACTCAAAAGCCATCAACTTCGAGGCTACCCAATATTCAGTCAACCCCAATGATGACGTGACCCACTAGAACATTGAAGTGATCATGGATTGAAACTTCGGCCACTTTGGGGACTCTTGAAAATCTCGGAAAGGATCGGAAAGGTCGATTTTGAAGGTAATTGATCACCTGTATAAATAATTGATTAATTTGATTACCTGCAAAGGATTGACTTATAAGGTAGATTAGAGATTATCTTACTCAAAATCCTTAAGTTTAGTTTATCATTGATAAATTGAACCTTTCGAATGCCAGGTGTCGAACCAACTGGTCGCAGATTGGCCTCTTGAGGTCACCCAAAATGGCGAAAAAAGCCACTGCGAAAAAAAACGTGGATCCCGAGGTTTGGTGCGTTGGAACATGGCCATTGATTATCTGGTTGGTGGTGACTGGAACCATGGAATTTTATGACTTTCCCATCATAGTGGGAATTTCATCATCCCACCTGACTTTCACTCCATGATTTTTCAGATGGGTAGGTATACCACCAAGCAGTTATCATTTATGCATATTAATTCCAGGGGCTGTCCACATTGAATCTCAACTCTGGGATACTCTGGGTGTTTCTCGACTAGCGCCGCCAATGATTTCGGTATCCAGGGGGACCAGCAATGGCGGATTGATCTCTTGAGTTCCTGACGTTGTACATTTTGTAAGTCACTCTAACTCCGGGAACATACCTATATAAATCCATATAAATCCATATAAATCCATATAAATTTCATAATTAAACCCATAAACATCCATAAATGACTTCTGGTGATGTTTATCCTTAATGCAGTAAATTATCCAAGAGATGGAACATCACCATGGGTGATACCATTTGTAGATCATGTTTCTATGGGAATCCATGGGTATTACTCATAGGATCCATTGTGCTGCTATATATGGTAACATTTACCATCAATATACGCCAGTTATGTTAGCATATATATACCATACTTGGATCCTATGGGTTATACTGTATATTATCTATATAATTATCTTTAAATCCTTGGGTATTGTTGTGTACAGTAAGCAAAACTCCTTTCAAATTTCATCGATGGGGGTCAAATAACTCCACAAACATCCGTGACAAGTGGTCAGTTCATTAAAGTTTGCTGCGTAAAACATATTCAATCACAAGCATTCTCCAGTTTTGGGGGTTCAGATTCCCACTTAAAATTGATCCTGGACTATGGAGCTGCATCGAGTCCCAACGCCTGCATCTGCGGCCAGCTGGCTTCAAATGGATTACTGATTACACCAAGAAAAATCTCCCCGGGCGGCGCGCGGATTGCCCGGGGAGAACTGGGAGCGTGGGACAGGCGTAGCTTGGCTGAAAAATTGTTGAACAACCCGTATTGGGTGATGGTCATCCTTCCAAGGGAATCCTTATAATGGCTGGAAATTATTTAATCATTACTGGTTGGTGGTTTGGAACATGACTGGATTATGACTTTCCATATATTGGGAATAATATGCCCAACTGACGAACTCATATTTTTCATAGGGGTTGAAACCACCAACCAGATTATGTTTGGATTCTTATCTCATGAAATGGGATGGATGACCAGAAACCAAGTTTTGACCATGGCACACAGGCTTATTGGTGACCCACTATGGGAGCCTGCCAACCAACCAGCAAAATAAGGGACGACAGATTGTTTTGACCTGTACGAACAAATATGGTTTGCCTGAAATTTGACTATGCCAATTCCAAAGGAGGATCAGTATGTATCAGTATCATTGTTTGTCCCATTAGAAAGTTATTTTTTTCCCTTTATACCCCATGTCTGGACACAACGGCCAAAATGCAAACCCCAATGGCCCCAATGGGCTAATGAGCAATTTTCTTGGTCGTACCCAGGGGATGAATTGGGGATGAGATGGTTTTGACCACGTCACACGCTGAGGCACCCTGAAAATGGACATCTAACTGTGGGTCGATTGCAAAAGTAATGTGGTAGAAAGTCGATGATTGCACATGTAGTACGATGTTTGTCTTCCTTTATGAAATGTACCATGTGGTAGAAAGTCGCATGGTAGAATGTACCATGTGGTAGAATTGTAACATGGTACTACATCGAAATGTGGTAGAAAGTCGCATGATGCAATCGAGAATGCACCATGATTCCGTGCGGCTGGATTTGAAATAATCGTCCAAAACTTGCTTGCCAGAATGGATAACGCAGTGATTTTTGTGGCCGATGATGTACTATACCCATTTGGGGTGAAAGATATCCCAAGCCCCATATTTGGCCATGAATACAAAATATTGAGTCCTGAAATTTGGATGGTTCAGCAACGTTCAGCAGAGTTCAGCACGAAAAAATGAAACCCCGACCCCCGACCTTTGTTGACTCCTCATCTTGAGAAAACTGCAGCTACAATCAAAGAAATTCATTGCTGATCTCCGAAAAAGAGAAACGAAGCAGACGGATCAGACCAACTTGCAGATATTTTTACCAAAACAGTTAGTGATGATTAGAAACAACACCAGTAATCCTTATCTAAATGATTACAAATGATTGCAAATCTGGATAAGAACTAGACTATACTTATTTTTGGAGGTTTCCAATCCATGGGACTACCCCAGTCATCATCCATGTTTAGAAGGATTTTCCATAGACCAAGTATTTTTGGGGTGCCTCCATTTGTGGAACCCCCCATTTGAATACATGGGGCAGGATGTGGGATGCATGGGGGGATGTAGTTTTTCGGCTTGAAACCCGATATTTCCAAGACCCGAGGTGATGTTGCTTCGGCTGCTGCTGGCGGGTCTGGCATTGCTGGGGGTCGTGTACTTCCTGAAGGCTGGTTTTCTTGGAGAGTGGCTTGTTTGGGGCAGGGGGAGAGAAACAACAGATGTCTATTTTTGTTTTTCGTGTTCTTTTTATATAATACATTGTATGTATATGTATAATATAAGTTAGATTAGATATATAATTAAGTTAAGTAATGTTAAGTATATGTATGTTCAGTGCATATTTGTTTAAACAAACAAACTAATGTCATTTGATCAGGTATATGTCTTTTCTGATTTGGAGATCCTGAAAGCGTTTTGTCCGTCTTTGTTGGTGGCTCCGAACTGATGAAAACGTGCGTTTTCACCATTGCGGCAAAGTCAGGACGTGTTTAGGAGTCTTCTTTACCACTGCCCGCAGTGTTTTGTAAGGAGGGTGGGGGGGTGTATTAACGTTCTTGGCCTTTGCGTTCTTGCACACATGCGGGATGTTACGCTAGCAGTTCTTCTCTTGCACTTGCACACATGCGGGATGTTACGCTAGGAGATCTTCACCTGCACTTGCACACATGCGGGATGTTACGCTAGCCGCTAGCAGTTCTTCTCTTTCACTTGCAGAGAGCACCTGCAACAGCACATGTAGATGCTTTGTATTAGTTCCAAACCTGGTCTGCAGAATGTGCTGAAACCATTGGCACTCACTCGGAAAATCGAGCAAACCAACTTGGATATATGATCCAGCAACATACCTGGATATCACGAAGGACCTTGAGTGGTTGTGGATTTAAGGAAACATGTTACTGCATTGCAAGCTTGGTCGCACGTTTTCATCAGAGCTGAGCGTTTGTTGGTTGATTGGATTTGTTTTGTTGCGTAGAGGCCCCTACAATTGTGGGTTGGTCATGGAGCTGCCGTAAACTCTGTAGCAACTTGGTCAAGCGGTTTAAGCCACTTGGCCATGCTTATCCATGTTCCATCTAGGGGTGGGTGAAAACTCTACATACCGTACATACCTCATTTTTTTGAGAGTCGAACGCACTACTGGCCTCATTTAATATTTACAAGTGTGCTGCATATTTAGAATGAGGCAGTGCGGAAACTGGGGGCCCGCAATGCGCACCTTTCTGCATCCAGTTTTTGTGATGTTCATCAGGGGTACAGGGTTTTTGACCATACCAATGTTTTTCTCACTTGCCTCAGTTCCTAATTTGGCAGAGTTGCTCGGATGATCCAGGGCTACTGATGATTTACTTGAGAGCAGCCTATTCCTTCAACGAAACAGTTTGAAGCTATGGAGAACCAGTTGTGGTCACCGAGGATCACCAAACTGGCAACTGGTAATCCATGAAACTTCTGTGATGCATGACTCACAAGCCTATGCCTACCTGGAGGTAATGCCATGTTTTTCATCCACCGACCTCTTCACAACCCATTTCGACAATCGGTCGCCGCGGTCGTCAGGGTTTCTTATTGCAACTCACTGACGATGGAGCAGAAAACGGTTCGCCCGATGCAGGCGCTTTGTTTTGATGGACGGCATGATTTGGGAACCATTCACTGGGGTAGCAACAAAATCTGGGACAAACATGTACCATCATGTACCAAAATCCTTGGTGAAGGGGACCAGTACTGCAGTAATTGCAATAAACCCAACAGAGTTTTGCGATGTTTTTTTTTCTGGGATACTAAAGCCCCAGCGACAACGACTCAAATATGACTTGCTGGATAAACTGCTGGATAAACATGCATAAATCATGATAAATCGGAATCCCCATGAATATTACATGACAAGTCGGTGCCCTGATGAAGACCTCAAGACAGGATAGGTTTCTAAACCTTCCCTGGTTATGAACATCCTTAGGACAGAAGAAGTTATCATTTGGTAGATGTTCATCTATTTAACATTATTTAACCACCATTTACGCCACGTTTGGCAGTTTGGCCTTTGAATTTTAACATTTTGACATGTTTTTCGCATGACGTTTTTTGGTGCAGGCAATTTGACAGATCTGGAGCTAGCACAGAGAGCCTTCAGGAGTGGCAGTGGAGGTTTGATGAGGATGTGGGGAAAACCGTAAACGGATGGCTACTCTAGTACTTTAATGTTGGTAAAACATGGAAAACAGTGCCATAAACCATCCCCCAGTCCCCCAGTCCCCCAGTCCCCCAGCACAATTTGGGAAGCAGAAATCTGCTCTGGAATACCGTGGCAAGAAACCTCCAGTGAACTACATGGTACAATGGAGATATGAAGCAATGGTGTACTGATGGTTGGTTTGGCATATTTTTTCATGTTCCATCCTTGCCTGAAGATGACGATCCCTATTGACTTTCATATGTGCCAGGTGGGTTTTTTCACATGTTTTTTCACCACCAGTGTAGAGCCGGATCCAGAATCCAGACAGAATGATCCATTTGGGGATCGTGGGGCTCCTGTGGATTCCTGTGGTTAAACCAAATCACGAGAAAAAATCAGGTGCAATCAATCCCTTTCCCTTAATATTAAACGCTCCCCTAGAAACGATGGTTCGGGAGGGGATGAAATCACATCTTTGGAACCATGGAAAGGGGGTGTTGAGTAGTAGGGGGATGGGATTACTCTATGAATCTCTATGATTTTTCTGTTTTGTCCAGTTTGCAGCTGGAGAATGTTCATCCACTTATTCATCTTATCATTCTCGGGGGCAGCTGTGGGGGTGGGCACTCTGGAAGCATTGAAATCTGGGTCTGAAAAGAGGGGGGCCGATAAACCACCCAACATATCCCCAAAGAGCATTCCAATAGAGACAATTATGTTGAAACCAGCTCAATTGGAGGTTTTTTCTATAAATCAAGATGCCGGTTTTCAGAGTTTTTTTTTCCAAACATTATCCAAACATTCAACATATGGCAACCGGGATAGATCTACCATCCATGGCGCAGGACGGGCAACGATGAGAAGGTACGGGGCGTGCGGGGCGTAGCGGGGCGCCGGCCGAGCGGCTCAGGAAACCTCGCATGAAAACCGCCGTATTTTTGTTGGTTAAGTGGTGCTGGATCTCTAAACCAATGTTGAAGGTGGCGGATCTGAATCTTATCATATTCATCTATTTGCATATCTATATATATATATATCAAATGTCCATTCCATGTTTCTGCTGTTTCACTGCTTGAAGCATGTTGATACCACATGTCGAATGTTGGAAACTATGAATTTCCTGTTAGTTCCAAACATGCCATGTTTCATTCCATTGCGTATTTGTATACATTTCTTGGCTCTCCAATTCGGCTGGAAAAAACCAGCGACCACGTCCGACGCACCCCAGCCCTTTGGATCCCCAGACTGGCCCTATGAATCCGATGTATGGTTTCTGGTTGGTGCTGACTGGAACATTGGTTTTACTACGGTAAATAATGGTTAATCTATGGTTAATCTATGGTTAGTCTATGGTTAATAATGGTTAATAATGGTTAATAATGGTTAATAATATGGTTTAGTATGGGATAATGATGGTTAATGATGGTCAATATATGGTTAATATATGGATATTATATGGGATTATAATGGTTAATGATGGTTAATGATGATTAATAATGGTTAATGCTGATTAATAATGGTTAATAATGATTAATAATCACTGCTTGGTGCTTTGGAACATGACTGGATCTTGACTTTCCCATCATATTGGGAATGTCATCGTCCCAACTGACGAACTCCATCATTTTTCAGAGGGGTAGGTCAACCACCAACCAGTTATGGTCTGTTGTGGTTTGTTGCTTCAGGTGCTGAAGTCCTTCTCTTGGCTGGCTGAATCCGATTGGATATACCCAGCCAACATAATCAACTTTTTGGGTTAGTCTTCTAGTTGGGCACCCGCTTAACCCAATGGTTTATTGTTATATCTCCATGAAAACCATGATCATTTTGGAGGTTAACCCATATTTAAAACATATTTAAATCATCTGTTTTTTGCCTCCAGCTTCGCGCTGTTCATGCCAGGCTTATAGCTTGCTCAGCAACTGCCTGGCAGAGGTGGGCCGTGGCCATGGGGATGGTTCCCGTTGCCAAAAACGCCAATGATTCCTGGAGGCTATTTGGAACGCCCTTATGTTGGCGAAAGCAATAAACATGGCAACATATGCAACAAAAGATCGATTTCACTGTCGTTTTGTTTAGGGATTTACCCGGCATCCATGTGAATGCAATGGGAATTTTGATATTTCCACAAACAACTGGTGAGTTGCCACCAACAACATCAGAAGAGAGAAGCATTTTGGTATTTGAGCAATATACACCAGTGTATATCCCGCAATATCTATGAAGCAAAGCTGGAAACCATCCCGAAAACCTTCAACTGTACGTGTGTTTGTGAGCAAAACATGTATGCTTTGTGTTCCTCCAGTGTTCATTTCGGGAAGTGCCCTTGATATGCCATTGATGCCATTTAAATTAGAGAGCCGCGCCTGCAGAGTTCAAAGGCATGTGTTTCCGAGTCAGAATGTACAATCATGTGTTTATGAGTTATAAGATGTTACAAGTCTTAAAAGTTATAAAGTTATAAGACTAAACGCTGAGTTATTTTTTTTGTTTTAAATGTATTTGATTGAAGTTAATTTCTTTGGCATTCTTCATGACATCTTTCTGTCTGAAGTTGCCATGGTTTTCCCAGCAGGTCCCATGGTCTTTCCACCATGGTTTTCCTGTGAGGAGTCCAAGGCCCCCATGGACTTGGCCATGTGCAAAACAGCCTTGGGCGAATTGTACCTGGTGGGGTCCACGGTGACGCCGCGCAATCTCACCAAGGCGGGAGAAACGGCCTTGGGGGCTGAACAAAAAAAGTGTGCCATGGAATCTCCAAAAATTGATTAATTGCCATGTACCATGCTTAAATGATGATATATAATGATATAATGTATATATATATATAGATACACGCATATGTATATATATATATATATGTATATCATATACATTAGATATGTGATGTATATATTTATATATCCATCCATCCCAGATATCTAAATCGCCAAGCCCGGGACAGTTGCATGGGGCATAAACCAACACACATAATGTGTGGGAGGCCCACGTTGTACATAGCCATGAATATCTTATTCTCATGTCCCATGTTCAAATCTTATAACATCTTATGAAAGACCACGGATAATCCAGTATATCCAGTATATCCCAGTATAAATGATATAGCATTAATGATGTAGCATCCAGTATATCCACGGATAATGCCCATCAATGTAGCATTAATGATTGTAATTCCAGTATTATCCCAGTATACCCATGAAGTGCAGTAGATTCCCATCGAGCTATCACCGAGGCCAAAGAGCTTTTTGAGGAGGCAGCCTCTGTTGGTGAAGCGGATGCGCAGTACAACCTGGCCATTTTGTACGCCAACCTGCCGGTGGACAACGTGTGCTGGCGTTGAAAAAAGAAGTTTGTGGATTTAAAAAGGGGTGGGATGGTCAGTGAATAATATATTCCATATATTATATAGTTATATAATCACAGTTACATACTTATATATAGTTATATAGTATACATAACTATATAATTATATAACTATATAACTATATAACTATATAACTATATAACTATATAACTATATATATAACTATATAGCTATATAACTATATATATATAAGTGTATAACTATATAACTATATATATAAGTGTATAACTATATAACTATATAACTATATAACTATATAACTATATAACTATTTGTGATAGTTAAAATTCAATCAACACTTGCAATGGAAACAATGACGACTTTGGGATGCTCGTTGTTCATGGTGCAGGATGTGGTGGTCGGATGGCCATGTTTTTTGATCCTGGTGCTGACTGTTCATGGATTGGGGAATATTCTAATGAGTGATCCACTGATAATCCAATTTGCTGTTTTTTTCAGTGGAAATATGAGTGGATTATCTTGGATTATCTTGGATTATCTTGGATTATCTTGGATTATCTTGGATTATCTTGGATTATCTTGGATTATCTTGGATTATCTTGGATTATCTTGGATTATCTTGGATTACCTTGGATTATCTTGGATTATCTTGGATTATCTTGGATTATATTGGATTATCTTGGATTATCTTGGATTATCTTGGATTATCTTGGATTATCTTGGATTATCTTGGATTATCTTGGATTATCTTGGATTATCTTGGATTATATTGGATTATCTTGGATTATCTTGGATTATCTTGGATTATCTTGGATTATCTTGGATTATCTTGGATTATCTTGGATTATCTTGGATTATCTTGGATTATCTTGGGTTATCTTGGATTATCTTGGATTATCTTGGATTATCTTGGATTATCTTGGATTATCTTGGATTATCTTGGATTATCTTGGATTATCTTGGATTATCTTGGATTACCTTGGATTACCTTGGATTACCTTGGATTACCTTGGATTACCTTGGATTACCTTGGATTACCTTGGATTACCTTGGATTATCTTGGATTACCTTGGATTACCTTGGATTACCTTGGATTACCTTGGATTACCTTGGATTACCTTGGATTACCTTGGATTACCTTGGATTATCTTGGATTATCTTGGATTATCTTGGATTATCTTGGATTATCTTGGATTATCTTGGATTATCTTGGATTATCTTGGATTATCTTGGATTATCTTGGATTATCTTGGATTATCTTGGATTGGATTATCCTTGGATTGGATTGGATTACCTTGGATTATCTTGGATTACCTTGGATTACCTTGGATTATGGATCTTGGATTGGATTATCTTGGATTATCTTGGATTATCTGGATTATCTTGGATTATCTTGGATATTATCTTGGGGTTATCTTGGGTTTATTATCTTGGATTATCTTGGATTATCTTGGATTATCTTGGATTATCTTGGATTATCTTGGATTATCTTGGATTATCTTGATTATCTTGGCTTGGATTACTTGGATTATCTTGGAATCTTGGATTATCTTGGATTATCTTGGATTACCTTGGATTACCTTGGATTATCTTGGATTATCTTTACCTTGGATTGGGTTATCTTGGGATTATCTTGGATTATCTTGGATTATCTTGGATTATCTTGGATTATCTTGGATTATCTTGATTATCTTGGATTATCTTGGATTATCTTGGATTATCTTGGATTATCTTGGATTATCTTGGATTATCTTGGATTATCTTGGATTATCTTGGATTATCTTGGATTATCTTGGATTATCTTGGATTATCTTGGATTATCTTGGATTATCTTGGATTATCTTGGATTATATTGGATTATCTTGGATTATCTTGGATTATCTTGGATTATCTTGGATTATCTTGGATTATCTTGGATTATCTTGGATTATCTTGGATTATCTTGGATTATATTGGATTATCTTGGATTATCTTGGATTATCTTGGATTATCTTGGATTATCTTGGATTATCTTGGATTATCTTGGATTATCTTGGATTATCTTGGATTATCTTGGGTTATCTTGGATTATCTTGGATTATCTTGGATTATCTTGGATTATCTTGGATTATCTTGGATTATCTTGGATTATCTTGGATTATCTTGGATTATCTTGGATTCTTGGATTACCTTGGTTGGATTCTTGGACCTTGGATTACCTTGGATTATTGGATTCTTGGATTATCTTGGATTATCTTGGATTACCTTGGATTACCTTGGATTACCTTGGATTACCTTGGATTACCTTGGATTACCTTGGATTATCTTGGATTATCTTGGATTATCTTGGATTATCTTGGATTATCTTGGATTATCTTGGATTATCTTGGATTATCTTGGTTTATCTTGGATTATCTTGGATTATCTTGGATTATCTTGGATTATCTTGGATTACCTTGGATTACCTTGGATTATCTTGGATTATCTTGGATTATCTTGGATTATCTTGGATTATCTTGGATTATCTTGGATTATCTTGGATTATCTTGGATTATCTTGGGTTATCTTGGGTTATCTTGGATTATCTTGGATTATCTTGGATTATCTTGGATTATCTTGGATTATCTTGGATTATCTTGGATTATCTTGGATTATCTTGGATTATCTTGGGTTATCTTGGGATTATCTTGGATTATCTTGGATTATCTTGGATTATCTTGGATTATCTTGGATTATCTTGGATTATCTTGGATTATCTTGGATTATCTTGGGTTATCTTGGGTTATCTTGGGTTATCTTGGGTTATCTTGGATTATCTTGGATTATCTTGGATTATCTTGGATTATCTTGGATTATCTTGGATTATCTTGGATTATCTTGGATTATCTTGGATTATCTTGGATTATCTTGGATTATCTTGGATTATCTTGGATTATCTTGGATTATCTTGGATTATCTTGGATTATCTTGGGATTATCTTGGATTATCTTGGATTATCTTGGATTATCTTGGATTATCTTGGATTATCTTGGATTATCTTGGATTATCTTGGATTATCTTGGATTATCTTGGATTATCTTGGATTATCTTGGATTATCTTGGATTATCTTGGATTATCTTGGATTATCTTGGATTATCTTGGATTATCTTGGTTATCTTGGGTTATCTTGGGTTATCTTGGGTTATCTTGGGTTATCTTGTTATCTTGGATTATCTTGGATTATCTTGGATTATCTTGGATTATCTTGGATTATCTTGGATTATCTTGGATTATCTTGGGTTATCTTGGTTATCTTGGGTTATCTTGGGTTATCTTGGGTTATCTTGGGATTATCTTGGATTATCTTGGATTATCTTGGATTATCTTGGATTATCTTGGATTATCTTGGATTATCTTGGATTATCTTGGATTATCTTGGATTATCTTGGATTATCTTGGATTATCTTGGATTATCTTGGATTATCTTGGGTTATCTTGGGTTATCTTGGGTTATCTTGGGTTATCTTGGATTATCTTGGATTATCTTGGATTATCTTGGATTATCTTGGATTATCTTGGATTATCTTGGATTATCTTGGATTATCTTGGATTATCTTGGATTATCTTGGATTATCTTGGATTATCTTGGATTATCAGCAACTCTTTGAGTGTTCCCGCTTTGATCTTGGAGCGCCCATTTTGTCGGGGCCTGCTCTGGGGCATGGTCTCCGTGGCACCGAGGAGATGATGGCAGATGCCCCTGTTTTTTTTGGGGAGATTTACAGCGACATGTTGGGTAGATCCATGGGAGATTTGCAGGAAAAAACATGAGTTTATGACAGTTACCATCTGGTTATGACTCACAGTTTGCCATGGAAAGATCCACCATTTTTAGTAGGTAAACCATCTATTTCTATGGGCCATTGGCTTCCATGGCGATGTTAGTCATAACCAGAGGGTAAATCCATCGTTGAATCCAAAACTGCTCAGAAAACTCAGGATGAACTGCGGAGAAACGAGGCCAGATTCGTTGGGCGTTGTGGCATTTGTCTCAGTGACCATGCAGGTCAGATTCATGTGGTAAGGACTATGAATTACTTCCATTGTCAATATTTGGAGGTAATCGACTCCTATTTGAATTTCACAATGTCTAAAAACTTCAGAATTACCTTCGGAGTCAAATATTTGCCCAGCTGTCGCTATGATTATGCTATCATGGAATCTCAGAGTGTTGCTACTGGGACTGTCCTGGAAGCATTGATGACAAACTGGGATGTCAGCTATTATTTTTAAAGTGGTATTTAGCTTAACCCTTTGGCCAACAATTAGATAATCCATTCAGTGTAATAGACTAGTGTAAACATATAACCCATAGGATTTTTCCATTTATAAAACCTATTTACTACTTGCAAGCACTAAATCAATCTACATAATATGTTTTATTCAGTAGTTCCAAGACTTTTACTTCCCGTTTATGGTGACATTTACTGCAGCAACCATTTTTACAAACCATACAGTAGCATTTGGGACATTTGAGTTCTAACCACTTGATGATTTCCAGCATGGGAGGACCGCAGAATTCCCACTAATCGAACTAATGTTTGGGAATCAAACATGGCTGAAACATCTCCCCACATCTCCCAGCTATAGTTCGATGATGTTACAAATTACAAATATGTGTACACTATACCCTAAGGATCCATGTATGGAATATTTACCTACATTGGGATTATTTTAAATTACTTTAGGGGTCAATGTAGGTAAATATTCCATACATGGATCCTCTGGGATATATATGTGTATCCATATTAGTTATCATATGTTACCGTAGAAATGACATCACATGTATGCTCATTTCGGAAGATTTCCCAGCTCGCCATCTGAACAAACACCAGGCTCTGGCGGTCTTGTACCTCTATGCCGCTTCAACTGGTGGCCACCCTGGTGCGTTGATGGCCATGGGCTATCGGCACCTGCATGGCTATGGCGTTCCACAGGCCGTGGAGCCAGGCTGTTATGGAGGTTTCAATAGGGCCCATCGGGGAGCCCCAATAGCTGGAGAGTTTATAATGGAAAATCCCAAACAAAAATGGATGACTTAGGGGTACCCCTATTTTAGGAAGCCCCCATATATATGTCCGTTGAGTGGGGTAACAAACATCATCCAAGTCATGGATGATCATGAACGATCATAACTTTGGATTGAAGCAAACATGGTGACTTGCAGATCCCCCATGACTAAGAAGCACTCCCATATCATGACCCAGGTTGTTGTGCACCCTATGATTTGGGGTTGAAGGGTTTGCCTGTTGGTTTCAATGATGTTTAAGTGTCCCTGATACCTGCCATGCTGATTTCAGTTCAAGAAGCCTTGAGCGACAACGACCAAACTACTCGTGTCTGCAGTTCTAGCTTCCAAGTTCCATGTTTCACATTGGCACAGTAGGATTTTTGACAGACATTTGGAAGAGCTGCATCAATTAGCTTCTGGGATCATTACTTGTTGGTTTTGTTTTAACGCTGTGCCGCTGAACGTTCAAGATAGAAAAATGCCCAGACTCACACCTTGCACAAGGCATCCTCGCACCAAGCATACATGGAGAACCTTTCTTGAGGTTTGTCATGAACAACTTGCACATTCAAGACACACCGACACAGTCAGCCACACAGTCAGCCATACAACGGATTGATTCAAGGACGATTTTGCAGGAACTGACGGGTCAAAGCTTAAAATCCATCCGGCTTTCAACTGCAAATGTTCTTTCGCAGCTCGTGATGCGCAGAAATTGCCTCGGCAAAGTCCGCTAGCGCCATGCGTCGTGTAGTCTGCCAGTACTGCTGCGTTTTTTTTGTTCCAGTCCTCATTGCGCTGCAATTGGGAAGGAAGGATCAGCCAGAGTTTCTTGGCAGATTTGATCGTCCGGTGGGTCGTGTTGCTTGGAAACCTTGGAACAGTCAGCTTGGAATATGTTGGAACTATGCCATGAATTTTTGGATTCGAAAATATGTTTGGAAGCCAATCGAAGTCAAGTTGCAGCAGTGCGGAACCATTTTGTTGCAGTGGTTGACTCACTGCTTCTGATGGGTTGGGGACTTGTTTGATGGTTTCCTGAGCTTGAACATGCTTTTAAGTCAGACATTTGAATTCATTTGATATGTCCATTGTTGTATCATGTAATGTGTTTTTTGTTTCAAGATCTCAAGATCAGATCTTGAAATAATCTGTTCCCCCTAATACTAAACCCCCCACCCCCACCAAATAATAAACACCTCAGGTAAAAGGGAAAGGGATTAATAAAATGATTTGCAACAGCCGCAACAAGTTTCTGATGTCCAGTGGAAATTGGCTGGGAACTGTTTCAGCCAGGGCATCAAGGGCCCCCAAATCCAGTTTAGCAAACCTCATTCTCCTATGCGCACAGCGACCATGTTAGACTACGTTCTTTCTGGGCAAATCCATCAAGATAATCCTTCCCGTTGACTTTCATATTTTTCAAGATGGTTAAAACCACCAACCAGTTTTGATAGCACCACCATGTTGTAAAGACCTGGAGCTGAGGTTAGTTCGACAGGTCGGAAAGACAGACTTCGCGTCGGAACACTACGAGGCGTTCACCCTGACCGATCGCCATCGCGAAGAATTTTTTCGCGATGGTGCCACCCTGTTGAAAGGTCTCCAATTGATGATTTAAGCTGAGCTTTTATGATCTGTTCATTGATCTTTCATCATGTTTCATAGACTCGGATTGGTGAATCCATTATTTGGGGGTATCTATTTGTTTTTGTTTGTGGACTTTTTCGAATACAACCAAGGTGTTCTGAAGCCTGAGGTAGTGAAGAGACTTCACCAGTATGTTGCACCAATTCCCTACTGGGATGCACGAAATCTTGGAAATCTATGGATGGCGTCGGATGAGATTTTGGATTTTTACATCTTTGGACCCTTAGGGGACATTGCCAGGCAGGTCTTTCAGAGCCCGCAGGCGGTCACATCTCATCTCCCTCCCAGCGCTCAACTGCAGCGAGATTTTATCAGTAGAAGGCAGGTGGATTCGACCAATGGATGGCATATCGACCGAACAGAGTCTTAGATTTGCTTTTTGCGGGTGAATTTTCCATATTTCTCCCATGAATATGATTCCACCATTGGACTATGGGGAATCTGTTGAACAACAGGCTTTTTGGGGAGCCATCTCCATCTGCGTTTTTTCCAAGGAGTGTCAGATCGGTGACCAACCCTCCAAATACATTTCGACGGCACTGGCAAGGCTTGCAGTGCTTTTGGTTGTGGAGGGTGGTGTGCGAAGCACTCAGATCATCAATCAGAGCAAGTACGCTGCGGCCATGTCCGAAGAAGCGCGGGAGGAGTATTTTGCAGGCAAAGCCATGTACCGCAAGGAAGGTCGCTTTGAACGCTGGATGTTGTGGCACCCCAATACCACTGTGCCAGTTCTTCCAGGAGTGACGTTGGATACAGCGATGATCATGGAGCATTGGATGGAACCTGGAGATATTCTCATGTTCAACACATGTTTGTGGCATCGCTCGCCACCATGGGCAGGGCCCGAAGTTGAGTTGGGCTTGCAGCCGACCTTTGCCCCATCCACACATATCTCACATGATCCACCAATGTGGGCGGATCCTCTTCTATCCTGGTGTTTGAACGAGGGATTTGAAGACAAAGCGGTTGCTTTGCAGTTTGTCGATGTTTTTTTCATGATTTTTGGATACCTGTGGCATTTTCCCAATTGGAAATAATCGAGGAAGGGATGAAGGAAGTCGTTTTTATTCGGCGTTCCTGAAGCAGAGCCCAGGTTGGGGAAGGTGATGGCAGCCCTTGCTTTCCCTATGTCTATCCAGAGGACAAGCGTCCAAAGGTCGGCTCGACCTTGACCTTCAAACGACTGCCATTGCCATTGACACGGCCTCAGCACGTTGCGTACTTTATTTTCAGCTGGTTTCATGTACAGATGAGAGACATCCTACGAAAGCTTTATTTCTGCTCCAAGAGCTGAGATTTTGATGATATTGGACCCCTTGCTGTGGGACTCAGTTACCCACTTACAGCAAATACTTGTAGATAGCTACGAGTTGGGGTGACCAAGAATTCAGACCCCAAAGTCAAAGTGACTAGACTCTGAAGCAAACTTATCCATGTTCTGGAGCTTTGCAAGGGAAAGGCACAGTATCCCATGTTCGGTTACCGGGTTTTTGGGCAGAGTTGCTTGATTCCCCCTTGGCTTATCCATGGGTTGATCAGCAGGCATTCCCACTTTTCCACCTATAACTTATTCCATTTGGATGCATTTGGGGTACATTCCCAATTTCATACATACCCAAATATCATATTCTTCGTCAGTCATATATCCCATTCTGTCCCCATTATACAACCATTCATAGATGATTTTCCCATTATCATCCATTATCCCACCTAATAAAAGCCATTATAATCCTGATCCATATATCCCGCACATTTTTGGATCATAAATCCTATACATTTAATCCCACGAGTCCCATGAGTGGTTTGATATTTTGATCGTTTTGTTGAACTTTTATCAAAGGAAGTTGGGAAGCAATACTTCCGAGTTACGAATGACTTTTACTTGATGCAATTGACTATGATGAAGGGTGGTAGATCACAGAACAATACATTATCTAACAATACACAACAAAAGAATAAGAAGCTATGACACTGGTGACGAAGGGATGTGGTTACGATGGGAAGTGGTGAGGAAGGGAAGTGGTGACGAAGGGATGTGGTTACGATGGGAAGTGGTGAGGAAGGGAAGTGGTGACGAAGGGAAGTGGTGATGAAGGGGAGTGGTGAGGAAGGGAGGTGGTGACGATGGGAAGTGGTGAGGAACGGAAGTGGTGAGGAAGGGAAGTGGTGATGGTGGGAAGTGGTGACGAAGGGAAGTGGTGAGGAAGGGAAGTGGTGACGATGCGAAGTGGTGACGAAGGGACGTGGTGAGGAAGGGAAGTGGTGACGAAGGGAAGTGGAGAGGAAGGGAAGTGGTGACGATGCGAAGTGGTGACGAAGGGACGTGGTGAGGAAGGGAAGTGGTGATGAAGGGAAGTGGTGATGAAGGGGAGTGGTGAGGAAGGGAGGTGGGGACGTGGGAGTTCTATGCGTTTCCTGAAGCTGTGGTTGCAGATCGCATTGTAATGGCTGCATGAATGGAGTGGTGAGGAAGGGAGGTGGGGACGTGGGAGTTCTATGCGTTTCCTGAAGCTGTGGTGCCAGATCGCATTGGAATGGCTGCATGATGTTGCATGGGCTATGTCAATGTTTTGGGGAGGAAGCCGGAGCACGAAACCGTGTGTTTTTCCGTGTAAAGTGGCTGCAGGCGGCGATGAAAGCTACCTCGTGTGTGCGACGGGTGCGGCTGCGGTCGGTTTGTTTTTTTTGCCGCAGTGTAGCGGTGGCTTCAAGCTGCTTTGGGTGTGCTTGTGTGTGTGTAGTTATAGGGTGTTTTGGAATCTGTGCTTGCAGATCGCATTGGAATGGCTGCATGACTGTTGTCATTTGGTGTTCTGGTGTTGTTCTGTGCGTAGATAGGTGCAAGTTTGCGAGTTGATGCGAACCGCATTGTAATGGCTGCATGATGTTGCATGGGCTATGGTTTGGGGAGGAAGCCGGAGCACGAAACCTTGTGTTTTTCCGTGTAAAGTGGCTGCAGGCGACGATGAAAGGTACCTCGTGTGTGCGACGGGTGCGGCTGCGGTCGGTTTGTCGTTTTTTTTTGCCGCAGTGTAACGGTGGCTTCAAGCTGCTTTGGGTGTGCTTGTGTGTGTGTAGTTATAGGGTGTTTTGGAATCTGTGCTTGCAGATCGCATTGGAATGGCTGCATGACTGTTGTCATTTGGTGTTCTGGTGTTGTTCTGTGCGTAGATAGGTGCAAGTTTGCGAGTTGATGCTGCGAACCGCATTGTAATGGCTGCATGATGTTGCATGGGCTATGTCTTGGGGAGGAAGCCGGAGCACGAAACCTTGTGTTTTTCCGTGTAAAGTGGCTGCAGGCGACGATGAAAGGTACCTCGTGTGTGCGACGGGTGCGGCTGCGGTCGGTTTGTCGTTTTTTTTTTGCCGCAGTGTAACGGTGGCTTGAAGCTGCTTTCGGTGTGCTTGTGTGCGCGTAGTTTCCGAAATCGTGATAGGTTGAAAGTACGTCCAACGCATGAAAGCTTAGATGACATACGAGAAGAGATGAGATGAGAAGAGCTCAGTTGGGATAAGGTGAGAAGAGCTCAGATGAGATGAAGTGTGGGGTGTGAAGAGTGCAGTGTGAAGTGTTGGGCGTGAAGAATGCAGTGTGAAGTTTGGAGTGTGAAGGAAGCAGTGAGAAGTGAGAAGTGTGAAGTGTGGACTGTGAAGTGTGGACGTGAAGTGTGAAATGTGAAGTGTGGAGTGTGAAGTGTGAAGTGTGGATTGGGAAGAGAGCAGTGTGAAGTGTGCACTGTGGAGTGTGAAGAGTGCAGGGAGAAGTGTGAAGTGCGAAGTGGAGCTTCAAATGTGACTTTCGCAGAGTGCACGCACGCACGGGCTTGGCTGGCGCACGGCGCATGCAAGTTCTATAGATGAGAAAGATCTTATATATATCTTTAAGGCAACTTCCGCCCCGCCTCGTGCGGGTACTACTGGTATACCATTATAATCCATTTGTATAGAGCCATTGTATGCCATTTTCATGGGTTACATAAGTGATATAAACCCATGAATCATCACTGGTTGGTGGTTTGAAACATGTTTTATTTGTCCATTTCATATATGGGATGTCATCCTTCCCATTGACGAACTCATATTTTTCAAGATGGTTATTGCACCACCAAGCAGGTGATATAAACCCACGAATCATCATGAAACCCATGAAAACCCATAGATTGCTGGACTTCTCAAGATGCCAGGCATGCACCACTGCAGCCTTGAACTACATCGACGTGGCCAAGGGTGTTGCATCCATCTATAGTGACGTGGATCTGTTGGTTGCGTTGGGTGTGAAAATGACGTATACTATGATGGTAATATTCAAAACATGATGGGATACATATATATATATATATATATGTATATTATAGATATACATACATATAAATTAGACATATATACATATATACACATGCATGTATGATTGGAAGAATATTGCAGATATAAGTTGATATAAGCAACACATTATACAGCATGTTTAATTTGGATGTCTGCAAGTGCGGGATGGTTCCAATATGGCCATTTTTCACGGAACATGATGGTCAATGGCAAGCCGTGGGACGGAACGGGGTTCCATGACACCACGGCGCTGCGGACCATGGAGCACCATTTTTGGAGCCATGAAAGTTGTCATTTTGAGCTTCAAAGCCTTTGAAACCAGTCAAAATTATATTCTTGAGGTAAATGATTTTCGCAGATTTGGTGGATGGGTTTGCTTTGATTTTCAAAACCCCATGCTTAGAATACCTATGATGGTCATTATTGGTTTGTTTATGTTTTAATGGAGCCAAAAATCAACCATATTGGAGGCCACATGATATTGAAGTTGCAGGGGCTACGATTCCCGCATTATTTATACATAGACCTTTCTGTCACTGGGTAGAATCCCTACAACAAACTGGTTGCTGGTTTGGAACATTTTTTTCCATAATATATGGGATAATCCTTCCCATTGACTAATATGTTTCAAGATGGTTAAAACCACCAACCAGCAAATCGTTGTGGCGTTTTGGTTCAGTTTTATCGCAAACACTACGATATTTCTCTGTCAATTTTGTTGGGGACATTGTAGGTGGAAGGGTAGACGGTGATGAGTATCCAATGCATACAAAGCAGCGCTTTCCACAGCTTCACAACTGAGGTATGGGTCAGATTGGGCACTCCAAAATTGAATTTGGTCAGCTCCATCAGCTCTTTCAAAATGTTCAAGCCTTCAAGCCTTCGTGGATGGGCCATGGGATTAGCTAACCGCCCTTGTAACTGGTTTTTTTTCACCACAAAATATCCCATTTAGAATCCATAAACCATGGCCCATCGAAGTTCCCAATGCAGCGACCTCTCCTGGCCGGCTAATTCCCCAGGTTCTGGCATGCCGCAAGCCGTAGAGCTGGTACGACTGAACCTTCCACAGAAAGATCGGAAGGTGCAGAATTTCTGGGAGCTCGTCGTAACGATGAGCGGTTCCAAACACTTCTGGTTGATCAAATTTGGTTGAGTTAATGAAAACCAGGTTCGATTTGAAATTCCAGTTGAATAGGTTTTGTGAATCCAATAAAGGGGTTCAATGATAGATAGTTTCAATCAGCATGGTTGGTTGGTTCGTTGGTTGGTTGTGTAACGCGGGTTCAACCATCAAGGATAGGTTTCTTGAAACTGACAGCATGATATGTTGAAACGTGTCTCAAACAGGGATACCCCAAACATCTCAAACGATGTGTTTTTTTTTGCAAAACATTTCTTAATGGCTGTGTGGATCGATTGTATATTGTAGGTACTGTTTGTCGCAACGACAAGATCTTGGAAATGTCTCAGACTCCAGGTAATCAACATGTACGGCAACTTTTTTTTAATAGGAAACATGATGACAAATGATATTCAGAGCTCCAAATTTTCAGATCACCTGTAATATTTCCTGCAATTTTCAGTCTGACATCCCAGACTGGAAGATGAAAATTGGCCCAGCGATTTTTTTTTTGGCCTAGTTTCCTAGACCTGGCTTATGTTACATCAATGGAGTTATGAGCGGAAGTTTTGTAGACCCGCTTTTCTTTGCTGTGAAATTTAAGCCCATTGCCATCTAATCAATGCTTTACAACAGATGTCATCCCCAACAAATGGTGTGTTTTCCCTGTTGGTCTTGGTTCAAACATGTTCTTTCCGTTCCCATATTTTATCCGGGCATTCTTTCCCAGTTTTGTAGCTACGGCCACAATTTTTCACATGGAATCAAAAAAATACTTTACTTCGTGTGATCCCCACCATGACATTTATACATTTTGTTACTGGCAAATCTTCTGACATTCTATCTGACATATTTTCTGGCATTCGATCTGGCATTCTACCTGGCATATCTTCTGGCAGATGTTCTGGCATATCTTCTGGCAGATGTTCTGGCATATCTTCTGGCATATCTTCTGGCATATGTTCTGGCATATCTTCTGGCATTCCATCTGGCATTCTATCTGGCATATCTTCTGGCATATTATCTGGCAAATCTTCTGGCATTCCATCTGGCATTCTATCTAGCATATCTTCTGCATATTATCTGGCAAATCTGCTGGCATTCTATCTGGCAAACATTCTGGCACTTTATCTGGCATATCTTCTGGCATTCTAGCTGACATTCTATCTGGCATTCTATCTGGCATACCTTCTGGCATTCTATCTGGCATATCTTCTAACATTTTATCTGGCATATCTTCTGGCACTCTATGTGGCATATCTTTTGGCCTGGATACTCGCGGTTGAGGTCCGGCAGGGAACACTGGGCGTGGATGGTCGTGGTTGAGGTCCGGCAGGGAACACTGGGCGTGGATGGTTGTGGTTGAGGTCCGGCAGGGAACACTGGGCGTGGATGGTCGTGGTTGAGGTCCGGCAGGGAACACTGGGCGTGGATGGTCGTGGTTGAGGTCTGGCAGGGAACACTGGGCGTGGATGGTCGTGGTTGGTCCGGCAGGGAACACTGGGCGTGGATGGTCGTGGTTGAGGTCCGACAGAGAACACTGCGGATCGCGAGTCGCAGTTGAGCAGGAGGACGAGGAGGACAACGAGAGGAGGAGGAGAGGAGAGGAGGAGGAGGAGGAGCAGGACCAGGCAACTGACATAAAATCTGACAACCCTCACCTGGCAGGTGGGGAAATATATCATGATTATCATGCCATGTCCGTATCCAATGATCGTGCACATACATCCAAATAATGACCATGTTTGGCATTCCATGTCCCATGACGGATCCATGGTGCTGCCATATATGGTAACATGGATCCCATCAATATACCCCAGTTATGTTAGCATATATATATAATATATATATAATTATATATACCATACATGGATCCTATGGTTTTACTGTATATTATCTATATAATTATCTTTAAATCCTTGGGTATTGTTGTGTTCCATATGGTATTATACCCCAAATCCTTGGTGATACCCCATGGATCCTATGGGTGTTAATTTTAGGGCTGTACCTGATAGCAACTTCAACGGGTCAGGTGTTGAGTTCCTCAGAGCTGAACCTCTTCGTGCAGATTGCCACCAGTGGGGATAGCACCGTAGCAGCGGCCATCGGCAAACGCTATTTGTTGCTTGGAAACGGCCTCTGAGGATGTGCGGCTTGAGCTATCATAAATGGTGGACATATGTGGACATGACATGTCATGTTTTTGTTTCATGTTGTGTGTCCAACCATATTTGCCTGGTTTTATGTATATGTATACGTATATATATATATATATATCTGGTTGGTGGTTTCAAACACGTTTTTTTTTCCATAATAAATGGGATATTCCTTCCCATTGACGAACTCATATTTTTCAAGATGGTTATTGCACCACCAACGTTTGTTTAACACATTGAGTTCACACAACTATATTCACTATATTTGTTGATTGATTCTGGGGGATCATGAAAGGCTCGCCCTTTTTTCTGAGACTTCCTATCGCCTTGGGATTCTATACGTATATGCAGGTGCTGAGTCGATGAACCAATAGCCACCAAAGATACCAACAACAAACGTTTTAACAAACACTTGCCATTTTAAGCATTAAACTACGGTAAAGCAACTGATGCGTTGTTTTGCACACTTTCCAGTTGCGCAATCCACTATGACTGGGGAATGATGTTCAATATATCCCATATCAATATCAATATCATCGATATTCCATTATTTATCCATATTATCATATGATTCCCCCTGTATTCGCGATGTATTCCCCATGTATTCGCCATGATCAGAGGCTAATCGCTCTGCAGGTTGGGAATCGAAGGATTCAAACAGGACTTTTCCAAGGCGCGGAGCTTGGAAAAATCAGTTGTATAGCGATGGGTTTCCCTACTAGTTTTATGTTATAACATAGCTATGGTTTACCGGTTTACCTATAGTTCTATGAAAAACACAAAAAATGGAAAACACAGTTCTATGGTATAGATGACCGTTTAATAGGTGATTTACCTACTAGAATGGTGATTTGTCATAACTATCTTAGTTCGAGGATACTGGAGGCTACCTTTGTATACTTTTGCAGCAACAAGAAAAACTAACTTAGTTGGAGGAACAGTTTGAACATCAATTGTTTCCAGTAATCAAAATTGCCGTGTTGTTTGTCGTTGTGGTAAATCCACTAGTAAACTATATACCCCAATTTTACTAGGTTTATGGTTGAATAAACCAACCCCACCTTAAAAGGTTTGATACTGTGGGGTTTACCACATAATCGGCATGTTTGTTGATTCTATGAACCTGACGACGATGATTCTGATGATGACGACGTCACGCCACGTGGCGGCGTGACGTAAAAACATATTTCCGGTGTGTTTTGCAACCAGCAGCCAGGGACGGTCGTCAAGAGGTCGGAATGGGTCAGAATGGTTGTTTAGAGCAGTTTTATTGCTATGTAATTTGGTGAATCTCGTGGGGTGTCAAGATCAGTTAGAGATACCTCAGGGTAGTGATACTGTGGATGGAAGAAATCCTGCACCAGTTAATAGGTGGTAAATATCCCATTATTTATAGGCTTTCTAAGATCCCAGGTGGTGAAAGATTTTGCAACCATCCACAGTAGAACGCAGAGAATGCCACTAGATCAGCTGCCAGGCGAAGCAGTACTTGCAGCTGGCAGCCACGCACAAGCAGAATGCAGGAGCATTGGCTCTGCTGGGCTACATCTACTGTCTAGGCCTGGATATGCGGATGACGATGACATTGATGATTCTCAAAATCATCCCAGTGGTTACATAAGTTATATGCCATGCTTGGGGAATCACTTGCGAATATGTTTTATCCTTTTCTTGGCCCTTCAAGCAAATCCAAGTATGCGCCAGAGCCATGACTAGCTCTGAAACTCCGATCTCAAGTGAAACAAAATCTACTGGGTGTCATAAAATCTAACCATATGACTGAGGTTGTAAGACACCATCAGTATACATCAGTTGTAACTGAACATTTTCATGTGTGAAAAATATATCATTAGATCTGCTAGTTCGCTGGTGTTTCATCAAGTATATACAACTGCTGACTACTGTAGAAGAAGTGTTTGTTTGAATCCAGTCCCGAGACTGCTCCTTACCGTGACTGATTGCTTGAGTCACTATGAACATATCATTCTTGTTGGCTCCATCTTCACGTTTGTCGCCCCCGGACTGATTAATGACAACTAACTAAATCTTATTTGGGGTTCCCATTTTGGTAGAAGGCTTATGGAAAATTCCCCCCGGTAAATCGAGCAGGGGTTGCCACTGGAAGCGATTCTTGCAAGCTCAGGCATCCTACAAGGTGCCCCCTATAGAGTTAATGCTACTTACGTTTTTTTTGTTTATATATATATATATGTCCCCATGTATTTAATTCCATCCCCTATTATACCCTAATATTAAATATCCCCAAATGGGCCTTCAAAATGAATGAATACACAAATAATTCTCCAAGTGGTAATTTAATATTGCAGTGACAGGACTGGTTATTCACCGTAAACCCAACACTTTCTCTTAAGTTATGTTTACATATGTTTACCATCTTAGCTAACGTAGATCACACACACACACATATATATATATACATACATATACAGCTATAAAAATCAGCTATAAATCATGTCATCAATCCCAATTTCTGGTGAAATCCCCTTGTCTGGGACACCTTCGCCTCACTAGGTCTGGGAACGCCGGTGAACCTGGACACGGCCTATGCCTACTTTGTGACGGCGGCCAGTTCCAACGACCCGCTGGGGCACAACGGGCTGGGCTACATCTACTTCCGAGGAACCAACGCCCAGGCCGCAAATAATCTGGGGATGGTGGGAAGGTCCTTGCGATTGAGGTGATTCATTTGAGGCCTCAGAATTTTTCACTTTCTACATCAAAGCAACAAGCGACACCGGATGCCAGCTGCTTGAGAGACCCCCAGGCGCGGAACTTGAAGTTGGCCTTCAAGCACTTCAATGAGTCCGCCTATGGCGGCTCCTCTGATGGCATGTTCAACCTCGCTTCCATGTGCCGCAGAGTTTTGAAGTTTAAAATGTGTTGCACTGTTGCACCACATTTTGGGGAAATGGATTCAAATGCATTGTTTGAATGATGAGTCGATGAGCAAAACATCAACATTAGGTTTGTTGGATCTGGGCAACCAGCAACATAGATCAACTTCCAAGGCTAATCGCAGGGTCAAGCCCCACACCAGGTACCTGACCGGAACTGCAGTGCAAGAATCTTTCCAAAAGGCGGTGCTGTACTACACTCAGGCACGTGCGCTTGTGGTGGTGTTGACCCTGTGAAGTTTGGAACCATTGAAAGACAAATGTGCCGTTTCACTCTCCAAGTACACATACCCTCTGGTAAACTAACATAGCTATGGAAAATCACCATTTATAATAGGTAAATTAACTATAAATGATCATTTTCAATAGCTATGTTAAATTACCAGAGGGTAACTTAGCACTTTTACTTTTACCAGCTTTCAGCTCCGTGCGTCAGTCGCTGTGGCGTCGATTTTCCGTCCACCTGGGCCTCGATTTTCCGTGCCCGTGTCAGCCCACAGCGGCTGATTGGATTCCTTTACCAGCTTTTTGGGGTAATTGGATTTGTTTTCTTTAAAAGAAAAAATACAAACCCATCAGAAAGCAGTTAAAACTCATCCGACATCATGGTTCATCTTATAATAATCAACCATATGGAGGTTTCCAATCCATGGGGGTATCCTTAAATCATCCATTTCATGGTCGGACATTCCATGATTTTTACCATCCAGCTATTGCGGTATCCCCATGACTGTGGAACCGCCCATTCAGGATGGTATAAGTTGCTTTATAAACCCCATCAACTATGCTTATATCTACCATAACCCATCTGGTTGGTGGTTTGGAACATGACTTTATTTTTTCATTTCATATCTTGGGAAATGTCATCCTTCCCAACTGACTTTCACTCCATGATTTTTCAAGATGTTTTTTTTTCACCAACCAGCCATATAGTTAAGCCAGGCCTTGGATCGAGGACATACTCCAGCTGCCTACTCCCTGGCTGTGATGCACCTGAATGGCATCGGGTGCGCGGAGGGTACGTTGGGATGGTGGGCTTTTCGTGGCTTTTTCCCAGAAAAACATGGGGAAATCTTTGGCCATGAAGAATTGGAATGTTGTGATTGAAGCAAAATGTGGGAAACACCGGGATTTAACATGATTTAACATGAGTTAGATATGATTGAAGCTAGCAAAATTGGGTCATCACTCTTGGCTGGTAATGATAAACAATCATCTTTACATGTCCAAATGATCTCCGGATGGCCGGATGGATACAATTCCAGCCATATTCGATCACAGGGTACGTGAGATCTCCAAGGTCATGTGCCACAATAGGTGGTGTTTGTATTTGAAGCCGCCAAGATGGAGATTGAGACAACAAAAATAAGATCCAATGTAGAATTGGAAGCACTTTAAATCAGAAGAAATCTATGATCCTTTGAATCGTTCTTCCATCTACTCCTAAAGATGTGGATCCACATGCAGTTACACTGATGTTTCGATCAGTACTGGCCGCCTTGGGTGACAGACATTGACAGACCACCTTGGCATCGGTGAGATGTTTCATCGCCGCATTTGCCATTCTGGGTGTACCCAGACTATCCAAACATTCCAAGCCATTTAAGTGAATCCATCAGTCCTAAACCCATGACAGGACAGTCCGGGACTGTGACATTGCGGTGAATCTCTTGAAGAAGGTGGAACGAATGGAACGAGTGGAACGAGGGGAGTTGGCAAACTGCTGACGTTTTCGGGGGTTGTTCTGCTGGTTGTTCTGTGGAAAGATGTTAAATGTTGATGGGATCTCAACCACAGCCGACCGGAGTCGCCATGTTTCAGGGATGTTTGGTGCATCTTGACAATGTAGTATAAACGTATTAAGCATTGACATCGAGAGACGCAGGATCAACCTCCCACAAAAGATACTCAGTGATTAGACTATTCGTGCAGATACAGAGATATAAGATGATATAAGGTGTTCAAGACATCTTACAAAAAATGTCATTACCATCCAAAAAACATCCAAAAACATCCAAAAACATGTTTCCCAATGACCGTCATCAGGTCTGTGAGCGCGGGGAATGGGTGAGCAGCAAACTGGTCTCTGCCTATGACTTCGGTCCCAAGACTGGGGACGGCGCCGTGAGGGTTCTGCCACGGGTCCGTTCTGATCCACCTTTGGCTTATTCTTGGGTGTCGGTACATCAAAAATGAAATATGCACAAAACAAAACGCGGCAATTTCCGTGGATGGTCAGGGTTAGTTTCCGAAAATGACCCACAGCCAACAGGGGGCCAAGCTCAGCCGAGGTGACAAAAATCCCAACAAGGCCGCGTTGATGTTCTTGAAACTCGCGGAAGCAGGGCATGAAGCTCTTTGGCTTGGGACTGGCTGTGGTCAGGCCAGAAACACTGGCGTTCGTCAATTCACCGAGGCTAGAAACAGGAACGGCATCTTCGATCTGGATATCGGTTTGATGTTCGTTTAGTACTTGATTTGGATGTCAAAAATTCATGGATCCTTTCTGTTTCATGATCCAGTTCGGTGGTGCCCCTGCCTTCGTTGGCGAAGTTGGTTGTAGTTAAGTAGGTTAACTCTTGGGTTTATATTGACGAACTGGGGGCAGTTACATAGATAAAGTTTATTGATCAACTGTGAAAGTAGTTACAGGATGTTACAGAGATTATAAATCAAGAAACAGAACTGGGGGGCACCACAAAAAAAAACATTCCCATACAATAAATGACTTCCATCGCCATTGAAGCACCAGAAATGCTGAGGTCTCCCAGATGAACGTAGCACATCTTTTTGACAGCGGCCAACCAAACTTGTTCTCTCCAGACGAAGGAGGCCATGGCATCATGGGGCAGACCTTTCATGAGCTCACTGGAGTCTGAAAATACCCCATCCACTGGTATCACTGGTTAATCATCATCCCTCATCCCATTCAATGATATTCAATGGCCATATAATGCCATGTATGTATCCAAATGTCTCCATACATTGGCATATATCATTGGCATATTATACTGGATTATACTGGGGGCTAAATCATGCGAAATCCAGCATTTTACAGAAACCAATGTGTCCGTCAGAAAGAAACATCTGAGGCTCAGGTTCCAGGTCATGTTGTGGCGCGCAAGGCGAGCCGGCCAAAGCTGATGACTACTTTTGGGAGGACATGGCCCGGGGGGATGCCTTGAGAATCGGATGAATGAAGCATCTACAGGCAAGCCCGTAGAAGTGGTAAAATCCATGGCTTACTGCACATGCAAAATCATGTAGAAACATCCCTTCAAACCTTAAGCGAATTCATATAAAAACGCATTCTCCGTTGGCCATGCACGTTGACCCTGGGACATTTTGGGACATCTTGGGCCGGGCAGGAAGACTCGAGAAGCTATGGGCGAAACATAGCTCAGTGCTTGGGCGAAACGACGAGAAACGACGATTTTTCGACCTGTTGGGGATGATCGAAAACCGTTTCCCAGTGGGGATGAACATCTTATTGGTTGATGATATCATCCCCCATTTGATTGATTGATACACTATTGATACACTATTGATACACTATTGGGATTATCATAACCCTCTTGTTGATACTTTTTTATGGGGGTTATGATAATCATTAGGAGGCTTGGGACTAAGTTGGTACTTGCAGGGGTGATGACAATCAGCAGGATTTCTAAGAGGACATATATTATATGTAGTATATCCACGGGGCAGTGTGGGTAAGCATCCAACCCTTTTCCAGCTGGCGGTGAATGTGGATTATGCTCACCTCTTGACTTTGATTCACCTTGTCAGCTGACATGTTACATGTCCTTGTACACCCAACATGAACAAGGTTTTGGCTGTGCTTCATTTTGCTATTCATCTCTTGAATTTCTTGAGTTTTCCGAATTTTATAGTTCAACCTGTTTCGCCAAACTTCCAAACCTCTTGGTTTCCTTTTCCATCACAAAACATCCAGTCTGCCAGTTCTCTGGTGATCTAAGGCGCTTCTACGAGCTCTCGGCTGAGCAGGGCAGTGCTTCCAGTGAGCTGCGCCTGGGCGACTACGCCTACTATGGCATCCCGGCGCCACAGATGGTGATTCCATGGTGATTCCCATCCAGTCGACCCGGAAAATATTTCTGGAAAATAGATGAACATAGTAACATATCTATACATATCTATACATATCTTTGTTTGGTAGAGTTCAGGGTCACAGGCCGGAACAATGATTTGAGATAAAAATTGAGGATGATTTGCCAATTTATTCAACTTCCCAGTGCTTGGAATTTGTGTTTCAACTCCGATCCGAGCCCTGAAATCCAAACCTTGGCCCCAGATTTTTTTTCCGCCTGGTGGTGGCGACGCAGGTGCTCCCCTTCAGTATCTGGGATGATTCCAACCTTCCTAGTGCTCCTGGTACCTTTTGAGGTCTGTGGAGCTGTTTGGACCCATCAAATTCACCAGTCTCAGAAGGTGTTTGGAGCTGGCCATATTCCTATGGTCTGTACTGATTTCGGTACTGATTTCAGGCATCCGCCACCAAAGCCCTGGTTTTTGGCCCATGGTCCCAGCTGCTGCCAGCTCTCAACTGATATACCGATATACCTTGCGGAAATGGTGTGACATGTCCGCGAAAAATCACATGTTATCGATGATTCTCATGGTTTCCCATGATCAAAAGTGGGGATTGTCTGTCGGATGTTCCGGCGAGCCATGCTGGAGCCCAGGCTGGGGCCGCTCGGCTGGCTTCACTCCGCAAGAGGGGACTTCCGATGGACCCATCGTCGACCAAGGACGGATGGGTGTTTTTCCCAAGAACGGTCAACGTTGAAGTCCAATGACTCCAACCATTAAGACAAATTCGGCTCTGAATATATGTTAGATTTTGTTTTATAGATATACATGATTATACATGATATACTTACTATTTTGTGAAATAATTAGAATATTCTATTTAGATAGTTACTCTAGTTACTATAATAGTTATAGATGATTTGGTAAACCAACTTATTAACTGGAGAGCACCTGTTTCTATGGCCTGCTGGGAAAGATCTGGAAAGCCATAGTGGACCTGGAAAAAATCGTTGGGCCCACGACCCTTCTATGGCTGGAAGGTAAACAAACAAAACCATGGAGACAGTGGCATTTGGGTTGCTTTTGTGGAACCTGAATCTACCTCAATGGTCAAGGATTCAGATGAAACATTCAAATGAAATTGACTATATTCGAGTATATAATTATTGTTGGATCTCAAGAAATGAAATTGTTTGGTGATCGCGAGGAAGAACGTTTTGTTCACTTTTCCAATCACCAGTTTTAGGTGCCTAAAACCATCCATTTCAGTCCCGTTTTTGACTCCTGGTGGACTAAGGGCAGTGGGCTCATATATAGATGATATCTGTCGGATGGTTCCTAAATGGTTCCTAAAATGGTTCCAAAATGGTTCCTAAATGGTTCCTAAATGGTTCCTTAAATGGTTCCTAAATGGTTCTCAAGTGGTTTTGTACTTCCAGCTCCTACAATCCGATGCTATCCACACCAGCACCTCTCAGCCCTCGGCTGCTCTGCTGCTCTGCTGACGTGTCAGGTGAGGATTGGGCGGATTTTCCTTTGCCATCCATCTACACCAGTGACAAAGTCCTTTTGACTCCTCAAAACGTCGACTACGAAGCGGCATTGGTCACTGGAATTCACTGGGCTGGACGGCTGGACTGGGATTTGGAAAAGGCCTTTCTCAGTTGCTGGATGTTGCTGGTTATTGGCAGATGATGATCCAATAGTGAGACAGTGGCAACCAACCTGAATGGCTTTGCTAGATGTTACAATAGAATACGATGGATTATGCAAATTGTGAACAGTTCTTCATGGTTCCAACTTTGGAAAATACCTGAAAATATCCCAAAAAATGGATGGCTTCGTCACGTCTTAACCTCTCCTTTTCGCAGAACCGCGACTCAGGCGAGATATCGCAAGACTGCCGACATGACTGTGACGGGTGAATGGATGCAATCCTTCGTGGCACGAGCATCCTTCAATCTGGGCTTCATGCATCAGTTCGGCATCGGCATTCCGCAGGTCGGCAACGTTGGCTTCCGTCCAAAATCACCATGGCCTCTGGTGATTTCTTACATACTAGCGCTAGTGTTAAGTCGTATCAGCTCGTAAAAGTCGTATCGGGAGGCCGTGCGCCTGGAAAAAGTTCAATTTTGGCATCACCACAACTTTTAGTAATTGAACGATTTCTTCGTTTTGGGGCCGTGCGCCTGGAAAAAGTTCATTTTTTTTTTATTGCGTTGATTTTTTAAATATATTTGATCATTCTTTCAAGGGGGCAAACGCTGGTTGCTGCTTGCCTGCTGCTTGCCTGCTGCTTGCCTGCTGCTTGCTGCTCCATGCTGCTGCTTGCTGCTACTTGTTCCTGCTTACCTGCTGCTGCTCACCTGCTGCTCACCTGCCGCTCACCTACTGCTTGCCTGTTGTTGCTGCTCCGTGCTGCTGCTTCTGCTTGCTGCTGCTTGCTTCTGCTTGCTTCTGCTTGCTGCTGCTTGCTGCTTGCTGCTTGCTACTGCTGCTTCCGCCTGCTGCTTCCTCCTGCTTCCGCCTGCTGCTGCTGCTGCTTCCTCCTCCTGCTGCTGCTGCTTCCTGCTGCTGCTGCTGCTGCCTCCTGCTGCTGCTGCTTCCTGCTGCTGCTTCCTGCTGCCGAGAATTTGTTTGGATTAACTTGTGCCCTTCAAAATCATCGCTGTGCGCAATGCTTCGGCTACTTTTAACTACATCTCCAAGTATGGATGAAACAGGCTGTGCCATGGTGATTCTTCTTCCCTGATGTGACTTTCCACTACCTGATGTGACTTCTCCGTATCGCCGCCGTGCCATGGGGATGATGTGACTTTTCCCGCCTGATGTGACTTAAGTACGGTGCTTGTATATAGAATAGCTAAATGCCAAATGGTCCATGTAATTTACCTCTTCAACATGGTGATTTTCCACTTCGCTATGTTCAATTACTAGAGGCTATAGAGGGCAAATGTTGAAATCGGCGGGATGCTACACCCTCATGTGGTCAACGTCGGGAAATTGTGGGGTCCGAAAAGGAAACACGGCAATAAACGTGAGAGCTCCTTCCAATTGGTATTTTGCATGACAGTCATCTTCACCTATAAAAAATCATCTGAATCCGATGAATATATTGCAGTTGTATTTCTCGTGATATTCCTATGATAATTCATAGCACTACGCAATGGTATAGAATATCCTATACAATTTTAGAATATGTCTGTGAATTCATGTGAATTCATGTGAATTCAGGTGCATATCCACTTTTCATCCCAATCCAGTTGGCTAACAAAATGCACTTTTCACATCTTTTCACCATAGAATTGGCTTCAAAAAGGTCCATGTTTTTCCATGTTTTCATCCCATCCCATGGCGCCAAGCTATCGCCAAGCCATCACCGTGGCCGCCAGGACCTGAACCTGGCGAGGCAGCACTTCTTCCGCTGCCGCGAGGTGGACCCCTCCGGGCTCCATGCGCCGGTGACGCTGGCGCTGACGTTGCTGGCGTGCCACCTGTGCGCCCGTTGCAGGGGATGGGGATGGGATGTTAAGTGGCTGAAGATGGGATAGTGATATAACTGGTAAATGATGGTTAATGGGATTTTATAGTGATTCAATGGGATATGAATGAAATTTAATGGGATTTAATGGGACTTAATGGGACTTAATGGGATTTAATGGGATTTAATGGGACTTAATGGGATTTTATAGTGATTCAATGGGATATGTTCATGAAATTTGATGGAGGTTTACCCGGCCTGGTAAACATACAAAAAGCTATGGAAAATGGCCATTTACAGTGTAGAATACCCATGACAAATGGTGATTTTCCATAGCTATGTTAGTTTACCAGAGGGTAGGTGGTTTAGGTGGTTTACCCTCTGGGTATGACATTCACAGTTCGCCATGGAAGCCATGGCCCATAGAAAATCATAGAAATAGATGGTTTACCGTTCTTAATAGCATGGTGGATCTTTCCATGGCAAACTGTTTGTCATAACCAATTGGTAAGTATGTTTTTCCATGAGAAATTGGGGGAACTGAGATTTTTTTGAACGACACGGGGATCTAATCAGAAAGAAACAACCAGTTGAGACTCAATCAAGAACAAATGGGGGATTCAGCAATCAGAACTGGCGATTTGACCAAAGTTGTGGCTGGGTGATGGGATAAAGATATAGTCGTACCGTACCTCTTAATTCCCATTTGTCCAAATTTAGGAAGTGGGGCTTCAACCCCATTTGTAAATGGGAGTAAACACGTGGTTCCTCTCCCCCTGCTAAGTAGAATGATCCTCAAAAAAAGGACGTTTGTACAAGTATAATCTGACCTGGCTGTGAAAGTCTCATATATTTTCTCGATGGCAAATCATCTAGAAATCGCTTACGTTTCATTGCCAGTTCCGATGGGCGACATCCGGTAATTAAACATGGCTTTCGCTGGAAATTCCTCTATGGAGGTTTCTATCTGGGAACATCATAGAACTAAATGGAGGATTTCTAATGATTTCAAAGTGCCTATTCCAATTGGATGTGAAATTTGGGCTTTTAAAACACACATCCAATTGGAATTGTGTGCCTATTCTATTTCTAAAGTTTCCTATTTCTTTCTGTGTTTTTGGGCTTTTAGTCGTTGCGTGTGTTTTTGTCCGTGAAAATTCACAGTCCTCGTCCTTATGGATCCTGGATGATCATGCAGTTAGTAAGTACCCCAAAGACTTTCAGATACTGACTGGTTGGTGGTTTGGAACATTTTTTATTTTTCCATAGATTGGGAATTTCATCATCCCAACTGACGAACTCATATTTTTTCAGAGGGGTAGGTGGGATCATGTTTGGATTCTTATCTCATAATGGCCATTTAAAGTTGATTTCCCTATAAAAAATGGTGATTTTCCATAGTTATATGGAGCAGTTCCCAAAGACTTTCAGATGAGGATAGTGAACCCTCCATCCCCCACATCTGCCCCGGAATGGTGGTCCACCTGTCCCCGCGGAACGCGCCAACAGCCAGGCGGTATCTGAGACTTCCAACGCCTGATGAGTTCAAGGAACGCTTCTTCGCAGATCTTCGAAGTCACGTCTTGCTGTTGCACCTGGCAGGGCTGCTGATCCTTGCGCCTTGGCTGTGTGGAAAGCATGTGGGGATTTAGCCACTGAAATGTGGGTAGTCAATATAATAATCTGGGGAAACATGGGGAAACTGACTGGTGAATGGTCGGTGTATGGTCGTTATGAACCGAAGGTTTGCCACAAGGAGGTTTCTCAGTTGGCTGGGTGCTGCAGATAGAGAAGTTACAGATCGATATGAAATGGTATGGACCCAGAAAATCTACCATGAGTGACGAGATATGTATTTTGGGAGACAGCCCTTCGCTATGAGGGTTGCCCCCAGTACAAGGTAGTCGACCATATCACCCTTGCTTGTTGGAATCAAGTTAAGTTTTGGCGAGCCAAGCTATCTTCTGTCCAAGTAATTTCCCCTCCTGAGAAAGACGGCATTTAAAAAACAACACACAATTTGCTTTCAAGGGTAATGTGCTGGTAATTTGCCTTGGTAACCTAGTTGCATCTGCTGGTCGTCCAAGGGCAGTACCAGTCCAAAATCCCTGCCCTTTGGGCGTGACTTTACGCTGGAATAGGTAGATAGACCGTTTGACCCTTTGTTTTTACTCCAACAAATCGACAACGTAGTGAGATTATGGGGTAAACACACAATCTATTCTGGATACACATGGAGGGTCTAGGTAACCATGTTCCCTGTTTTGAAAAGGGATGATAGTGATGGGGGTAGTCCGAAGCTGGAAATTTAGTTTGTTGAAGATCACCCAAACATAGTAGTAGATCTGCCAGTTGCCCGCCGTATTGGGATGATCCTGAAGTTAGCAAGTAGTTGGTGAATCTTACATCATACAATATCATACAATATTATGCACCCAAATAGATCCCAATATCATGGCTGGGCTTCTACCCCCCAGAACTTTGTTGCGTAAATCGCGTATCTTGATTTAGTCCCCTAGTTGTTTTTTTCCCGAGAGCGCCTGAGGGTAGGCTTCTTCCAAAAAAAGACGCTGAGATAATACATATTCATTACATCTTCCTATCTTACGTCAGATGATCTTACATCTTCACATCTTACGTCTTCATATTTCTCTCTCTCTCTCTCTTTCTCTTTCTCTTCTCTTCTCTCTTCTCTCATCTATCTTCTCTCTTCTCTCTTCTCTTTTCTCTTTTCTCTTTTTTCTTTTCTCGTTTCTCTTTTCTCTTTTCTCTTTCTCCTTTCTCTTTTCTCTTTTCTCTTTTATCTCTTCTCTCTTTTTTCTTCTCTCTTCTCTTCACTTCTCTTCCCTTCTCTTCTCTTCTCATCTCTTCTCTCTTCTCTTCTCTTCCCTTCCCTTCCCTTCCCTTCTCTTCCCTTCCCTTCCCTTCTCTTCTCTTCTCTTCTCTTAGCTTCTCTTCTCTTCTCTTCTCTTCTCTTCCCTTCTCTTCTCTTCTCTTCTCTTCTCTTCTCTTCTCTTCTCTTCTCTTCGTGTGAAAAAGATGTGAACAAGATGTAAAAGCGTCTGTGTGTAAAAGCGGCCGTTGGTAAAAGCGTTTGTGTGTAAAAGAGGCTGTGTGTAAAAGTGTTTGTGTGTAAAAGCGTCTGTGTGTAAAAGTGTTTGCATGTATAAAACGTTTGTGTGTAAAAGTGATTGTGTTTAAAAGTGTCTGTGTGTAAAAGCGTCTGTGTGTAAAAGTGTCTGTGTGTAAAAGCGTCTGTGTGTAAAAGTGTTGTGTAAAAGCATCTCTGTGAAAAAGCGTCTGTGTGTAAAGGCGTTTGTGTGTAAAAACGTCTGTGTGTAAAAGCGTCTCTGTGTAAAGCTTTCGTCTGCAAATTAAAAGCGTCTGTGAGTAAAAGTGTTTGTGTTGTAAAAGCGTCTGTGTGTAAAAGCGTCTGTGTGTAAAAGTGTTTGTGTGTAAAAGCATCTGTGTGTAAAAGTGTCTGTGTGCAAAAGCTTCTGTGTGCAAAAGCGCCTGTGTGCAAAGAATCTGCGTGAAAAAGCGTCTATGTGTAAAAGGCATCTGTCTGTATAAGCGGCTGTGTGTAGAGGCGTCTGTGTGTAAAAGAGTCTGTGTGTGTAAAAGTGTTTGTGTGTAAAAGCGTCTGTGTGCAAAAGTGTTTGCGTGTGTAAAACGTTTGTGTGTAAAAGTGATTGTGTGTAAAAGTGTCTGTGTGTAAAAGGGTCTGTGTGTAAAAGTGTCTGTGTGTAAAAGCGTTTGTGTGTAAAAGTGTCTGTGTGTAAAAAGGTTTGTGTGTAAAAGCATCTGTGTGTAAAAGTGTTTGTGTGTAAAAGCGTCTGTGTGTAAAGATTTGTGTGTAAAAGTGGCTTTGTGTAAAAGTGTCTCTGTGTGTGTAAAAGCGTCTGTGTGTAAAAGTTTCGTGTGTAAAGCGGTTGTGCGTAAAAGTTTTGTTTGTAAAATCGTGAGTAAAAGTGTCTGTGTGTAAAGGAGTCTGTGTGTAAAAGCGTCTGTGTGTAAAAAAATGGCTTAGAAAGCGTCTGTGCATAATTAAAAGTGTTTGTGTGTCAAAGCGTCTGTGTGCAAAAGTGTCTGTGTGTAAAAGCGAATGTGTGTAAAAGTTGTGTGTGTAAAAGCGGCTGTGTGTAAAAGTGTGTGCGTGTCTAAAAGCGTCTGCAAAAGTTTCCTGTAAAAGCGTTTGTGTGAGAAAAATGTGTGTGTGTGTAAAAGAGTTGTGTAAAAGCATCTCTGTGCAAAAGCGTCTGTGTGTAAAGGCGTCTGTGTGTAAAGGTGTCTGTGTGTGAAGGCGTCCGTGTGTAGAGGTGTCTGTGTGTAAAAGCGTTTGTGTGTAAAAGCGTCTGTGTGTAAAGGCGTCTGTGTGTAAGGCATCTGTGTGTAAAAGCGTCTGTGTGTAAAAGTGTTTGTGTGTAAAAGCGGCTGTGTGTAAGAGTGTCTGTGTGTAAAAGCGTCTTTGTGCAAAAGCGGCTGCTGTAAAAGTGTCTGTGTGCAAAAGTGTCTGTGTATAAAAGTGTCTGTGTGTAAAAGTGTCTGTGTGTAAAGGAGTCTGTGTGTAAAAGTGTTTGTGTGTAAAAGCGCCTGTGTGTAAAAGGGTTTGTGTGTAAAAGTGTTTGTGAAAAGTGTTTGTGTGTAAAGGCGTCTTTGTGTAAAAGCGGCTGTGTGTAAAAGTGTTTGTGTGTAAAAGCGTCTGTGTGTAAAAGTGTCTGTGTGTAAAACTGGCTTTGTGTAAAAGTGTCTGTGTGTAAAAGCGCCTGTGTGTAAAATTTCCTGTGTGTAAAAGCGTCTGTGTGTAAAATTTCCTGTGTGTAAAAGCGGCTGTGTGTAAAAACGTTTGTGTATAAAAGAGTCTGTGTGTAAAAGTGTTTGTGTGTAAAAGCGTCTGTGTGTAAAAGTGTTGTGTAAAAGCATCTCTGTGAAAAAGCGTCTGTGTGTAAAGGCGTTTGTGTGTAAAAACGTCTGTGTGTAAAAGCGTCTGTGTGTAAAAACGTTTCTTGGTAAGAGCGTCTGTGTGTCAAAGCGTCTCTGTGTAAAAGCGTCTGTGTTATGTCTTCACATTTACATCTTCTCCACCTTTTCTTTCCGTTCCTTACTCTCTTCCTACTACCCTGTCCCCTTCATACAGCCTTGCTCTTGCTTTTTTTAGCTTCTTGCTGTCATTCTGCATCAGTACACATGTTTCAAGGTCTCTTTTCAGCTTTCATCTTAACACCACTATTTCCCCCTATCATCGTCTTTTCTTCTACTTACACCACATACTTCTTACATATTCATTACACTGTGTTTTTACTTACACCCGGGTAATTTGCTCCTCTACGCTCTCGGGCCATCCGTCATCTAGTTAAGCTCATGTTACATATCATGTCTGTTGATTAGCTCCATTCAATTCCCATTGTTACTGTTACTCTCTGCATACCCCGATCTCAAATAGTTACCATTGGCAACATCATCGCTTTCTCTGTTACTCTTAGTTATATTGTGAATACTATTGTTATAGAGACAGCCGTGCACTGCAGAGATCTTGGGCAGGCTATTGTAACAATAATGATGCAAATTCTTAATTTATTGGGTTTGTTTTTTGAACAAACATCACTACAATATTACTAATATTATATTGTTGTGATATTTATAGATGATGTTCCTATGAAAGCCTCCATGAATAGGGAATTTCGCAGCTAGCCATGTTTGATTATCCTATTAAGTTTCATTAAATCCCATACAAACCTCATTCTGGTTGGTTAAATCACCATTAAATCCTATTAATCCATATTTCCAACCAGACGCCCAAATAGTCAATTCAACAGCCGCCCTTTCTGGGCCAGGTGCTGCTGCAGTGCTACCTCTCCCGACGGAGGCAGGCGGGAGCCACAGGACCCGGGCGACCGGCAACCCTCCCAATGCCCAGCTCGACATTGCGGGAGGCACGGCACCGAAACGCGGGGTTTCGCATCGTGACTGGAAGTTTTTGAAGGGGAAAACCATGCAGAAAAGAATGGGTTTAGCCATGGGGTTGCCGGACTCTGTAGGGTGGAAACGAATGGAAACTATAGGGTTTATCAATCCTCATCGGCTCATCATCTATACATAAATAGAAACTGTTAGATACTGTTAGAAACTATAGAAATCAAGAAACCAAGGTGTTGCCGTCCAAATATGGAGTCAATGGATGTCAATGGATTCTGAGGAAGCAAGTGCAGCAAATCCTGGGTTTGAACATTGAGGGTTGTGAAGTCGAGTCCTGCTAGCCCTAGTTTCAGTTTCTATTGTCAAGTAAACTAAGATGGCAATTGGTCAATAGTGAAACCAAGTCTGCTTCCATGGCAAATTTTCCATGTTTCATCAGGGTAGTTTCATATCCCAACATGTCACCCACCATCGACAAAGGTCAGGAGAATTGCCATTCAGGTCAGAATTATTAATTGCTGGTGTCTGCAGGTCCAAACAGCAAAAGTCGCAAATTTCAGGCTGGAAAAACATAAGGACTGCGAAGTAGTATGGCTATGCATCTCAACACATCTCACGTTCCCTTTATACAGTGATAGGCACACTTTATCACCCACCGTTTAATTTATTTGGTACACAAGCCAAGTTTGGAATGTGCGTAATTCCATCGATACCCGTATACAATCCCACTTATAATCTTAATATATTTAATATACATATATATATATTATTATTGTTATTCTTATTCTTATTCTTATTATTATACTATATTATAATATTATATTTTATTATATTCTATTATATTATATTATGTTATATTATATATTATACTATGTTTTGTTTTGTTTTGTTTTATTATATTATCTTATCTTATTTTATTATATTTTACTACATGTATATTATATTGAATTAGGTTATGTGATGTTTTAATATATTATATTACATTATATTATATCATAGCATGTTATATTATATTATATCATATTATGTTATGCTATATTATATTAAATTATATTAGGTTATGTTATATTATGTTTTGCTTTTATTAAATTATATTCTATTATATTTTGTTATATTATTATATTCTGTTATGTTACGTTATGTTATATCATATTATGTTGTTTTTTTACCTTATCTGATATTTTCTTATCTTATCTTATCTTATATTTTGTTATATTATATTATATTACATTATATTATATTATATATTATTATATTATGTCATGTTATGTTGTTATATTTTGTTTTTATATTATAAAATATAATATAATATAATATTATATTATATTTTGTTATGTAATAACATATTTGTTTAAAAAATCATTCTATTATATTATATTATACTATATTATATTATATTATATTATATTATAATATTATATTATTTTATGGTATATCATATTATGTTTTTTATATATATTTTATTTTATTTTATTATATTATATTTTATTGTATTATATTATATACTATTATATTATTTTATATATATATATATATATAAAAGGGCTGCCGCCCCCTGCCGCCGACCCCAGTACAGTGAAAGGACCGAGCCATTGGTGTTATCCTTCTAAGTTCTAAGTGCTATGTTTGCACCTTAAAACCCGTAGGTCAAAGGCTTAGGTTATTGCCCCAGACACCTTCGGTCACTGCAAGGAATGTTATGTATATATTAATATGTATTTATATGTGCATTTATGGTGTAGTATAATGTTTGTCATGCAATGCAATGCAATGCAATGGAATGGAATAGTATGGTATGGTATTAGGTTTTTTGTTTTAGTGTGCATATTATGAAATCACATTATTGTGAGCAGCAAACATAGTACGCCTACGCGCCAGGCATGCGCGGTATTCACAATATGCGTTTGGAGACACCTTGCCTAGGCCTTTGGAGATGGCTAATGTAGTGCGTGTAGGCCATTAATAAATGGTCACCCAAAGAGGAGCCTTTAAGGATGTTTGTTTAAGAAAAAATGTGCCAGTCAGCGAAGTGGACTTGAGTTGATGTAATGTGTCGCAAACCCAGTGCAACAATCTGCACTTTTATTGTGCAGCACGTAAGTAGCTGAAGTGAATGACTTGGCACATGGTGGTAGTAGAATGTCTCAAACAAGAGTGATTCAAACAGATTCGCTTCATGGACTAAAATGCCGTAAACAGATGTATACAAATCATGTTGTGGGTATGAGTAAAGTGGAGCAGTTTTCTTTAAGGCCACAACGGCATACACGTTTGGCCGGACGAGGTCATTCGACAGACGGCTGGTGGTGCCTAACGTTGCTTTCTGAAGCTGTAAGACACTAGCTCCAAATGCAGCAGCCGGGCCGGGCAAAGCTGGGCGGAAACTGGTTGTGCCCGGGCGAAGATCTGTGGTTTTCCTCTGGCGCCCTCCCCCTGCTGATGGCCGGGGTTGGCGGATATATTCTGACTGTAGGGCCTTTATAACTCCAATTACATGTCCCAATCATGAGTTTTTGTCCAATTTTTTATACATAGTAGCACCAACACCCAAACAGATGCAGAACAGGTGCACAAATGTCCCACTATAATCTTGGGATTGTTGTTTTTCTTTTTACAAACATCTATCATAACTCCAGGGGTTACTGTACAAGGTGGTGCCCCCTAGTCATAAGTTGGCTTTTAAACCCCATGACACAGTTCGATATACCCATAAATCATTCTTAAGCTAGTGAAATAAACCAACTTAGCCATCATAAATCATCTACAAATCTTAAATGTACCATTTTTGCTGGTTAAATCCCGATTTTTGGATAACAATCTCCTCAACAATGGGGTCCCACCTTTCATCATCACCAGGTGGAGGCTCCAGTGGCTGCAACGGCGACGTCGACGTCGAACGAACTGCGACGCCGGACAGGTGAAGGAGTTGTCTTGGACTTGGACTGAGGCTGAAGCGATTTGGGATGCAAAGATATATCCTGAAAAAGCCTGAAACATTCGAATCTGTAAGATGAAGATGAGGTATTGATAAGTGGAACCATGAATCTGTAGTACGAAGTACTTAAGTGTACATGCCAATATGATCCAATATGGTGATATAAATTATATTTAGATTGATTTGCTGATACGAAGTAGTACCCTGATATATTTTGAAGTAAAGTGAAATACTGGTGTTGGAATATATTTGCAGTTTTGTGTATTTGCTGGGTACATGTTCAAAGGATGCTTAAACTGTAAGCTTGAAATGCTTCCACGTTTCGATGATAGGTTTCACGCCAGATTGCTTGGGAAGACCCTCCCTTTCAATTCGTGTGAACAACTCCTAGGAAAAAAACTATCATGCGACCTGTATCTCTAGGTTTAGCTTGAACAGTAGGGTGGTTTGATGACAAGCAACAATTCAGAGGTTCTTCCTACGCATTCTGAGCTTCCGATAATTCTTTAAACTACACCCAGAGTTGATGGGGGACCGCCGCTCTGATGGGCGCAAGGTTTTAGGACAGGATCACCGAAGTCCGGTTTCGCTTCCGAACGCGCAGAGACAGTCTGTTGCTGTTGACCTTCGCATCATGTGTCGGAGGTACCATTCAGCATCGAGACAAAATGCTGTGATTTCCACATGGCCCATGACTGGACAAAGGGAGAACCATGCTATACCAGCAGTTGAATAAGGCACAGATGGGTGCCACAGTAAGCTTACTGAGAACATGTGCATATGTCACCAGATAAGCGAGATGTACAGTGCTCATCCTCTCCAGTCTCATGGAGTTCAATGAGGAAAGCTGAAGTCTTCAGATCTTAATGATGAATTCTGAATGATATGTTGAAAAACAATGGCCACCATGGTCAACAAGCATTGCACTCTGAAGTTGCGGATGCCTCGTTCTGTATTAAACATGTGATGTTCAAACTAAAGGAACTATACAAGGGAGATTGCATTTAAGATCAAGCAGAAATGTGACTTTCTTCAGGACAAGCTAAGGACCATGGCAGAAGATAGGTTTCTCCTCGTCTCCAGAAAATTGTGATACATTGTTTTCCATATTTTTTTTGCGGGATGATTGCAGTGCATTACCGGATCTTGGCTCAAAAAAGGGCCGGCGCATGATCATGATTTCGTTTGACTGTCAAAGTGTGCGTTTGACCCTGCTGAAACGTAATCTGGCTAAGGGAAACGGCCCATATATATCCATATGATGGTTTTGTCTGAAAAGAGGCTACCACTAAAAGGTGTGGTTTATAGTCATGTTCCCCATTAATGGCATTCTATGGGGAGCAAACACAATTTTTCAGACACAGCCAAAAATATGATTGTTGATTATCTTCCTATGATATCACGATATCACCATTCTATGACCATTATACCTCATAATAACATGATGACAAAGATTTTCTCATTGCCACGCATCCATCCGCTAAACCCTTCCTCACGGCGAAATCCGAGCATGATTTGTTTTTTAGCCAATGATTGATTGATCATGTAGAAACCATGTTTTGCTATAGCAAAACATGATTCTGCTGTTAACCGATCAATGATTGGAAAATTGTGAAAGTAATTGTGTTTTGGCACATCCAATCGCATCCCCCGATAGCTGCCATGGCGCTGGCCCCTTTATTGCGATCAGCTGCCGTGCTGGACTTGTGTGAGGTTGGATGATGGATGGTCACTCCATGGGTGGATAGTTGATATTGAGACTTCAGAAACAACCAACCCCCAACCCATAGGATCTATGTATGGTATATATGCTAACATAACTGGGGTATATTGATGGTAAATGTTACCATATATAGCATACATGGATCCTATGGGCAACAAAACTCCCAACAGATGATCATGTCCAAGAAACCTCATTTCTGGCATGTTATGATTTGAAAAACAGCCGAATCATAGCATGTCACCCATGGGTTTGTCGTAAAATATAGGGTATCCCTACATTTTGATCCATTTTGATGTATATGGTAAAAATGAATCACCCATGAAAATGGGATATGGATTAAAATGGATCACCCATGAAAACGAAAACCATTAAACCTGCCATTTTGATCCATTTTGATCCATATCCCATTTTCAGACAACCCTTGTGGCGCCAGGGTGACGTGGTCCTTCCAACCCATTTGCCGCGCTTGGAACGTCACGCGGACGTGGAGAACGGCGATGATTTACGGCCCAAATTGGCTTCAGCGGACGTGGACTCGCGTGTGGTTGGCCTGCAGGCCTTTCTGGAAAATCCCAGGCGGACTGCTTGTTTTGGGTGATGGGGATGGTACTTGGCGTACTTGCACCGGCCTTTTTTAAAAAAACAAATGATGATTCATTATGGCCATAAATAGGCTACATAGGGTGCCAAAATGATACCGTTTTGTTTTTCCTCGTTCAGTTTTTATAGTCTGGGATGGTCCGATGTTTCGTGATGCCGCAAATCCAGAAACATGTATCTAAAGATGAAGCTGACATGATACATCGACATCGATCGATTAAAATTCAAGGATCAGCTCGGAGTTGTTTTCGCCGAGCCACCAACACATCCGGGACCTTCGAGACCTCCGAGGCATGCGCTTGAAAGTGCCGCGAAGACAACGGAGAGGAGGTGCTTGAAGTAGCGGTTGTGAATGACATTCCGTTGGTAGCTCAAAATTGGATAAAAGATGGTAAAAGTCCGGAACGTATTATCAATATAGATTAAGATATTTCATAGTAAGATATAGCAAGATACATTAAGATATATTGAGAATATATGGTCAAACAATGTAAAACACTTTCTTTTATGGGATAAACGGAGGGGGTTGGAAGAAAGAATGGAACTTCACCAGCAAAGATAGTTTGGCAATTGATCAACACTGGTTACAGGATGTTGTAGGTAATATTACACCCTGGTAAATTAACATAGACCCTGAAAATCACCAATTTTTAATGGAAACTAGTCTTCCAACCCCTATCTGCCAGGGTCTATGTTAATTTACCAGAGGGTATTGATTTAAGATACAGATACTTCAACTCAATCACTACAGGGATTTCACGAACAGAGATATCAGCGACCTCTTCAGGTCGACCAAGCATGACCAAGCCCTGCTGGTAGAATCAGACAGAGATGCGACCTACTTCAGATGGTTGGTTTGAATGAACATTTACCCGAAACTATTTTTTTTCACCTACCAATTAGGATCAATTAGGTTTACTGCAGATATTCCCCTTACTCAAACCAATTCTCGGAGAATATGTATGATTGCTTTTGATACAAAAGTTGTTTGAGGGTTTCAAACTGAAACTTTCCAGTTCGCATGAACATCGTTGCCACATGGAGAACGTACCCTCACTTTATAAATGAAAATGATGAGAATAATCGAATAATCCCTTGTCATGGTTATATATATATATACATATATACCAGGATCTTCAAAGGCGTCTCCAAAAAGCACCCCTTGCAAGAAAACTCATAAAGCACCCCTTAAATTTAGAGGTTATAATCGCACCTGATCTGAAGGTTTGTGATGTATATGGGATTTCATGAAGTGATAGTCCAAAATGGGATTACTACATGGCCAAGATCCATCAACCTCTTCCCTTTCGGTGCTCTGCTGCCTGCAAGCGGCTCGAGTGTATCTGCAGGTGTGTCAACCTACCAGAGGACAACATATCCTCAAGATTGGCTCACATGGGATAAAATAAGTTGAAGGTTCACCCATCCTGTAATTAAGGATCATCAATTTAAGAAGTTGAGAGTTGAAGTGTGCCTACAGAGCCTACAGCCATGGGTGATGCGCCGCCTTCAACAAAGAAACCAGTGAGGGCAGAAGCATCGAATCTTGGACCTACAGGTAGTGATTCCAACATTACAGGGTTAAAGTGATGAGATATGGGGTATTGATACCAAGCACTAAATTTGTACCATTGGGCAATGTGATCATATGTCATCATACAAACTAAGGAGGCTTGCAAAAGCTTTGATTGCCCGAGTGGATGCAACTACAGTGAAAAAAAGACTTGAATTTCTTCCGGGCGGTGACATTCGTACCAGGGCAAACCAATGGGTCAGAGCTGCCTTTCGAGATTCTGGTTTGAGAAGGGTGCCTCGTGAAAACCAAGTTCGCGAGGCACTGTACAAGGTGGTGAAAAAATGTGACTTGCGTTTCCATCTTATTTGATCGATGCACTTTTGCAAGTACCAATCTATGACAACTGTTGCAAGTTGAACATTTATTCCCAACTTGTTTGCACAGTATTCCCCACAAAGGTTGTGGAAGATGCGATGCTGATCTCAATGCATGGATAGTTGAACAGGTATCTTGCTGCCACGTCAACATATTTTTTTTCAGTTCTTATTGGCGGGATACCATTGGTATGATGAAAACAACTATCACCCCCACCAAAAAAAACATTTCTATTTTTCCAGCACTGTCCCAATCTAAGGCTTTTCGTTGCCACCAAGTGCTTCTGAACCATGCCAAAAATCATCGCAAAGGGAGGGACTTTGTATCACCAAATGCGAAGAAGGCAAAGAAGGTGAAGGAAATGTCATTAGACTGCAGTTATGTTGTTGGCCCTTTGTTCAGTGTTGTTAGTCCAACCATTATTTTGTTTTCCCACTTGCACCGTTTTTATGTGCCTAGGAAATCCGTGGATGACATGGACACCCTTCCTATGCCGGACTTTGATTTGGAAAATATGATACTTGAATGCATACCATCTAGAGGGCAGTCACTGGCCTGAAATTTTACATGCTCGTTCACACCTGAACATGTTGCAGCATATACATGCATACACAAACATACACACTTGCCCTGGCCCAATGAGGACAGCTGGTGAATGCCCTGCGGATACTGCAACCTGCACCAAAATCCTTTTAATATGTTTGGTATGGTTTGCTGTCGTGGGAATATGTGTTGTTTGAAAAACATTAACATATATGTCCCCCACAAGTGAGTAGAATAAAACCATACACGACAAGGGACCAGAAACCCGTCCAAGATATCAGGTTTTTCACTATAGAATATGGATGAATATGGACCGTTACTTTGTATAATACTATTTTCTTTAGTTGTGTTTTGGGGGATTGCTCTGTATATATACCCATGTTCTTTTCTAGCACCATATCCGACCTTGCCCTGTCCCAGGACAAAGCAAAGCAAAGCGAACAGAAGAACTCTGAGGACGAAGAAGATGAGGAGGGTGGAGGCGATGAGACGGAGCATGAGGATGAAGAAGAGTGTTCAGAAAATGAAAAAGATGAAGATGAACAGCACTGCGAAGAGGAGGACGAAGGAGAGGAGGACGAAGGAGAGGAGGACGAAGGAGAGGAGGACACACATGTGAAGGCCAAGAACAGGGATGAAGCAAAGGAAAGTCCAGCGGAAGAAACGAGTGAAAATGAAGAACCACTGGTGACTTTGGGAAACAGGCTTTGGGAAAGGTTTGACAAACAAGAAAAAAAGGAGCTGTTGGAAATCTTTGATGACAAAGATGACCCAGAAATAGAAGATGACAGTGACACAGACTCAGACGCAAGCATCGGCAAAAATACTGAGCTGCATGTTCCTTCAGAGGTTCCGTCAGAGCAGGAGGATGAGGAAAATACTGCAAAGAAAGCACATGCGCTAGAGGAAGAAGACAATGAAGACGACGAGAACGTGCAAGAAGAGGAGGACGAGGCTGGGCAAGAAGATGAATGCAGAGAAGAAACATGTGCAGCGAAGGACTCCGACACAGAAAAAGAAGAAGATACGAAGAGGGAAGAGCAGGAAGAAGACGCAGGAGATGAGGAGTCAGAGGATGAAGAACCCGCTGCTGCTGCTGACAAGGAGGAAGAAGACAAAGATGAAGGTGAAGAAGATGCTGAGGAAGTTGAGTTGTCACAGACGGGCAATGAAGAAAGGCAAGATGATGCAGAAGACAGTGAAGGTGACAACATGGAAGAAGAGGAGGACGAGGCTGAGCAGGAAGATGAATGCAGAGAAAAAACATGTGCAGCGAAGGACTCCGAAGCAGAAGACGAAGAAGATACAAAGAGGGAAGAGCAGGAAGAAGACGCAGGAGATGAGGAGTCAGAGGATAAAGAAGAAGACAAAGATGAAGGTGAAGAAGATGCTGAGGAAGTTGAGTTGTCACAGACGGGCAATGAAGAAAAGCAAGATGATGCAGAAGACAGTGAAGGTGACAACATGGAAGAAGAGGAGGACGAGGCTGAGCAGGAAGATGAATGCAGAGAAAAAACATGTGCAGCGAAGGACTCCGAAGCAGAAGACGAAGAAGATACAAAGAGGGAAGAGCAGGAAGAAGACGCAGGAGATGAGGAGTCAGAGGATAAAGAAGAAGACAAAGATGAAGGTGAAGAAGATGCTGAGGAAGTTGAGTTGTCACAGACGGGCAATGAAGAAAAGCAAGATGATGCAGAAGACAGTGAAGGTGACAACATGGAGGAAGAGGAGGACGAGGCTGAGCAGGAAGATGAATGCAGAGAAAAAACATGTGCAGCGAAGGACTCCGAAGCAGAAGAGGAAGAAGATACAAAGAGGGAAGAGCAGGAAGAAGACGCAGGAGATGAGGAGTCAGAGGATGAAGAAGGAGCAGAGGCAAGTGGGGAGGAGGCTGAGGTGACAAGGGATGGGTTCGAACCTGAGGGAGAGGACGAAGTGGAATGCATAGAAATTCACAAGAAATGCCAACAGCTCCTTAATCAAATGAACGCTGAAGAAGAACTGAAGGCCGAAGAAATGTTTGAACTTCTTCTTGACTCATCACCAGTGCCAAATGATGAGGCTGAGGAGAGCTACTTCGAGGAGAATGGACAAACCTCCATATGCGAAGAAGACACCGAGGAGGAGGCAAAGGAGGAAGAGAGTGATGAAAATGATGAGCACAAAGAAATGGAACAAGAGGAAAGCAACGCTACCAAGAAACGACCATTGCAGAAAGGTGAGGCAAAGGAAAAGCCTGGCAGCGCAAAGAAGACAAAGACCGAAGACAATGAGGATGCAGGCAGTGAGGAAGAACCACACTCTCCAAAGTCTACAGGGTCACTTTCTCTTTCGCTTTCAGAAGCATCGTCTTCATCAAGTTCAACAAGCAGTGATGATGACAGTGACAGTGATGAGATGGAAGGTGAGAAGGAAGGGAGTGAGCATGATGAAGAAGGAGGCGAAGATCAACAGAAGGATGACAGTGAGGTGACCATGGGAAAAGGAGAAAAGAATCCAGAGGAGGCGGATGAGACAGGGCTTCGAAAGCAATATCCCAAAACCAATTTGAAGAGATGGTCCAAAACAAGATGGTCTACCCCTATTCCCAACAATGGACAATGGTCTTATGAAGTTCGTTTGGCTGACTTTCTCAACAAAAAGCAAAGCACGATCCCTGACCTGTGCAAAGCTCGTGTCACCTGCATGTGCTTCAAGTGTGTTTTTGTTTTTGTTTTATGTGATTCATTGGTTGATGTAGGTAGCTTTATCATAAGATATCATGAGCATATTTATTTAGGCTTAGGCACCATAGACACCAGCTACCCTGTGACTTGCACAGGAAGCGGATGATGCAGTTCCAGTGTTTGTGGAACGGCCCATGCGTCGCATTCGCAAGAAGCATTCAGGACTTCTCGGCAGCTATTATCTTTGGGAAAAAACAACAAGATTATCCGATTATCCACTATTTTCCAACCCCTGATCTCCTCGGGAAGAATCACCCATGGGAAAAAGTTACATAGGCATTTGGCTGAACCCTGTTATTTTTCTCCACCCTGTTGTTCAGGACTCCCAGTGCTTCCAGAAGCCGGTGCTGGTCCCAAGGCCACCTCTGCACACACCAGCTCTGTGGGAAAGCAGGCCTGGCCACTGGTGAATCAAATCAAGCCAAAAAAAAAAACATGCAAGTACTCAGGTCTAGGGTTGTTCCTTCAACATTGCCCCTCTGTAAGGATGGCAGCAAAGTTGCTGAAGTTGTGTTCGAGGACTTCATGGCCTACAATGATTCAAAGTATGCTGTTTCTATTTCAAGGGTGCAGCAACTAGCTCTATCACAGGCAGGATGTCAAGTGCCACTCCCGTCCCAGCAGCTTTTGCTGGCAAATGCTAAACGTGATAAGAAACCAAGAGCGTGACATGTTTGCAAGGAGTGTTGACCTTTCTTTCAAAGCAATATCCACAGGCCTACAGGCCATAACGATGTACATGCCCAATTCTAAGGGGCCATCTTAGCTAAGGCAATATGAAACTTTGGAACATCTTCGACTGCAGGACGGCTGGGTTGTAGAGATCCGGCGAAGACTCAGTGGAAAACACGAGGGGGATGTCTACATGGTCTACATCACACCCCAAGGCCGAAAGAAATACGTACTGAGACTTGTTTGCAGCATGAGGAATCTGACAGCATATCTTTCAGGGTTATATGAGAGGTTACTTCGCAAATCTGACAATGTCTTCAATTGCGATGCCATCGAACTCTACTGCCTACGGATTGCCAAGGGGACAAGCAAAGGAGGCTGGCTTTAAGGACCCTGATGATCTTGTCAAGAAAGCCAGGACCAAGTCACTGGTCTTGGATGTGCTTTGTGTAAATTGTTCATGTGCAGTTTCTTTTGCTTGAGAGTGGCTCTTCGTTCTTTGACTATTGAAAACGATATAGTGGTCTTCAATCAAACTAAGGTGGGCTGCGAAAACAAAGGGCTCTGGAACACCAGCTGGCACAGTAAAGATTCCGAAGGCAGCAGCCAAGCGAAAGCCGCGTGGCAAATGCAAAGCCAAGGCGACAGCAAAGGCCAAAGGCAAAGCCAGGTAGATCCAAGTACACTCGGAAACTAAGTGATAGTATATAGTTTATATTCATGTGTTGTTTGAAATAGGTATGTGATATGTGTTTGATTCATCAGTATGTCCGATGCATGAAGGCTTGGATCTCACAGCTGCCCTTAGAGCTGCTTGGAGTTTTCTCCACATTGATCCCTGCAAAAAAGTCAGGATACCAATTCCATATGTCTCAAGTGTTTGGCATCACTTCATTTCTTTGGTATCAATTGGGCGTTCTAAGATTCTAAAACAATGTCTCTTCGGAAATTCATTGGATAATGTTAATGCCATGTTCGACACTTGGGCCCTTTAGCCAGTACCCAGGGAATCACCCAGGGGAATCACATGTCGGGTAGCAAGGAGAACATGTGAAAACGCAGCCAATGACTCTTTCCTGCCTTGTGTTGTGGTGGACGTCGCTTTTCTTTCGAAGAGCTTCAGCCTGTGACATGCATGGTGCATACTGCCATGGTTGCGAATGGAGACATTTTGGATCTAAATAGCCATGCGTCGGTGAAAGGATGAATCCCAGAAACCTTCTTCTCATTTTGGCATAGCTCTCGCAAGTGCCATTGCCAGCTCAAGAGGAAGCTCTTGATGCTGCCACTTGGATGTGGATAAATTACTGTAAAATAAACAAACAAATTCACAACCCTTCCTTTTATGATGCATCAATGCTCTACAAACACTGGTCCCCTGGGGCATCGGATCTAAGGTAGAAGTTTGTGCTGGAGAAGGAAATCTTTCGAGATCTCTACAGCGGTGTGGATACAAAGTGAAAGCTTTTGACGCAACTTGGACTTACAACTTAACTTTTACCTGGCATGCAGTTGTGCGCTACAGCTACCATGGTCACCTGCTCTCTGTGCGCACGCACAAGGTGCGCTATTCTGGAAATCACAACATCCTTCGCACTGTTGGATTCATGGCGATTCTTGGGGCAGTGGAAGCCTTAGATAAAGAATATATACAACAAGGATCAACGATCGAGTAGTAACAACATGAGACAATAAAAACCTGTCCGAGGTGAGGAACACACGACGTGGTGGACTACTGTTCTTCGCTCCACCGTGTGCGTCGTGGGTATTCTTGCATCTAGGCGGAAGAGAGGAACCCTCCACAACCACTCTATACTATATATAAGTTTTGCATAGTTTTGCAACCTTTAAATCCCTCAGTTCTGATGGAATTTCTCTGCAGCTAAGGTCGCGCCATACAACCGGGCGGTCATGGTGGGATCCAGCTGGAGGTGATTCCCGCAATGTGATCTTATCTAACATCCTTGTGCTTCGCATGCTGTACTTGCCACTTGTCTCTGACTTTTTTCGATTCAACACTCTATAAACAACTTTTAAGATACTATCAACTGACATGGTAGTGTAAGATGGGATGATTCTGCTATGGTAAACATCTTGAACTTAAGCGACTGCAGGTTATTCTACGCCCATCAACGTGGAATACATTTCATAGTGGAGCAACCAATATCTTCGGTGATGGGCTCGGTCACCCAGGTTTGCCCTCGAAATCTACTCTGTAGTGTAGTTAAGAGAAGTGTCTTACCTTAGGTCATGTTCATATGGCGTCCTGTCCAACGCTTCCTGACCTGGGCGAATGCCCGGCATCTCGATTGCATACTTTTATGATAGTGAAACAGCTTGAGAGGATGTTTGTCTTTGAATCTAACTACTTGGAACACTGTTAGTCTTTCGCCATTTTGGAGGAGAATTTCATTTCCGATGGGGAGCTTCGGAGCCCCAACAGTCAAGCAGACAGTGTTCCTTGGTTTACTTAAAAAAAGGACAACCCACTTACTTACCTTATATAAGTAAGGTATAAACACAACACCTATCCTTCCTCGGGCTGCAGGCTCTGGGGGGCCTTACCAGCGATGGCGACGTTGAAGAGACCGATCTCGATCAAACAGCTCAGGGAGGCCTTGGCAAGGACAGGCACTGCCATGTTGTCCAGACAAGTGTGCAACACATACAGTAGTTGTCTAGTCGTGCTTTAGCTGTAATCGGTGAGGATGCAGTCCAGTAGCACTTCTTTGGTGAAGAAGACCATTGACAAAAATGGTCGCAAACGTGTTGTTTCTTGGAATAAATTATATAGATACTGCAATCACCAAAGGTCTTGAAAGTATATCATCGCTTATAGGTAATGTCTACTCTTGTTTCGCACCTTGCATTGACTTGTATGTACCCAAGTTACTGCAGTGTATCTTTCATCAGCTATCTTAGGCTGGCAACAAAAAGGCGCTTTCTGACAGTGCCATCTATCCAGTGCAATTTGGGATGGCTATCGGATCGATTATTCCCCAGCGGGGGGACAGGCCTGAAAGTGATACAATAGATTTGACATCTTACACTGGGGAGGACCATCTGGGATCCCTGGATGATCTGATCAAGAATAGAAAAACATGTTGGTGGAGGCATCTCTAAATCCAACATGAAGACCGCAACTGAGTTTCAAAATAGCCTACTTCCACAGACTTAGTGAGTAGTGTCTTCTCAAATATATGAGATATCTCTGCCCAACTCCGTAGATGTATCACATCCTACTGGAACCTGGGTGCAGTCAAAAGAACACAAATGCCCGCTTAGTGAGTCGCCAACTGCATTCTCGGTTATTTCACACATGCCCTGGAAGCCCTACATAGTGTGAACTGTTAAACATATATCTGATGCCATTTATGCAGACTGCATCCTGTGTAGCTGAAATATATTTATTTGTTGTCCCATGGCGGAACAACGTTGGTCCAAAGAACGCTATGTGCAGCACCTGCAAATTGTCGCATGCGAAGACATTTGCCTGAGTTGTTGGATGCCTCATATTTACAAATGGTTGGAGACGATTCTCAGCTCAATGGGAATGGGAAACCATATATATTTAAATTGTGTGCGCATGTGTGTTCATGTGTTCTCCCAAATCCTGAACAGCCCAATGCTTCCTGGTCTTCCCAAGGACTGACTACCAAGCTTTGCAGTGCATTTGCAAAGATTGCCAATGTGACGAAACCAGTAGCCGCAAGTTGACTGCCGCTGAGATGAGGGGGGATTTGATATGGCCAACCTATGGCTCTGGGTCTGATGGTCCCAGCTCACAGTGATGATTTTAGCATTATGTTTTTTCCCAAGAAAATGGGAATGGCAATTGGTAATTAGGTTGATTAGCATTGATCAGTGCTGATCTTCAACTATGCGCACCAACCGGTTGAGGGGAAAACAGAGCATCTCACAGAACCACCAGCACCAACTCGGTTGTTTTGGGATTCCGAACTGGTGTCGCGCAGAATTTCCAAAGACACCTGCAAACAGCGAAAATCACCAAAATGGTGCGTGTCATTCGTGTCATTCGCGTGTCACTGGCACATCATAGGGGTGCCCAAAAAGCACCCCTTAAGGCTAAGGGGTGCTTTGTGGTGACCCCCTGCCCATATCCACTGCGTGTCATTTGCGTGTCGCCAGTGACCATTTCCGAAGGTTTTTTCTGAAAATCCAGCTGTTGTTTTTTTTGGCTCAGGGGTATCAGGGAAAACCTTGATCTAGCAGTTCGGGTTATGACCATGGTTGGGAAAGAAAAGGCGATGGTTACTCATATCAAATGGGTGAATGTCGCTTATATGATTTCAGTTTCCTTGGTTGGTTTTAGCAGCCCCACTGTCCAGGCAAAAGACTTGGAAAAACTACGTGCTCTCAAGGCAAAGGTGATTCCCAGCAAGGGCATCAAGGAGTTCGAAGAGAAGAGACTTAAAGCTTTAGAAGAGATGCAACAAGACCATGATGAAACCGAAGCAATGTTGAGGAACATAGGGAAAGCTTTGAGGACTGATGCAGACAAAAAAGAAAAGGTTAAAGACAAGAAGACCGTTGCAGAACAAGCAAAGAGATGCAGCACAGCCCTGACTGACGAAAGGCCTGGAAAGGTTCAGAAGAAGACTGGCCAGGACCAGTCTAAAGGAACCTGCCCAGGCACAAACCATGCAGCAAAAAAGAAGACTGAGGAGAAAGGACAAGCTGCACCGAGCAAGGCTTCAAAGACGGCTGCATCTAAGGAGGCAGAAGAGAAGGACGAGAAAAAGGAAGGCAAGGTGAAGGATAAGGCAAAGCAGAAGGAGAAGCAGAGCAACCCTGCCCCTGAGGAGAAGACAAGTGAAGCTGCACCGAGCAAGGCTTCAAAGAAGACTGCACCTGCGGAGGAAAAACACAAGGACGAGAAGAAGGAAGGCAAGGCGAAGGATAAGGCAAAGCAGAAGGAGAAGCAGAGCAAACCTACCACTGAGGAGAAGACACCAGAAGCTGCACCGACCAAGGCTGCAAAGAAGGTCGCAATCGCAGAGGCACAAGGCAAGAACGAGAAGAAGGAAGGCAATGCAAATGATAAGGCAAAGCAAAAGGAGAAGCAGAGCAAGCCTGCCCCTGAGGAGAAGACAAGTGAAGCTGCACCGAGCAAGGCTTCAAAGAAGACTGCACCTACGGAGGAAGAAGACAAGGACGAGAAGAAGGAAGGCAAGGTGAAGGATAAGGCAAAGCAGAAGGAGAAGCAGAGCAACCCTGCCCCTGAGGAGAAGACAAGTCAAGCTGCACCGAGCAAGGCTTCAAAGAAGACTGCACCTATGGAGGAAGAAGACAAGGACGAGAAGAAGGAAGGCAAGGTGAAGGATAAGGCAAAGCAGAAGGAGAAGCAGAGCAAACCGGCCCCTGAGGAGAAGACAAGCGAAGCTGCACCAAGCAAGGCTTCAAAGAAGACTGCACCTACGGAGGAAGAAGACAAGGACGAGAAGAAGGAAGGCAAGGCGAAGGATAAGGCAAAGCAGAAGGAGAAGCAGAGCAAACCGGCCCCTGAGGAGAAGACAAGTGAAGCTGCACCGAGCAAGGCTTCAAAGAAGACTGCACCTACGGAGGAAGAAGGCAAGGACGAGAAGAAGGAAGGCAAGGCGAAGGATAAGGCAAAGCAGAAGGAGAAGCAGAGCAAACCGGCCCCTGAGGAGAAGACAAGTGAAGCTGCACCGAGCAAGGCTTCAAAGAAGACTGCACCTACGGAGGAAGAAGACAAGGATGAGAAGAAGGAAGGCAAGGCGAAGGATAAGGCAAAGCAGAAGGAGAAGCAGAGCAACCCTGCCCCTGAGGAGAAGACAAGTGAAGCTGCACCGAGCAAGGCTTCAAAGAAGACTGCACCTATGCAGGAAGAAGACAAGGACGAGAAGAAGGAAGGCAAGGTGAAGGATAAGGCAAAGCAGAAGGAGAAGCAGAGCAAGCCTGCCCCTGAGGAGAAGACAAGTCAAGCTGCACCGAGCAAGGCTTCAAAGAAGACTGCACCTACGGAGGAAGAAGACAAGGACGAGAAGAAGGAAGGCAAGGTGAAGGATAAGGCAAAGCAGAAGGAGAAGCAGAGCAACCCTGCCCCTGAGGAGAAGACAAGTCAAGCTGCACCGAGCAAGGCTTCAAAGAAGACTGCACCTATGGAGGAAGAAGACAAGGATGAGAAGAAGGAAGGCAAGAAGGAGACAAAGAAGAGCGAGCATCAACTGGTGCCCGTGTCGAAAGTGGAGAATTCACGGGGAAACAAAAGGGCAGCAAATGCAGCACTTGAACCTGAGAATGCACCCGACGGTTCCGAAAGGCCAGCCAAGAGAACAGCTGCTGCTCTGGAAGTTGCAAAGAACAAGCGAAAAGAACGGGAGGTGGAAGAGCAGGAGTGGACAAACCAAATTTCTGTCCCCACATTGTGACATCTGTCCACAACATCACATGTCTAAAAAATGGCAACCATGTTTTATACATTGTTCTAGTCTTTTGGTATGGCTGAGGTTTGCTGAGGTTCAATCCTTGTTTTCAAACCCTAAATCGTTGCATCGTTCTGCAGGATCGTTTGGCGAAACTTGAGAAAGTGGGCACGATGGAATCGTTTGATTTGCTCAACTCACCTGTGCCTCGTTCGCTGTCCTTCAGCCAGGCTGGACTTCTATAGTCTATAGTGTTTCAATAAAGTTTTTATGCTGAAAGGAAAGCCTTCGTTCCTAGTATCACAGTATCTGTTCCACCACCCTATATATTCAACCCTGCAGGCTACACCAAGCACAAGTGGCAAAAAGCAGCGCATGACGAATCTGAGTGATGAGCAAAAGTTAGAGCTGGCAGCTATGACAAGTGCTTCAGACATGGAGCCAGGAGAGCGGAAAAGGCAGTACTCTGCCTTGCGCAGGGCGATATACAAAGACGCAAGCCCAGCCCTGGTAGCTAAGTTCAGCCTCGCTACAGATGGGGAGAGGTTACTCGACTAACTAGCTGAAGACACAACATGGCATCAGTTTGTTTTGCTAGAAACTATGGAAACAGATGAGAAAATTAAACGCGCGATTCCTGGTATGAGATGTTATTAAAATTATCTTTTGCCTGCCCCTGCTCTGAAGGTTCAAGATGTTGAAGCAATGGGTTGCCGACCCATCCCTGTCTTCCATCACAGTGGAAGAGAGATACCATACCTTTGTGGAAAACCTCCGCACTGACCGCTACGTCACAGTGACGTTCTCAAACATGTTTTTTTTGCGCAGTGGTTTGATGTTTATGCTGACCAAAAGAGTACCTGAGCAACTGGTATACCGACTTGATGCATTGAAAACCTGTATAATACACTGACCTCCGTTGGCACAGGTCACACTGTTCCAACTTGAGAAAATCTATGGGAAGAGCAGTGATGCCAAAGCTTTCATCAAGGAACTCTGCCGTGGATCCTTGGCAAAATCTAGCGTTGCCAAATCAAAACATATCATTTACATGCATGTGCAATTAACTATTATATGTTTATGAATCATGTTGATTTCAAATTTCACCAAAGTTTTTGCCAGCATCATTCTTCCTACCAAAATTACACGTCCCAGGACAACAGGGGGTGCCACATCCCCAGGCCTGGAAATCCAGAGATCGTTGATGTGCAGTTGCTTGATCCTTTCCTCGGGTGTGGCTCCGTGCAGGCACCAAACAATCCCAAAGCGAAGATGTTCAAGGTATTGAAAGAAGTGATCGAGGACTCATCCACTGGGACCAGGTCTGAAAGTGGAGATACTCGACTTTACATTTTGGTCCAAATAAAAGTGGCAACATGTGGTGACCTTTGATTCTGTCCCAAGATGATTAGCATTATGTTTCCAACGTGGTTAATTAAAACTAGGTATGGTATGTCCTGAACACTTTTGATGGGTTTCCAGATGTTTTTTTTACAACATTATAGGCTTGAAAAATGAAGGCCATGAACATACTTGCATACAACATCGTTCACTTGCCAATCAAATGAAATTCCACACATTGTCAGCCCAGGTTTCCCTATCGGGAAGAGTCCGCGACGCGGCTGGCAAAGCCCTCCTTGCCAAGCAGCTAGGGGATCTCAACACCAACGTGCCACAGTTTGACCTCAAGACTGGCGCAATCAGATCCAAGAAGGCCAAGAAAGAAAAGTCCCCAGTGGAACAGGCTGTGAGTGATTTGAAGACTTTGGAAAAAAAGTTGCTCAATCAGAATTTCGTCCTCCTATTGAGTTGCACTAATGCATCGGATGATATGCCATGATGGTGAATCAAAAATACAGTATACGATTTATTCTTTCCAAAAAGTGTTTTCGTCTTGGGTCCTTGGATGGAACGTCCATCCTTCAACTAAGGGTGAAGGGTCTTATCAATGACCTTGAACACTGTCGCCGCCAAATGGAAGAGCATGGTGTCCGCAATTGTGCTGAACTTGTAACTAACTTGCAATAGGGGGATGCATCTATGTGTTTCCAGCATTCCCATGTTTCCAGCATTCCCTATGATTGTTCGATCCTAAGGATCGTGCACTGACTGATCATGTTCAACATGTGCAAGCTTCGATGGCAAGGGTGATGGCCAGGGCTGCTACCCCCCCTAGCCAGGTGGATCCAGTAGAACTCTGTGATTTCATCAATGGTGAAAAGGATCTCCTAAAGGAGTGTGATGCTGATGTGAAAGACGCCAAACGGCGTATCAATGCTGTGAAACCCAAGCGAAGGAAAGGCCAACAGGTTGAGACCCAGGCTGCTGAACATAGCGAGTCTGAGGGGAGTGCATCGGTCTGAAGCTGATTCCCCAACTGCTTAGTTTGGATCTATCTTGGACTCAATGAGACCATTTTGAATTCCCAAATTGCTACTCCAAAAAGTCTGGGACCCAATGATATTACGCATTCTTTTTAAAGAATCTACAAATGTTATCCCATTATGTTTGAAAGTCGATCAAGTGTCCTTTTTTGTTTGTGGGAAATGTCAGGTATTATTCCAACATTATTCCAACTCCAGTTGGGCAGCCAGATCTGTTGCCCTTTTTTCGGGACCCTGGTGTGACACAAGTCCAGGGGCCCAGCGACGGCTGCAGTGAAGTTTGGGGTGCAACTGCAGCCTGCCATTTTGTGGCAGGTGTTGTGTGATCAACAGTGGCCACAGCGCAACACGTTCCAAATCCGAACACCAAGACAGCGCTGTGAAAAAAAACTGACAATGATGCACCGCTACTTTGCATTCCACTGGAGCTTTGCCAAATGAATTTGAATCTGACACACACAGTCCCAAGAAAGCAAAGCACTGGCTCATGACATGCAATATCACAGCTGCTCTGATCAGGTACTTCCAGTAATCATATATACGAGTTTAAAACCCTGTGCGTGTTAAGATCTTAGACATGTTTGTGAGAACACAATACCCAAAATGCTCCCTTAGTGCTGTTCAAGTTTGTGACTTCTTTATCTATGTGCTTTGGCGATGGATATAGTGGAGGAGTTTTTAGAGCTTACCCGTTCGGTGACTTGGCTGCATCTTCACCTTTGGCTGCAAAGTGTATACTGTATACATCTGTATACTATTTGGCAGCATGAACTCGAAACCCATCACCACCCAAGGTGAGTGTGCTCACATTGATTTCGTTTTTCCGTATTTTGCGAGCACGATTACCATCGCACCATCTACCGACGCTTATCTCTGATCATCTTTCAACTAAGTGCTGATTGCTGGTGTGGTGTTTTTCCCAGGGTTGTTGCATGCTAATAAAAATCAATTTCAATGTCACCATCCCACGTAACGCAAGGCGAAATCTGCGTCGATTGGTGGATGTCAGCGAGGGAGATTCCAAAAACCATCCACGTGTTTTCTGGGGCTGGCTGAGACAGCAGCCATGGCGAAAAATGCTTCCGGAGCCAGTAGAGTACTTTGGATGCTTTTTGTTGTTTTGGACCGTTGTTCATTTCTATTGGTACTGTAGGCATGTTTTTGTGGGTTGACATGTCGACTGCGCACCTTAGGGTTGATGTGCTTCTTGCGGATCAAAGCTTGGAAAATCCCAACTACATTGGTCAATGGCAAATTTTTTTGCCGTCTGATGTGTGCCTTGGCTGCATGCTTGAACTATAACACGTCGATGCTACAATAATCGCTGCTACGAACTTGTTTGACTCTTGTTTGATCAGTATGCTATCTCTCCATCTGCAATGAATTGTTTTGATTTTCTGACAACAGTATGGCAAGGCTAGCTGCGATGTACCGCTATGACTTTACGCTCTTCAAGGAAAAATTCATTGGGCCTGATGGTGTGTCTTGACATTTCTTATTGGCATTTGGATCATTGTTTGCCTAATTCAACAAGTTTGACATGCTTGCAATTGTCATGAGGTGCATCCCTTGTGTATATACATTGTATTGTTTTGCGCGTATAACCTAGGCATTGGAGGAGTATTGGAACTCTGTGCGAGATACCACCTGGTTCAAAGAGCATCCCATTCTTTCTCGTCCAGACCCTTGGTTTGCAATCTTCTTTGCTGTGAGCATTCACTAGTGGTTTGGGTTCATGAGAGCTCTGCACTGAAAGCGTTTATTCAACACAAGGAGTGCGATTTATCAAAAACTATTCCTTTGGTAATCCATGGAGATGACGCAGAATCCCACAGGAGAAGGTCATTTACAGTGACAACGTTTGGCGGTGTTGTTGTGACTCAGTGCTCGCTCTGGGACAGTAAGATCCTTCTCTACGTTCTCGACAGCTCCAGAGTAGCTGATACTACTCAGTCTACACTTGACATGTGGGTATGTTGGTCTCTAGTCGAGTGCCAACTTGGTTTTTTCCTTGATCGCGACCCTTGGGGGCAAGAGTATGCCCCCCACAATGGCTCTAGGTGTGGTAGAGTTTGCGGTGAGTGGATTGCAGTCTTGACAGTGCACAAAGGAGATGAGAAGTACCTTCAAAAAACTTACCAGTCTTCCCATTCAGCTGTTTCAAAGAATGTTTGCATGAGTTGTCGCGCCACTTCAGAAGCTGGTGATCTTCTCTACACCCTTCACGGCCCGAAAGCAGCACACCGACAGACCCTACTGACTGTCACTGATTTTATTCGTGATGTTTGCGGAGTCTCGACTTGGGTTCGAGTGCCAGGCTGGAGCCCCCAAATGATCACACATGACTGGCTCCATGTGGTCGACTTAACATTGATCCCTGAAGCGTCAGCAAGTGCTCTTATTGAACTAGCGCGTGAAAACGTTTTTGGTGCTGGGACCATGGATGAGAAATTGCGCAAAGCTCATATCATGTTTATCCGAGCTTGTCGTCAACACAATGTTCGCACTTAGGTTGCAAGTAGTTGTGCTCAATTCTGTGACCAAAAAAATCCTGACTGCTTGCTGTGGTGTTGTGTCCTGGATGTAAATGCAAAGAGTTTAGGCAACAGGGGGCAGGCATTTTGCATGCATCCAAGCTGCACCTACTGCGTTGCTGTTTCTTGATGGATTCTGAAATATTGTGAAATTTCTGCACTATTCCTGTTTGGTCATTTTACATGTTTGACATTGAGGAAACACCTCTATCCGATGGGACCAAAGACGTACCCAACACTTGCTCAGAAACATTTTAACGGTGCCGACGCTCGCTTTGACTTACAGAAAATTACAGTTGTCTTTCCAACACTGCAACATGTGTCTTGCACAAATGAATCATTTCTGAAACCGTTTGTCAAGTTTTGTTGTTGTTCAGGAAGCTGTGGTGCTGGCGAAGTGGCTGAAGAGTGTGACGCTTGCTGTGGCATCCGGAGATCCTACAAACGAACACGCCGCGTTTCTTGGTGCTTTCAATTCTGAATTTACTCTTGGGTGGGTATATAGTGATGCTGGGTATAGAGTGATGCTGAATATATCTCATCTCTTAGTGCTCTCATTTCTGGATTTACTCTTGAGGCTCCGTGCTGCTGTCTTTGTGAATGTGGTGGCTATGCGAGGGTTCATGTCGGACGCGGACAATGGGCACATCACATTGTCTCCAAACAACCTGCTTGGTTTGCAAAGGGCGAATTATTTGTTTCACGCGGCCTTGAACAGCTACATGGATGCAATCAAAACTTTGGCTGTGCATTTGTGTGACTGGTGCTGAGGGTTTGCTATAACAATTAGTCTGGAAGATGCTGCTGGTGCATTCTTTGTTTCGCTCTTGGTGATGAGGTTTGGCACTTCGAGCCATCAATGATGGAACACTCCTATGGAAGACACGTCCCAAAGTCCACAAGCAACCTGGTTGCATGGGTGATTTACACATTTGGTGTGCTTGACAAATGTGTTAGCTCTAGGAAAGAACAGCATACTCCAAGGTTGGACCACATAGCGTACGACTTGGCGCCTATGGTCTGTCCATTACGGCTGTCATGCTATAGCGATGAAGACGCTGTTGGACAGGTGAAGCGTTTAGCAGCACGATCCCATCCAAATCAGCTGGGATACCAAGTTTTGCAAAGATACGCAGCGTATGTTTGCTGTAGATGGCTCCGGCAGCTCACTGAGTAAAGCATGGAAAATTAGTCTATGTGCAGTGTGTGAGTTTTACACTTAAACATTCTACTGTGTTCAACTGTGCTCTTTGGGTTGCTTGGAGTCAATACATGTCGGTGGCACCTTCTCTGGCCCGCTGAAAAAGAGAGCTGGTGATGTCCAGAGGCAGCGGCTCTGAACAGCAATGGATGGATGTTCTGGAATAGCAACCAAGAAATGAGCAATCACGTTGTAATTCACTCCCCAAGTAAGATATTTATGTTATCCGTTTTATCATGTGATTGCTTCATTTCTTGTTTGCTTTTCCACAGGGGGCACAGGTTTTGTTAAGGCGTTCCCACATGATTGTTAAGGCGTGTTCATAAAGCACCCCTTAGATAAGTCATATTCCAAAACTCAAAAAGCACCCCTTTGAGGGAGCTGGTATCTATATGTATGTTTACATATCCTGTTCATCATTACATTTGCTTTTTTTGGCCGTAATTCCGATGGGTATCAAAGTCGATGGTTACCTCTATTTCGGTTGGTCCAATTCCAATTGGGATGCTGGAATGCAAATGTTGGTTTTGTTCAATCCCCATTCTGAGGTAGTTCAATTCAATTCCCCATATTCTTGTTGGTGTACACGCGGTGCTGTTATAAGTTGGTTTACAAACCCCATCAGTTGTCTGAGTCTATATCTAGCATAGCTATCCTACAGCATATAATGTCTACCTAGACCCTCCAAGCACCCACAAAAAATGCAGTTTTACCCCATAATTCCCGTCCCTTCATTTCTTTGGGATCTTTGGAGGCTCAAACGGTAGCTATATGTGTTTGTCTGAAAATGGGGTACCCCTAAATCCTCTGGTTTCTCATTATTTTCCCCATGAAATATATTAAATAGCACTTGTTGGGGTATCATGGTATCCCCTATTTTCAGAGCCATATCTTCAATATATCTAAAAAACTTAGCAATTCCTGGACCTTTCCGGGCCCGCACGTGGTCCACGCGGTCAGGAAATCGCGGTTGAGCGTCATCGGCCGTGCCCTGCGCGGTCGTCACGGGCGCCGCGAGGTGTCGCCGAGCGTGGCGGCGATGACCGAGTCGCTGGCGTTGGTCAGCGGGCTGCTGAAACGAGCGGCTGGGACGGGTGGTGGGTCCGTCAGCAGCACGGTCTATGCCATGGGAGAGGCGAAAGTTGGGATGGTGGGTGGGGTGGAAAAGTGGCGAAGTCTGACATCTGCTTCAGAAACTCCGGTTTCGTGTTTTGAAATTGGATGTTTAGAAGGGCATTACTACATGTGCAGTCATGGCCAGGTGGCGGAAGCACTGGAGAATGCACTGGGTTTGTTGGAAGAATTGTGGCTTGGATGGTTAGTTGTGGAGCTGTGCAACCATTGGAGATTCGAACTTCACCGGCTGAGAGTTCACCTCCATGGATGCAAATCCCACAGAAAGTAGCCTCTGGATCTGTCTGGTGATTTGTTACACAGCCATGGAAAATCTCCACTTTTAATGGCTTTTAAGTGGTAAAGCGGTAAACCACTTAAAATCCATTTAAATCCATTAAAACCCATTAAAAATCCATTAAAAATCCATTAAACTCCTATAGTTGGGCCATTTTCCATGGCTATGTAACAAATTACCAGAGGCTACAGGCGTTATTTCAACGCTCACCAAGCAGAATCCAAGAATTTCATGACCCAAACAAGACAATCAACGAAAATTCAGGGCAAATTACTCAATCTATATGATGTTAACTGTTATCCATATACCTATGTAGGATATATGTATGATGAATAAACATCATATAAATATTGTATTAATATATTTCAAATATATGTTATAATATGTTATAATAATATTGGTAACATATTTGATATGTAAACATTGAAAAAAGTGTTACCATGGTGAGAATATTGGGGATGATGGAATGTTATATAATATATTTAATGTTATGTTCTCACCACAGCAATATTAATATATTGAGAAAATCGTGCTCTGGTTCTCTTCTGCTCAGGTCAACCAGGTCAACCAGGTCAACCAGGTCTATCATCAGACCCATTGGATCACCATGTTTTATAGGCCCAAAAAAATAAGAAAAGTTCAAAAAAAAACTGTGTTTACCATATGATAACCATGTAATCTATGATTTACTATTGATAAACCCATAGGAAGTATGTTTTAATATAATGTGTTTACAAGAGTGTTTACTATAGAAACGACCCATTGGATCTCTAGTTCGGATTTCAGGCCCAGCGGCGAAGCGGGTCGCGTCGGCGAAGCGGAGCGCGACGAGTTCTATGGTTTTCTGGAAAAGTTGTTGTTGAAGATCAGAGATGCCTCAGAGAAACCTGGAAAGGTCCTCATCATTCCATGCAGCTTGGTGAAAAACAACATTGAGTCAATCATTTAACTATAATTACTGTAGATGTTTTCTGGATAAACAAGGGCGTAAACACCCATGGGTGTTTCAAAACTACATTCTATAGTCGGTGGCCATCTTTCCGAAGTTCTATCATTTATAGTATATTTAAATACATTTAGATATAATACATGTAAATTGGTTATATGAGGTATTTACTATTTTTTGTGTTTTTTTGGCTTCATTTTTTGGGGCAATGACACCTGAAACCAACGTTTGTCCTCCGACCAGGCGGATGGTTGCGCCGGCCTTGTAGCTCTGGCGGAGACGACTTGGGGCACTGCGTCCTGTTGGTCCTGCAGCGTTGCAGAGATCGGGAGGAATTCCTCATGGGCATTGTGAACACAGGTGGCTACTGGATTTCGTATCCAGTTGATGGGTGGTAAACATATCATGATTTATATATAGTAATAGGGTTTCAACCATCCTTTTAACTTTTGGTGATGCAGATTTTCGCAACCATCCACAGTAGCATGAGATAACCAATGCATGGGATAGTGGGATAGTGAGATTTAACCATGCCGAATCCCTCCAAACAGATCTAGTTAAATTCAGTTTGTAGGAGCCCAAGCATCAAGAATTTTACAGTCTCTTAATTACAGAAACATACAGAAACAGTTTCCTTTCTCTTCCAAGCCCGTATTTTCTGATATCATTTCCAATTCCCCTACAGTAATCGTTCAAACATGTTCAAACCGTTGGTGCAGGTGAAGGTTTGCAATATCATCCTGCAAGCCTATCCCGTTTGCCACCCAACCCTGAACTACCTTTGCGACAATCTCCTCTTGTCCTGACTGGTGTCAACGTGGATCGCATTCGATCCAGCGGTTTCTGGTACCTGCTGTACCGGCAGATACTGTATCCGGATCCAGCCAATGGAGTCTGGGCGCTAGATGGTGATTGTGGAGGGGATATCCCGAAGCTCTTGAAGCCCCAAACAAATTGCCGGCAAGAGAAATGGCCACAACTGGAAGCATACCCTATTGTCAGACAAACCCATGCGTTGTTTAACCTTCCCCCAAGGTGCACCACAGTAATGTTTGTTGGTATTTGAATCCCATTAATTATAGAGATCTATGTACATAATCTACCATAAACCATAGACTTCACCTATAGACCCTCAGTTTGTACCCTTCAGAATGATATTTGTTTCCCCATCATCTGAGTCAGTCCTGGCAGTCCTTGGCACTGGAGAAACCAACTGCAAGGACCTGAGGCCTTCTATGGCCTGTTGCTGCCTTTTCTCAACGAAAAACCTCTGAGTGCCAATGCCTCAGCACTGTTTCCCAAGTGGCTGGAGCATGTGCCCATACCAGTGGCCGGTGGGACCTGGTGGTGCTGGTGAATGTAACGAATGTAAACATGTTGGAGTCTTCAAGAAGCATTGAAAAAGTAAAACCGGGTTATTTAACATTGCGAAGTTGAACATGTTTATTTCATTTTTGAAATTGGCGGGCTCTTTTGAGGATGCATCTTATAAGCACTATCAACAAAATCGTCATCGTCGTCGTCGTCGTCGTCTCATCATCATCGTCATCGTCATCGTCATCATCATCATCATCATCATAATCATCCTCACCATCATCATCATCACCATCATCATCATCATCATCAATACCAATATCAATATCATCATCATCATCATCACCATCATCATCATCAATATCAATATCAATATCAATATCATCATCATCATCGTCATCATCATCATCATCATCATCATCATCATCCACATATCCATATATCCATATCCGATCCATATCCGATCCATATCCATACTAGAAGTACTACCAGTACTACCAGTACTGCGAGTACTACAAGTTCACCGGCAAATTTGTCGCCCATTAAAACTCTTACTCAAATGTATGATCGCATCCTATCTCGCAAACGGCTTTCAAAACTCAACTTTGAATAGGGTATAGCATTCGTTTGAGGGGGGTACACACACACATCAGGACGGAACATTAAGTGGTTGATTTACTCATAGTATAAAGTAGTTCATATAGTTGATAAATCATATATTTGATATATTGATAATTCCTATAGAATATAGATCATATATTTCCTATATATTTTCTATAGATGCTCGTATATTTCCTATAGATCCAGGCCCGGGGCCAGGCGACCGTTCGGGCGCCATCTGCGTGGAACGTGCCGTGCGCTTCGCCCTGGTGGTGGCGGGGATGGATGCGCCAAGCGCCAGCTGGTGGAGCGGCGTGGGACTCCGTGCCGCGGCCATTTCAGAAAATTGGGGAGATCATATCCCATAGGATCCATGGTGCTGGTATATATGCTAACATTGGGGGTATATTGATGGGATCCATGTTACCATATATAGCAGCACCATGGATCCTATGGGTATGGGTATAGTCCAATAAGGTATATTGGGGTTGTATCTGACAGTTGGAATTAACGAGAACTATTGTCAATCACTGCGATTATTGACCATGATAGTTATGAACCGTTATACTCAAGACATACTTAGATGGGTCAGTTAAGTTGATAATAAGACAGCCCACTGGAGATTGTGGAGAGATATTGGGATGTAAACTTACCAACAATATGCCATTTGGCTTGAGTGGCTTCGTCAGCCAATACTTCCGAAAACCAGATGTGTCTTTAGAGATTTTACGGGATAGTAGAGTTGACTGGTGATCGTTTTTGTGGATACAAGCAATATTAGTCACCACAGCGACTATTTCTGGCTGGGGGATGTGATCCAGTTAGTCAATATTTTGGGACCAGTCTCAAGAGGTAGCTAGTGTGGTAAGACAAAACAATATATGTAAATATATGTAACTAGTAAGCTGATATTTTTTGACCAGAAATCATGGTGACCATGCAACATGGGAAGGTATTATTATTTTGAATGTTTGCGACACCATAAATGATGAGAAAAGGACCATTCACCTATGATGAAGCAAAGATGATGAGAAGATGTTTTTGCAAGCTGGGATATGTATGGATATATCCTAGGAGTTGTTTGGATCTGGTACAATTTGAGGTTCCCCCCTGAAGTTGGCTCAACATTTTAAAGCAAGTGCAATTCAAAGAGGTGTCATTATATGAGACCCAGAAAACATCTTTAACTTTGTTGTTTGGCCCTTTGGACTGTGATAGGCCCACAGCAGTTGTAAAAGGTATATAATGTTATATCCCCAGGTATCCCCATCAGTGTCCGAAGTGGCGGGCCCATTGCAGGCCGCGCGCTCTTGGATTGCATGAACGAAGCGCTACAGACAACCCAGCTTCGAAGCCCTGCGCCTGCCGAGTTTGCTTTGCTGCAGGTGGGATTGATGGACCATCAGAGCTGGTAGCACGACGTGGATGATTGATGATTGATGATGATTGCAGCAACCCGCATTATGACATGGATATTGAACCAATTTATACTTGCTACATAATTATTCATATCATAATTAATATCTGCAGATTTGGGCAAATGTTTATATTCGACCATGCCATTGTTGGCGTAGCAATTTTTGACGTATTTCCATCTGCTGTTGGTTTTTGACAACCAACTATACACCACTCAGCATCCCATGACTTCTTGAGTCTGACTTTTGCGAGTTTGAGCCAGAAATGCTTTGGTAGGGGTGGTGCAAGCAACCCCTTAAATCTTGCGACGCCATTTCCCAAACCTGACAACCGGGCCATCACACTGTTCCAAAGTGGTCTTGAAAAAACATTTCTGTGTGTGTTCCTGGTAAATTTCAGGTGCACCACCATTCCAAACCCTTGCGGTCGCCTTCCAAAATGCTGACCCAACCCACTCAAAACTCAAACCACCCAAAGCCTACAAAAGACATCAACAAAAAGACATCGAAAAACACATGAAGTTGTTAGTAGCTGGCCTTTTTTTACGCAGGATATCGACATGTCGCCGGTCCCAGATTGCCAGGTGGGGATCTCCTCGTTGGCGCGCACCGCCGCAGCGATGAGGGGCCACGAGCAGCAGCTTAGCGGAACCCCTTGCGGGTTGAAGCCAACTGTGATGATTAATGTTTGGGTTTCTAATATCCCATAGAATCCATGTATGCTATATATGGTAACATTTACCATCAATACACCCCAAATGTTAGCATCTATACCATACATGGATCCTATGGGATATAGATATAAAATTATTCCTGTTTATTCCACATTTGATGATATATTGATATGATGTTATTCAGATAATATGGATATGTTTGATTATTCTTATTTTTATGATCCACATTCATATCTACATGTTTCCATATGTTTGGGGTTTCATGGGATTTCATCCGGAACAGATACCAACAATGATCAATGTGGGGAGTTTGGGGGTTCAATGGGATGGTTCATTGAGTGGGGCTATCAACGATCTTACCGGTTATGTCCCCATATGGCAGTGTGTCAAAACCTTGTACCCCTGGTGAACATCAAAATGGCTGGTAAATGGATGTTCATCCCACTAAAAATGGCATTAATAGGTATTGATCCATAGCCATATTAAGCCAGCATTGGTGTCTTGATTAAGCCACCAAGATGATCCACATCATATATATATATATATATATCATATATCAGTTGCGATATCGTTACGATTCCTTCCGGTATTTTGTACCGAATATCCATGAATATCCGAATCAGAAGTTGGAACATATGGCATTTGATATCTTAGCTACTCGTATAGAACATATTTGCCCTGTTTGGGTGCAGAGCATGCATGTATCCAATTTGATATCTTGCTAGTAGCTAGAACATGCATGTATCTCATACTTGGGATCATTGTCCATCACCAGTTGACCCAGCATAATTTCACATAAAATTTGGTGAAAAATCCTCTCATCTTAGCGCATTGTTTGAACAAACCAGCCGTGTTTTTGGGATGTAACTCCGCCCATTTCTGGCAGAACAAGTCAGAAAATCGCCTCCAAAATCCTCAAAAACCAGCCGTGTTTCTGGGTTCTGATGAACTGAGGCAGAAGTTGGAACTGCAGAGTTTTATTGAATCCCTGGACTCTCGCGCGCAGCAGCTGCAGCGCCGCAGTCGCTCCGTGCAGCCGCGTCTTGGCTACGACGGAGCGGCGGCCGCGGCCACTGGCTTCGCGGGCTTCGGCCGGGTGCTGCTGCAGAACGTGGAGCAGTTGAAAGGGGAGGCTGGGGAAGATGGAAGTTAGAGTTTTAATGAAGAAATAATGGATATCATATGAGTTGAGATAATTTAAGTTTTTTTCATTTGCATACTGGAAGCAAAATGTTGGAAAATAACAATTAATTACTGTAGTAATTGAACTTGAAGTTGGGGGGAAGTTGGAGTTTTGTTTCACAGAATTGAAAGAGCCAACAACAAGCTTCCAGGTTCCAGTTGTTGTGGTTTGAGGGTCCTGCTTACTTTTTAGGCAGGGCAGCGGCAGCGGGCTCCTGTTTACAGGTTATGGATGGACACTGCTTGTGCCTTTTGGATTGTTGGTGGAAATTAATTGGCTGTGGGCTAGAATTATCATAATTATCGACCCTCAAAAATGGGATAGGTTTTGAAAAATAAGAATGATCATTTTTTTGGCCCCACTGCAACCCCAATGGTGTGATGACTCGCATGCCATCCCCGTCCCTGGCAGGCAAAGTTTGGCTCCTTGACGCTGCCCTCCTTCCCTTCCGCGCTGCCGGCCAAAATTTATAGCGCCACTGAAGCCAGCGAGGTATGTCACCTGGTGCGGAGCATGGTGACGTTGATGATGAACCAGCAAGCACCTTGACGTGGGCATCAGCACTGGTGTTGGACGTGGGGGTTGGGGAGCGACTCCTCGGTAGTCAGAAATGGGGATCAGAATGGGGATGGGCAAAAAGTTCGGAACCCCCGAGTAGGGGTGTTGCAACAAAAAGAACAAACACAATGGACCTCCCTGAAAAGAGTTTGGGCGGTGAAAGCGAATGGGTTTCAAACAAAGGAATGTCTTTCAATATCTTCAATCTATCCTGGTAATTCACCAAAAAATCAACACAACATTGCCCACTTTCCCCATTCTCTCGTGGAGCCGATGGTGTCCGTGGAGGATCGCTTGCCGCACGCCGCTGCGTCGTCTTTCGCCCTGGTGATTCACCTCATCTCCCGTCTTCTGCCGATGCCACTGGCGGTGGATGATGCCCAGTGGCCCAAAGCATGTTTCTGGGCCGGCGACCAGGCCCGGAGGCGAAGAAAGTTTAGGTCTGGCGGAGCCTGCTCCACTGATTTCAAGCACTTTTCTATTCGATGCGGCTCTGAACATGGGGAACAAGACATGTTTTTTTTGGCCATTTCATGTAATTTCGGATCGTTTTTAAGTGACGACAATGATGAGAAACCTGATTTAACACGATTTAACCACCTGATATTTTTGGGGTTAAAGGATTTAACCATCTGATGTTTGTTTTTTTGTCCCCATTTTCAGCCGGTCCTGGTCATCTGGTCCAGGCCTTGACCTTTGAGACGAAGCGCGAGCTGCTGCGGAACCTCAGCGGCCTGTCGCGCGGCTTCTCGGCCTCTGCCAGCGCCTTGAGCGCCATCCACGCCACGAGGGAGATGGACTCGGCTAGGCGTTGGGGCGTGGAGGGGGTTGAAAAATCACCATGTTCAATAGTTAAAATATGTTAAAATATATTAAACTATGTCAACATATATTGAACTATAGTAATATTAACATATCATAAAATAATGTCAATTAAATCAATTTAGATCAAAAAGGTCATTTCCCATAGCCATGTTGTAGTTCATTGGTATCTGTGTGGGTTGCTGAGCTCAAGTGAAAAGTGTCAGTGGCGCCAAGTTGGGGATAGATCAAACAAAGAATGGGGGAGAACCTTTCCAGCAGAGATCTTCAAACAAGAGGATTCAATTCATACGAATTCATGATCACCAAAATGGAGTTTCTCGGCAAGTCTAAGTCGCTTCTGACGCTGGAGAAGTTTCAACTGAGAAGTTTCGACGGATCAAGTCATGGATCAAGTCATGGAGTAGCTGCTGGGTCACCAGCATTTTTTTCGTATAGCAAGGAATTGATGGTACGTGACCTTTATATTTTGCAAGTTGATGCTGTAATCAACAAAAATAAGGCTTTGAGAGATGATCCTGTTGTATTTCTCAATTTTCGTTTCCAAGATGTGTTGCATTTTCCCAGTGTGTTGTTATGTTTCTCCACTATTGTATAAACATGTGCTCTGCAACCCCTAGGTTTGCCCACGCCCCATCCCCTTCTGTCGGACCGCGTCTTTTTCAACGGTTCATACGTCATCTTCCATGACTCCGGCGTCGACGGGGGTGGGAATTTGTAACCCTAATACCCTTGTGGATCTTCCCAATTGAATGTAAAGTTCCACGGTGGTGGGAATTTATAACCCGTATTCTATTTGTGGATCTTCCCAAGTGAAGGTAAAATTCCACAGGCATCTGTTTTTCTTTTTGTTTCACGGTGGTCCTGACTTGTGTCTGCAAATTGTATCGAGAACAAGTCCCCAACCATGGCCGTCTATCTTTCGAGGATAAATCACTTTGTATCCACAGGTGAAGGCTGTCACGGATTTTGTTGTCTCTTTGTGCTTGAGCCATGCTCTTGTGGTGGCTGGTATCTGCTGCTATTCGTCATGTCATATCATCATATCGTGGTATCTTCTGCTAGCGATGTCAATTCTGAGTGTGGGCAAATACCCTGTTTGGTTGCGGGAACATGTGTCAACATGCCAGTTACCCTCTGGTAATTTAACATAACTATGGAAAATCACCATGCTATAAATGGGTAAATCAACTATTTCTATGGACATTTTCAACAGCTGTTTGATGTTTTTTGTATGTTTACCAGAGGGTACTCCCCCTTTCGTTCAGTGGTTACCCGTTCCGCCGCAACGGAGGACCTGCGTGTGTGCCGCCATCTGTGCCCTGATGGATGCCCTGCTGCGAAGACCCTTGGATCTCAGACAGGCCGGCGCCGGCGCCGGCGCCACGCGAGCGGTGCAGGAACGACATGGAGATCTCTTCTCCTTGCATTATGCGGGGAGAGCGGGAGGCCCAGAAAGTCCATGTCGCCCTTTTATTCTCAGTTTCTTGGTGATGCAATTTTTGTGCAAAAAAAGAGAATTGCTTAGATTCATAAATTCATATGTGGCATGTTTTAGCTTTCGTGGATGGTTAAATGATGTGAAATGGTCGGGCTGTGATTTTTAGTTGTTGGGTTTAGAACTTGACCTTCAGACATGTGAGTACATAGTCTTACAAGAATATTTCCCTCAATTCGAGCTGGGGTAAGGTTCAACCTTTGATCCTGGAGTCGTCACGACCATGGTTACTGACTGATGAGCATCCGAGGTAGCCAGTGGTTTGAAACACCCAAGTCACCTACCTGAGAATAAGGATCTCCCTATTTTTACTGTCTTATTCATCCTTATCCCATTTACTTCAAGGGAAAACAGGGGCTGTTTCAGCTGCCATGCCTGGGAAGATTCTTTGAAAACAGGCTAGCCCAGCCCGGCTAATCCATTGAAATCCCATGGATTATTAACAAAAAAAAATGGGAAAACAAACACCCGCACATATTGCATGTTTTACTCACTGAAGTAGTTATTCCCTGTTTCAAGAGCCATGTGGGCCCGGCCAAACGAATCATCTGATTCGATGTGATTTCTGAAAATCAGAAACCCAGGTTCGCCATAATTCCATTCACATCATATGGTTTTGGTATGTTTTGGTGATGTTTCTCATTACTTACTGGTGCTAAACGTAGGGAATGGATGGGAATGGCGGTTGCTGGGATGATTATTACTAGTGATTATGGATCATTCCCGAAAATTCCCTGCTAAGCACCAGTAAGATTATATTCCAAACAACATATCCTTATCAAAGCGTATCATATCAATGATTATCCTTATCAGCCTTATCATATCATCTCAACACATATATCCTTATCCTGTTATGATGTTACATGTTCCTTATCAAAATGAGTTCATTTTCTGCAAGAGATCATCCAGATCGATCTCTGTTTTAGTGCAACTTCCCGGAGGCGATGAAAATCTCGAAAAAAAATCCATTCAGAAATCCATTCATATCCCCATTATAGAACTTATAGATTAACACTATAGATATAGTTAGTATATGTTAGTATAGTATTATATATTATGCTATCATAACATATCATAACAGCGTAGTCTGACTGTTCCTTCTCTATGCTTTTCAGACAGCCAGGCAGTTCCGCAGCCCAGGTTCCAACTCCTTCCGCGACATCTCCAAAGCCTTGCTGCTGCCGCAGCCAGAGATGGCCCTGCTGAGGGCGCAAGCCTTGGTTCCTGGGGCGAAACAGCTGGGTAGTTGAGTCATTCACCGTGAGTGGTCTGGGTACCCTCTGGTAATTTCTTACATAGCTGCGGAAATTGCCATTGATATAGCTGATTTACTATTTACCGTTCTTTTTCAGATGGTGGTGATTTTCCATAGCTATGTTAATTTACCAGAGGATACCCTCCAATATCATCATGGGAAAATCCCCCTAGACACGGAGATCCATGGAGGTTTTTGTTGGTGGTTTGCTGGAAAATCATCCATGTCATTTGATGTTTTTTACCATACAAAAACACGCCCCAATGTATAAATAATCCCACTGCCACCTTTGATGACACCGGATGGTTTGTGAAAATCATGAACATACATGGGGGTATACATGGATTATATATACATTTACCAAGAACGGAGGGTCTTGGTATCTCAAAGCTGGCTGTGACTGTCTAAATTGCTGCAATGATAGGTTGGTTCCAACTTCGGCCAACAATTCATTGATTTGGAAACACGGTTGTTCAGAATGGACTTGCACCGGTCCGTTCACCGGTCCATTCCACTACTAAGCTTAAGGACTACTTCGAGAGTTTGGAGAGGTTCTTGGATAAGAGTTCTGCAAGCCAATCCTCTGGTGGCATTGTTTTCAACTTCGACAAGGGCATGGATCTGACAGATGCCGACCGTGCGACTGCTCAGTTGTAATTTTGGGCTGGGATGACTGGGACATTTTGGGAGCAAGGTGCCGAGAACATCAAAGCTGCTTGAAGTTAAAGGTTGAAAGTTAAGTAGCAATATGGAGGTTTCCTGAAATGGTGGTACCCCCAAATCATCCATTTGATTAGGATATTCTATTATAAATCATCCATTTAAGAGATCCCCCATTTTAAGAACCCCGCCATATGTATCGATAGAAATAATGGATTAAGAACAGAGACATCAAATGATGTTCGAAAGGATGCTCCAGGAGAGAGCCATGTCGTTTTTGGAAGCTTCCGGATGCTGGCACAAGCTGGACTGAATGAGCTGAAGTTCTCACATGGTTTCTGCTTCTTTCACTTCATTTTTGGGAGATGGTCCAATGCTTTTAATGTTTTTTTTGCTAGCCTGGTTGTTCAAAACTACTTAGATACAGCGATACGCCTTACAGATTATAGTATGGCTGACTATGGCTGACTAGCAATACTGATCAGCTAATCTGTAAGTTTCTGAAGTGTTTGACTTGTACTTTTTCCTTGGAAGTCTTACGTTACGTTTGCAACATATGTCTTGGTTCTTGTTGCATGCAGAGCTCCATTGTTGATCTTGTTGATCATTATGATTCATCATCTCATATGATATGGCGCAACGCTCAAAAAATGGTGCTTGCTGTTGCCTAACCAACACCAAGACCCTCAAGTTGATGGTGCAAGTCATCCAGTTTCTTATTTATGATCTATAAGTCTGATAACTAGATCATAAATATTATGGAGGTTTATACTCTTAAATAGAGGTATACAAAATAGTTCATACTCTTTCGACCCTGTTCGCTCAGGCCTCTTGGTGGAGCAGCTTTCCTTGAGCATCGGCCTGGATCCCTCTCCGTCGGCGGCCCAGTGGTGTTTCGTTTGGGCGGAGTCCTTAGTTACCCTCTGGTAAACTGCTCCACAACGAACTGGAAAGATCCACCATTTTTAATTAAGAACGGTAAATCAACTATGGGCCCAGGGGGGCCATGGCTAAAAAATGTCGCGAAGTGTAAGAAATTAGTCAGAAATTGCCAGAGGGTACAGTATCTAAGGTTGATAAGATGGGATAACTAAGTTCGATTCACCTAAGTTATCCAAGGTTTATTCACGTGGAACTGGGAGAGTCCCTGTTTTTTTTTTGTCGGGGATTTTTCGCGGATTTTCCCGGACCATTTGCCACCACCATTTGGGCTCTCGATATCTAATGGGGTGATCCTCCAAGTAGAGATGTGGATGAATATGGAAAAACAACTAGCAGTAATCGAGGTTACCCCCGGTACTGTAATTAAACATGACTGGAAACACACAGCATTTAGTTCGAGGAATTTCCGAGCTAGAAACCTTCAGCCTTGCTCGACTTCCAATTGCCATGTTTGATTACCAGAGGGTATAATGCGATATATGACCAACTTCACACAGTTATGGCCATTTATCAGTTATAACTGGTTATAAGTGGGATTATACATTCTATAAATGGGGTTATAAGTACTTATAAGTGGTACAGGGCCATAACTGCAGGATAGTTGGGTCTGTCTGACTTAGATTTGCTAATGAAACAGATGTTCAAACCTTGCACCTTGGACAGGCAAGCTCTTACAGGAGAGCGGCCAGAGCTCATCGATTTCTTTCCGGAGCTGGCGTGCTTGCGGGACGCCCCTGGACACGCTTCCGGAGCGTGTGAGGGATGATGAAAATAGGGTAACCCTGGAAACCTGAGAACTTGGCAGGATAATATTGGATTTTTTGGGTGTTTGATCGCTCCAAAGATGGGTGGTATAAGATTTGGAAACAGTGTTACTTTTGCGTGCTCTTCCAGTTGCCCCCCTTGTCAAACAATCCTGTAGTGAGCAACACATCCCTGACTAGGGAGGAAGGGAGTCCAATAGGCAGTTGATTAAAACGTGGCAAGACATGCAGCACTCCCAAGACAGATCCAATGGCTAGACAATTTCAAGATCCAAGTTGTATGCTTCTGATTGGATTGGAAGCATCTGGCTAGGGGGTCTTCTGATAGGCCACACCCGTTCAATTACATTTACGGAACCTTGTGAATATTCAACGGCAGCTTCACATTATTCCAGTTGTATAGTGACCGTTTCAGATATTCTTTGAAAACTTAATTTGAGTTATAAAAAAAGCAACTGGATACCCGAAAACCAAAAAAAAACATCGTGTTTAGAGCCTTATGTTCCTCTTAAAATCGCCATCAACTGCCGGAAAAATCTCTCCCATTGAGGCGGTTTTCCTTTGGAAAGTTCTGCTGCTTCCACCTGGTGAGGATGCCGACAAGGCGCAAGCTTCCTGTGATCCCAACTCCAGTTGGCAGTTTGAACCCACAAAAAAACAGTGACGGAAGTTGATGAATGTTCGGCCAAGATTATGCCAAAATGATGAGTTGGGTTTGTCTGAAAATAGGCTACCGCCCCGAAAAGCACAGTTTTTGAATATGTTTTTTTTCCATATTTTTCGCATCAAACTAGCCATTTGACATACTCTCTGGTAATCCCTTCCTCCTAATACTAAACCCCCCCCCCTAATACAAAACACGGCAGGTAGTTTTTAGTATTAGGGGGGTATTTATTATTAGGGAACCAAATCGAAGTCATGTTAATTAGTTATTCATGCATTAGAATGGAGGAAGGGATTATTCATTTTATACAGATTTCTAAGTAATTCTAATTAATTAATTAGATGCATAATTATGTATATAATTATAAGTGTATATATATATATAATCAATTCATTCGTGTATAATTATGTAGTAATTATTCATGAGGGCTTCATGATGGCTACAAATAAGTAAATAGATGTACAATCAATTAATTATATGTGTATATGTAATTAGTAATCATGAGGGTTTTCATAATTATGCTGGCAATAAGATTTATTTGGCAGATAATTAGAATCCATAATATTAGGGAACCAAAGTGGGAACCAATGTTGAATTTATGTTTTTAAGGATTATATAGGAGGAGGGGATTAATTATTCATTGTATAAAGATCCTTATAATTGTCCAGTTTTTTTTCCAGCGGGTCAGGTCCACAGACAGCTAGCCTCCATTGTGTGCTGGTTCAAGCAAAAAAAAGCGAGGCAGAACAAAGCCAGTCAGTAGTAAGGGCAAACAGACGGGCAGTAATGGCAGCCGCGCAGCCAGTCCAAGCAGTTGCTGAGCCAGCTGCCCAGCAGCCAGTCACTCAGCCTGAGGGAGCGCAGCCAGACCAGCAAGTGCAGGCAGCTCAGCAAGCAGCCCTGGCAGCAGAGGCAGCAGCTTGGCAGCAGAAAGACAGATAACCATAACCATAATCAATTAAATTTCTGGGATTCAATTATAAATTAAAGATTCTAGCCAGCTCAGACAGAAAGGCAGCCAGCTAAGGATGCGTAGGCAGCTAGACAGCCAAGAAGTACAGCCAGGAAGTACAGCCAGGAAGTACAGTGGCTGGAGTCTTGAATTTTTTTTTAACCCCCTAAAATTAAGGGAAACCCTTAACATAGGTGTTTATGGGATCTTCAAAATTCAAGACTCCAGCCAGCTCAGAAAGACCTTGCAGGCAGCAAGGCATGAGGGGTGGCTTTCAGGCAGCCAGACAGCGTGGTGTCAGCAAAACATGCAGGCAGCTAGACCAGCCAGGCAGCTTGGATTTGGGGAGTAGGACTAGCCCCCCTAATACTAAACACCCCGGGATGAATTAGTTTTTAGTATTAGGGGGGAGAACCACAAATGGTAGGTTGATTTTTGAATTGTTTTTTAAAGGGGATCAATTAAAAGTCAAATTGGCCAAACTGAAATTTTCGGAAATTGGAGATGGATGCCTGTTTTTAGTATTAGGGGGACGTTTAGTATTAGGAGGAAGGGATTAATCCAACGTATTGTGTAGCTGGCTGGGACCTCCTCCAACTACATATAAATAGAGGATAATTAGACTCATTAGATTTTCCAATCAACAAACTGGGAGATGTTCCAGACCATGTTAGATTCCAGGGGCCCCATTCGTACAGAGACAATGTCGTGCCCACCGGCAGGCCTCAAGGCGGCCGCGGCTCTACGCAGTGCCACTGCAGTGGCGCTTCGTCTCCAACAGCGCCAAGCAACGAAAGTCACGGAAGGCCAAGGTTGGAGAGGAAACCTGGTCAAGAACTGGGGTGATACTGGATTAGTCTGATAAAATAGGGAGGATTATTGGGGATGAATTATGATGATTTATGTATATATTATATATCATTTATATATGATTTATATCATTTATATATGATTTATATAATATACTACATGTGCTTCAGACTGATTATTTATATATCATATACTACATGTGTAGGAACCAAAAGCAGTTTTCCATGAAATTTCGGGGTACCTAACACCTGTGTATCGTTCCCCTTAAATGTTCATTTAAACCAATGCTGGGTGCTGGGAGAGGTGGCTGGAAAAAAAAACATGTTGAAAAGTGTATTGTCTCCCTGAAAAAGTGGATGGCTTCTGCATGTTTCATAAACAAAATGGGGATGCTGGTCGGAGCAAAGTCGACAAAATCTGGCTTAACAAGAGGAAATGTCATGACTCATCATGACATTAATGCTACCACGTGAGGTGCTCAAGGTACCAGGTACACCAACCAACTCCTTCATCTTCTCAGTGTCGGATCTTTCGAAGCAGATCCAATCTCCGAGGATGGGACGTTGGCAGTGCAAGGCTTTGAACTCACCGGGAAGAAGGCCTTCAGCAGCTGGTGGGCCACCAGCAACTGGCAGGCGGAACGAGGGGACGAGGTTTTGGGGTGGTGGTGGTGGTGGTGGTAAATCAACTGGACAGATGTGACATGGGGATGTCAAGTTGTTGCAATACACCAAGCATGAGCGTGTTGACTTTTTGCCCCATAACCCACCTTCTGGCCACCTTTCAGTCTGATTCAGGGGCTGCAGAGTCTGAAGCGGTGGATCACTGGACAAGATGGATACAAATCGGATTTCCGGAGCATCAGTCAAGCGAACCCCAGCATCTTGTCTGGAAGCCCTGTAGATTGTGAAGAAGACTCTCGGCCAGCTGGAACTTGTTGCGTTTCTGTGTAGAATGTCAGCTTGCACCTAAGGGAAACATGAGAGAATCTTTGGCCCAAATAACTTGTAGACTTCTTGTCAGTTTCTATCATATAGAGGTTTCCTGACATGAGGGGTACCCCCAAACCATCCGTTAAAAAAGTATTTACAGTAATAGGAATTTCCATAAACCATCCAGCTATTGGGGTACCCCCCATGACCAGCAGGAAACCCTCAGCTTCATACCCAGCTGGGTTGAGCCTCCATAGCCCATAGCTATATTCTGAAGATTTCTTCAGCTTCAGCAGAGCCCAAAATGCTGAACTTAGCTTTTGTTGCGTTTTATCGTATAGAATATATAATGTGTATATATATATATATGATAGGTCATTATACAGAAACTTACAGGAAAAGTTATGATGCTTGAGGCTTATAGATACATAAACATATATAAACCAAGCATTTCTATAAGTGTCATAATAAATAATAGCCAATATGGTGAGTTTTGCAATTTCAAAGGATCACCCTGGAAAAAAACTGCTATACAAAAACCATCATCTCAGGACATTTTGGCGCTGCAGACGGTGCCAACCTTCGGGTCTTCTCTGAAACCTTCGGAGTCGGAGCTGCTGCTGACCTATCTGCTGGCGCCCTACATGCGCATCCCGCCCCACGGCGGAAGTTGGGACCGGGGACCGTTGGGACCGTTGAACAACACAAAACGTGGAGCGAAAAGGTTGAAACCAACATCTAGGGTATTCTGTTGGGTTCTCTAAACTTGAATAAAACCCCAGTTTTTTTGAAGTCAGGTCCATCCTCTACTGAAAGTAATGAATCAACATCTTGTCTGAGATACTGAAAATAGTTGTTGCATAATTCCAACCATTTAGAAAGCATGCGGGTTATGTTTATGTGATTTTATGCATATGATGTGGTTATCATAGTTATAAAAGTCACATATGGTTATTGCATTGTCACAATACACATGATACTATAATCCATATATAGAATATATGTATCTATGCTTGTTTTAGCTTTTATAATCCATATGAATATAAATATAAACATATATATATTATGCCATGTTTATCGGCTACTTGATCCACGCAGAGCTGCAGGTTGATCCTGAACTTCTTTTGGGACAAGCAGCGGATGACTTTACTGCAGGAACCGCAGCTTCAGGCAAGCGGCGCAAGCTGAGGGAGAAGAAATTTGGATGGTTTTTACCATGGTTTTTACGGTGTATCCCCAGAATCCGAGACTGGTTCACTTCCCGGAGATCGAGTTTTTCCTCGATTTTCGTGTCCCATTTGGACCAAAAATGCACCAAGAGTATTTGAATTGTGTGGTTTTGGAAGCCTCAAAAGCCTTCCTGCACACCAGCCATGGCGTGGTTGATGTGACTAAAGGGCCTTCACGGTAGCATGTTTTGCAACTTGGGACCCCATAGGTGATTAAGTTGGTTTATAAGTAAAAATTAACTAGGACTGGGGGTACTTAGTATACCCCAACTTCATAAGTAGATCATATAAGCACCCAACTTAGTTGACTTGGCATCCCCCCTTATGGATGCCTTATGGATGGATGCCTTCTGTATATCCAGGCCATTCTCGAGGCGGCTCTCTTTGAGCCCGGGCCGTGGCTTGATGGGTGATGAAACATGGGCGCTGTCAGGTTGGGATTTAATGGTGATTTAATGGTGATTTAATGGGACTTAATGGTGATTTAATGGGATTTAATGGGACTTAATGATGATTTAATGGTGATTTCATGGTGATTTAAATGGTGATTTCATGAAAATGGTGGTGAATGGTCATGAATTCATGAACAAAAATGAGGGGTTAGTAATCACCATTTGATTAGCATTATGTTCCTCACCATTAGCTAATCAAAAACATGTTTACTATGAGTATGAGCTAAGTTTGTTGGGTTCAAGGTGAATATATCGAACTGGCTACTATGGTAAACTGATAAACATAAACCAACGCTAAGGAACTGGGGCACCACCTTGTATTTCCTGGGATACACAAAAGTGTTAGAAAGGTGTTCCTAATTATGTACCAAGAATTTAGGGGCATTAAACACTCGCAATGTTCCAGGTTCTACCCCGCGTCATGTCCTGGCTGCCTGGCCCTCAACTCACATATTTAGATAGCTGTGGACTTTTTTTTTGGTGGCACCCTAGGAAAGCATTCCATGTTTTTTGTATGTTTACCCCGGTTTTCTGTCACATACTACAAGCTACATCAAGAAACATCACTGCACCTGTCTGAAAGCTCATATTTTTGCTGATTATATCCTACCATATAGCCCCATATCCCCAACGGTAGTTGTTTATTTCCATCATATCCTGTTCTTTATCAAGCATGATCCAACACCAAAATTACTTTACTTCGTGTGATCCCCACCATGACATTTATACATTTTCTTACTGGCAAATCTTCTGGCATTCTATCTGACATATCTTCTGACATTCTATTTGACATTCTATCTGGCATATCTTCTGGCATATGATCTGGCATATCTTCTGGCATATCTTCTGGCATTCTATCTGGCAAATCTTCTGGCATTCTATCTGGCATATCTTCTGGCACTCTATCTGACATATCTTCTGGCATTCTATCTGGCATATCTTCTGGCATATATTCTGACATATCTTCTGGCATTCTATCTGACATATCTTCTGGCATATATTCTGACATATCTTCTGGCATATCTTCTGGCATATCTTCTGGCATATCTTCTGACATATCTATCTGGCATATCTTCTGGCATATTTTCTGGCATTCTATCTGGCAAATCTATCTGGCATTCTATCTGGCATATCTTCTGGCATATTATCTGGCATTCTATCTGGCATATCTTCTGGCATATGTTCTGACATATCTTCTGGCATTCTATCTGGCATTCTATTTGGCATTCATCTGGCATATCTTCTGGCATATCTTCTGACATTCTTTCTGACATTCTTCTAACTTTCTTCTGCACATTCTTTGTCCCATATCTTCCTACATGAGGTCCGGCAGGGAACACTTGGCGTGGATACTCGCGGTTGAGGTCCGGCAGGGAACACTGGGCGTGGATGGTCGTGGTTGAGGTCCGGCAGGGAACATTGGGCGTGGATGGTCGTGGTTGAGGTCCGGCAGGGAACACTGGGCGTGGATGGTCGTGGTTGAGGTCCGGCAGCGAACACTGTGGATCGCGAGTCGCAGTTGAGCAGGAGGACGAGGAGGACAACGAGGACGACGAGGACAACGAGAGGACGACAAGGATGACAAGGAGGACGAGGAGGACGAGGAGGAGAGGAGGAGGAGGAGGAGAGGAGGACGAGAGGAGGACGAGGCAGGAGGAGGAGGAGGCAACTGACATAAAATCTAACAACCCTCACCTGGCAGGTGGGGAAAAATAGCTGAGTGACATATCCCATGACATCTCCAACCATATCCCCTGATTTTCCATGTTTTTCCCCCATGTTTTCATCCGATGTCAGAGGTGGCTCTCACAGAAGGAAGAGCTCGAGGAGGTGCCAAAGACCATCCCGGCCGCCTCCGCAGCGTATCTGTCGACGCGTGCGGGGCTGTTGTTCAACGAGATGCAGTACTCACCGGAACCGGTGCGCCCCGGGGGCGCAAGGGGCGGCTTGTGGCGGCTTGGGAGGATTATGGGAGATGGGTTTGGTTTATAGCCGATTTCTTTTTTCTATAGTTTTGACCTGATTTCTGCGCGGAAGTATGGGTTTGGGGATGGGATGCTAGCTGTTAGTTGATGGGCAAATGTTGAGTGGATGGGATGTGAATTACCGAAAACAATGTGTGTAGAATTGAGCGGTGAATGGTGAGTGTATAGGAGGAGGACGGGGATGGATAGGATGCAGCAGCTCTTAGTTGATGGTAATATGCAATTGATAGGAACCATGAAACCGGCGTCGCGATGCAAAGATCTCGTCGCAAAACCGGCGTGCCATGCGCAGAAGCCTCCGCAACGCCATACATGTAGAAGTTATGGTTATGCGTGAACATTGGTTTTTGAGATGGGCAGCCAAGATTGCATGGCACACTGACTTTGACAACAAAGCTAACCATGAAGCTGTAACATGTAGAAAACCCTTGTGCCTTGCCGCAGTGCGCATGGACAGGTATATTTCAATCCTGTTGAAGTAGGATCCGTATTTTCATATTAACAAACATCAACTCTGCATGGCACAGTGATAACTTTGTGGTACATGTGTGCATTTTTTTTGCAATTACTTTACGGATGCAGTACGCTTTACTTTTGGGGGGGTTACTGGGGTTACTCCTCTACTGGCATGTCTGGTTTGACCTGCAAAAGCGCAAGCAGAATGACAATGTTACAGTGCAAACTATGTTGGCAAACTCCAAGCACCTCATAGCAGTGTGCCAATAGAAACTTCAAGTTTGACATCACAGTTTTCCAAGGTTCAAGTTCCAGTTCTAACATGTGGATCGCAACCAGAATCACAGGATTCAAAAGAAATAAGCGATATGTTTCAAATGTTCCGACACGGTGTGCCATGCTATTGCGGTGAGATCTGCCCCTTTGTTGTGAGACCATGTCGGTCGTACAGATAGCCATCTCCTAACAAATGGGATTCAGTCACAATAGAATAGATCAATGAATCTGTAGTGGCTATCATTAATATGAATATCCCATCATTATACCATTATTACACCAACTAATGTCACTTGTATGTAGTAGTTTGAAACAGGCATCGGTTGACTAAGGATGGATTAAGATGAAAGTGGGGGTGAATATGTTTATACGAAAAATGTCCTGCTTAAAACGAACTTTGTTGCAAAGGTACTTGAGGTTTTGTCATGGTCATAGCGGTTATTTAAAAACAACAACAACAACAACGACAAGGACAACGACAACGACAACGACAACAACAACAACAACAAGAACAACAACAACAACAACAACAATGCAGATCAATGCAGATCAATGCAGATCACTGCAGATCAATGCAGATCAATGCAGTAAAACATTGAGAAATCACGAGCGAGAGATTGTGGATGTGTGAATATTCATTATTGGCTACGGCCCTTTGAGGGGCTAACTTATTGCTGTGGTGCGTCTGAAAATGGGGTTGCTCCCGGTATACCACAAAGATTATCACCTTTATAGACAAACTAAAATCACCACATAATCGATTATACCCCCATAACTGTGTTGCTCCCTTTCAAAACTTTAATTTCACAACTGATCAACTATCAACCATCAATTATCAGTATATGTTGCGTGGTTATACTACCCCAAACCATCCACGTCGCGGAGGACTAATTTGGTATTGAAACATATTGAAACCCTTTGTGACTTGGGGATCCCCCATTATATCATCCCATGCTATCCCATGATATTTCATTATATTCCACAAATATCTCATCAGAATGCGATGTTTGTCCCAGCATTATCTGACTAATATGTCAGTTTTTTCCCCATGATTATACCATGAATGAATATCCCATATGAAGGATATGTTTTTTTCCAGTACATTTTCCATTTTGTTAAATCCCATTGGTGGTATAATAAAAATATCCCAGTAACATCCCACTAATATCCCATATATCCCAATATAATGGATAATCTCCCATATGATGATCTCCCATATTTTCATGTTTTTCCGTTTTTTTTACCCTCTGGTAATTTGTTACATAGCTATTGAAAATGACCATAGAAATAGTGGATTTACATGGATTTACCCATTAAAAGCATGGTGATTTTCCATAGTTACGGAGCAGTTTACCAGAGGGTAACTAACATAACTATGGAAAATCACCATTTTTAATGGGAAAATCCACTATAAATGGCAATTTTCAATAGCAAACTGTTAAATTACCAGAGGGTAACAGCTCTCCCCTATTTTTGTTGGCAGGTGATGGCCTCCATGCATCGATTGCTGCGCTTCGCACTGGAGCAAGACCCCGGGCGCGCGGAGACGCCACGCGAGGAGAGACCATCGGAGAAAACGCGACTGTCATAGTTGAACATACCCATTGGTAAACTAACATAACTATGGAAAATCACCATTTTTAATGGGTAAACTCACTATAAATGGTCATTTTCAATAGCTATGTAACAAATTACCAGAGGGTAAGTTGAACATAAGAACATGTTATCATGTAGTTATTTGAATTTATTTGACTTACCAACTATTAGCAAATATAGCAACATGTAACATGGTGTATATGATTGAACTTTATAAGTTACCAACATTAGCAAGTAGCCATTTGTTTGACAACAGTTGTTAGTTGAATATAGCATTTGGTTTCGTTTTTTTTGGTGAATGACAATTATTTCACAACAACTGTTCATAACTCTTGAACATCAATGAACATTTCGACAACCTATGGATCCAGATGCTTCCTTCTCCACACGGGACCAAACAGCCCCCCAGGCCCATAGCCCCAAATCCTGAGATTTCCTGAGAAAAAAATCAGCTGGATCGATAGGGACGGGCCGTCACGGATAGTTTATCAGTTCACCAAGTATTTTTGCATGAATCACCAACAAATCTAAACAATATGAAAATGATGATGATGATGATGACGACGACGACGACGATGATGATGATGATGATGATGTGGATGTGGACGTGATTTTTGGGGCACGTTATAATTATGATGATAATTATATTTGGAACAAGAACGACAGTAAACAATGAAGAACAGGTAATTGACAATGCATGTAAGAATGATAACACACATAATTACTCAAAATACATCATGTTTTCATATGTTACACATGTAAGAATGATAACACATAACACAACATCTGGAAACATTAATCTTAAGTATCAGTTATAAGATGCACACATCTACCAATGTCAACCACCTGGTCACTGAAACTTGAGCTGCAGATCCGTTTGCCTTGAACGTTCAGGATAAGTTTTTAGGTTCAGGTTTTTCGGGTGGTTTACCATTCCTGAAATAGGGGTACCCCCGGTTCTCATCCATTTATAGATGGATTTTCCATTATCAACTTTATAAACCATCCATTTTTGAATTTTTTTGGGGTACCCACATTTATGGAAACCTGGACTTGGTGTTTGGTGTTTAAAGACCCGAGTTTTGAACCCCCTTTCAGGGCCTGATTCTGTTCCTCGTGCGCTTGGCGATTCGCGTGGAGAGCTACGGCCGGTTAGTGGTGGAACAAAGACATCGGGTAGGCAGAAGACAAGTGGATGCCAAACAGACGAACTTGGAAAGGAACCTCGGGATGGTTTGGGACTTCACCATGGTGAGGGTTGAGAAAAATGATCCCCAAATGGCCGAATCAATCTGGCGTTTTTCATGTTTTTTCCAGATGGGTGGGTTTGGGGTATAGAAAGATAATCCATGTGGACAGTCAATGATTATCAATTATTCAGGTATTAGGGAGTATATATTTGTTGGTAATCGAATAACAAAGCCGTTTAAAGCCCATATTCTGGACATGAGTTTAGAATGCACCAACATATGTGGTTAAACATAGGTAAATAATGGTAAAAACATGTACTGCATTGACATGAGAACCGTCCACACCTTGGCCTTTTCAAGATAATTTGCCGGAGAGTCGCAAGCAAATTCTGATATCCTGCCTGAAACATAGAAAACATTGAACCATTGATTATTAGATATTAATAGATATTACCGTATATTCCTGAGAGATTGCTTCCAGGAATTGAATAAACGGAACATGTGCGGTTGAACCCCAATTGTTTGGGCAAGAAACGTTGGAACTGAAGAAAGTGACAGTGAGTTGGGAAGTCCAATTGCGGGATTCTGTACCCTTCGGGCCCTTCGGTAAATTCACATGGGCCCTGGAAATGACCCATTCTTTAGATCTTTTGAGAGGAAACCAACCTTGGGGCCCCCCCTATCTGCCAGAGTCTTCCAGTGAAAAAAATCTGGGTAACTCAAGGCCTGGATAGCCCAGAGTTGGATTTTGTCTCCCTTGAGGATGTGAATGTCATCCAGAAAAATCATGAAAAACCCAGATTCGGAATCCCTCTTTGGGGATGACCACGGGGAAGATACATACCACTTCTGGGATGTTGAATCCTTGAACCCCTCAAATCAATATATGATATTAATTGTCATGGTGGGTTTATGGCGCTTGGGGTTTGCCACATTGAAAAATCATACATCCATCTCAATGATATCTGAATATATATATATATTACATATACATACACATACATATATAGATATGTTAAGAACAACACTGTACTAATTCAGGACAAACCATAATCATCCACCTGTGGCCGAGGATCCGCAAAGGCTTAGATGACCTGAGCAAAGTTTTGCAGCAAGACATCCTGCAGATGCTCTTGGAATGGGCCACCCAGGCAACCATGGGTGCATGGGACAAACATGGACAAACGATCGCTGTTCAGAATTTGACACATCCCAGGGCTTATCCTCTGGTAATTTGTTAACAGTTTGCTATTGAAAATGGACAATAGAAATAGTGGATTTACCCATTGATAGCATGGTGATTTTCCAGTTCGTTATGTAAACGTTTACCAGGCCGGGTAGGATCCCACCAGTGTTTTTTTCTTCCATCGCCTGGTGAGATCCGGTGCCCATTCAGTCGCTTATCCCAACGGTGATTTTCTCCAAGTAGCCTTCGGCAGCGGCGTTCGCTGCCACGAGCCTAGAGAGTGTGTGACTTGAAAAGATCTTGGGGACCTCATTGACCTCATTATCTAGATGTTCACTACTTATCATTCACCGATAATATGAAGATAAGTTAAGTGTTATGTTATATTATCACTACTATGAAGTGTTATAAGTATCATTCACTTCTTATCATTCACTACTTATATGAAGTGTTATGATCACTACAGTAATTATCTAAATGATCTCTAATTAAGATAAAGATAATATTTAATATCGAAAACTAATATCACTCACAACTCACAACCCTAAATGGCTCCAAAATGGCCCTGGTTGTCGATTCGCGCAGGCGGTGAGGCGAAGGCCTCGTAGCATGGCCACCATTTGCCGGATCCACGCGCACATTGCCTTCCTTTTCAAGAATCATGTGCCAGAAAGCAAGGAGGTGCCAGGGGACAAATCGGGACGTGAAGATCTTTACTTTATCTATGTTTTGATGTGTGTTTCAACCGCATTTCGATGAATGTGTGATTTTGTGTTTAAAGGCATTTAAAGGCATTTATTTATTGTTTTTTGTTCTATCTGTGTGTGGGTCTTTTTCATGGATCACTGATTGACATTGGAATGCATTCAACATGTATTTGTATGTATGTGTTGGCGTATTGGTCATATCATCATGCTTTGCATGACCGTGCAAACATGTCTCGACATATGTGGCTTTCGATGTTTCTATTTACAGATATGGCACATTAAACACTTAAACCACCTTCGAATCATGGTTGAATCAGGACATTAAACATATATATATATATATATATTCAACCTCATTAAAGACAACAAGTAACTTCGAACTATCACACATATTGCATCATGGACAGGACATTGCCATTTTCCTCTCTTCCCAAATCTTCATCAACAACGCCACCGCGAAATCTCCCAGCGAGTCCTCCACGAACTCCGCTTCGTTGGGCGTGGGTGAATTCGAACTCTTCGATCTATTTGAGATGCGACGCTGAGTCATTCGAATGGATAGGGATTATAGGGGCTGTCATGTACAGTATAATACATTTTAGAATATTTTAGATATCATAATTTTTAATGAGTTTGGAAGGAATTCAGGAGAAGTACTCAAGAATACTCAAGATGCACGTTTTTTTTGGTGTTGAAGCATTTCAGCTTCTGTTTTCCATTGTTCTTTAACGATTTATTCGATCCATAAACTTTCTGAGGGCTTGCTTTGGAGTATACCAATGTTCGCCCATGTTTTTACCACCGTCCCACTGTTCGCTTGTTCGTTGTGGGGACCACCAAGGAAGATACGGCTTGGCCAAGTGGCTCCGAGAACATCGAAAGGAGGTCGCAACCGCCGTGCCAGCACTAGCGGGGTTTCTGGCTTGACCTGGCACGAATGTGCTTTCCGGTTTACAGTGCTTGATTTAGGTAAATGAGATAAGATATATGGATATGGAATATATGGATTTGGTTATGTGAAAATAGTTTTTGAAAATTACCATAGAAATAGTGGATTTACCCATTGAACATGGTGATTTTCCATAGTTATGGAACAGTTTACCAGAGGGTAGGTACTTAGACTTAGACCCTCCAAGAACCGGGTTTTACCTCATGTTTTTTGCACTTGATCACCATTTCTTTGAGGCATTCGGATAGTCTAAAGGTGAATATTCAACGCATGGGCAATTTTCCATAGTCAGGTTGCAAAAGAAACAGGAGGGATTTGTGGGTGAGGCAGAAGTGCTGTTGGGGATAGCCGTGGTAACCCCTGTTTTTGTTACTTCATTGCACCAATTCTGAGAAGGTGTTAAGACGCGTTTTGAACATGTCTTGTGCTTTGCGTTTTTTCACTCACTTCCAGATGGTCAAAACATAGTTGACCTTCAACATGTTACCTCTGGTAAAATAACATAGCTATTGAAAATGGCAATTTATAATTTATATATGTTGATTTACCCATTAAAAATGGTGATTTTCCATAGCTATATATGTTAAATTACCAGAGGGTAAGTGGTCGCCATTTTCACCCATTTTCGATATGTCATCCACAGGTTTGCCATCCTTCCAGGCCTCGGTGATCATGGAAAACGTGGAGCAAGTGGTGACCTGCCAGGGTGTGGCCTTCATCGACATCCCCAACTCTCGGAGCTGGAGCGAACTTCCACACGAGCCCGGCAACTGGACCCTGAGCCATGAACTGGAGAGCTCGCAGCCTGCAAAAACCTCGTACCGTGAATGGCTACATCTCTATGACTCCAGTAGTGTGGTGGTGTCCATCAATCAGGTCCGAATGGCAGAGATGGAGATGGATTTTTGGGGGGCATGGGGCCAGTTTATTTATGAGATTACCACACATAATATATACTGGTTGAAGGTTGGTGGTTTAGAACATGTTTTATTTTTCCTTATATTGGGAACAATCATCCCCACTGACACCTGACTTTCATGTTTTTTAGAGGGGTAGGTCAACCACCAACCAGTATATATATATGTTATATCTATGTTATTGGTATATCATAACCACTATTATTAGATAATCCCATTATAAAGATGATTATCCCATGATAATCCCATTATAATCACAGCCATGACTGGAATGAAGATCCAGAAAACCCAGAAGGCTACCGTGCCTTCGGGAATTCTTCGATTTCTTCACCGTCATGAGACATGATTCATCATCAAACAAGCTAGGTTTGCTAAGTAACCAGGTTTGGGAAGCTCTCCCACCAGCTTGAACAAGACATCTGTGAAATTGATCAATCCTAACTTGTAAGATCTTACAACAGGAATGTGATGAACCTCGGCTGGCGAATCTATGCTTGCAATGGACAAAACCTCATTCCATGATCAGCCGCCAAGGAGTAGACAAGCAGATTCTTGCAATGTGGTGCCCCCCCCATTCGTAAGTTGGTTTGCAAACTCAATAACCCCCATCAACTATAGACATAATGATCTACAATAGGCCATAGTTCTAGCAGTTCTGTTCACCAATTTAGCCAACTTTTCAATCCATCTTGAATCAAAACTCTAGTTTGTTTAATGGAGGGTTTCTAAAATTGTTACCCCCAAATCATCCATTTTAATAGGATGTTCCAGTATAAACCATCCAATTTGGGGATCCCCTATGTATGGAAACCCCCAAATTTCTTTGTCCGGCAAAAGGGCAAGCTCCAGTGCCACAGTCTGGATATTTTCATAACTTAGTGTCTCCAGTCATATCGGATCTGATAGCCGATCAGTTCCTCATCATGTGATATCACAACATGTTGGGCTTCGGTGTATTTTCATACCAGCCACAATGCTTCATTAGTAGGTGGAGGGGATAGCCGGTATGGTTTACTAATGTTTACTATTCAATACTGGTAGCTGGGCCTACACCTAAACTATTGATGTAACCTCCCAAATACTGTAGCATGGGGTACTCCCCAAAAAATTGGCTTTACAAATAGTCTCCCAATAAATGCTCGATTCAATAGGGTACGGTAAAGACCATTCATTTGTAGGTGATAATATCCCCTCTAAATTCACAGGGATGAAACATTGGCTTTACTAAATTGGTGAGCCCAGATTATATAATAGTATCCAACCCAACTAGAAATTAAACAGAATGAATGATTCTATATATATAGAGATACGCTAAAAGTATAACAATCCCCCCAAAAAGATAGACGAGTCACATCCATTGAAATCCAACCCAAAAAGATAGACGAGTCACATCCATTGAAATCCAACAAAAAACAATTTATGTCATATAATCACATTCTATATACAACTATAAGTATATTATATATATATATATATGGTAACATTTACCATCAATATACCCCCGTTATGTTAGCATATATACCAGCACCGGGTCAACCCAGCCGCGGCAGGGTCGATATCACTGCCGCGATGCCGGCCTCGGATTGCTGCCGCACGATGTCTTGACCTCTGCGCACCTCACTGAGGCGCCCGGCGGCGGCCGGGGCGACCAAGGTGACCAGTACACGGTGGTGCCATGTGGTGCCCGTTTGACCATAGGAAACCATAGGAAATTGCGGATTTAATAGGATTTATAGCAGATTTATGATAGCTAAGTTGGTTTATAACTCCAATAACTATGGTTTATAGGTGATATATCTATAGTTAATGGGCTTATAACCAATTTATTACTGGGGGGCACCACCTTGTACAGTATGCTGCAGTATGGCAAATGGTTTGGAAGACATGCGAACCTTTCATGAAATCTCTAATTAAATTCCGAAATGTACTGGAGGCATCTAAACTGACGTTTTCGTTCCAGATATCTACCATAAACCAATAATTGAGTGGAATGATGTCCAACTCAACTAACCTGATACCTTCTAGCAGCCTTCCAACATGTCATAGGAATGTAGCTGGTTACAATGGGACAATGATGGATTTTAGATTGAGGAACAAACGTCATGCGTAGGCTATTCTGCTTGGTCCGTCGCGTAGGCATATGGCGTAGGACAACGTAGGAGAGGTTCAGTGTCGCAGAATCGTGACCACATTGCGTCAAGTTCAAAGATGCCTTGAAATACTGCACCTGCCATGCAAAAACAACAATCACCTGCGGCAGTAAAAAAAAATCACTTGCGGCAGTAAAAAATGAACGTTTTTACTGCCACAAGCGATTGGCACATCTTACCGCCACAAGCGAGGTAGGAGCCGTATCAATCTATTGAATGGGATGATAAATTCATATGTTAAAGGGTGATTTCATGGGATATTCATGGGTATATCATGGTTTATAGCTAACCGATACACTGGTGAATAACCAACCAATCACAATTAATCTCTTCTCCTTAATAATGAACCATATTAAACACCCCAAATAACCCCAAGCAATCATGGATTACATATAGGGATTTACACATACTCAGGACCATACAATGGAGGCGTTTCATATTAGTGGGATGGGATTACCCTCTGGTAATTTAACATAACGATGGAAAATCACCATTTTACTAGGTAAATCAACTATAAATGGGCCTTTTTCCATAGCTATTTTGACATAACCAGACGGTACACTAGTTGGTTGATAGGTTTCTATGGGTTACTTCAGAATCCCCCCTTATAACCCAGGTAGATAGCCCAACTCCCCAATTTTCGCTCCAGCAACTGGTGGAGATCAGCCTGGTGATTCCACACCCCGGAGAGATTTCGGGGATCAAGTTCTTTATAACCCCTGGCCTAACATCCCCCTATTTGTACCATTGACTGGTGAACCATCTGTTTTTCGATGCAATGGGTATCAATGGGTGTATATATATATATTAATGTTTGGGAATGATTAAAGAGATGGTACCCTATTGTGAGAAATTTCTTGCTCCTTATTCAGTCACATGCTAATTGTTGGGGGGGAACTCTATTGTGAGATTTTTTCCCAGATTTGTTCATTTTTTTCCAAATAATTACTTTACTGTAAATTTATTTTTATTTTTTCAATTATTTTTTGGTTTGTGTTTATTTATTTTTTTCCAAATACTTTAAATTATTGTTTCCAAATACTTATTCAAAAAAACAGCACTCAGACAATTTTTCAAGGGGGTACCTCATGAGTGGCTCAGTTACTCAATAATATAATTGTCTGGATGGTACTCTATTGTGAGCACCAACTTTTGGGAGTGAAAAAAAACAAAACCCTTTCTCCACCTTTCTTTGGGTAAAGCTGGTCCTTTTACTCTAGAAAGCCATATTTGTGTTAAAGCTTTAAAATGCAAGGTTTTCCAAATAATTAGATGCCTTATTAAACCCTTATTAAAAAACAACACCCAAACAATTTTTCAAGGGGGTACCTCATGAGTGGCTCAGTTACTCAATAATATAATTGTTTGGATGGTACTCTATTGTGAGCACCAACTTTTGGGAGTGAAAAAAAAACAAAACCCTTTCTCCACCTTTCTTTGGGTAAAGCTGGTGCCTTTACTTTAGAAAGCCATATTTGTGTTAAAGCTTTAAAATGCAAGGTTTTCAAAATAATTAGATGCCTTATTAAACCCTTATTTAAAAACAGCACCCAGACAATTTTTCAAGGGGATACCTCATGATTGGCTCAGTTACTCAATAATATAATTGTTTGGATGGTACTCTATTGTGAGCACCAACTTTTGGAAGTGAAAAAAAAAAGCAAAACCCTTTCTCCACCTTTCTTTGGGTAAAGCTGATGCCTTTACTTTAGAAAGCCATATTTATGCTAAAGCTTTAAAATGCAAGGTTTTCCAAATAATTAGATGCCTTATTAAACCCTTATTAAAAAACAGCACCCAGACAATTTTTCAAGGGGATACCTAATGATTGGCTCAGTTACTCAATAATATAATTGTTTGGATGGTACTCTATTGTGAGCACCAACTTTTTGGAGTGAAAAAAAAAGCAAAACCCTTTCTCCACCTTTCTTTGGGTAAAGCTGGCCCTTTCACTTTAGAAAGCCATAGTTGTGTTAAAGCTTTAAAATGCAAGGTTTTCCAAATAATTAGATGCCTTATTAAACCCTTATTAAAAAACAGCACCCAGACAATTTTTCAAGGGGGTACCTCATGAGTGGCTCAGTTACTCAATAATATAATTGTTTGGATGGTACTCTATTGTGAGCACCAACTTTTGGGAGTGAAAAAAAAAGCAAAACCCTTTCTCCACCTTTCTTTGGGTAAAGCTGGCCCCTTTACTGTAGAAAGCCATAGTTGTGTTAAAACTTTAAAATGCAAGGTTTCCAAATAATTAGATGCCTTATTAAACCCTTATTAAAAAACAGCATCCAGACAATTTTTCAAAGGGGTACCTCATGAGTGGCTCAGTTACTCAATAATATAATTGTTTGGATGGTACTCTATTGTGAGCACCAACTTTTTGGAGTGAAAAAAAAACAAAACCCTTTCTCCACCTTTCTTTGGGTAAAGCTGGTCCTTTCACTTTAGAAAGCCATAGTTGTGTTAAAACTTTAAAATGCAAGGTTTCCCAAATAATTCGATGCCTTATTAAACCCTTATTTAAAAACAGCACCCAGACAATTTTTCAAAGGGGTACCTCATGAGTGGCTCAGTTACTCAATAATATAATTGTTTGGATGGTACTCTATTGTGAGCACCAACTTTTTGGAGTGAAAAAAAAAACAAAACCCTTTCTCCACCTTTCTTTGGGTAAAGCTGGTCCTTTACTTTAGAAAGCCATAGTTGTGATAAAGCTTTAAAATGCAAGGTTTTCCAAATAATTAGATGCCTTATTAAACCCTTATTAAAAAACAGCATGCAGACAATTTTTCAAGGGGTACCTCATGAGTGGCTCAGTTACTCAATAATATAATTGTTTGGATGGTACTCTATTGTGAGCACCAACTTTTTGGAGTGAAAAAAAAACAAAAACCCTTTCTCCACCTTTCTTTGGGTAAAGCTGGTCCTTTCACTTTAGAAAGCCATATTTGTGCTAAAGCTTTAAAATGCAAGGTTTTCCAAATAATTAGATGCCTTATTAAACCCTTATTAAAAAACAGCATCCAGACAATTTTTCAAAGGGGTACCTCATGAGTGGCTCAGTTACTCAATAATATAATTGTTTGGATGGTACTCTATTGTGAGCACCAACTTTTGGGAGTGGAAAAAAAACAAAACCCTTTCTCCACCTTTCTTTGGGTAAAGCTGGTCCTTTACTTTAGAAAGCCATATTTGTGCTAAAACTTTAAAATGCAAGGTTTTCCAAATAATTAGATGCCTTATTAAACCCTTATTAAAAAACAGCATCCAGACAATTTTTCAAGGGGTACCTCATGAGTGGCTCAGTTACTCAATAATATAATTGTTTGGATGGTACTCTATTGTGAGCACCAACTTTTGGGAGTGAAAAAAAAACAAAAACCCTTTCTCCACCTTTCTTTGGGTAAAACTGATGCCTTTACTTTAGAAAGCCATATTTGTGCTAAAAGTTTAAAATGCAAGGTTTTCCAAATAATTAGATGCCTTATTAAACCCTTATTAAAAAACAGCATCCAGACAATTTTTCAAAGGGGTACCTCATGAGTGGCTCAGTTACTCAATAATATAATTGTTTGGATGGTACTCTATTGTGAGCACCAACTTTTGGGAGTGAAAAAAAAAAGCAAAACCCTTTCTCCACCTTTCTTTGGGTAAAGCTGGTCCTTTCACTTTAGAAAGCCATATTTGTGTTAAAAGTTTAAAATGCAAGGTTTCCCAAATAATTAGATGCCTTATTAAACCCTTATTTAAAAAACAGCATCCAAACAATTTTTCAAGGGGGTACCTCATGAGTGGCCCAGTTACTCAATAATATAATTGTCTGGATGGTACTCTATTGTGAGCACCAACTTTTGGGAGTGAAAAAAAACAAAACCCTTTCTCCACCTTTCTTTGGGTAAAGCTGGTCCTTTTACTTTAGAAAGCCATATTTGTGAAAGTAAATTGAAAGTAAATTAAAAGTAAATTGAAATCAATTGAAAGTAAATTGAAATCAATTGAAAGTAAATTAAAAGTAAATTGAAATCAATTGAAAGTAAATTGAAAGTAAATTAAAAGTAAATTTTAAAGTAAATTGAAAGTAAATTGAAAGTAAATTGAAATCAATTGAAATCAATTGAAAGTAAATTAAAAGTAAATTGAAATCAATTGAAATCAATTGAAAGTAAATTGAAAGTAAATTAAAAGTAAATTGAAAGTAGATTGAAAGTAAATTGAAATCAATTGAAAGTAAATTAAAAGTAAATTGAAATCAATTGAAAGTAAATTGAAAGTAAATTGAAAGTAAATTCAAATCAATTGAAAGTAAATTGAAATCAATTGAAAGTAAATTGAAATCCTTTCTTAAGTTGATTGACCAAAAAAATGTTGAGGGAGGGCAAAAAAAAGTGCGAGTTATAGAGTATCCTAAAATTGTTTAGGGGGGCCCCCTCACATTAATCAGACGCAAACATTAATGTAATTTAATGTATAGATATAGATATAATCTGGGTAATCAATGATAATCAATGATAACCAAATATACCTCCCGGTAATTTGTTACATAGCTATGGAACATTTGAAGCCCAAGTAGTTCAATGATTTACCGTGTTCAAAAAATACATTGTGATTGTCTAATTAGTTCGCAAACTCAATTGAGTTGTGTTGTTTTTCCTTGCTAAACTGCAATTGGGACGCCTACGCGGGGCCTACGCAAACCACTCCTCCCATGCGAAACTGCCTACGCGAGGGTTACCTTTCAAGCAGTGCCTACGCGCTTGCCTCCGCGAAAGTTGATGCAACGTCGCTTGTGGCGGTAAACACGCGTTTCTGTTTTTCATCGCTTGTGGCGGTAAGTGGGTGTCCTTGATGCCAGGGTATATAAAACCAATCGCTTGTGGCAGTAAGCTGCTGCGACTGCTGCATTCTCGGACGCAAGTCATATCATATACTAACAAGTCATTAATAGCCCATTTCACATTGTCCCTTATTGTCCATATATGATCACAATATCCACATTGATATCCCATTATATGAAAGTATTTAAATGGATTTAGGCCTAAATCTATTGAAACAACTATAATTAAGATCAAATGATTAATATATGTTTAATCTATTTAATTCTATTGTATCGACATATATATATATAATATAAATTATATCTATATCCATAGCTATGATAGCCATTACAACTAACCCGTTATAACATGTTATAACCCGTTATAACATGTTAGTTTTCTCTATTTTTGTTCATGGCTCAGTGGTAACCCTTAGGCTTTCGGCAGCTTGACGGACAGCCAAGTGGTGGTGCGCGAGGAGACGGCGCATCGCGTGTGCTTCGAGCTCGTGGGACAGAAATACGAGGCTGTGGCGGCGAAATCCAGGGGGACAAGGCATGGGAACATCGTGAAAAATCCAGGGGGTTCTTGTGTCTTTTTATATGATTTGTATGGTTTTTAGATCGTTTTTACTATAGAGTAAATAATGTGATGTTTTTCTTTTGTACAAGCACCCTTCTTTTCTCATTGACCAAGTGTTTTGTGTGTGTGTGTTGTTCAGCTGCTCGGATGGGACCGAGTCGGTATGTCGTTCATCAGGAATGTTCAAGCGGGATAAGTTCCAGTTCTGTAGATGAAACATGTTGTGCTTATGGGAAAACCACTAATAAACCTACCATTTGGGGATGGTTCATAGCACCCATTTACGGAGTTTTTGTGCATTGTTTACTAGTGGTTTTACTACGGTAGTCAATTGATTATTAATTAGCTGGGATGCAAACCCCTTTCTTCGGGATGTTGCTGTTTTTTTTTGGAGTCACCCCATCTGACATATGGAGAAAATATGGGGCTGTGGTGGTCTCAAAATACTGAACAAAAGAACGCAACTTGAATCCGAGGTGCTGTTTCTTCTTCTGGAGAGATGCCAACAAATATTTGATGAAGATGTGGAATTTTGAGACGTACAACATGCAAAGCAACAGCTGGAAACATGGGGAAAAACCTCCTGGAACCAGGATGAAGTGACCTATGTTCCCATCCATCCCCCATTGACAGCGGACCTCCAAGGTCCATGTTTGGGACGAAGATCCGCGCTTGGAAAACGGGCCTCTGAATGTCAACAGCCTGGAAAAAGTTACGAGTGGCTGGTGGATGGAGGTGGGCAACGTGCATTCCATTCTTTGCACCCCGCAGGGGAAAAAAAACAGAATCTTCAATATTGTGTGTGGAGCATATGAATCATCATCCACCCAAGTAAATCCCCTTCAATCATCAACCTTTTTCACCACCTTGAATCATAACTTAGTAAATCATCACAGTCATCACAGATGTTTTTTTTTGTATCTCTCCCCTGGCCGCAGGTGTTAGAGCCCATCTTGTCGCGCTGGCGGCACGACCTGACCTTTTACAAAATCTCCGAGGGCGCGAGCAGCTCCTCTTCAGCGGATTTGTGGCTGCTGGCGCTGGCTCCAAAGCTGTGCCGTGAGCAGAGAGGGACGAGAAAATGGGGGAAAGGTACCTTATTATGGGTTATATCAGGGTTATACATGGGTATATCTAGGTACTGATAGTTATATATGGTATAAATGGGTATATCTAAGAAATTCTTCATATACCCCAATACTTTATACCCCAACTTTATGGGCTATATCAGGGTTATATATGGGTTATACTCTTGCAATTCACTATGAAAACATCTTGGAGATGATGGTATGAGCATCATGGTATATGATGGTATATATGATAATGGTATAAATGAAGATGATGATCAATTTGAAGGTCATGGTATATGATGGAGTTGATTGATGGGGAAATCATCAGGAACCCCTTTTTTTCCCATAGAAACTTGACAAAGGGGGTACCTGCCTGCAATGTGATGCCCCATAAGCGAAGTTGGTTTCTTAATTATAAATACATCAGTCCTTGGGGTTTATGGCGATGACATAATCATAGTTTCATGGGGATGTTTTTTTTTTTTTAATCACCAATCAATAGGTTCTCTATTTTTTCTCAAGCCCATTAACTATACAGTACAATGATATATGTTATAATGAGATATGTCAATGTCTATAATAATCCATTGCAAACCTTGCTATGAAACAACCAACATCGTTTTTTTGGTCAAACGCAAGGGCACCAGCCACTTGTGCCATCCCCTTAGGCAGTTGGAGATTGGACTTTGGCGCCAAACACCCCTGGTGGAAATCTATGACCTGCCGAGTCATGGACGTCAGATCTATCGTCGTCACTGGGATTTTTCACCTGTGACGGGTCACCTTTCCTTGCCAGTTTTTGATGCACCAGGGTATTGATCCATAGCCAAATGAGATCAAGGCATGACTGGATTCCAGCTATTGTTCAACTCCAACATTTGGGTATCCTGTGTTCTCAATATTACACAGTGAGGTTGTAGATTGGTTGCCAGGAAATTCTAGTCGATATTAGTTACTCACTTGAAATCGACTGGTGGATATTCCTTCCACTGCATGAGTTCCCTTTTCATCAACTTACTACGATTGGCACAGTGATGGACAGTGGCTTTATGCGGTTCTTTTTTACCCCAGATCATTCTTCTATTCCGTTTATTCCATTAAAAGATTAGGAACCATCAGATTAGATTCCATTTGATGCATCTGAGTAGATCTTCTATTCCATTCCTTTCCCAATTTTGTATTCACCCAAGTTGGGAAACATACCTGTCCCACTATGTTTTTCGACAGGGCCCAGTCACAGAGACAAAGCCTGAGAGGGACCTCAGAGATCGATGAATTCAAACCCTGTTGAATCTAGCCTTCAGCATACCAGTATGGATCTTAGGTAATCATACCGGAAATATAAGGATATTACCTGTAAAGACTAGGCCAAAAACTACCATAGTTGAGTAAGTTCCTTTCAGTCCAGTCACATGCATTTCTGTTTGGTGGTTTGGAACATTTTTTATGTTTCCCAATAGTTGGGAATGTCATCATCCAATCTGACGAACTCATATTTTTCAGAGGGGTGGCGACAAACCACCAACCAGGTAATTCTATAGTATTATCTAAATTATCTATACCCATAGGATCCATGTATATGCTATATATGGTAACATTTACCATCAATAACCCCCAATGTTAGCATATATACCATACATGGATCCTATGGGTTATCTAAATTATGTATAGATAATTTCGGATATCGTATGGTTATATAGTTGAAGGTTGGAACATGTTGGAACCTCCACGACAATTTCCTAGGTCTCATTTTCACCTCGGACATGACGTGGTCTTTGCATAGTCCGGAGGGCCCGGAGGCAGCCCTTTATTCAGTTCAAAGCGCAGGACGGGTGAAGACAAACGTCTGAAAGGTGGTCAAGAATTTAAGATACCCCAAATATCCCAAACTCAACTTGAATAGAATTGGATGTTTGATGAATTTTGGTGAGTATTGATGATTATTGATAGTTATTTTTGGATAATTGTCTATCTATCTATTTCAATGAGTATAACAGATTCTTAATTATTCAACAAAGATACCGGTACCGTGCTGCTGAGAAATACCTGGAAGAAAACTGCAGGATGGAGTCTGGGCAAAGGCATCCTTCCCTCCGAAAATTCCAATCCGGGTCAGAGCGTGCGCATCTTTCGCTACCTGTCCTCAGCACAAGGCCAGGATTGGAGGGCAGGGGCTGGTCGATTCAACAAGCAAACCATTGCATTTCACCAATGGTAAGGTTATTGTATATGTTTTTGTTATAGTTGTTGCAAGATGAATGTGGGTTTAGACAATCACCATTGTACTTAGACTAGTTAGATGTGCCATGTTTCTTTCGCTAGTTGGTTGATGAAAGAGGGGCGGGAACCCTTCCAGAACATAGTGGTAAGTGGTGCCAAATTGACCTCTATCTTGGTTCCCAAAGAGAAATCGTTGTTGGTTTGTTGGGAAGTAGGTGAAGCCTCTTGAAGTCATATCAACTTTCGTGGTCCATATCTCCTATCGATGCTATCTGCAGTCTTATTTGTTTTACCTCCTGACCCAAAAAACCTGCAGAAAACTCCTAAATGTTTGGTAGCTTCGAAGCCATGGCTTTCTGGGTGGAACAGCTTAAAGTGTCGAGTAAAATGACAAGTTGCAGGACTAGGTGTGCTCATTCCCTGTTTCGGCTTCCACCCTTGGAGGACCCTCACACTTGGAGTTACAATGTGGACCCCCAAGACAGTTTTATCTTGCAACTGCAGAACTGTTCGATTTATGATGGACAACACATATCTCGGGGGGCCGCGCTGCACTGACATAGTTCCCGATAAGTAATTATATAATATTATATAACATTATATAACCAAAGCAAGTCTGGTTATTTCAACCAACTTAGCTATCCTTTGGGGGCCCCTCTTTACGGGCGTTTATCCCAATAAATTTCCAATAAATATATAATATGAAAATATAATATAGTTATATTATGGTATATAATATATAACATAACATAATATAAATATAAATGTTTTAATATATCTATATATATAATGTATACATTAAACTCGGTATCCGTATGTCATCAATGGACAGTGGATATCATCTCCCCATGACCCAAGTTGGATGATCCACGTCACCGGAGGGCGCGAGGAGTTCGTCCCTGCCGAGATGCTTCGGGGGCTTCTGCCCGACGCCTTGTTGGAGCGCTACAAATTCTGGCGCCACAAGGTGCTGAAAGAGTCTCGGGTTCTTCGATGTGTTTCGGGTTTTGGAAAAAGTTACCCTCTGGTAATTTAACATAGCTATTGAAAATGACCATTTATAGTGGATTTTCCCATTGAAAATGGTGATTTTCCATAGTTATGTTAGTTTACCAGAGGGTAGGAAAAGTAATTCCCAGACTTTTTTTTTGTTGAGTTGGAATGGAAGTAACTAATATCCATCAACAAGTAATTCTAAGTCTTCTAAGTTAATTCCTGGTTTGAGTTAATTCCCAGAAACTGCAGGATATAACATTTTGTTTCTGGAATTACCTTCTGGTTATTTAACATGGCCATGGAAGCCATGGCCCATAGAATTAGACGGTTTACCGTTCTTAAAAATGTTGGATCTTTCCATGGCAAACTGGCAATGTCATAACCAGATGGTAGATTGTTCGACATAGCCATGGGAAATGACCCATTTATACAGGTTTACCCATAAAAAAATTGTGATTTTCCATGGATCTCCGCGGCAGGGTGAGTCAGAAGCGCTGCTGGCGGAGGAGCGTTTCGAGGTGGATCAACCCACCCGGCTGCGGGTGAAATTCCTCTCGCTGCTGGGGCAACACAAGAACTGGGGGGAAGAACAATGGTTTTACTATGGTAAATACTGGTTAATCTATGGTTAATCTATGGTGAATCTATGGTGAATAATGGTTAATAACTGGATATTATATGGGATTATAATGGGATAATCATCATTTTTAATGGGATGATATACCAATAATGATGGTTAATGATGGTTAATAATTGGAATAAGAATATATCTGCTTGGTGGTGACTGGAACCATGGAATTTTGAATGACTTTCCATTCAGTTGGGAATGTCATACCCCCAACTGACGAACTCATATTTTTCAGAGGGGTTGAAACCACCAACCAGGTAAGTCTATAGCATTATCTATAGATAATATCGGATATCGTATGGTTATATAGTTTCATAGCAAGGAATGTACAACTATATAAAAAATGATAGAAGTAGAACATATGACAATTATATATAATGTACTATGTGGTAAAACTAGTGGTTATTTAATAATGATGTACCACAAGTATCCATTTTTGGTGTGATTCATGAACAAATAACCAATTCCGACCTATTATTGGACTTGCCACGAAACTGTGTGGAGCTCGGTGGAGGCGTTACTGGTTTGGTTGTTTGCAGAGTGTGTGGTTGCCAATTCAACATGAGAAGAAATATTGGTAGTGCACAAGTTTTTTCCATGATTGGTGCCTCGAGCACCCTCAAACTATACCTGCGATGTTGTATCAAAACATGAGGATGAGGTTACCAATTGTGGATCATGAGCCAATGTTGGGCTATATTCAAGAATATTGGATACAAGTTGGTTGCTAGCCCCATCTAGCTATAATAACCATAAACCCTACTTACAATATTTAATCTACTTCAAAACCAACTCAGCGTTCAGGACTTGGGTCACTATCTTGAAGCGTCATTTATCAGTTATATCACCATAGACCGTTTGACTCTCCAAAACACCCGCACAATGGTGAAAGTACTAAGTTACTGTGGGGATCTGAGGCGTAAACCAGCAATTTTGATGGGTACTTGGAGGGTCTAGGCATATTTACATCTTAGAACTGAAGTAAGAACATCTTAGAACATGTTAGAACATCTTAGAACATGTTAGAACATGTTCGAACTGACACTCACGGCCCAAATATAGCATTTTTCTCATCTACACCAGTGCCCGGTGTTTTTTTTTTAAACCGACCAAGGCCGCAACTGGGACTTTTTCCAGAGGCCCTGACCACGGTGAAACGCTGCAAGTTGAGGAGGTTGGATCCCACATCTCCCAGGTGCAGCCTGGCAGCTGGTGATAAAATCATCGCTGGTTGATGTTTCATTGGGAGATTCCGTATATGCAAGTGTTTTAAGTTTGTATATACAAATATATAGATATATAGATATATGATATAATGTGTTTTGTTTTTTTTAATGATGTCAATTTCTCATGTATACAGTAAATACATATATTTCTTTATACATATAATATATTTATCGGAGATTCCGTATACGACAAATCCACGATGTGGGAATCCCCCGCCTGCGAAAAAATCAGTGGTCCTTGCTCAGAGGCTCGGAGGTTTTCAGAAATCCTTCACCAGTTGGTAGCGGGATTCCCATGAAACACTGTGGCTATGATGAGATAAACCATCAGGAGAGCAACTGAGCCTCAATTGCGGATGTTTTGTTTGCTTGATGCTGGTGAACATTGGTGAACTGGGCGGTTTGGTTGCTGTAGGTTGCTATGGTACTGTGGCAACAATGATGAAGATGATGCTGCAATGCCCTATAGCTACGATAAGATAGGATTCAACTCTGAATTTAAGAACCCTAAGCAAGGCAAATCTCGAACCTGCTCCACCTGACCTTTTTCCATTGGTGGCCATGATCCCAATCTCCATTCGTTTCTCCAGGTCTAACGGAGGCTTGGAGGAGGGCGCGGCGGATTTCTTGGTGAATACCAAGCTGGGTATGAATGGCCTCACTGAGCTGTTGGCACGCCTGGAGAACTTGTCTCACATCCTGGCGTGGAGTGACCGTGTCGCTTGGACTTTTCACGGGTACGCTTTTGTGAAGGGGCTATTTCCTGCTTGGTATTTCCAGGAAAAACCGGGGAAAAGGATGGCAACATCACTTGGGGATCAATCCTTGGGACATGCCCTTGAGCTATTTTGTTCATCACCACCTACGGCATTTTTGGTGATGGAACCCTATTCCCAATGTGAACCCTATTCATGGTCACTTGCCATAAGCTTTTTGTTGCTTAAACCGCAGTTTCTTGTTATGGGTATCTCCCCCAATGTTTGCACCCCATCTACCATTCCTATAGCAGTGAGAATAGTGAGAGACGTCCTGAGCCTAGGTATTCTTGATCGTTTTCTATGGTTTTCTCATGTTTCCCAGGTCCATCCATTGCATATTTCTATTGTTTCTGTTGGTGTCCCATGTTTTGTGCCTACACTTATGCCCCTTTACATCCCGAATTACGAGTTTTAAGTCAGTTGTAACTCCATTTATAGAATGATAACCACATTTACAACCAGTTACAATCAGTTATAACATGTTAGAACTGGTCAAAGGCATGTAAAGGGGCTTTAATTGTACCCTTGGACACGTTTTCCCAGGTGGATGGCAAGGGTGGAGTGTCTCGCATCGAGCTGCCACGCCTCTCGCTGTCCTTCACACGCGACGGCGGCGGACGCTTCTACTGCGACCAGTTGGCAGGGCATTGGAAGCTCAGCAGCAGTGTAGCCCCATGTTTGTGTTTTGGTTTTTGACTATGGTTGTTACAAAGGTATTTGACTATGGAATGACACTTATGTGATATTGTTTGACTATGACCTTTCTGGAGGTTTGCTGAAATAGGGGTACCCCCAGTCATCATCCCATTTTAATGGTGTTTTACATGAAATAAACCATCCAGCTTTTGGGGTACCCCCATTTATGGAAACCTCCATATGTTGGAGTTTGAATTAGTCTGACTATGACTATGTGGTATATTTGTATGTATTTCTTATGGTCTCTGGTACCTTAATGGTTTTTGACGTCATAAGGTATTGGACTAGTCCTAGCAATGACACTTATGGATGCCAATGCCATACCATCCCCAATGGCACAAACCATCCCCAAGTCCCGGTGATGGCATTGGGCTCATCATTAGTAAGCAGCATCTACAGCAGTATAGTGATGAAAAAAGTATGTCAAAGCACCTCATTTTACCCGACATCACTGAAAAGGGTTGCACGGTTTTAGGCCTTAAGAAATATCGTTTGGGGTTCAGGGTGGTCCCTTTATTTTTTCGTGGCGGGTTTAGGGCTTTTGGTTTCGAGTTAAAGGTCCGAGGGTTTTAGTCAGGATGACTCGTGCAAAGAAGCACAGGTCCCCTACCTGAGCTTCTTGGGAATGCCAGAATGATCCATTATCTACAGTGTTTTGAGAGTGTCTCAGTTAAATTGAGGTGTTTAAGTATATATATATATACAGGATATAGAGAAAGACACTGAAATGTTAAGTTTAAACTATTAACTTTGGAGTTACGTGTTTTCTCCTGGTCACGTCATTTTTTTGGCAAATGTCAGTAAATATACTGCACATGTATGGTACGAGTTATATTATCAAAAAAAGCAGATGGACCTTGGTCAAGAATGAAGCCGGATGGAGATGGAATGTTCATTTTCTAGCAACAATCCAATTTGGGTGGCGTGGCCACATTTTGAGCCATACGAAAAAAAACTGAAATCCGGAGATATCTTCAGATATTGCCGATTTGTGTCCAATATATTCATGTGTATTTCACATGTGTTTCACATGTGTTTCACATGTGTTTCACATGTGTTTCACATGTGTTTCACATGTGTTGCCCAATAGATACCAATGTTTGTACCCGTGGGTATCCCCGAGGGTTTAACATCCCGTTGTGTCTCCAGGATTTTGGAAAATCCCGAGTCCACTTCTGTGCCGGTGCACAAACTTTTAGCGCATTTTGGTGGTGGCTCAGTACTCCTGGGCACAGGCTGGAGCTTTTTTTTTCCCGGGAATGTACCTATAGGAACTAGATAATCTTTGGCCCCTAAAAAAAGTACTTCGGATTCCCAAGATCGAATAAGTCTTGGACATGTGTTACTTTTCATTGGAGGCTTTGGGTTGATATATTTGAATCATAGATCCACGAATCAGGGAATTCTCCATGAATATATCTTCAATTATCTCCCAGGGATTTTGATTCGTAGAATTAAATATGATAACTTATCCCATAGGATCCATGTATGCTATATATATGCTAACATTTACCATCAATATACCCCAGTTATGTTAGCATATATACCAGCACCATGGATCCTATGGGTATAATCACGCATAAAAAATCGGTGATTTTCCTGGACTATCCCCACTTGGATGATCTTGCCGTCCAGACTATGTGACTATGGCCCAATTCTAGCTGACGCTGAAGGAACTGTTCACGTGTTTCAATTCAAACCATCTATACACTTAATATTGGTAATATGTTTGGATTTCAAGGATGTTAAAAATTACAACATGTATAGTTAAAAGTATGTTGCATTTCAAGGAAGACATATGAGAGATCATATAGATATTGCCAATCTCTTTGGTTCCGGTTCCCAAAGCAAACATCTGAAAAAGACACGTCCGATACACATCGAACCTCCCAACAAACTGCCGAACACCATGGCTGGATCCTTATAATCCACTTCACGTGCAGTACTTCTAAAATGGCTCTACAGGGGTGATCTCCATGGTCAATTGCAGTCAAAATCGCCATGGGTTTTACTCCATGGCGCAGGTGATGGAAATCTGGCCATTTTGGTGAGCGCCTTAGCGCAGCCCTTGCGCCCCTGGGCGTTGGGCGGTGCCCTTGGCGCCGCCGGCAGCGGCCCCGCTGAGGAGTTTCTGCCGGGGCAGTTGCTGCTCCGCCGCGCCAGCGGCGCGTGGGTGGAGCGCCTGAGGGAAGGCCCGGGGGCTCTGGAGCTTTGTGAATTGGTGGGAAATCGATGGAAATCCGGTGCAATTTAGTTTATAACCATCCTGAAGTAGAACATCAACATTTCAATAACTTTCAGAAATGTCGTTTTGGGAGGATGTTTCGAAATATCCATAGTCTATCTAACTCCATGACTACAAGTGTAAAAGTGGTTCAGGAAGTATGTTGAATTTTGCCATGATTATTTGTGAGGCCTAGGTGCCTAATGCAAGGGTGATTCATAAAATTGGTCTTGAATTGGCGATGCGAAATAGGCTACTACTTCTGCTAAAAGAGAGTTGGGGATGAAAACTGATCAATTGGGGCAACCAATGTTGCCTGGTAGTTCTTTCTTTATTTTAATCCGTACTTGAGATGATCTTTTTGGATGATGTACTGTAAGCAATTCTGAACCAGCGATAAAAAAAACTGAATGCAGAAATGATGTAATTATGATATATAGTTTGATTCGGGTACTACATGTTCAGTGGTTATAGCAATTCGATTTTTATCTCAAATATAGCCGGATATTGCAAAGTTGGAAAAATAAACGTTTAGCTATCATACAGACAAGTTGGGACCTACAGATTGTTTGGCAATGTTTCCTTACACTGCTATCAGAGCCCCTAAATTTTGTTTCAGCTTCCTCAAAATGTCCACGGAGCGGTGAAACGTGGAGGTTCCAGATATTATTGCTATCCACTTCACCGCTGCAGCATGATGGTCCCTTGGTGACGCTTCGACGGATAACTGCTGTCTCCAGAGCACCGGAGTTCGACGGGAATGGAAGGTTTGGAAGGGCATCGTACTTCGAGAAATTCTGTGGGAATGGAAGTTAATGGCCTGTTTTTTGGTCACAGGTTCAAGGGGATGATGACGGCATGAGCTAATTTCCGCAACGAAAACAGGTGGATCCTTTGTATAAAATACACATATCATTTGATGGTCAAATCAGTTGATATCTCAGCCGCTACCCCACCTGAGTGAAACAACCACAACTGACTATCTTAGATACTGAATTTGACCCATTTACATGTTGGGTAACTTAAGTGGGTCATAACTTCGGTACCAACCCCATTTCAAACGCCCGACTCTGCGGTCGCAGCTCCCTAGGTTTTCACGCCAACTCCAGCGGCGGCACTGTGCCTTGCGGCAAATTAGGTCTGCCGTGTCTGAATCAGGGGGATGTGCCCTCCACCCCGGGGCACTTTGATGGGAACATCATCTCCATCATCTATAAATAGCGAATTTTCCATTGCCATGCTTGATTACCAGAGGGTACATGCTTGGTCCCAATTTCTGGCTATTTACCGTGGAAGATATCTCCGATTTCTGGTTATCTACCTGGGAAGATATGGTAATATATGGTAACATTAAGTCTGAATCCATTTGAATCATTGGAACTCTTAGAACCCATTGGAAGCATTTGGAATGGGACCATTGAAATTTGGAGCTTCATTTATGGCCATTGGAACCCAAATTTGGGGCCCCATTTTTTTGAGGTACTGGCAATGGAAGAGCCCCCTATGTTGATTGGGAACTGGCAATGGGAGATGATTGATCGGATCTAATGAGCAATGCTACTAGGCTACTGATTAGATTAAATATGGCAAGGGGATCGCTTATAAAATATCAATGTTCAATACTAGCAATCATCTATATTGAAAACATGGCGTTTCCATTGTCGGATGACAATGCAACGCAGTTGCAGAACATGAAATTGCCCCCCAATCCATCAGTTTTCACCATCCTTGGGGTGGTCTGCCGCTGATTTGTGCCACTTTCAAATAACATGGCTGGTACAATTGGTCTCAATGATAGTGGCAAGTGGTCTCAATGATAGTGCTGATATCATATTATTAATGGATCATTCTACCTAATATCCCCATGATTAATGGACCATTATACCTAATCCATAATCATGGGGATATTAGGCATGTAGTATAGCTATTTATGGGTAATATCCCCATGATTATTGGATCCAATAATAGCATAACATGTTCCCCATATTAGTTCTTGAGCCAGGGGCGATCGCCAGGTATTTGTTGCTCTGCCGCTATCTCACCTGGCACTTTGAAGAAGTGGTGGCCATGGCTGGGGCTATTTGCGAAGTGGTGCGTCCCGAGGAACAGCAGCTGTGGGAATGTCGCTGGACCATGCTGGACCCGCCGATGTCTTTGTTGGGTCCGCCATGGAGGGTTTAATGTTAAGGATGGGATTAGTAGTTTACTTGTAAGATCTTATAGCATCTTATAACTTCATCATTTCAATATATATATATATATACACATATGATGTATATAAAAATACCTGGAAAACCATTTGAAGACAACATTTTCTGTCCGTATGGGTTTGGCTTTTTTTTTAATATGGCCATGTCCGGCTGTTTTCCTGCAATTGTGGATTAGCCGGACTGGTTCCGGGCAGTATGAGCTCGTCTAGAGCCAGGATTTCGGGGCAGTATTCGGGGTATGTTGAAAATTGTTGAAATATGGTTACTGTTTCTAGATGTTTCTAGTATTTTATGGCTACACCCAAATTTGGCGGCCATTTTGGGCTGAAGTTCCTCTTTTGGTGGAGGCTGTCGCAGGATGTCAGAACCCGGGGCTGTCATACCATTTGAACAACCGCTCACAATCAAAAACGCAAATGCCCATTTGAACACAAACAAGTCCGGGTAAACCATGATGGACCAACAAAAACTTGTCCGCAGTTCCCAGGTATATATATATATATAAATGTATGTATATATATATAAATAAGAATATTGTTATATATGTCAATATACAAACATATATAACCCATAGGATCCATGTATGGTATATATGCTAACATTGGGGGTATATTGATGGTAAATGTTACCATATATAGCATACATGGATCCTATGGGTAATTATATACCTCACTTCCCAAGTCCAGGCAGGATCCTTCCAGGCATCCCCAGACGGCCCGGAAAACCGCCGGAAAACGCGCAACCGAGGTCTCAGCGTCTTGCAGGGCGAGTGCCACGCGGACGCCGTGGCCTGTCGTCTCCAGCTGACCTTGGCATCGCTGCCCTTTGGCAAACACGCGCGGCCGCCCTGGGACGTGGCCAAGCAGCTGCTGGAATACTCTGCCAAGAGGACGACTTGGGGAGAATTGTGAATGCTGAGGGAAAGTGGATCTGGATATATTTTGATGTGTAATTATATATATATATATATTCGGTCTTGATAATAGGTTTTATATATCTTGATGTACCATCTGATACCGGGATCTTGATATGTGCAACTGGGAAAATATGATGGAACATTAAGATGCATTAAGAGCTATTTGTTGGGAAACATCCTGAAAGGAATCAAAACTACCATGGTTCCAATGGTCCTACCGTATGACCACCATACGTGGATCAATCCTGGAAGCCCTGGGTCTGTTGCCCATCGGTCTAGAACTGTTAGTAGCCATATATAGTTATAATAAACTTGACCCACATATTTCTAGGTTATACAAGATGACCTCGTTATGTTTAACTTAAGCAACTTATCAACTTATCTTTCACGGCTAGCAGTGCACCATCGACCCATAGCTCGTAGGCATTTGGTCTCAGCTGGTTGCGCATTGTCGGTTTCACAAGAGTTGCTGCTGCACAATCTACCGGAACTGCAGGTGCTGGGGTGCAAGTTTGTGTCAAATACCTAAGGGTTTATTGTCAATAACAAGGGGTTCTAGTGATCTATTAAATTATCAATATTAAATATATTAGGGATCAGCCAACAATCCACAATTGGAATTTAGCTGCGCAGTTGTTGATTTAGCTATCAAGCTATCGGTGATTCCATGGCTCTGCCCATGCTCCATGGTGCCATGGTACTTGGACTATTCTTGGACTATTCTTGTGCTAAATGTTGGTGAAATGTTCCAGCACCATGGTTCGCATTTGGGTACTCTTTGTATAAACATGTCATGCTTCCCATCCACCGCAGAGAATTTCTATGGCCCGGGAAGTCCTGATGGATCCAAGTTTCCTGCCATAGTCTCATGCTAACGGATGGAGCATGATGGAACTACTGGGGCATTGGTTCCCCGACATATCGCCATATCGTTATGGGAAAATGCGGATTGAGGTACCAAACTCATAACCGTCAACCAGTTAGCCACAATTGTGAGGCCATTCCCCACTAGACATCTCGTCACGTCGCCTTCGCAGGCGGCCAGCAGTCCTCTCCTGGGCAGCCGCCGTGCTGTGCTGGAATGCCTGGTAGTGCCTTGATTTTGTAACCATCTGAAGGGGGTTTTTTGAAAGACAGCTGGAGGATCATCCCACGAATCGAAAGTCAATAAACCTGGTGAGTAAGTCCCCTTTCTTCATGGCTTATCCCATTTACAAATGGATTAAAACATATTCAAACTATGGTCATTGGCCACTTATGATTTGTGTGATCCTCCAAGCCACAGAAAATGGACGGAGTTGAGTTCAGAGGCACTGGATCTTCTACTATTTTGTGAACTTGAACTGCTTGTTGATGATAGACTCTGATAGATGGGAGACGGGCACCCTGATGTTTAACAACCAATGTATAGATTGGACCAAGTACACGATTTTCTGAAAACGACATTGTGCTATTACAATCTATTGTATAATATTGTTTATTCCCCGATAGTAAATTGATGCGGGACCATGGTTAGTTCCCCATGTCTCCTGTGCAAGTCGTCACAACATTCCTATTTGGAAAAAAACGGGATTAAAGCATCCTTGATGATACATATGGTGCACAAAATCAACATCATTGGTTAAAACCGCAAAACATGTCCAGAATTCGTGCAGGGCTTCAATTTGATGGTTCCTGTGTTTTTATGCCGTTGTCCTTTTAGCTCGGTTGATTGGAAATGGCTCAACAATTTGTAGCCTCCGGCTATCAAAGATGGCAATGGGAAATCCACTGTTTTTATGCAGGTGTTTTTCATGGGCATATCATCTGTAAATGAGGCATTTTCCACTGCCATGTTTGAGTACCGGAGGCTACAAAAAGATCCTACACATATTGGTTCCATATGTTGAGGTTCCATCAGTATCCCAACCAGCCGGTTGAGGCAGCTCAGCGTAGTGGACAGCAAAGCTCACTGGCCACTTTGCTGAAGTGTTGGGGCGATGGTTGGTTCTGTGAAGCGCTTAAAGTGGTTGAAATCGCCACGAATTGCAAGCTAAATCCCCTTTGATCTATGAAAAATGGTAAACCCTGAACTAGGAACCATATAACAGAGTTTAGCATGTTCGGTTTGGATGCGCCTTGCGAAAAAGCAATTTACATCACAGGGAATATCCATGACTTATGGTTAGTTCAAGTCAGCACAATACTTTCCAAGTTTCAACTACCCCATCATTCATGAATGATTTTCGTTCGTAAGGGGAACCCTTAATACAAATACTGCCTATTCTAGTGTATTTCACTTATTTCAATGACTCTTCAGTTGCTTTTCACTATCAAAGGCTGTTTCCAGAAGAATTGGCCCCGCAAGTTTGCGGGTTCAATGTTGAAATACAAAGACACGTTCCAGCCCATCTGTGGAGATTCCACATGGTTCCATATTCAAGAACCAAGATTTATAATGATTTATATTAACTAGAAACGTCCATGAAAAATAATATCACCATTCGCAAAAAAGGGGCTGCAACATTTTATCAAAAAGGCGAAAAAGCCATCCCAAGGCTCTCAACTTGGGGGTGCATCCCAGGTGGGTTATCACCTGAGGCTCAAAGAATGAGTGTCATCATACTTGCGGTATACGTAATATTATAACCATAGTAAATGAGCAATCATAAGGTGAACAAACATATATATATATATTTATATATTATATATTATATATATAATATATTATATATTATATATATTATATATTATATATTATATATTATATTATATATAATATATTATATGTATATATATATTATATTATATATTATATATTATATTATATTATATTATATTATATTATATTATATATATAGAATTCGAAAACCCTAATGTAACCATGGGATACATCACCATAGCATAGTATTATGACCCCTTAGGGGTTGTGGCTAGGCCAAACCTGATCCAATTCAGGTCATACCCTTGGGTCCCCAGCTGGACGATCTGGGCTTCGACCGTCAACGGAGCCGCGAGCTGCTGGGGGAGGTGGGCTTCTTCACGCGCGTGGCGTGTTCCATGCAGGGCCTGACCTATACCAGGTGCGCTTTCCTGGGCGCCGGGCCCAGGGAAATATGGAGAAATTGAGCATCAAAGGTAGGGATTTCATTGGGAAACATGGTGAGATCATGGCGATATGAAGGGAATTGTTTAGTCAAAATTGAACCAGGAATAATGGTGATACATTGGTGATATGGGATAAGATAGCTAACCATCTTGATATGTGTCTGAAAATGGTGGATTTACTCCCCAATTATGACTCTACATGTTGAAAGTGATGATTCGCTGGTGAGTGGAATGGGGTACCTGTTTCTGACAAACCCATTGTGCCTGATTTTGAGGGACGTGAAATACCCCTTGTGAAATTATTATATAAAGATGATACTTTTCCACGATGTTTTCCATGTTTTTTTGCACAGATTTGATTTATGGATATTTATGGGAACGCCTTCAACCGCAGCTACGGGTCGACCGATCCCCTCCCAGGCCTGAGGGTGAACGCCCCGTCCTGGAAGGGTCTGCGGCCTTGCGTTTCTTGGATGCGCTCTTCGGTCGTATGGGCGCTGCTGGGACGGGGGGTCTCCTGGCGTTCCGTGGCTCGTTCTTTCTGCTCTACGAGCTCTTCACCGGGACCCTGGAGGTGAAACTCTTCCCGGATGACAACCCGGGGATCTTGGCGTCGGTACCTTGGGCTTGAAATTTTGGGTCTGTTTTTACTGGCAAGGTTTTGGATTGAATCTTCAATTAGAGTTGACTTAGTTAAACTAGTTGTTCAACGGTTCAACATGTTTGACATGAGAGTTTGGGAGTGATTGAATGTGAATTTCACGTGCAATGGACCTATTCTTTATTCTTGTGGATTCTTCTTGACAGTTGTTGCGCTCATGTCCTGCGCCAGTCATTCTCATACTCATACTCATAGTGCAGAAAAGTCATTCTGTACAATTATGATGCTGATTTGAGTCTCTCTCTCTCCCTCTCTCTCTCTCTCTATCGCCTCTCTTTCTCTCTCACCTCAATCAATCTTTGCTTTTTAAGTTAATCATGATTTTCGCAATCATCCACCATATACTTGTGTTAGATACTAAGTCATCCTTAAGCATCAACCATCATATTCAACCATGTTCAACCATATTACATAACCATAAGATATGAAACATAACTATGGCAATCCTTAACCATGCTTAACCATAACATATTGGTTTGTCTTAAAATAAGCTACCTCTAAATCCAATGGTTTATCATCATTTTCCCTAGTAAACATTATATGTGTATAATTTATCCAATGATTACATCATAAGCTATCCATAGTTTATCATAATCCAATGGTTTATCATAATTTATCATAAATTTTATTGTAGACGGTCTATCATAATTTATCAACATTTATCATGACTATAAAAAATGGTTAGCCAATGGTTTATCATAAATACGATGATAATTTAATGGTTTATCCTCATGTTCCTTAGTCAAATGCCATTTTTTTGGGGAAAAAAACCGGCAGAGCCTATTCTCAGACACGTCCTCAGTCCTGCATGGCTGAGGCCCTGCTGCGTTTGATGTTTGGCGCTGAGAATTTCACCATGGACATGGAGCAGGCCACAACTGAATAACACATGTATATATTGTATATATATATAATATCATATCACATATATATATATATACACATTAATTATTTATCTATATTTATATCTAAAAATTGTTGTTAATGTTGCTAACTAGTTAAAATACATCACTACATTAAGATTTGCGAATGTATTATCATGCATGATGATTAATATTGTACTATCACATAACATGATTCAATAATGATTTGTTCTCTTTATTGATTATATATAGATCATATCATTTTTATGATATATTATGTTCATTCTGAACATGTTCATCGTTAGTATAATGATTATACAAACATATTCATAATATCATATTAATTATGATATCATTTTTTTTAAATAGGTGGTAAATGGTTACCATTCCAATGAAAATTTCAGTGGTTTATGGCATTGGAAAATCCCAACGAAAAAAAGGCGGTGTTGCGCGCCCTGGACTCCACGCCGGAGCTCTCTTCCGAGATGCCGCTCTGGGGCTCATCGGCCACCAAGAGGACCTGGCAGGCTGACGGTGGGACCCGGTGTGAAAGGCGAAGGGCCATGGAGCTAACATGAAAATGGCACTATGATAGTTACCCTCTGGTAATGATAGGATTAGCTATGATTATGGTTTATGATACAACTATAGTTGATGGGATTTATAATCCAATTTACCCTCTGGTAATTTGGTACATAGCTATTGAAAATGGCTATTTATAGTTGATTTACCCATGAAACAATCGTTATTTTCCATAGTTGTGTTAGTTTACCAGAGGGCAATGTACAGAATGTATCATGTGGACTAATGTAATAATGAAGTAACTAACATCATTATCCATAATGATGCGTACTTACTTGATCATAATAGCATAACATATCACAAATAGCACTTTGTGATCACGAATTGTCACTATTAAATAACTGCCATGCAACCATGGTATTTTGTTGAAATCATATGGTCCTGCAAATTCCGTAAATTGCGATAAATGCCATGGAATTGGTATTCACTATTTATAGTGCTGCAATGGTACGCCATTAAAAGACAAGACACATATATAGATATGTACAGTAAATAGTGCACATGGAGTTGGAGGTATACCTCTTTCATAATATTGGGTTACGGCTAGAAAATTCAATTTTGTGTTCACGTCAGCGAAAGTCAACACAAACGTGTTTGAGTCATCCCTAATACATTGAAGATCCAACCTTTGTAGACAAGTTTTTTTTTGCAATTTTGATAAGCTCTGGGAATAAAGGAAATGGTTCAGGAGGGTTACAGGTGAGAGTACAGATAAGGGTTGCCAAACACCAGTTGTCGCCTGATTTCTTGGTTCCAGAGGCGGTGATGATCTGCCCAGATGCAGCTGTCACACATAGTTTCAATGGGGTGCCCTTCAAATCCATTGGTTTATCATGTTCCGTCTCAAAATAGCCATAACATGGACGCATGCCCCATATTCCTGCATGTGAAAGGCCAAAAGATCTTAATTTCTGTGGAGGCATTCCCCTTTTTATAGGCCTTCCATAGGTGAAGATGATGTTCATCTTCCAAAAGTTCCATGAACAATCCCTATTGAGGACCACGACGGTCATATACTAGGTTCTTTCAGGCTAGAAATGATGAAAACAATCCACAATAATCCATAACCTAGTTCGGATCGTGTACTTGTTGAAAAACATGTTTCTGACATATGAACTTGAAGACTGAACCATTCGAGATAATCCATAATGTGGTGAACCCAATGATAGACCTACAGTTACTGGTTATATCCCATTATTTCTTCATTATCTATACCGTATATACCCATATGTATATCCCCATTGTATCCCCATTAGTGGCAAAATCCCATTATATAGCTATATACCAATATTATATACTATTGTATCATCATATTCATATTATATTCCAATATGCTTGGGGATTATACTAATGCTACATATGGGATTATCTTACAGTTTCAACATATTATAGGTTGGTATATCATATACCAAAAAATGTGTCATATGTAAAAACTGTAGGATAATTCCATATGAATTATTAAGTAGAGAACCAAGTAACATTCCTTAAGTTGTTATATATATATATATATATTATACCCTCTGCTAAACTAACATAACTATGGAAAATCATGGAACATCCACCATTTTTCATGGATAAATCAACTATTTCTATGGCAATTTTCTATGTCGCAAAGCGGTCTTCTCCAAGCTTCAGGTTGGAAATCTCATCCGCTTGGACCACGACTCTTCGAGTCGTTTGTTGCGCAGCGCCATGAAGCACTTGCGTCAGCAACAGACGCTGACGGCGCAGGGAACGCAGGGAACTGGAGATGGGATATGATGATATATTAGTTTGATAAATTAGACTGTAATTAGGGGATATAGTCTGATAAACAATTTTTATCAAAATTATGGGATATATTATTATTAGAGTATATATATATATATTAGTTTGGTGAACATGATTTATCAAGCATATTATGGGATATTATCTGATATAGTTGATAATTGATGGTCATTAACATGAACATAATATGGATATATATATATGCATATTTAGTTGCTGGATTTTGGTTGAAACATTTGTAAGCAACAACTATGTGAGCCAGTGCAAATACCCCTTGTTGATTGATTAAAATGGGATTTGAGTGGCTTATAGTGGTTACTTGGAGATTACTGTACTACAATCTATAAAAAAGAACAGCCATTTACCCAGTGGAATGAAAGAACGGGGGTTGTATGTACTCATACGGTGATGGATCAAGGTACGATGTTCGATGTTTTGGGGGATGAACAGTCAAAAATCCCAAAGGTACCAGGGTTTTTGACTCAGTTCACCATATCGCAGTGACATAGCTGCTAATAACCATGTCAAATATGTTCTCCAATTATATATTGGATATATTTTCAGCTATACATCCCAGTTACTGAGTGTAAGACGAATCAAAAAGGATTTCCCACCCGATCCACAAAGAATGGGGACAATGAAGGTAGGCATGTGAGCCAAGATAATGTTGTTCTGTAAACAAGACAGGTAGCACCTCTGTTTTTTTTACACAAGAGACTTAAAAGGGCGTACTTAATTTTTAACGGTGGTCAGAATATGTTCATTGAACACATGCAGATCTGATACAACAATTTGTAGGTAGTTTTTCAAGATCTACAAGGGTCATAAAGGCGATCTTCAGCGATCTCATCCATCCAATTTGCCCAGCCCCCAGGAAGTACTTGCATCCCGTGCGCCGCTACGAGAGCTTTTCCCCCGCCGATGGTAAACTGGTCATCGATCCCCACGACATCGACCATAAACGCCACTGGTCACCGCCCTTGACGCAGAATGTGAACTGCCAAAGTCGGGGATTCAGCTACGGCTCTCAGGCGCGTCAAAATGGAAGTGGGATTCAGCCGAACAAAGAAATCAGGTGGGTTACCCATAAGTTCAATATATAATTACTATATCAAAGTTCATATAGCAATGAAGAAGTACCCCATATGCTCCATGGTGCTGGAATATTTGTCAACATTTGTCCTAAAAAAATCACCCAAATATAGGTGAATATACCAGCACCATGGAGCATATGGGTATACTAGATCTATCCATGTTAATTTTCTGACATTTCTATCAAAATTAAGGTCCCCCCCTCAAGCAACTGGAGGGTTAAACCACGTTTTTTGGGTTAACAGTTGATGCATTACCATCAAATAATATTTTAAGTTCATGGAATGGTTCATTTCATCATTTCCAAAAAGTACTGTACCTTAAAGTGATTGATTGTTGTATGGTGTATATGGTTTACTATTTGCAGATCCTTGGATGAATCTTGGCTAGGTCAGTAAATTCGTTCTACCCTGACTTTTTTTTAAAACAGGATATCAATCCCGGTCGGCAAACGTTGAGCGATATAATTGATATAGTTATACAAAAACGCCGGAACCTCAGGAACCATCCAATTTTTGAATTTCCACAACTCTGTTTGATGCTAAACCATCCAAGGTGTGGCTAAAACCATGGTTTTGACCCATTGCCACAGTTTCACAGTACGCAAAATGGTAGATATTGTCTTGAATTTCAATGGTCAAAAGCATGTCTCATCAGAAACAACATGATCGAATGACGACTCTTTCGTTGGGCAGGTATTCAAACCTTTGGCCATGCCACGGTTTGTTGATAGCTTTAGCCTCCTTTAAAGTGTGTTCCGTTTGTGGAATTGCAACAGTTCAACGTCCTGCAGTGCACCGCAGGATAGCTTGAAATGCTTGGGATCTCGACCATTGGCTCAGCTCCTGCAAAGTTCCTGCGGAGAGATCGGAGAGCAGTCTGAAGAATTGAAGCAGGAGGGCTGTTGCTGGTTGTCCATGGTCTGCCGTTGTAATTAATGGTGACATGATGGGTGGGATTTGTTTCTTAAGATTGGTTTCCCCAGTAAGAATTGCAATTTGTTGGATGATTTTGGATCCACGTCAATTTTAAGAAACTGCCATCTCAAAATGTGTTGGGATATTCCCTTTTTTTACAGATGTTTACTTGTTGACTTCCCTATTTTTGGGGGTAAACAATGAAGCGCTAAGTTTTGGTTTTCCACTTCCTCAGCATTTCTCCAGAAGCTTCCCATCAAGACATACAATCCCAAAATCTTAATTATATCCTACTATATCCCACTAGAATCATGTAAAACACAAATAATTCAACTATATGGTCTTCCCATGAACTATAACCATCTAAAACCCATAATTCTCCCATAAATCCCAGTATATCCCACCACAATCTCATATGTTCCACATATTTCCCACGTTTTTCCCCGTTGAAACTTCCCAAAAACTCCAGCCCAGCCTTGGAGGACCAGGACGTCCTGTCCTTGCGCTCCTGGCTGCAGAAGCTGCGCAGTGCCCAGGCGGATCCCAACTTTCGCTTCACGTCGCTGCCACCGGGGCAGCGGACCCTGGAGCGGCTGCTGCTGGAGTTGTAGGTCTTCGAGCAGAAACCAACGCGCCTTGGTCTCGTTAGTCTCGTTGATCCATGGATTTCATGAGTTGATGGTTGCTTTTTGTTGGGCGGTTGGGCATGGACAAAACGAATTAGCCTCTGGTAATCAAACATGGCTTGCTGGAAAGTCCCTGAGCTAAATCCGGTTCTCCGAAAAAATCGGGGAATTCTTGGCTACCCCCCGACAAGGTATAACATGATTGGCCAATGTTAGCCAAATCCAATCCCAAAATATCAAACCAACCCCAGGAGCCCGCACCGTCTGCTTCAGCAGAAGTTGCTGCGCTGCGATTTGTCCAAGCTCCAGCAGAAGCTGCGTCAACAAATACAGCAAGACTCCGAGACAGCCACAGGCGCCGGGTGGGTTTGGACCCTTGAAGTTGACCTTTTTGTTGGGGTTTTCGCCAGGATTTCAAGCGAAACCAGTGATCTCGAAAGGTGATCTTATAGTGGAAGGTCCTCAAAAAATCACCGAAATTTATGGATTGGAATTGATCACTGATCACTATTTTGGGTGTAAAAGACCTAAGGTCAGAAACAGTGGTGAAATGGCACCTGGTCGGTGAATGTACCTACGAAATGGTGGGTGGAACACATTGGTATGTGATTGAGAACATATATAATAATTCACCATGGTATATATTTTATTGGTATATTAGTGAAAATTCACCATCAGTATAGTTAGTTGATGTTAATGGAAACAAAACATACTTTTATACGATTTATGGATACTTGAGGGTCAAGGTGCGCGCGTATGTAGGAAGGATAGTGTAATAAAACAACATTTAGATCCATAGGGGAAGGTCAAACATTCTAGCCATCTGTGTTGGTGTGTAGGCGTGTAGGTGAGGACTCGACATGATACCGCTTTCCGTGCATTTCTTGCATGATCTGAATTATGGTGTTTCTTCCCTGCCCTGATCATGAGGATTCTTGGGACAAATATTGGGAAGGACCTAGTGACTTTGTGATTTACTGCTTCAGGACTTCGAATTCATGAACCATGAAAGCTGTGCAGCTATGCAAGACAGGCATTCTGATTCTGGATTTGTATCAGAACTCTCCAAAGCTCGGTGTACCTCAACGAAAATACACTTCAACGTGATTCTGTTCCAGACTCAAATTCCAGTCAAGTCATTTTGTCAAAATGACTTGACGGAAAATTTGTGTTTGGTCGTAAATACTCTACAGGTGTTCAGTTAAAACGTCCATAGCCCCATCCTCCTTTTTATTCATGCATAATTCCTTTATTCGAGCCATTCTACATATTCTACTCCCAACTGTTGATTGTTAAATATATACAAAGCAATATACTATACAATAAGCCATTCTACTCCCAACTGCTGATGGTTATATTCTCTTAAATAAATTTTGAGCCATCTTAAAGCAATTAAATCATATTGAATCATCTTGAGTCACCTTAGATCATCTTGAATCATCTTGCGTCATTTTGAATCATCTGGGGTCATCTTAAATCATCTCAAACAATCTTGAATCATCTTGACTCATCTTAAACCATCTTGACTCATATTAAATCATCTGAAACCATCTTGAGACATCTTAAATCACCTTAAATTGTCTTGAGCCAGCCTGAGTCATCTTGTGTCATCTTGAATCATCTTGAATCATCTTAAATCATCTTGAATCATCTTAAATCATCTTGAATCATCTTAAATCCCCATTTTGGCTCCTTAAAAATTCTACAAAAATGCCCAACACAGGTCACATCCTCCAAGTCGTTCATGCCGCCAACGCGGGTCCCGCGGGCGATTGGCTGCGGCGACGCTGCGGCGTCTTGGCGCATCTGAGCTTCAGCAGCTTGGTGGCGGCGCTCATGGCGCAGGACGCGACGGCACCATGGTTTTGAAGCCCTGCAAAACGGTTGGGAAACATATGGAAACATTGTGGTTTTGAACCCTCGGATTTCGCATGTTGAGATATAATACCCATAGGATCCATGTATGGTATATATGCTAACATTTGGGGTATATTGATGGTAAATGTTACCATGTATAGCATACATGGATCCTATGGGATATGATGTAAGCCTTATATTTGTGTTTTTTCCCATGTTTTTCCTCCACGCTTTACTGGAACTTCCAAATGGGAAAGCGGATGGGCATCCCAGTTAGTAAATATTGTTGAACCCACAAAAGAAACTGCCCATGTCCCACAGATTTACATATATATATATATGTATATATATATATATATATACAAGTGGAGTTTTTGATATAATATATGGCTATGAATGTGCTACCCACTTACTAACTATTGCAGAAGAAGATGTTATGATATTGGGGTCTTCTCTCTAGCCATTCAGCGCAATTCCATCGTTGATCATCGTCTTCCAGACGAAAATTACAATGTTTTGAGGGTGACATTAGTGACATTCATCATTTCAGACACATCCAGTTATGATCTCGTTAGTTAGTTGTATATTATCTTATATCATGTTATCATGTTCAATCATTATATCATGTTATATCATGTTATAACATGTTATATCACGTTATATCCGTTATATCATGATGTGTATATACCAGTGATATCTCATGATATATTGCCATTCCTCACACCTCATTGATCAGCCACCATTCTCCTTATCCACCTGCCAGGAGCCTGAATGCAGCGACGCCATTTGGATCACCAATGAACACTTGAACGAGGAGACGCTGCCGTCCAGGGTGAGCCAATGTCAAGGTACAGGATGGTTGAATAGATATAGTTATAAATATAGCTATGTCATAAATAGTTTTATAAACCCCCAGTTATAATTTGGCTTATGAACCCCATTGACTATATATATATATATAGTTATATCATGTTATATCTACTTGTACCATAAACCATAGAATTCAGTCACTTTTTTTAGGCAAGTGAACGCGAGCTCGCTCGACTGGGCCCATTTTGTAGGATTTTGCGATTTCGCCAAGTCGCCAAGCCAATTTGAGGGCTACTCTTTGAATGGAAAAAATTACGTAAACGATTTTATGGCATAATTTGCCATACAAAATGGTACTATAAATGTTACAAAATGGCGATTTTGAAGGGAAATCCCGAATGGACTCAGTCAGGGTTCAGAAAGTTCTGTGTTTGACAGTGAATTTCCTCATCAATTGATGCATCAGAAAAGTGGATGATTTATATCATCAACTGTAGACTGCGAAGTGGTAGACCATCTTAATCTTGGAATACCTGGAATATTTCGATCTGTACCCACCTTCAGCAAGTGGGTTGTAAACGAATGTGTCAACCGGAACAGCATCTTTCAAGCTCTGTGTCCAAATTCTAGCTGTGCATTACTATTGGAAGTTCCCCAATCTTGCATATATGGGCTCCATATATGGAATATGTTCCAATATTTAACGTAAAAATGACTTACATGTTGGTATATAATTACCCATGTCCTCCATGTATGGAATATCTACCAACATTTGCCCAACATAAATCACCCAGTTTTGTAGGTAAATATACCATATATGTTGGTATGTAATTATACCATAATATTGGTTACTATTGCTGGTCCCCCAATTCGGGCATCAAAGCACCATTTTCTCGAATTAGTCCTCACAGTGTCCGTTCAATCAAGTCAGCCACTGGCGTTGCACTAGGTCAAGCATGGTTCGGTAGCCTAGTGACTTAGTGCAATATGTGCAAGGCCATAAATGGGAAGATAGACACACCACGAGCTATGAATGAACCTTTGGCAAGGTCTCAAGACCATGAGACCAGCGAACATGATCACAGATCAGGATTTGACCACACAATATCACGACGCATTCATTTGGAAAAAGCAATGTCCAAATGATCATTATCCCCACTTATCCCCGCATAATCATGTCACCGTAATTAATTACAATGATCATTTGGGGATAAGTGGGGATAATGATCATTGATACTATCCATTAATATTGATGTGGCAGAATCAATCATACTTTCCAGAATACGATCGAGAATATTATCCATGTGGCGGTATTGTTCCATATTAATCCCAACAATCTCCAAGAGTCATCCAAAAAAAAATCATGATGCTCTCAATCTTCCTCCGTGTCTTTTCTACAAATGCCTAGATACAAAACCACCCAAATGAGAATCGCTAAATAACGAAGCACTCATCAATCATGTTCTCAAGCATGTTTTGCAATTTTCCGAAAAATCAACCTGTGGAAGTTTTTTCTACCCCAAAGATGCTGACAACCGGTACTCGATGTACAAAAAAGGAGGGCAAGACGTTCATAGAATGGCGAACTGCCATGAACATCATATTTGTTCGTTGAATACTCATGTTCATTGGTCAAATGAAGTTCAATCTCTATATGTCTCGCGATATAAAACAGACAAATATCGAATCTTCGGCCCCCAACAAAATATCTCACCTCCGACTCCGTAAACCATCATTTGGGTATCCAGATTTGGGTATATTTTATATATGTATATAAATAGTGGCATTTCATCTTCCAAAAAATCCGTAGATGTCTCAAGTGTTCCAGAAAATGTTCGTTCCAGGAAGCCATCGGCAGCATCCTGGAGACCGTCGCCGTGGCCATGGCATTGCTGGTGCGCGTGGGACAAGCCACGCGCTCTGCGGAGAAGCTGCTGGAGCTGCAGACGGCCATGGCGGCCAAGGAGAGCTCCAGCGCCAAAACAGGGTCGTGGTTTCCATGGAATTTAGTGTTTGAGTTTAGGATGGCCTCTATTTTGGTTTTAGCCCCCCATGTTTGAATATGTTGCTGGTTGGTGGTTTCAAACATTTTTTTACTTTCCATAATATATGTGATGTCATCCTTCCCATTGACGAACTCATATTTTTCAAGATGGTTAAAACCACCAACCAGGTATTTTTTTGAGATTTTATGATTTTATGGTGATTTTTCATGGTGATCTCCATGGGGGGCTACTATGATTTCGTTCGCTGAGTTGGCGAACATAACTTCAGTGCTGATGATATCTCGAACTGGCCATCACCTTGTGGAGCTATGTTACACACTTATAGTCATCCTGAAAGATAGAATGTGGACATTTCACATTGAACATCCCATATTCCAGATGTTTCAGGGCGATTATAATCATGAACCAGTTGGTGGTTTTACCACACACATATAATGTAATATAATATAATATAATATAATATTTTTATAATATAATATCATATAATATAATATAATACAATATAATATAATATAATATTATACAATTATATAATATAATATATATATATATAACATAATATCATATCATATCATATAATCTGATACAATATGATATAATATAATGTAATATACACAGATGGATGGATAGATAGGTTGAAAAATGAACTGATGAGGAAATTCACTAACACCCTGCACGCTGGCTGGCCCCCTCCCCCAGGCATTTTTTGTAGCTGCCATAGGCCCTCGCTGACCCAGTGCTACAACCACTTAGCCAACAAAATCATACTATAAATCCCATTAAGATCACCATTAAATCACCATTAAATCACCATTAATTCCAATTAAATCCCATCAAATCACCATTAAGTCTTAAGTCCCATTTAATCACCATTAAGTCCCATTAAATCCCATTAAATCACCATTAAATCCCATTAAATCCCATTAAATCACCATTAAATACCATTAAAACACAAAAAAATCACCATTACATCACCATTAAATCACCATTAAGTCCCATTAAATCCGATTAAATCACCATTAAATCACCATTAAATCCCATTAAATCACCATTAAATCACCATTAAGTCCCATTAAATACCATTAAATCACCATTAAGTCCCATTAAATCCATTAAATCACCATTAAATCCCATTGAATCACCATTAAATCCCATTAAATCACAATTAAACCACATTAAATCCCATTAAACAACTATTAAATCCCATTAAATCACCATTAAATCATACTATAAATCCCATTAAATCACCATTAAATCACAATTTAATCCCATTAAATCCCATTAAATCACCATTAAATCTTATTAAATCACCATTAAATCACCATTAAATCACCATTAAATCCCATTAAATCACCATTAAATCCCATTAAATCACCATTAAATCACCATTAAATCCCATTAAATCACCATTAAATCACCATTAAATCACCATTAAGTCCCATTAAATCCCATTAAATCACCATTAAATCACCATTAAATCACCATTAAATCACCATTAAATCACCATTAAATCACCATTAAATCCCATTAAATCACCATTAAATCCCATTCAATCACCATTAAATCCCATTCAATCACCATTAAATCCCATTCAATCACCATTAAGTCCCATTAAATCCCATTCAATCACCATTAAATCCCATTCAATCACCATTAAATCCCATTCAATCACCATTAAATCCAATTCAATCACCATTAACTCCCATTAAATCCCATTAAATCACCATTAAATCCCATTCAATCACCATTAAATCCCATTAAATCACCATTAAATCCCATTAAATCACCATTAAATCCCATTAAATCACCATTAAATCCCATTCAATCACCATTAAATCCCATTCAATCACCATTAAATCCCATTCAATCACCATTAATCCCATTAATCACCATTCAATCACCATTCACCATTCACCATTTAATCACCATAAATCCCAAATCACCATTAAACCATTAATCCCAAATCACCATAAATCCCATTAATCACCATTAATCCCATTAATCCCAAATCACCATTAAATCACCATTAAATCACCATTAAATCCCATTAATCATCATTAAACCATTAAATCACCATTAAATCACCATTAAATCACGCTTAAGTCCCATTAAATCCCATTAAAACTCACCATTAAAAATCACCATTAAATCCCTTAAATCACCATGAAATCCCCATTAAAATCTCCATTAAATCCACCATTAATCCCATTAAATTCCCTTTTTTTTTGTTTTAATCACAGTAAACACCATTAAATCACCATTACGTCCATTAAATCCCATTAAAATCACCATTAAAATCACCATTAAATCACCATTAATCACCATTAAATCACCATTTAAATCACCATTAAAATCACCATTAAATCACCATTAGAGTCTGCCATTAAATCCCATTAAATCAACCATTAAAATCACCATTAAATAACCAATCAAATCACCATTAAATCCCATTAATCACCATTAAGTCCCATTAAATCACCATTAAATCACCATTAAATCATCATTAAATCACCATTAAATCACCATTAAATCACCATTAAATCACCATTAAATCACCATTAGATCCCATTAAAACCCATTAAATCACCATTAGATCCCATTAAATCACAATTAAATCCCATTAAATCCCATTAAATCACAATTAAAACCTATTAAATCACCATTAGATCCCATTAAATCACCATTAAATCCCTTTAAAACCCATTAAATCACCATTAGATCCCATTAAATCACAATTAAATCACAATTAAAACCCATTAACTCACCATTAAATTACCATTAAATTACCATTAAATCCCATTAAATCACAATTAAATCCAATCCCATCACCATTAAATCACCATTAAATCACCATTAAGTCACCATTAAATCCCATTAAATCACCATTAAATCACCATTAAATCACCATTAAATCACCATTAAATCACCATTAAATCACCATTAAATCACCATTAAATCACCATTAAATCACCATTAAGTCCCATTAAATCCCATTAAATCACCATTAAATCACCATTAAATAACCATCAAATCACCATTAAATCCCATTAAATCACCATTAAGTCCCATTAAATCCCATTAAATCACCATTAAATCACTATTAAATCACCATTAAGTCACCATTAAATCCCATTAAATCACCATTAAGTCCCATTAAATCCCATTAAATCACCATTAAATCACCATTAAATCACCATTAAATCCCATTAAATAACCATTAAATCATCATTAAATCCCATTAAATCACCATTAAGTCCCATCAAATCCCATTAAATCACCATTAAATCACCATTAAATCACCATTAAATCCCATTAAATCACCATCAACTACCATAAACCCACAGAATTCCCCCGGGTTCACCGTCGGCCCTCAGATTCGCAGGAGTCCAATGTGGCTATCGCTTTGAAAGCCTCCAGCCTTGGGGAGGAGCTCATGGCCCAACGGCACCATGCCAGGTGCCCTTTAATTATTTATAAAAGGAAAGCTTTGGTGAACACGAGGGGCCCCCTAAGTTGGTTAATTCATGTATAAATTGGTTATAACATGTTTTAACTATTTACTTAGGGTATATATATATTATATATATATATATATATTATTGTTTATAACTATGGTCGTAACGATGATTATAACTGGGTAGTAACCTAATAGTAAATGGGTTATAGCTATCCATAACTATGGTTACTAACTAGTTACACGATCCGTTCCATGATCCTCCAAGTAGAGAATAGTGAGAAATTTCGAGTGGGCAAATGGGTGTGTTTCGTTAGACTCTTGGTGTAAAATGTGTGTAAAACCAACCTTTCGCTGGGAATAGAATGGAACTAACCAATATTACCTCCAGAGCCACTCTTCGGTGATGTTGGTGACACCAGAATTGGCTTGCGCAGCATTTTAATTCAACATCAAAACCCAGTGCTGGTTGGTGGTTTGATACATGAATTTTATGACTTTCCATATTGGGAATGTCATCATCCCAACTGACGAACTCATATTTTTCAGAGGGGTAGGCTCAACCACCAACCAGAAAACTAAGTGGCTCAAATCAAGAATCCAAGAACTTTGGTAGATGGCAGATGGCACTAGATGCCAGAATTTTAGGGTCACCATGCTGCAGAAGGAGATGGTCCTGGAATATTGCGATCCGGTGTAAAGAAAATGCAACTCCACGTATACCTGGCATTGATTTGGCAATATCTAATTTATAGTAAAGTCTTAGAAGCCACTTACTAGAACTTCGCAAAGCGGAGAAAAACTGCCCCAGGTGCGTCGAGTCTTCTTCGACCATACGAGCTTTGGCTGGTTTGTTTTGTTGTTTTTTTTGTTTCTGGCTGGAAGGTCCGTGTCCAAGAAACATCTTCCAAGTTGATGGTTTGTAGTGTCATTCAGGAGTAGTTTGTAGATTTTACTTGTTGAGCGTTTCACTTCTAGACAATGAATGTGTTCTATTGACATTCTTTTTTTATTTGATCATTGCGTAATTACAAGCTAGATCAAGCAACGGATCGTTCACATTAGAACAACTCCAGAGTATAGCTGGTATAGTGAGCATATAGTAATATAGTATTCTCTGTATCAAAAATTCACCCTTATGATCACTTGGTCCTTGTGTTTTCTCCAACCATCAACATCCATCAGATCCCTTCAGGATTCGATCCACGGCTCTTGACCTTTGAATTTCTCTTCGACATCGTGTTGCGCCAAGCCCAGGACTGCGCCGGGGTGTTTCCTTTAAAAAGCGCCGGTTGGGTGAAACTCACGAGTTGTGCATCCAAAAAATGGAAACCAGAATCCCATGATGTTCCATGATGTTCCAATGTGGGAGGATGATCCCCAATGAAAACTATGTTTCAGCGGGCTGGCTCAACCACCAATCAGTATCCCGAGTGTTTTGCAGCGCAGGTTGAGCTACTCGGCACCTTTCTGAAGAGTGCCAAGAATGGAAAGGCCATGTGTCATCAGATGATCCTTGGCCCGAAATTGTGCTTAGAATGGCCTCCATTCTGCGTATCACGAAAAAGAAACAACACATAACAATAGCCATAGGATCCATGGTGCTGGTATATATGCTAACATTTGGGGTATATTGACTTGATGGTAAATGTTAATTACCATATATATCAGCACCATGGATCCTATGGGATATAATTAGTGAGTGGAGATTTCACCTTAAATTGGTGGTTCAATGCAACACTGCCAGGGGTGTTTTTTGGAAACCTTTGCCCAGACCACTGGCCATCAGACCCATCCCAGCATGGCACAAAAAAGATGCCAAACACTTGGTGATTCACTCCAGTTCGTTGGGTGAAATCACAGCAATTATACCAACGAACTAGCCCTACTTAGCATCCCCTGATTCTGATTCCTGATGTCTGGTTTTCTAACCCACTTGGGTCCACATTCACCTCACCATCCCTGGCGTTCCCAGGATTATGGGAGACGGTAAGACCACCGTCATAGCGCCGCTGCTGGCATTGGTCCTGGCCGATGGACAATCCTTGGTCTGCGCCTGCATGCCATCAGCCCTGCTGGAGATGTCACGGGCCGTGCTTGCAAGGCTGGATGAAACGAACATGTTTCCAGGTGTATACGTATGTATATATAATTATATATATATACATATTATCCAGGTATACAATATATATTTCCAGGTATATATATATATACATTTACATATACATTTGTATATAATCATACATTATCCAGGTGTCTTTTTTCCCTCTGCCCAACTCTGTTTCAAGCTGAGACCAGGTGCTTCTCGTCTCCGGTGGCTCCGAAAGCGGTGATGACCTTCAAATTTGGCAGGTCGTCCCATGCAGATCAGGCGCTCTATGACAAGCTGGAGGCGCTGAGGGGAAATGTCAGGTGTTTCTTGGGGGATCCCTTGGGGAAAGTCACGACGGTGGGGTCAATAGCCAACTTAAGGGGAAGATGGCGATACACATCCACGTCTATTTCCATCTCAACAACTCAATGAGCACCCATTTGCGAAGATGTTGGCACCAAGACTCCCATCATAGGGCCGTGTTCGTTTTTGTTTGAGACGGATGACATGCTTTGATCACTGCTGCTTTGAATTGCAAAGAAACGTGAGGCATTGAGGTAATCAATTACAGTAGATTTATAGATGAACTGGCTGTGAGAATATTTGCAGGGAACCTGCAAAAGAAGTTCCCAATCAGCATACCCTGAAAATCTCCCAACATCATTTTTTATCCATAGTTGTGCTCCAGTTTTTCCAAGTATTTCCCATTCTTTTCCCGTATATGTTCCATTAATTCTTCCATATTCTTCCCATACGTGTCCATAGTTTTTTTTTCCCCATATGCCTCCCATATTTTTCAATTTGTCCATTTTTGTTTCCAATTCCCATATGCTTTTCCTAAGATGTTGGAGAAAAACCCTGAAAAACCCCCCTGGAACCAGGCGGCACGTTGCAGTCGTGCAGTGGCGGTGGCAGATCCTACGTCCTTGAAGTCCTTGCTGCTGGGGCTGCTGCAGCTGTTGAGCCAAATGGAGAGGTCTGGCTCCAGGCGCAGCTGATTTTTCTTGGGGGTTGCTGATTGCTCGGGATAGTATAATCAGATCAATGGGGTACTGACGGGCTTCAACAATATGTATATCAGTATATCTCTTCAGTTGCTTCCGGCCAAGAAATCCTCCACGTTGACGTTGGTTACAAACAAGGCAAGTGGAACTCCATCAGTTTGGGTACCATCACTTAACTTGTCTTGTTCCAAGTTTCCACGGGCCTCCCCTAAAATCTCCGTCTAATGCTTGAACCTTATACCGGGAATCCCTGGTCCCCATTCGAAGGGTCGGCAGGAGCAGCTGGTGGCACAAAGACGACGATCGAAAGGACCAGTCCCTCTCCGAGGCCAAGATTTGTTCCGCGGTGCTGCGGATGTTCCATCGAGGAGTGCTTTTGCTGGATGAGGCGGAACAGAAAACACTTGAGATCCAGAGGACAAAGGGAGGAATAATAGGAAAATAACGACAGTGTTTAAATAGTGCTGACTTATGTCTTAGATCGTGCAGGGTGGTCCAAGGTTGACCCATTCACGAAATGTAGTTGTAGGTCGTAGGTTAAAACACATTTAATTCCTAGACATGTAGTAGGTTAAAACAAGATTAGACTATAGTAGTAATCTATGTTTCTTATTTTTGCGTCAAAAGTTCGGTAACTCGGTACTTCACCTTAAGTTTCGGGGCTGCCAGCGCTTGCCTTCCTTCAAGCCCCATAGGCCCCAGCATCGCCAGGTGGACCTGTTGTTGTATCCTCTGAAGAGTGAGTTGAATTGGCCCATGGGAGCGAAACGCGCCATCGATTTGATCGAGCCCAGTGCCCTGGTAAAACCAGGAGCAAAACCCTGCTGAAACGTGCTGAAACGACCACATGCAGGGCGGCTCCCTGCCATTGCCATAGTCTTGTGGCATTCCATAAACATCTGTGAATATATATCTGTATGGTTTATGATTCTGAATGGTAGATCTATGTGTACCTGGGCTTCTATATTCACAGATAGTTCCTAAAAAGATCTTTAGGTACCTGGGCTTTATATTTTAATGGTTTTATAATGTTTTATCAGCAGATCAATATTAGATTATGGTAGATGTGAGTTCACTTAGTTAACATCAGCAGATGTTAGTTCCTGGCCTTTTTTTGATTAACATCCCTTGGACCACTATATAAGGCAGCGAGGGCAGCCACGAGCTCTTGCGCTTGGAACGCACGGCCTGCCTCCGTGGCAAACTGCCCTTCCACCTGCTGGATGCAATCGCCTTAGCCACCGCCCTGGCCGAGGGTGAGGGCCTTGACCCGGTGGAACAGGTGAAGGAACAGATGGCAGTGCCCTTTGCGGATCGACAGGAGATGGGGAAGGGGGAAGAACTAGTGGCAGCAGAGGAAGAAATACTTGCACTTGATGATGATGATGATGATGATGTTGATGATGTTGATGATGTTGTTGATGATGATGATGATGATGATGATGATGATGATAAAGTTGATGTTGATATTGATGTGATGATGATGATGATGATGATGATGATGAATATGATGATGATGATGATGATGATGATGATGATGATGATGATGATGATGATGATGATGATGATGATGATGATGATGATGATGATGATGATGATGATGATGATGATGATGATGATGATGAAGTTATGTTGATGTTGATGATGATGATGATGATGATGATGATGATTGTGGTGACGCTGACGGGGGATGTGGGATGATGGTTAAGATAGGAAAATTTTGTTGATGTTGGTGATGGTGATGGTGATGATGAGTGGAAGTTGTGGCCCAGTGATTGTTCTTGAAACTTCTAGACACGTTGGAATTTGTTCTAAGTAGTTGGAGTTGATATGATGAAATAACGTGGAGTTCATTTAGAGTGTATATACTATTAGAGTTGAAGGGGTAGCAGCGAGTGATGTGTTTTCGCTGTGAAAAAAATGTTCCAGTTGAATCTGGTGTTTCTCCGGATTAAGCATCAATTTCCGTTGTGGTTAAAATCAATGTTTGTGGTGTTAAGCATCAATTTTCCAGATTAACCCCCATGTTTTCCAGGATGAATCCCTATGTTTTCGGCTAAAACCTAGTTTCTCTTTCTTGACTCCAAGCTTTCGCCGGGTTAAGCAGCCATTTTTGTTGCTTAAATCCATGTTTTGCTTCTTTTAGACATCAATCTTCAAACAGGAATTCCCATGTGGGGATGGGTCAAAACCTATCATTACCATACGTGTATATATAAATATAATTAAATAAATATATATATATTATAATATTTGGTGAATAAGCATCCATAAATCCCAGCTATTTTCAGGTGCCATCCGGCAGGGTTTTGACTCAGTTTGCCATATAGAATCATAGTTTCTATATAGAGGAATATTTAGAGGATTTCTCATGAAAAGCTAAGGTTCTATACATATCTATTTATGTTATATATCAAAAAATAGGCCAGTTATATAACAGGTAAAAACATTAATGGTTATTAATGGGCTTCAGACTGTTTTCAGTTATTAATGGTTATCTATTAATGTTATATATCAAAAAATGGATGGTTCTGTCTGAAGCCCATCCACCCTGGTGGTCCCGGTGTAGGACGCGGTGCGCTGCGTGCTGCACCTGGCGGAGAAGCTGCGCAGCGGCCACGAGGCGCGGCAGGTGCGGCTGATGCCGCATCTGGTGCTGCAGTCGCAGAGCGGCTCGGACAACGGGACAGGCCATGAATATATGGAAGATGAATGGGTGTATAGATAGTTTATATATTATATATCCCTATGGACCCAAGTACCTTCTCAGGAAGTGTTTGGGGTAGAATTTACTATAATTTGGAGGGTTAAGTACCTTCTCAGACAGTGTTTGGATCCATAGGGTATAATATACCTATGATATAGTGCTTTAATTGTTTTTATTGTTAGGTTTTTAAGTGATGTTCAGGGTCTATGTTATTTTACCAGAGGGTATAATCCCCACCTCCCGTTACTAAACGTACCCCAAATACAAAAAACTACTGGTAGGGTCCACGTTAATTGTATTGGGAAATTTCAGACTGGCCAATTTGATTTTTAATTGATCCCCTTTCGAAAACACATTATTTAAAAATGAAGGTCCCATTTCAGGGTTTCAGCCCCTGATAATAAAAACCAGTCAACTCCGGGATGTTTTTTTTATTAGGGTCCATCTTTTGAGGTCGAAAAAAAACACTTCTTTATATTGAGGTTTTTGATTTAATACTAGGGGAAAGCTTCGAAATCCAATGGTTGGCAATATTTTGATTAGATTTTAAAAGGAAATCTCATCGATTTTAAAATAGAAAACATACTTTTTTATATTAGGGTCTTTAATATTATTAGGGGGAAGCTTCGCACCCTAATACTCAATACCTCCAAATACTAAAACTCCTCCAGGTGTTTATTATTTGGGGGGGCAGTTTAGTAATAGGGGGAAGGGATTATCTGGAAGATGAATGGGTGTATAGATAGTTTATTATACCTATGCTATTGTTAGTTTTAAGTGATGTTCAGTGTCTATGTTAATTTACCAGAGGGTATAATCCCCACCTCCCGTTACTAAACGTACCCCAAATACAAAAAACTACTGGTAGGGTCCACATTAATTGTATTGGGAAATTTCAGACTGGCCAATTTGATTTTTAATTGATCCCCTTTCGAAAACAAATTAAAATGTAGGTCCCATTTCAAGGTTTCAGCCCCTAATAATAAAAGGACTCAGAAGGCATAATAAAACATAGACGTGTCTGAAGTGTCTGACGTGTCTGAAAACGAGGTATGCCGGTATACCCTTAAATTGCCTGTTCTGATGGGCAACATCATCAATCATCATCATTACCAAGAGCAATTTAGGGTAACCCTATTTTTAGAAAAAAATCATACTACAATATCGGTAAGTCTGGGAAAAAACAAAGCAATAACGAAGCTATCAGAGATCTTCGATCTCGGGATTTTGAACTCTCAAAATGCCGAGGTTTCTACGAAGTGAGCATCTTGCCGCAGCTGGCGCATTGGATGGCCTTCTTTTTGGAAGCCCATGGTTCCAGTCTGGGGTTGCTCAGCAAAGTTGTTGGGATCCACATCGGCAATTGAAAATCCCGTAGAAATGGGTGGTATAAGAGGAAAATCAACTGTAAATGAACGATGTTCCATGATGTTCTGCCATGTTTGAGTACCGGAGGGTACCCCAATTCTATATGCATGAACACCATGAACTAGATTAGCTAGATGCGGACTTAGATTTTGAGATGGCTCAACAGCCAAGATGTTACCCAACTATACCGAACTCAAATTGGTAGATATCGCATGATATAACATACCTCGATACTACATGGGATATGTAGATTCCCTAAAATATGTGTGTGGTTATTTTCTTAGATTTCATTCTATGTTCCTTTGTTCTTTTCTGTTTATACGATATATATATATAATTACATATATAAAATGCATTTTTTGCATGGGATATTTACCCTCTGGTAAACGTTTACATAGCTATTGAAAATCACCATTTTGAATAGGTAAATAAACTATAATTAAATGGTATATTTTCAATAGCTATTTTGACATAACCAGAGGGTAAGTTGGATTATAAATCTCATCAACTATAGTTGTATCATAAACCATAATCGTAGCTAATCCTATCATTATCATAGTGAGTTTTCCCATTAAACATGGTGATTTTCCATAGCTATGTAAACGTTTACCAGAGGGGAATAAAGATCACCATTTTGAATAGGTAAATCTGTGAATAACACGTGCTGTTTCGGATTCGTGATGTGAGATCATTTTGGACATGGATGTGTTCCATGTAACATTTGGGCTGAAGCCCCCTTCAGTATGGCGTGAGACAAACAGATAGCCATGCAGCCGTAGCCGTGTGGACACCTGAGTTGGGGTCTTCAGGCGGTAGCGGAGCTGCCTGACCTTCAATTGAGACTTCAGTTGGGGGAAAAGGCAGTAGCATCCACTGTGAGTGTCAGGTCATGACTTCGGGCGGTGACAAAGATGACAAGAAATCCTCCCTTGAAATGTTTGATGGAACAGATCCCTCCAAGTACAGAAAGTGGCGTAGGAAAGCTGAACTGTATCTCATGGGGCTGCCGACAACAGTGCCGGAAACCAAGTGGGGAGCCAGGTTGCTAGAACACGTCACAGGCGAGGCGGAGGAGGTGGTAGAGCATTTGGCGATCTCAACCATTACCAGCAAAGTTGGTCATGAAAAGATCTTCGAGCTGTTGGATGAGAAGTACAAGGAGCTTACCAAAGATGAGTTGCAGAGATGTCTCAAGGACTTTTTCTATGCCAGCCCCATCAAGAGTCAGGAATCCTTTCGGAACTACATCATCAAACTCGATACGGCCTACAAGGGTCTGGTTCGACATAATGTTGATCTTCCTGCAGAGGTCAGGGGTTGGATCCTGATGAGAAAGTTGTCGCTCGATGCGACATCTGAGGCATTGCTGCTGACTGCCACCAAGGGATCCATCAAGTATGACCATGTGGTCAAATCCCTACGTGATGTTTTTCCCCATGGCCAGGGGAATCCTTCCACCAAGTCCAAGGACAAGGAGGTGTTTCTGGCTGATGATGATGAGTCGAAGCCGGAAGGAGGACATGAACATGATGGTGGTAGTGAAGAACCTGCCGAAGTGATGGAGATTGTAGCAAGTCAAGTACAAGAGAACTCTGACTATGAGAGTGAAGATGGTCTTCAGATCTTTGAGACCTACATGTCAGTTCGCAAAAAGATTCAGGAAAAGAAAATTGGACGAGGCTACAAAAATCCAGTCCCCAGAGATGAGAAAGCCTGGAAACTTGAGGGCAGCATTCGCGGAAAAATGGAACTCCTGAAACAGAAGACTCGATGCCACCATTGTCGCCGAGTTGGACATTGGAAAAAGGAATGTCCTCTGAAGGTTCAAGCCGGCAAGAAGAGCGAGGGCAAGGTGAATGCGGCATCCTCAAGTGAGGTCAACATCATTGAGGAGTACGAAGGTGGGGATGACTACTTCGAGAGCTTCATGATGGAAACGAGCGTGAAGCCTGAGACGGGCACGATCAAAGAGACCAAGGAGGGAGGACCGGAGACCAAGGTGAAGGGCAAGAACAAGAGGGATGAGTGGAGGTATGATGGGAAAGGAACCTGGGTTGAGAGGATTCACCATTCAAGACGCAAAGGGCTTTTTACCCCTCACGGTGTGAAAGGTATCCCTGTATCTGAGAACATGCTGAATGGAGAACGCATCACCGAGATCACCAATGTGAATACCGGCGAAACCCAGTGCATCAAAGACAACTTCCATACCGCCAGAGTCCCACACCAATGCCAGAGCTTTCCTTGGATTGGCATCACCAAGTTTGGCATCAAGAGCAGTCATGCAGTGGATGACACCCAAAGGGTCCACACAAGCAATGAAGATGATTGCCTACTTCATTATGAGCAAGAAGTACTGAGTGTTGTCAATGAGGGGGCGCAGCCAAGTTTTGCCAGCGATGAATCAGCTGGATTAGATTCCCACGCGGTTCCTGACACGGCATGTCGTCGTACGCTGATCGGTGATTATGTGCTTTCGCTGCTTGAGTCTAGGTTAGCCATTTTGGGTTACAGGGTGACTAGGCACTGTGAAAGCAATGAGTTCAGATTCGGGAACGCGGGTCTTTTGAAATCCAGTGAAGTTGCCAAGATTCCTGTCACAATAGGAACGCAGAGGTTAGTCATTAGTGCAGCTGTCTTGCCAGAGCCAGGGAGCAGAACTCCGTTGCTTCTTTCCAAAGAACTGTTGAAATGTCTTGGTTGTGTCATTGATACTGATAGCGATGAGTTGTTGCTTAAAAGATTTGGTCAAAAAGTCAAGATGGGTAGAACGTCCAAGGGTCACTACGCCATTCCAATTCTACCACCGAGCCGGAGCCACCATGAGCAGAATCCGGTTCAAGAAGGCATCAAGGTAGAGAAGAACCGCCAAGAGTGCCATGTATCATCCACGAGGAGTCCAGATGACGAGCCTGGCTCAGCAGCTGATGGGATCCCTCGAGAAAGAAGAGCAGAACGGGATCTCGATTCAGGAGTTGGACAGGCAGCCAGATGTCAGTGGAGACGAACCAGAATACCCAGTGAGCGGAAGCGAGATGATGCAGGCCGGCAAGTTCAAAGAGAAGAGCACCATGGCGGAGGCGTACCTCGACAAGAGTCATGTGAAGTGGGTTCGCAACAACATCAACGTCCAGTCCGGGGCAGAGATGAGACGATATCGGCTCTATGTGGAGATGAGAGACCAAGTGAAGATGCAGAGGATCCACCGAGAACGAGAGGGACGAGTGGAAGCCGCTCGACGGCAGATGCCAAAGACGAGAGCCGGAAGCTCAACTGTGACCAAGGCCAAGGCCAAACCGGCCCCAGTGAGGTTCAACCTGGACCCGATGAGCCAGAGACGTGGGCGGGAAGGAGACGGTTGGGCCACCGAGATGAGCGGATACGAGATGGACATGGAGGAATGGGAGACCAATGTCGACCAACAGGAGCTGACGGACGAGACCGTGAACGAATGGTTCAACCTGATCGAAGCTCAGCAGGGGAACCAAGCCATGAAAGAGAAGATGGAGAAGGTCGCAGAGATCATGGGGGTCGGAGAGGCTCTGAAAATGTTCATGAGCTTGAAGGAGGAGGAGAACTAGATGCTGAACCGAAGCTATCTCTGGAAACATGCAAGATGTTAGAGTCTGGTTTGGATGAGATTGAAAAGCAGGATGCTCAATCCAGAAGTTGTGATGTGATGATTATTAGCCAGGGGAATCTTTCAGAAGAAGAGGTAGCTGAAGTGTTTTCAATTCCGCGAGTAAGGCAGCGAAGTCTGTAGGGCTGAAGTGCGGCAGTGCATATGACATCAAGACAGGTGTTGACCTTGCGAGCAAAAAGGAACGAGACCGAGTGCAGCGTGAATTGAGGGTCAGCAAGCCAAAACTCTTAATTGTGTGTCCCCCTTGTGAAACATTCAGTCCTCTCCAAAATTTTCGAAAGCACTGGGATTCCCGTGAGTGGTTAAAAAAATTGTATCAGGGCAAAATCTTTCTTAGGTATGCAATGCAACTGTGTGAGGAGCAAATGGCTAGAGGGGATTTGTTTGTCTTTGAACATCCTTTGCATGCCAAGTCTTGGAAAGATGTTGCGGTCGAGAGGGCGCGGCATCATCCCAATGTTCAACATGTTAGGATGGATCAGTGTATGTTTGGTTTGAAGGACAGGGAAAACCACAAACCCCACCAAAAGAGTACTGGGATCATGACGAACAGCAAACATATTGCGGAAGCTGTGAACAAGTTGTGCGATCATTCTCACGAGCATCAGCCTATCATGGGGTCAATTTGGTTTGGGGGTCAATGGATTCCCCGATCTCGTTTGGCTCAGGAATATCCCCGAAAAATGGTGAATGCTTTGTTGGGAGGCTTTTTGAGGGATCGCGAGGAACGTAGGATGGGTCATGCTGTTCATTGTGTTCTGACTATTGAGGATCTTCAACAAACTGATGAACGTAAGATCTCTACTCTGTTGAAGCGTTGCCATGAAAACTTGGGTCACCCTTCCACTCCTCGGTTTTTGGGTATGTTGAAAGCTGCAAGGGCCACCGAACAAGTTCTGAGGGTTGCAAAAGGGTTGTCATGCACGACATGTGACATGTTCAAAAACCAGAGTGCTCACCACGTTTCCAAGCCTACTCCTATTGTTCATTTCAACGATGTTGTTGCTGTTGATGTTTTTGAAATTGAACTTCCGTGGAGAAAAGTGAAAATGTTGAATATCATTGACATTGCGACTCATTATCAGATGTGTATTCCTCTTTGGAATGGTATTGAAATCAAAAGGGTTAGAAAAGCGTATCGTAGGTATTGGAAGAGATGGGCGGGTCCCCCCAGAAAAATTATTTCTGATGGAGGTGGTGAATTTGGTCAACTTTGGACTGAATGGGCTAATCAGGACGGTACCATGCATGATGTCACTGCAGCATATAGTCCATGGCAGAACGGAGTGTGCGAACGTGCAGGCGGGGTCTGGAAAGCAGCTTGTCAAAAAGCCGTTTTTGAGATAGATCCCAGAGACAAGGCCGAAGCTGAAGAAGTTTTTGACCAGGTCACCAATGCTAGGAATGCATTGGTTCGAAAAGAGGGTTTTTCACCGTGTCAACATGTTTTAGGCCAAGACATTAGGATTCCTGGGTCCTTGTTGAATGTGGAAACTACTGAACATGTGGTATCTGCGTTGTATCATGGTGAAACGGTTGTGGAAAGGGCCAATAGGATTCGTCTTGCGGCACGTCATGCGTTTTTGGAAATTGACAGTGAGGAGAGATTAAGGAGAGCTCTTCACCACAGAACTAGACCAATGAGAGGACCCTTTCAGGCGGGACAAACAGTGTTCATCTGGCGGAAAGGAGCCAGAGAAACCAAATGTCATTGGCATGGTCCTGGAAGAGTCATTGGCTCACAGCATGGTAAGGTTTGGGTTGCACTTGGTTCAAAAGTTTACCGTTGTTCACCCGAGCAAGTGAAGCACCAATCCCAAGAGTCACTTCAATTGATGATGTGGCTTCCCGAGCAATTACAACAACATCGGGATACAGTGCGAGAAAGGGGTGCCGGTAATGTTGTTGAGTTGGATAGGCAAACCAGACCACCAGAGGATGAGAGAGAACTTGAACGCGATCTTGCACAAGAGTTCGAAAGTAGACAGATGGTGGACATGCATGTTGATGATAACAATGTTGAATCAGATCATGAACGTGAGAATGTTGGCCATGATGATCATGACATGCAGCATGGGGCGAGACCTGATGATCATGCCATGCCACATGAGATGAGACCTGGAGATGACCAGGTAATGGAAGAAAGATCAGACCAAGAGCATAGGCAGTCTGAGCATGGAGCACCTCTTAGTGAGGACATGGAACCCGAAAGTGAGACTGCACCCGGGGTACGCACTCCTGTGCCCTTGGGAGCAAGCTCCACTGGGTCAACTCAGCTTGAATACGGGCCAGTTCGAGCAACTTCGTTGACTGACGCATTGCGGAGAAGCTTGGACACGCTTGATTTTGGTAGGGTTGGACCATATCAGCGCATGAGGCATGAGGAGCAGGACGATGAGGCTTTCGAGGTTACCCAGCATGAAGGTTGCATTCATGAGGTTCATGAGGCAAACAAGAAGAAAGCAAGTAGAAAAGAGATCTGTGTCAAAGGACTGTCCCAAGAAAGGGTCAAAGAACTTGAAAAAGCGAAGAGAAAAGAGTGGGACAAGATGACAACATCAGGAGCAGTTGCGGTGCATGTTGGTTTGGAGGCAAAAAGGTTGATTGCACAGGTTGGAAGTGAACGTTGTCTAGGTTCCCGGTTTGTATACACCACGTCTGATGGTTCGCACAATGGACCAATTAAAGCAAGATGGTGTGTACAGGGATACATGGATCCTGATGTGCTTGATCTTGAAACTGCTTCACCGACGTTGTCAGCTGAAGGCTTTGCAGTGGTCACGCAAGTAATTGCTAGCATGCGTTGGAACATGTGCATAGCGGATGTTGAGGGAGCTTTCCTGAGAGGAGGAAAGCTGTCACGAGAGCAGGGAAGAGTTCTGGTTAAAACCCCAAAGGATGGTATTGAGGGGATTCCGGGTGATGCTATTATTGAATTAATCAAACCTGTTTATGGTCTGGTTGATGCCCCAAAGTTGTGGTGGAAGTCGTTGACTACGACGCTGTTGGACTTGGGGATGAAACAAATGAAGCTTGACAGTTGTGTGTTTGTGAGCAGGGACATGGTGACAAATGAGATGAATGGTGTCATTGCGTTTCATGTGGATGATCTTGTGGTTGGTGGTAACAATTGGTTTTATGAACATGTTTTTGGGAAACTCAAGACTATTTATCCGTTTAAACATGTCAAAGAAAACGAGGGTGAATTTCTTGGGAAGTATATCAAGAGACATGAAGATGGGTGTGTTGTTATTCAACAAAAAGAATATGCGGATGCGGTTAGTAGTATCTATGTCACGAAGGATCGGCGGAGAGAGAAGGACCATGAAGTGACTGACAAAGAACGAACTCAAATGAGAGCTACTCTGGGTGAACTGTCTTGGTTAGCTTCTGGTAGTAGGCCGGATTTGTCGGGGTCATGTTCTCTTATGCAGCAGAGGGTTGCCAGTGCCAAGGTGAGTGATTTAATTGAGGTTAATCGGGTTGTCAGTCTTGCTCATGATTTTTCAAACATGGAAATTCGGCTCAAACCAATCCCACTTGAAGAGGTTGAGATAGCTGTATGGTCAGATGCGTCGTTTGCCAACGCTGCGGAAAAGAAGAGTCAGGGCGGGTACCTGATAGCAGCTGTGGATCAAAGACTCCAAAAAGGTGACTGGACAGACTTCTCACCCTGGAGATGGAGAAGCTTCAAACAAGATAGACAGGTGGCTTCGACATTAGGAGCTGAGCTGTTAACCATGAGCCGGGCAGTGGCGGAAGCAAAATGGATGAGATCAATGTGGTCGGAATTGACACTAGCAAACTATAGTCTTGAATCTGACAAGGAAAGATCGGTGAGAACTCCCATCACGCTCATGATTGATTCCAAGCCTGCTTACGACCACCTACATGGACAGCTGTTGACTATCAAAGACAAAAGACTAGCGATAGAAATGCTCCTGATGAAGCAAGATATAGAGCGGGAGAATGTGAGAGCGAAATGGTTGCCTACTGACCAGATGTTGGTTGACGGTTTGACGAAGATTGGAGCTCCACTGCAACTTTTGAGAAGAGTGCTCAAAGAAGGAAAGCTCGTTATCGTGGAGAATGACGAGATGAAACGGTGGGCCGGAAAAGTGACTAGAAAACCCAAACTGACTTGACCTTTGCGTTTGATGTTGTTTGAAACTTGTAGAAAGAAGCAGAGAGAGTTTTAGTGATCTCACGAATCCATTTGGGGGTGCATGTGAATAACACGTGCTGTTTCGGATTCGTGATGTGAGATCATTTTGGACATGGATGTGTTCCATGTAACATTTGGGCTGAAGCCCCCTTCAGTATGGCGTGAGACAAACAGATAGCCATGCAGCAGTAGCCGTGTGGACACCTGAGTTGGGGTCTTCAAAATCAACTATTTTTATGGTATATTTTCAATAGCTATGTATCAAATTACCAGAGGGTATTTCACAGATCTCCCTTTTCGAATGTTCCCCAGGCTGAGCTTTTCGGAGTTGCGGCAAGTGCTGCAGCGGCCCAACGGTGCCGGGATCGCCTTGAGGAGACGGCGTTAGCGTTAAAAATGGGTCCACGGCGTGACAAAACTGGTTAGAAAATGTGAGAAATTTATGGGAAACTATAGGAAACCATAGGAAAATGACTGAGAAATCATAGGAAAACCATAGGAAAATGGTGATTTAACTAAGAAAAATTGGCATTTCATGGGATTTCTAGCTTTATCATAGCTAAGTTGAGGCAAATATATGGCTTAACAATGGTTCATGTGCCTGGGGAATACAACTATAGTTAATGGCTTATAAAGCAAAAAACATAATTGGTCCTCTCCTGGTAGACATTGAAATGGGAAGGTCATGAATAAATGGTGATGTCTGTACTGGTATATGGTGAAGATATTTGTTTGTATATATATATATACACACATACACTAACATTTATCCTGATTGATGTATATGATGAGGATATTGATGGTGATATTATTTACAAGTGGGGTATAACAAAAAACATTCACCAAGCAACTTGGTATGATATAAAACTGGATCCAGAAGTGAAATTCCACGCCAGAAGGTCCATTGGGGAATTGTGACGCTACCCTCTGGTGAACGTTTACAAAAAGCAATGGAAAATGGCTATTGAAATAGTGGATTTTCCCATGAAAAATGGTGATTTTCCATAGCAAACTGTTAGTTCACCAGAGGGTATTACTATGATTCTAGTTATTATTGGAGACTATTTACCAATTATTGGATTTATTGGGTTACTATATTGTTATTATTGGATTTACCACATCTTGTTGCTACACTATTATTGCTGTGAGTCTTTATTGTTATTATTGGGTTTACCCTCTGGTGATTTAACAGTTCGCTATTGAACATGGCCATTTAGTTCGTTGATTTACCTATCAGTGGTTTTCCATAGCTAAGTTAGTTTTCCAGGGTAGCACATTGAGACTCATCAACCTTGACCTTCAGTTGATCCACAAACATTGATAACAGTAGAAAAGTCTTGGGGTAACCTCTACCCTCTGGTTATTTAACAGTTCGCCATGGAAAGATCCACCATTTTTAAGAACGGTAAACCATCTATTTCGATTAGGGCCATGGCTTCCATGGCGAACTGTGAATGTCATAACCAGAGGGTAATTTTTGCAGGGGGAATTTCAGGATCATCTCTGGACGCCTCTGGCACTAGCTCCACTGTTTGTCGGGTCATGGAACCCATCGCCATGGTGGATTGCCGGAGAGTATTGGGGTGTGCTTGAAACAATAAACTACCCCCCAGGAAAATTACCATAATATATATATATAGGTGGTATAGACTAAACCATTCCCAGTCACGGATGGTAAAAATGACATTGTTTTAACCACATTATATGATGAGTCTTTCATGCTGTTTTATCCAGTCTGAATCACAGACTGAGACATGTAGGGGGAACTCTCCATGTTGCTGATGGTATCAAAAACAAAAACAACGTTTTCTTGCCAAGCCCGACTGCTTCACATATATGGAGCTTTCCTAAAATGGAGGCACTCCCAAATCAACCAAGTCATCAAAGTCATTGATGACAATTTTTCGAACCAATGGTTCTTGGGGATGCCACATCTTAAGAAACCCTATATGGGTATGGATCAATACCTATTAATACCATTTTTAGGGGGATGAACATCCATTTACCCGCTATTTTGATGTTCACCAGGGGTACAAGGTTTTGACACACTGCCATATGAAATATGTATACTATTGTATACCCTCCGGTAATGACTAACATAGCCATGGTATAGATGGCCCATAGCAATAGATGATTTACCGTTCTTAAAAATGGTGGATCTTTCTATGGCGAACTGTCAAATCACCAGATGGTACTATCATTTACCCCAACAATGACCAAGTACCCTCTGGTAAACTCACAGTTAGCTATTGAAAATGGCCATAAACATAGTTGATTTACCCATTAAAAATTGTGATTTTCCATAGTTATGTTAGTTTACCAGAGGGTAATGGAGCTACATCTACCATGTCGCCAGACTCGGCCAGGAAATCCGGGAAATCCGCTGGCGCAGTGGGGCAGCTGTTCAACTTGGCCCTTCGGTGGCTACACTCGCTGCTGCCCTTCCTGTTGAAGAAGGCCCCCACACAGGGCTTTTCGGGCATCAGCTGGGGGAATGTTCCATGAAAATCGGCTGGTGATTGGTGATAAAAAAAATATAAAAGATATGTTTTTGTTCATGTTTGTTCCATATATGATGATGATTTAAGCACTGAAAATATGAGGATATCATTGACACGTGATGCTTGTTGGTTGATTCATAGTAACCATAGGAAGTCACTGGGAACTCCTTCTGGATCATTGGGGGGGTACCGATATGTTTTGTCACAGATGAACTCACTTTTTCAGAAGTTACGTGGTAACCAATTGTTGATGAACGAGGCTTAATTCAACCAGGGACGACATTAGGAGCTCTTGCCGGGTATTTTTTACCCTCAGATGTTGCAACATCAAACAGTGAAAAGTTACACACTCCCCCGTGAAGATATTTGGATCATTATTGTTGATCATCATTGCTTGGGATTGATCATGTTTCAAACTTCATGATCATCCTCATTAAACTGGATGATCTTCAACTCCTAGGTGCTTTGTTCTTGTTACACCTCCCATTTTGGGATAGTTCCAATTTGGTTTTCATATTCTTGGGACGGCAAAAAAGACACCATCAAGTAACCAGCATTAGACACCAGGGTTCGGCGCCATCGAATGGTTGCAGCTCGGAGAATTGTTTGGATAAAGCGCTAAAATAAAGACCGCACTGTCCGACGAAAGTTCATAAATGATACCCTCCGGCCAGTCATTTCGCATTGACCCTGCTCAACAGGATTGGAACACCAGTTTCCACCAACAAAAGGTATGTTCAGGGTCTATGTTAGTTTGCGGGAGGGTATATGGTATGTTGTACTCGTATGCATATATACTGTATATATATATTTAATTAAGATACTCTGGTAGACCTTTCAGATTTTGGAATCACAATAATTTGCCCAGGAGTGTGATTAGCTACCCATTATTGGAAAATTGCAAATAGGGTAATCAAACCAGAAACATCCGCCATTCATAGATGACAAAGTGATACAAAGGGTAAGTCAGCCATTTTCACAAATTCAATCACCACTATGTTGTTGATTAAGCCCTACTTTTGCTTGATATATTTTTTGTAGGTATTTGTAGGTTAAATTCCAGTATTGTTGTTTTTTCCAGTCCAGCGAAATTCACCAACAATTACCACCAAGTCGAATCTTGACATGCAGAAGTCATGGTGGCAGGTTCAGCTCGTTTGGGTTAGTTTGATAGGGAGGATGCCCCAAGAATCCTGTGGCTGATCAGTATCACCATTCTTCCCATGGGATTGATCATACCATGATGTTTGCAAAAAAAATAGTGCAAAGCCATGTGCAACCCGCTCTCTGAAGCCATTAGAAAATGGCACAGAGAGTCCCCTGACACCACGAATATTCCCATACTCTCCTTATTTTTCCTAAGATTGCACACAAGACTAGTGAACGAATGGGATAGAGTCATAAGATTGGGAATGACTATATCCTTGTGGAGTTTCAGGTTGACATTTTGGAATGTGACTACATCCCAGATTGACCATCCATGGAAGATATGCAAGATATGCCAACCACAGGACAGATTCCGTGGGCACCCTTGAGAATTCAATAAGATTTGGTTGTTGCCGTGTCCCCCTAAAGCGGAACACAATTTTGGATTTGGCGTACTGTATTGCATTTTATTGGAATCGTTCGACTGATTCAGATCCAGATTGGAAAGCAGGGTGGACATGTAAGATTGTTTTGAGGCACGCATATGTTCAAATCAAAATGGCAAGTAGCTGGGTTATCTCCTGAACCACTTTCTCCTTTGATGGTAGTCTATATACTCGACAAAGTGTAAGCCCCTGGTTGCCACAGACAAATCGTCCGAACATGTCGGAACAACCTCTGCCAATTTTGTCTGCCGCGTCTCGGCCTGGGTAAAAAAAGGGAGGCCTCAGACTCAAGCACGCCTTTTGCCCTGGTTTTTGCGGCACGACAAAAGTGGTTCGTTATTGTTGTTAACACAAGAAATCATTTCCCAAATATGTAGAAGAAGGAGGTAGGTGCAAAACAATCGCAAGACGCATGCCAGCTTCAAAACAGTTTACCCTGAGTCTCGAAATCTAGTGATTTTAGTAGCCCGTTAATTTACTTAAATTTTCAATTTTAGTAGTAAAATTTACTAGGACCTAGTAAAGTAAATTTTGCAATTTACTAGCCATAGTAAAATTTAGTAGCCAAGTAAATAAATTTACTAGCCAAGTAAATAAATTTTACCAGCCAAGTAAATTTTTGGTGTGCTTGTTTTTTGAAACGAAATTGGTGAAAAATCGATAGCTAGGAGCTAAAATTTTATTTATGAGACTTTACGAGAATGGTGAATTTTCATACACTAATTGTTACATTTGAGGATACCAGTGATGTTTTTCATGTTCTTGCGAGACTTATAGTATACTTATGGGAATGAAGAATATATTTTTAAAACTTTGAGTTTTAGCTTGAAATCTAAAAAAATTGTGGGACTTTCGGTTGTCATTTCAAAACGAATTGTAAGATTCGAAGCTAATGCAAAGGTATAAGTATTAAATTCTAAAAGGCATTATTTAGATTCCAAAACTATTCGAGACTGTAGGATACTTGTGAGACGAAATCGAATTAAGTCACGTTTGTTTCCACGGCCCGAGATGATTACTAAGATAAGATAGAGATGAAGGCAAGTCATCACATGTAGAATGCATTTGATAACTTCTAGTCATTGTTTGGCTTCCACCTCTCAAGTAACTTTCACATGTAAGCGTCATTGTTTGTGTTTAACCTCACAATTTATTTCCACATGTAAGTGTCATTGTTTAGTTTGAACCTCACAAGTAATTTTCAACTGTAAGTGTTATTGTGGGGTTTCAATATCACAAGTAAAATTCACATGTAGGTGTTATTCTTGGGTTTTAACATCACAAGTGATTTTCACATGTAGGTGTTATGGTTTAGTTTTAACCTCACAAGTAATTTCCACATGTGAATGTAACTGTTTAGTTTTGACCTCACAAGTAATTTCTACATATGGGGATGTCTCAAAATGAGGTGTCCGTTTTTTCCCTTAAAGTAGCCATTTTGGAACCAAAAACGGACACCTCATTTTGAGACATATCCATATAAAATGTACCTTAATATGTTTCAAGTCAATCAGACGATTTTTTGGGAGAACCAACACAGCAACAACGATTTTGAAAGAAAATCGTTGAATATGGCTAAGTTCCTAAGTAGCTATGTTTCAAATGTTTATATTTAGATGAAAATTCACATGTTGCTGACTTATATCTGCTTAGCCCAGCGCTGAACAACAACTTCCCATTGTGAAAATATCACATAGTACAAACCACAAGAAAATGAAAAACTGAAGTTGTTCAAACAATTATGCATCTATACCTTTAAAAGTGTTACTTGTGGTGTAATTGTTTCTCAGTTTGGCGAGCATTGTTTTTCTAGTGGTGTTTCGCTTGCAACATGGCTGTTGCATTTGTTGTACTACATGTGCCCCACTTGATAATTTCATGTTGATGTAGCCACTGTTGGATATAGATTAGCTGCCAAACAGATGAGGTTTTACCTCTGGCCTGTTCAATCTATCCATGGAAAAAAAATGATAGAAAAAATCGTTTCTCCGGTTTTGTTCTTACTTGTGACTACTTGTGATACTATCTCAACAATATCTTTGTGTGTTAGAGTTTTTTTAATGAGACTAAGGTTGCCTTATTTTTTTGAAGTAAACTCTCCAGAAACCAACTAAGGCTGCCACTTGTCTTGCCGTCTCTCCAGGTTAGTGACAAGCCTCAGGATGACGATGGTGCTGGGTTTTTGGAGCTGGAAAATTTATTTACAGCAAAACAGCCCCCCAAAAAAATAGGAAGAAAACAATATCAGATCTATTTTGGGCCATGACCAACTGTAGCAAATAAGGAATCATCGTTGAAAAAAAACAGTTTCTTTTTCAATTATTGTTTTCTGACCGCCAACGTCCATTTCATGTTGAGAACAAAATTCAATTATGTTTTAATTTGGTTTGGTTAGTTAAGATTATTTAGTTACTCATATAATTCCTATGTATTAGTTGTGTCATTGGTTTTGTGTTTTTGTAGAAAAATGAGATATTTTCCAATGATTTTTTAAGCATTTCTTGTGCATTTCTTATGCATTTCTTATGCATTTCTTATGCACTCCTTATGCACTTTTTATGCATTTTTAATGCACTTTTTAAAAGTGCATAAGAAGTACATGTACTTTGATTTAAAGTACATGCATTTCTTATGCATTTCTTATGCACTTCTAAAAATTGCATAAATAGTGCATAAGAAGCGCATAAGAAATGCATAAGAAGTGCATAAGAAATGCAGAAGAAATGCATATAAACAATCTGTAATTTTATGAATGGCTCATCAAATTTTATCAGAAAATTTTGAAAACCAGAAGGTTTTACTGAAATGGAAATGCACAATCAAATCGTTACACATATGTGTAAGACTCAATTCTTCTCATGTTTCATACTGTAGATATATCAAAAAATTGCATAAAGATATAAACCTTGGCTCAGCTCAGGTATCCTAAGTATATAACATATTTGAATAATATTTCACATGTATATCAGGCTTGCTTAATCTCATGTACCACAGGTATTTGAAGGAGTCCAAAAGTAAGACTCAACCCGTTCACAAGTAAAGTGCAAAAGAAGTGCAAAAGAAATGCATAAGGAGTGCACAAGAAATGCTTAAAAAATCATTGGAAAATATCTCATTTTTCTACAAAAACACAAAACCAATGACACAACTAATACATAGGAATTATATGAGTAACTAAATAATCTTAACTAACCAAACCAAATTAAAACATAATTGAATTTTGTTCTCAACATGAAATGGACGTTGGCAGTCAGAAAACAATGATTGAAAAAGAAACTGTTTTTTTTCAACGATGATTCCTTATTTGCTACTGCTACAGTTGGTCATGGCCCAAAATAGATCTGATATTGTTTTCTTCCTATTTTTTTGGGGGGCTGTTTTGCTGTATATAAACTTTCCCAGCCCCAAAAACCCAGCACCATCGTCATCCTGAGGCTTGTCACTAACCTGGAGAGACGGCAAGACAAGTGGCAGCCTTAGTTGGTTTCTGGAGAGTTTACTTCAAAAAAATAAGGCAACCTTAGTCTCATTTAAAAAAACTCTAACACACAAAGATATTGTTGAGATAGTGTCACAAGTAGTCACAAGTAAGAACAAAACCGGAGAAACGATTTTTTCTATCATTTTTTCCATGGATAGATTGAACAGGCCAGAGGCACATGTAGTACAACAAATGCAACAACCATGTTGCAAGCAAAACACCACAGAAAAACAATGAGCGTCAAACTGAGAAACAATTACACCACAAGTACTCCACAAGTAACACGTTCAAAGAATTTCAAAGATATAAATGGGAACGTCTCAAAATAGGAGTGCCCCAAGCTCATTTTTTTTTAGTTAAATAAGAAGGGTTTGGCGCACTTGGTTATGGCACCCCCTTTCTGAGACATTCCCTAATGCATAATTGTTTGAACAACTTCAGTTTTTCATTTTCTTGTGGTTTGTACTATATGATTTTTACAATGGGAAGTTGTTGTTCAGCGCTGGGCTAAGCAGATATAAGTCAGCAACATGTGAATTTTCATCTAAATACAAACATTTGAAACATAGCTAATTAGGAACTTAGCCATATTCGACGATTTTCTTTCAAAATCGTTGTTGCTGTGTTGCGTTCCCAAAAAAACTTCTGACTGACTTGAAAAATATGGTTGTAAAAAATATATGTAGAAATTACTTGTGAGGTCAAAACTAAACAGTTACATTCACATGTGCAAATTACTCGTGAAGTGAAAACTAAACCATAACACCTACATGTGAAAATCACTTGTGATGTTAAAACCCAAGAGTAACACCTACATGTGAATTTTGCTTGTGATATTGAAACCCCACAATAACACTTACAGTTGAAAATTACTTGTGAGGTTCAAACTAAACAATGACACTTACATGTGGAAATAAATTGTGAGGTTAAAAGCAAACAATGGCGCTTACATGCGAAAGTTACTTGTGATGTGGAAGCCAAACAATGACTAGAAGTTATCAAATGCATTGTACATGTGATGACTTGCCTTCATCTCTATCTTATCTTAGTAATCATCTCTGGCTGTGGAAACAAAAGTGACTATTGGGGACAGGGCAGAATTTGAGCTTGGAACAAAAAGAATGCTGCATTACTTGTGAAAACCATTTACTTGCGCAAGATAAAACACATTCAAAGCAAGCCAATTTCTACGTGTGTCACATGAAAACAATACAAAAACAAATGAAAACATATATTTCTTTCAAACATGGTCAACATGATCCGAAAAAAAGGTATGCACTTTATATGCGTTTCTTATGCGTTTCTTATGCGTTTCTTATGCGTTTCCTATGCGTTTCTTATGCGTTTCTATTTTTTTAAAAAAAATACTTGGCTAGTAAATTGATTTACTTTACCAGGCAAAAGTAAATTTTACTAGTAAAAAATCCAAGTAAAGTAAAACATCAAAAAAACTAAAATCACTAGATTTCGAGACTCAGGGTAACCTTGCCGCCACATCGCTGGTGGAAAATGTTGCGGCTTTGCCTTCGTTTTCCTTGCGGGAATTCTGGCACATGCCGTTGGGATAGGGGGCCCTTTCTTTGACACTCAGCTTGCCGCTTGCCGTCGCCGCCAACGTTTCGCCCATGGCTTCGCTTTTGCTGGCGGCATCACTACGTCGTCACCAGCACCATTTTGCCTATATACTACCCATATCGCAAGTAGGAACCTAGGGGCGGGCTTGCTGCATGGTTGCAGAGAGGGCAATGTCTACTGTTGCTCTTTCCCTCAAAATCACTCTGCCACAAGGATGTTCTGGAACAGGTGGCGGTTCTGGGTAACTTGCGTAGATTTGAAGCCATGTGAAGGTCAGTTTTGAAGTATGTTCTCTATGTCATTTTGAGTCTGATGTAATGCATGTTCCAAAGTTCGATCAAGTGATTGATCTGCTTCCAGGGTGAGCTGACAAGAAGAACCAATGCAATGATCTCAAGTTGCAACAATTCTTGACTGACTGCCACAGCTGCCCCGGGGGGTGGAGGTCCATCGCGTGTCGTATGGATTGCTCTCCAACGAGTCTCTGGCTCAGCGGCGGTGAGAGAGGTGATTGGGGAATGGGTGTTTGCTGTTTCATTCCCCCAGCAGAAGGAACTTTCTTTAATTGATGAACGCAACCACACCCCTGACTGAGCCAAATCAGGATGAAACGAGCAAGCTGGCACGACTAAAGCAGCACTACAAAACAAATAACACATCAGTTTCTCAATGATTCGCCAGAAATGCTGCCATGTGTGCTTTGAACCATGACAAGTGTTGTTTGAGTGATGTGATCCAAAATTTTCCACACACATTTCAGGACATGCGTTGAAGTCACCATAATCCGATAGTGTTTTGTAAGGTTTTGAAAGTGTGTGGCGGCAAATCTGCTAATTCCAACTTAATTCTAAGTAGTGCAGATGTTATTGCGCATGTTGTTTTAGAACCTCCTTGCGCGCTGCTTCTGTGACGGGGCAATGTTTCAATCAGTTTTTTTACGCGCAACCGATAGTTTCATTGTTCGCTGTTGGCCGGCAATCCTCCTCGTTCTCGGCAGCATTATCGTTAACAACGGAACACAATAGCATTGATAACATCATCAGTGTCAATACCACCATCATTGCAATGTCATCGTCGTGATCACGAACAACAGCAACAACAACAACATCATCATCAAGATCATCATCAACAACGCAGCAGAGGCAACAACATCAACATCACAAACACAATAACACAACAATTTGTGTACAGTAATCAATTTTGCATGTATCCCAGATGCTCCATGTATGGAATATTTATCTCCATTTACCCCAAAAATGGCCAAACGTAGGTAAATATTCTGTACATGGAGCATCTTGGTATTGCATTTTTTTACATCACGAAAGGTAGCTCCAGTGGGGCTACCTTGAGTTTTGCTTTACGAAGTAAAAGGGAGAGCGGCCAGCCCCGTTACCTGAAGATTGCTAATCATTTCAGTACCCCCCCCTCCGCGCCCCCCAACGCACCTTAAGAGCAGACCCAAAACATTGTAATTTACAGTATTTTGTTCTTTTCGGATATAGAAACTACATCTTGCAACATGGTGAAACCTGCCTAAATACCAATGTTTTTGCTAGGTTCTGGCTAAAAAACACTGTAAATACCATGACTTTTGCTACCAGAGGCAAAACACATCGTAAATACCGTGGTTTTGGGCTTCCGACCCGCCAAAAACATCGGTATTTACGGTGTTTTTTGCTCAGAAATTTTCAAAAACAAGCGAAAAGGCAACCTATTTGACGATTTTCGGCCCCTACAGAATTGAGAAAAACGTTGCAGGGGCAGCAGCAGCAACAACAACAACAACAACAACGACACCAACAACACCAACAGCACCAACAGCACCAACAGCACCAACAGCACCAACAACCCCAACAACACCAACAACACCAACAACACCAACAACCCCAACAACACACAACAACACCAACAACACCAACACCAACACCACCAACACCAACACCAACACCAACACCAACACCAACACCAACAACCCCAACAACCCCAACACCCCAACAACCCCAACAGCCCCAACAACCCCAACAACCGCAACAACCCCAACAACCCCACCACCACCACCACCAACAACAACAGCAGCAACAACAATAACAACATCATCATCATTAACAACAACAACAACAGCAACAGCAACAGCAACAACGACAGCAGCAACAACAGCAACAGCAACAGCAACAGCAACAGCAACAGCGACAGCACACACAACAACAACAACAACAACAACAACCACAACAACAACAACAACAAGAACAACAACAACCACGGCAAGGACAACGACAACGACAATGACAACGACAACAACAACAACAACCACAACGACGTCGACAACGACAACGACAACGACAACGACAACAGCAGCAGCAACAACAACAACAACAGCAACAGCAACAACAACAACAAGAACAAGAACAATAACAATAACAATAACAACAACAAGATCAACAACAAGAACAGCAAGAACAACAACAACAGCAACAACGACAACAGCAACAACAGCAACAACAACAACAGCAACAACAACAGCAACGACAGCAACAACAGCAACAACAGCTACAACATTATCAACAACAACAACAACAAGAACAAGAACAAGAACAATAACAAGAAGAAGAACAACAACAACAAGAACAATAACAAGAACAAGAACAAGAACAAGAACAAGAAGAACAACAACAACAACAACCACCACAACCACAACCACAACAACGACAACAACAACAACAACTGCAAGCTCTGGATCGCAGTGTTCCCTGCCGGACCTGAACAGCAACCTCTGGATCGGAGTGATCCCCGCCGGACCTCAACCGCGCGCACCGGATCAGAGTGTTGCCAGCCGGACCTCAACTACAAAGGATCTGCGAAGATATACCCGATAGAATGCCACAGAGAATTTCAGAAAATATTTGGATTAAAATGCGAATGCCAGATGGAATGTCAGAAAGTATGTCAAAAAAATATCGTTTGGAGGTACCTACTCGAAGTAAGTAATTTGTTCCGAAGGCTTTCAAAAATTATACTTTAAGACAGCCAAAATGACGCCTTGTGGGGCCCTGCGCGCATCATCGCCATCAGCAACAACGGAAACGACATCAAGCATTTGAACTTGGATTCTTTTTGGTGACACATTTTGCACCAATACATATCTACAACCAGACGACGTTACGAACAAAAGCATTTACACAGAGCAGTTTTTACGCGCAGGTATTCTTACACAGGGAAATTTGTGCACAGAGAAACTCTTGTGCACAAAGAAGGATGTTTTTACATACCGATGCTTTAGACAAAGAGGCGCCTGCCCACATAAACAAAGGCATGTAAACATTTTTACACACAAATTTCTTGCCACAGAGAAGTCTTTGCACAGAACTATTTTTACACACATTTTTTTTGGCACCGAAAAAAATAAACACTGAAAAAATGTACACACAGACTGCACCAAAAAATACACACCGATTTTGTTTGCACGCAAAAACTTGACCCAAAACAGTTTTTACACAGGAGCAACTCTTCCGCACAGAAGCCTTTACGGACAATTGTTTCTTAAATGCACAACAATTATTACAAACAGATGGTTTTTACACAGACAGTTCTACGCACAGAAGTCTTACGCACAGAAGGTTTTACGCACAACTGTTTTCTACATACAGACGTTTTTCTTATTTATACACAGATGCCTTTACACGGAAGACGAATTGCACACAGACACCTGTGCACACAGCACACTCTTACACGCAACCAACTTTTACACAGAGAAGTTTTGCTTCCCCTTCTTGATCACCTACCTTTTGTGTTTCCCCTCTCAAGTATGATTTAAATATTGATACATCTAGAACCCCGCGTTTTTTTCCAATAACCCATTGGTAACGTTTCCTGCTCTCTGAGGCAGTTGGCCGCCGACAAGACAGGACCACCTTCGCGAGCGTTGCTGGCCGTGCCCTTTGTGGGCAAGGACTGCGTTTGTTTCCCATTGGGACGGCATCAGGGTGGAAAAAAATGTTTTTCACAATTGCACACCCGGTCAGATGACAAGACCGTACAAGACTCTACTTGTTCTTCTTTGCCACTTTCTCAAGAGATAAAGAAACATGGACAGTTTTCATTATGTTATGTTTTTCTTAAGGTCCTAATCCTTAGTGGTTGATCCAGCTATGAAAATCACTGGTTTCCTTCAAGTGGGGTCGCACACCCGAGCGCAATCTTGAACCTAAAGTGTTCTATACATACAATTCAATGTCCCCATTTTTTGTGGTTCAATCCACATTTTCATATTTACTGGCACAAACCGAACATATTCGAACATATTTGCGTTTTCGAAAATGAGGCACTTCCCAAATTTGATGGTCTATCATCATTGACCCCACGAATTTGCAATGTTTACAATACTTTATGGTTGCCCCCGTTCTGAACAGAACATGACCCTTCACGCTGTGATTTTATAACAAATTTGAGGATGCCTGAGGTATGCCAGGAACACCTGAGACTTTCATAAGCATTGGTCACAATTTAAGATCCCGGAACTACAGGTTTTTGCCATGTTTCGTATGAACCATACCAACATGAGCAACTGAAAGTGTGACACTGGTGGCTAGCCAAACGTGGAAAACTCAGCAACAAATAGTGGGATCACCATGTGAGCCACGTTCTAAACCCTTGTGTTCATATTAAGCAAGGGGCCCCTGGTAAGGGTGTGGCGTAAGCAAAACTGTGGTGCGCGTAAGCCAGCGTAAGCTCCGCGTAAGAAAAGACATGCGCGTAAGCAAAACATGTGCGCGCGTAAGCAAAACGTAAGCAATGGCGTAAGCATTTCTTTATTTGGTGCCAGGATGTAAGACATTTTGAACATGGCTCATGCGGGATTGGACCCAGGCGACCTGGCGAAGATTTTGATCGCCAGGACCAACCAAGCGAACATGCCGAGTTTTCCCATCCAGACGTGCCTCTTTTAGAAGTGGATGGGATCAACGAGATATCAACAGATATCAAGCCTTCCCCCTACTATTAAACACTCCCTAGAAACTTATATGATATGATTTAGTAGCTGGTTGGTGGTTTGGAACATGGTTTTTATGACTTTCCATATATTGGGAATTTCATCCCAACTGACTTTCATATTTTTCAGAGGGGTTGAAAGCACCAACCAGGTAGGGAATTTCCACTTTGGGATAGGGGCCGTTTTTTAATATTGGGGGGATGGGATTATAACAAGGTTCAGTGGCCAGTGAGGCTGGCGTTTGTGTTCCTGGACGGGTTTGCCTTTAGTGTATCCCATTTGTTTGGGAGATGGTTTTGACCAGGCACGCTGGATACAATTCCACTCCCCTAGTTGGCTGTTTATGAGGGACCTCTTCCCGTATGCAACTTTGGCAATGCCAGAAGCCTGCGGGTGATACCCGAAAACATGTTCTAGCAGACAGTTTCAAAGTTTCAGAGAACGAAATTGCCAAGTTCAAGATCAAAGTTACCCACCAAGATGAGGATCATTTCATTGATCCAAACCAGTTTTTTTGCATTTACCATTGACCCCCTCAAAACTTTTGGGTTTATATCTCTCTTCACCTACCCCAAGACAACATCTACACATACAAGACAATACCAGACAACCCCCCTCCACCGAGCATTTTTGTTCAGTTTTGGACCTCCAAACCACCAACAAAAACATACAAAACATCCAATTTGGCCATGGAATGCAGGGCCTGAGAGCGACCCGAGGTCGCCATCGGTTTCAGCATCATGGCGTACCGCCTGCAGGGCCTCCGAAGCAGCGATCTGCTGCTGCTGATTACGGCTTTGCAGGTGGAGGGATGACCCAAAACGAGACACTGAGTTATACATCCCAAATGGGCAAGATTTGTTTCAACAAATTTATAGAGTTTTAGTGGATTTCAACAGGCCCATAGGATCCATGGTGCTGCCATATATGGTAACATTTACCATCAATATACCTCAAATGTTAGCATATATATATAATATAATATTATATATATACCATACATGGATCCGTCATGGGAGATGTCAACAGATGATTTATGACACATAGTGAACCGGTGAAAAAAACATCGTTCGATGCTTCGGATGGCCCATGATTCGCTTTGCGGTGCCCCCAGAGCATCGGGTTGCTCTGGGATGCTCTGGGTAAACTATAACGTCACTACATACAACGGGAAGTAAGGGTAACTAAGTCAAAATGGCCGTATTTCAATATTGATTTCACATTATATATATATGTATATATATATAATATATATATATATACATATATTGATGCATTCTGTAGTTCACTCATACTTGCAGATATTTACTGAGAGTTCATGAGATCAGCTGAGCTCTGGATGGATGCCAGTTGGTTCTTGGTGTAGAAATCTCGCTCTCCGTTGGTCAATTCTTCAGGGGGTAACCCCTTTCGAACAGCCAATAGGTTGTTCCCAAAAAGGACATGATCACCGGGATGTGCATCTCAGTTAGCAAGCGGTTCATATCCCGTGTCTAACTAGGGTTTATCAAGGTTTATTTTGGGAACTCGCATGTACTGCCATGATTAACGCATAGCAAGTAGCGTTGTTTCCAGCCTACTACCAGCATCCAGTATCTTGAAATATGGCAAAGTTATGGTATCAAATAAGATGCATTAGCCACTAGTGCAGAATCCACTAGCCACTAGTTGCGGCTGCAGTTCCAGTTGTAAGTGGTTACATAAAGCTATGGGGGCTCTAAAACCTATGAAAATCAACCCAACTGCACCCACAGGTACGAACTGGTATGGCCCATTGAATTCGTTTATCTGGACCTCCAAATACCAACCCAAAAATTGCAAAAGTACATAGCATGACATAGTATGTAGTAGTCACTATGCGGTAAAACACCATTCTAATGAGTACACATGGAGGGTCAAACGGTTCTGATGGGGTATCCCTTGATGGATTTGTCACATCCGTGCAGACAGAGATGCGGATCCAGAGTGGGGTGCCCTTCCATCGAAGAATGGCCAATCGAGCCTTTGTGAAGATCGTCATCAAGGTGCGTTTAGACACCGGCAAAAACGGGGATTTAAGCAGCAAGAAGGATGATATTTGTAGATATTTATAGTTGATGTATGGTAGCTAAGTTGGTTCACAACTCGGTTTTTTAACTATGGATAGTTTATGGTAGTCGAACATATTTTGGATTGCTACATGGGTTTATAAACCAACAAATGCAACTGGGGCGGGTCACATTGCATGCTCCACGGTGCTGGTATATTTACCAAGAACTAAACCACTTAAATGGTTTAAACTGGTCTAGTTCAGTATGTGGATATACTATGGAGATCTATGAAGTATATGCGATATATCTGTGGACAGAGGAAAATCGATATGCACAATTATGCCTCAATTTGTAAACATGTCTATGTGTGTTCCGCAAGAATTCGAAACTACACAGCCACCCGCAACTCAGCCAAAACATGCTTCACAAAATGGGTACATGATAATTCACGTTTCTGCACAATATTGTAAGCATACATATATATATATATCAAATATTTAATATTAAATTTATTATTATTGTTATTTTTTTTATTAATATTATTATTATGATATATATATATATATGATATATAATGATATATATTATTTATAATATAATATATTTTGTATAATTAAAAAATATATAATATAATATATATAATATAACATATGTATATAATATATTTATATATATAATATTATATATATTATATATCTTGTATATATATAATATAAGATATTTATTATAATTTATATTTTATATTATATATTATATATATATTATATATATATATATATTATTATGATGATTATTATTATATTATATATATAATATACGTGTGTGTGTGTGTAGGGAATTTCACTATTTACATGCATCTCACAACTTTGCGACACACCATTTCTTGTTGGTCAAAGATAATATGCACCCGTTTCAAGGCTAATTCCCATTTGTTTTATACTTAAATTAGTTCAACAAAACATGGCCGCCCCCCAAACCCCCGAAGGTCACCCATTCCAAGTTCCAACGGCACTAGGCCGGTGGCCGCGTCCGTGGCTTCTCCTTGGAAGGGCATTGGCTGGGGGATTCCTCCAAGATCCTGCTGGACCACGAGCGGAAGAACGTCCTGCCACTGGAAGCCCTGGACACCAAAGATGTGGAGCCTGGGACGGTGGTGGGACCATGGGGCGATGATCGTATCCTTTTTGGTAATGATCACAGCTTACATGGCCCAGCTTACGTTTTGGGTGCTGTTTACTGGACCAAATTTGCCGCACAAAAAGCAGGTCGAGTCTTCCCATTGATCAGCTCCCAGGAACAGATGACTCAGCTGTGGGAACTTCTGAAGTCGGACCCTTCAGCCGTGGAGCACTTCCTGCTGACGGTTTTGCAGCCGGGCGTGGGCACCGTTGACATGAGCGATCATCAGCTGTCAGCCACGGGCCAGGAGGGATCGAAAAAAGGGTGGAAGTGAGGCTGGTGCCAAAAACAGTTGATGGTTGGTAGTGGGATGTAGTAGGTACACTTACAGTAACTGATCTATACTATGTTGATTTGATAGGGGATGATTGTCGCTTAACTATAATCCACTAGATAGATGAAATCCCGCACTGAACCAGTAGCTGCAGGGGTGACGGCTGGTGAATAGGGGCTGCTACCTGTTTCACAACTTTCTGACGGGGCTTGATGCCGCCACAGTTCAGCCCTTCTGACCCACCCGAAGTGACTTATGGTAAGTTTGGGTTGGTTAAATGATCATGCCGACCCATCTAAAAGGTTAATCACTATGAACGCCAACCACCATAATATAATAAATGCTTGACGGTTTTATCATCATCATGTTTGGTAGTTCACTGCCCATTTGTGCTGGCACTGCAGGCCTAGATTTGGTGGGTGGACTTCCATGTTCAGTTGATCAATGCGCCGAAGTGAAGTAGTTGGTTCTGTTCCCACGTTTGTTTGGTCTCTGCTGTTTGACTCCAGCATTTTGTTTCTTTCAATATCTTCAATCCCATGGTTTTTCAATGTTTTTCACTGCCCATGCCCATCCATTCCCAGTTTGGGTTGTTCATGTTTGGTGGTTGAATTAAAATTTTGTCAGCATCAATCCCCATGTTCTGCTCCAATGATCTCTACAGATCGGATCATCGCATGGGCCTGGGACCCCACTTTAGGACATGGCCAACCATCCTGGAACCATCCTGGAACCTACGTAGGAATTGTTGAGTCGGATCATCGGATCCTTTTTGGAAATCATGTTTTTTCATCTTAGCAGAATACGATCTGGAGCATCCTGTTCACTATATATATATATATAAATAATATATATATATATATGTATGTATATATATATAATGTGGGTAAAAGAATAATCATAAACCATCCCCTAGAAAAATCATTATTTTTTACGGGTTGTATAGTCTAAACCATTCACCATCTTTTCACCGAGTTTTCCGTAGGACTTGGCCGGTGAACAGCTCTTTGGGCTTTGCCTCGGCTTCAGCGGGACTGGACAAAAAACTCGTTGCCATCACCGCCAAGTTATGGAATTCTTGGCAAAGTTGGCCCAGAATTCTCAGAGTGTATTCACGTGTATGGTTTATTCAGAATGATTCGAAATGATGGGTTTAGATGGGTTTTGTCGGCCCATTGGTTTCCACTTGAACCGATATTCCTGATATTACATCAATATCCCATTCATATATATATATATATTCATATTCCATATATATTTCCATTCAAACACCTTTTTTTTGTTTTCGTTGCGAAATCCCAGTGGTTTCCACTTGCTTCACCTGGCGTTGCTGGCAGTGATTGCTGCTGCAGGACGCCCAACGACCTGCTTCCGAGACGTCTTGGGAACTGCCAATATGCCGAGGGTGTCGCGGTAGATCCAAAGATTGGGTGGAGAACGTTGGCGGTGGTGCCCTCCATTTTTTGTTTTTGGATGTTTTTGGGTTTATACAACTTAGTAACTAAATGTAACTAATGAATTCGATATATCTACATATATCTACCATAAACCCTAGTTGTTGGAGTTATGTTCAAGAACTTAGCTAACTATGGGATGACCACCTTGTGTTAACCTATGGTGGATTTATATCTATCCAATCTATCTTCAAATCTTGAGATAACTACTATAAGAAATCCTCAACATGGTATGTGCCTACGGGTTGAAAACCGAACCAGCGTTTTGCATGTTTCTATGTCTTTCATGGGGTTAACGGGGTGGGGTGGGGTGGGGTAATAACGTTCATTTGCACTGCCTGACATACATGATGCTACGCTGCTGTACATCTTTTTGCACTTCCTCACATGCATGATGCTACGCTGCTGTACGTCTTCTTGCACGTCCTCACATGCATGATGCTACGCTGCTGTACGTCTTCTTGCACGTCCTCACATACATGATGCTACGCTGCTGTACGTCGTCTTGCACTTCCTCACATATATGATGCTATGCTAGTGTACGTCGTCTTGCACTTCCTCACATATATGATGCTACGTTAGTCTACGTTAGTCTTGCTCAATGGCAAGATTTGGACGCATGTTCGCGCTTGGCAGTGGAGATGGGAAAACAGTTCCCACAAAAACCTCTCCAAGCTCACTGCCGAAATTGTGAAGAACACTTAACGCACAAAAAAAGAGAGTGCCGCTGAGGTTTTTTACATATCCAGTGAAAGGTACACGCGTACTTTGTAAGGAAATTGAACTTTGAGAGAGATGCAAAACCACTGTGATTTGTGGTATGAAATCAATGACGAACACTGCAAACGTTGAAAACGCGGGTTCGATAAACAACCCGCCGGGATGTATGTCTATATATATATATATATATACATACACGTTTTATTAAATCAATATGAAATCATGATGGGCAAGTCATCTGTAATAATGCGGACATAATGAATCTGATAGGTATATGATTGGATATACTGTATATTTAAATATTGCATATATATATATATACATCAAATATATACGTATATTGATATATATATATATACATCATATATATATATAAACATACGTATGTATATGTCAACAATGTGATATTTATATTTAAAGATGCTCTCCCGGGATTTTGATGCATTTTGCACCCCGAGTTTATTCATTGGGAAAACACAACGAATTTGTTCACGGTAAGTCTCCGAATCCGCCGTTCATCGATCGTTGGTTTATGATCTCCATTTCTCTTGGCCAAAGTCCACACGAGGTGCCCCAGCTAAGGTGAGCATAGCTGCCACCGTTGGCTTTATGAACCAACTCATTAAGGGGGGTATCACCTTGTAGTTACTCCTTAAGGTATGATAGTTGCTGCTAGTCCAGGATTTTTTTTTGTTTAGTCCAAAAATCCAATCCCATTAGCCTAGCAATTGACATGGGAATGGATCAGATTTCTGAAGACCCAGCAGACCAGGGTTTTTGCGGCACAGTACTTTTGACCTGATTTTTCCAGGTCTGTCCTGATTTTCCAGGCATCTTCAACAGATCTGAAATTATCTCAAAAAAATAGCCTGAGATCTGACGTGGTGCCATATTAAAGTTACATACCTGGTTGGTGGTGACTGGAACGTGACTGGATTATGACTTTCCATAGATTGGGAATAATACTATCATTTGACTTTCATATTTTTCAAAGGGGTAGGTCAACGGTCAACCACCAATTTTCCATAGATTGGGCATGTCATCATTCCAACTGACGAACTCATATTTTTCAGAGGGGTAGGTATACCACCAACCAGTAAAATTACAAAAAACTACCTGATTTATTTCGAAAAAACACAGATGGTCATCCCCACACGAAGTTCGGGATTTTTGGCACGACTAGCCATGTTTCACTACTAGTTGGCACTTGAACCGATATTCCTGATATGCCATTAATATCCAATTCATATTCCATATAGTTCCATTCAATCACCATTTGTGTTGGTGATGAGTTATGACCCTGAAAATGACCTTGTTGAGTGGAAATTAGAGGCTAACGTTTGTCTTCGCCCTTTGTTTTCCCACGAAGTGCTGATTTATAGTTATTTTTTTCCCAGCGAACTAACCTCCATGACCACAAGGGATTTTCCATGGCCAACTGTGAATGTCATAACCAGATCCATGACGGATCCTAACGGTGCTGCCAAAAAAATGGTGTGCCATGGATCCCATCAACAAAAACCCCAGTGATGTTGTAGCATTAATATAAACAGCACCAGCCGGATCCGTCATGGGTCATAACCAGATCCAACAATATCGGCTCGGATCTGAGGAGTGGACGGTCGAATTCTCAGCACGCTCTGCAGTTCTGCCGTAGTGGATGTGCAGGATGCCGCTGCCGACATCCATGGGGGAAATCCCAATCTGGATGGAAGGTGTTGTTGTGATGTAAATGGATATTGGAATGGTTGGATGGATTATAAATCATCAGTTTGTTGGATGATAAACCAATGGATTAAGATATGTTCAGGTTGGTGAATGATTGCAATTCAGCAAGATCAATGCGAATGTTGTCGGGATGTTCCCCTGCCAGTTTAGTTTACCAATAGATACCAATAGAGACTTTGGAATTTTACCGTCAAGTACGTGTAGTTCTTCTTCACACAAACATGTGTATAAGAATAGTCAAATGCTGACTCAACCTGCGTGGATGGCTTGACTTGGACTGGACTGGCTTGACTTGACCTATGGGTTTGTGGCATACCCAATTTTGTCAAAGAAGTATCATCATGTTCTCATTTAAATAGCAATAGAATGGCGGATACCCCATCATCAGACATACCCCTAGCCTATGTATAAATATACATAATATATATATAACCCTTTTAGGTAAACAGTTGCTTGTTTCAAAACTTTACAAGCACATAGCCATACGATCCATGCGTCATCTGTGATAAGTCACAGAATTGGCTTATGAAATCAGCAGGAAGACTCGATATCCAGGGGGTAAACAACATCCGGTTTCCTGCAGATTTCCCCTTCACCGGATCCATTGATTGACAGATGTCACTCTCAGCTGCCTAGTTTATATAAACTGACAGAAATCTATCTTGGGCATACTCCTGATACCTCCAATTTAGGCTCCCTCTAATATGAAATATCCACTCCAGAAACCCCGGTTTGGTGATGGAATTTCTTCATTTTCAAGGCCCAGTCACGGGGTATTGAAGATCATATTGGATGTTATATCGCCATTCATGATATTTCGGATATTTCATGATGGTCAAACCATCTGAATCTCTCATTTCGAATGGCTAAACCCCCACGTGGGGTGGGCTTCCCAGCCTTCCCAGCCCACGCGGAGCATTCGAAACGGTCCAAAAGGACACTGGAGCGGATTGGACGCCGAACACTTTGTTGGATCTCACAGCCGGCAGCGGCTACAACGCCTTCATCGATGTGGGCGTCGCCTGTCTCTTTTTGTTTCGGGGTCTTGGAAAGGGGCTGAAAATGAAACATATGAAACGATGGACAGCTAAATGACATGCGTTGGTTGAAGATGAACCCCGCTTTTCGTTACGTCCTATACGTCCAATTTCCCTGCGCCACACAAGTGGGGGTCTCTCTTGAGATTTGGACGGAGATTTTCCCAGATAAATCATATAAATCCAAGAAAAATGATGGGCTTATCATCTATAAATCCAATGCCAGAGACTCATAGACCATTGTGAAGAGGAATATGATCTACAGCTGGATGGCCCGCTAGCTGCCCCTATGCCAGAGATAATTTTTGAGCGTTGGAAAGCTGGATTTTTTTGGAAACATGATCGAACTAACATCCCGGAACACACGTTCCGGTCTTTTGGGGCACCCTTACAGATGGTTGTTCTTTTCAATTCTTTTCAAGATGAATCGGAATTTGTCAGTGTCGCCTTGGTTCGCTGCAGGGTGCTTTACATGAACAGCTAAACCGCCTTTCAGCCTTCAGTTTTGGATAGAGATCTAACCGACTATAAATATCTATAAATGATATTACAGCATCCTTCTGAGCTCCTTGTTCTCTTAGTTTACTGTCCTAAAGGAAACATAGCGTTGTCAGTATCCATGTGTTAACGCTCATCCTTGTTCGCAGCTATGGCATACGGGAAATGACCACCCCCTTCGGCGGGTGATGGGTCCGATACACCACACCTTTTGGAATAATGTCAACCCTGGATTAATAAACCATAATAAACCCTTAGGACTTAGGTTGTTTAACTGAGGGGGTACCATTTAAGTATCAGATTATGACTACTGGGGAATCACACCACTAATTAATAATCTGTGGTTTATTGATCCGGGGTTGACATTATAAAGCATGAGTATGCACCACCTCTATTTGTAGCATTTCGTAACAACAAAACATGATTGTCCTGTGTGAGTTGAAACAACACCACCATCTTCGGAGTTGTGCGGAAAACCCACCACACTACCAACAGCGAAGCATGCCAACTAGTGAAGGTTACCAGGCCATATGGAGATCCGTTGGCCAAATACCCCCAGGACGATCCCAGGTAACTGGACAATGTCACACAGTTTTGTCGGAAATTTTGGATACCCCATCCATCCATTGAAAAAACATTGTGTGTTTTCTATATCATGTGATTCACGATGATTACCCTCTGGTAATTTGTTACATCGCTATTGAAGCTGGCCCATTCATAGTTGATTTACCTATTAAAGATGATGATTTTCCATAGTTATGGAGCAGTTTACCAGAGGGTAACCCATACTATCCCACATCAGTGGCTCATCCCGATGCTTTCACCGCCCACGGTGACCTAGGCCTTGATCACGGGAATGAGCAACCGCGAATCTGCGGAGTATCTGCTCCGGGCGGGGCTGAAGAACTTCAAAGGGGTGGCTGACCCGGCTTGTCTTAGCTTGGGACGACTGAGTTATATCCAGTGGAAACCAATTTAGTGCCAAGATTCGAGACAGAAAGAATGAATATGACATAGTATGACATAGTATGACCATAATATGATGTTCTTTTTAAGATTGATTGAAGCTTGTTGTTGAGACTACCATGCTGGAATGAAGATTTTGAACTTTCGGTTCTCCCTTTTTTTTGGCTGGGATTCTGGGAGATGTTGGAATGTTCAAACAGCTAGGGATACCAAAAAAACCTCGAATTGATGCTCAATACCCTCTGGTGAACTAACATAGCAATTGAAAATTGCCATTTATAGTGGATTTTCCCATTGAAAATGGTGATTTTCCGTAGTTATGTTAGTTCACCAGAGGGTATTAGTGTATGACCAGGACAAATCCATGATTCTTTTGGGCACATTTACCAACCCCATTGACTAGGGTTGGTAAATGTCCCGTTGTTGGGGATTTAAAACATCACGCATGGTTGTTGGTATAGCGATTCCCATTAATTTAACTATATTTAGCTTAAATCCTGAGAGGTATAATCACTTCAGCCCCACAGTTATGTTTGCTGGTTTATAAACCCCATGAATACTATAGGTATCAGTTGTAAGTTGGTTGATACACCCCATTAACTCCATTTATATCTACCATAAACCATAGTTAAGTCATTTATAAGGCAACTTAGCTATCTTAACCCCATTAACTATTAGTATTATAGTTATATCTACCATAAACCAAACAGTTCGGTGGCAGTTTTTTTTTGTTTTCGGTACATGTCCACAGCCAGGTGTTTTTGAACCCCGACGGTGAACGCTTGGTGCTGCTGCGCGACGGCTGGCAGGTTCGGCTGAAGTGAAGTGCGGCGGAAGTACAAAGAAGTTGTGTTGTTGTGGAAAAAATATGGATAATCCGACTTTGATCATCATTATCCATGAAATTTGGATTTGACATATCCATATAAGAATCAAATTATTGTAAATATATCGATAAATCATATGACATTTCAACTCAAATAATGGGATCAACATTATCCATACTTTCTCTTGAATTGTCCAGATGTTTCGACTGAGTTTTGATGAGTTGTACCATGCTGAGATTTGATGAACTGTTGTTGTTTTGGTAAATTGATGGGCATCCGGTCTCACAGCTTTGAATCCTTTGAGATGGCTGAGCTGTATGCTTCCCATCACAACTCTCCACCGGGCCTGTCTCACAGTAAGTCACCCTATGGATACCAAGCACTTCCTTCCTCCCAAAATGTATCATAATGTATCCATATGTTTGCTTCCTTCTCGAAGGTAGGGCTGGATCTATAGGCTGAAATATCAGACCAGCCAACTGAGATGGGTACGATTTCGGTCATCACCTCACGATTTCCCGCTCTCAGCAGGTGGTGGATCTTGCGCAGTGTGGCTTATCCCCCAACGAGCGCTTCTCCTTCTACGACCACGTGCACACCACTGGGATGGATATCAAACAACCACCGGGCGCCAGAGCGATGTTGACGATGAACAAGGTGTGCAGGGTGCAGGGTGCAGGGTAGTCACCATGTAGTCACCAAATGAAAATGGGTATATTCAATGGGGATATGAAATAGTATACCATGGGTATGTTAACCCGGATACAATCAATGGATAGGATATGATATGATGAATGTTGATGCCCAGAGATTTGCGTGACACAGCAGCCATTAATGTGGATATATGCAATGGGAGATAGTGGAATCTGGGGATATGTCATGGGGTTTTTCATGGGGGTTTGGAAGGGAATAGATATACTACATCAGCAAGATTCTATTTGGCATTTGGGCCAGGGTGTGTCTGAAAATCATGGATTCAGCCCCAAGTTTTGGCAATGTTAATGGGGAAAGCCTGGTGATTCACCAACGGATATACAGATGGAGACTCGGCATGGCCCATTTGCTGTCGTTGGCGGGTTTTCGTGGGCCAAGATAGTGATATATGATATATGATTCTGATATCAATGTAGAAGCCATTTGAGAACCACAGCCATTCAACTTGAAGGTTGCTGCAACCCAAGGTTGGGTTTGAAATTTGAAGATGGTTTGGATTTGGAAACAGGCTTGTCCGGTCAGGTCAGACTGTCATCTTTTGACGGCTGTAAAACAGTGGCTGACCTACTAGTGGTTTACAGCACTGGACAACAACGGCGATTCTATGAAAGACTCTTCAAACAAGGGCTTCTTGAACTGAAGGCCAGCTATCAACCTTAACCACCACTCGAATCAGCCTTGAAGTAAGTAGAAGATATAGTTAGTAGCTGGCTTGCAACCACTTCGAAGTGGCACTTTCAGAAAGGTCTACCCAAGCAAGGATTGCCATTGGATTCCAGTTCAGGTATCCTAAGCAAAACTCTGCTTGGTAGCTTGATGGTAGAGAAACAGACTATATGCAACTATCTATTATCTAAGAATCATCAAAAACCATATGTTGGTTGGCCCGATGCAATAAGCAGCTTAACGGTTTTAATTATTTATTTAGTACAATGTCACACAGTTCTACCTTCACAATATGCAGCACAGATATTGATGTGTGTTGACAAGTTATATCCCTCTGCATTCCATTGAATCCTATGATATACTGGTTCTGGTTGGTGGTTTGGAACCATGGAATTTTATGACTTCCCATTCAGTTCGGAATGTCATAATCCCGACGAAGTCATATTTTTCAGAGGGGTGACCCAACATGGCTCAACCACCAACCAGGGTTGGTGGTTTTGATATGTTTTGATTTATTTAATCCCATCGCATCTCACTGTAACATACCATGATCAAAATCCCACGATTCAACCGGTTTCCCAGTCATATTCAACCCAAATGCAGTATCAATATTGTTCCTAATGTACAACACATATCATCTATTTGCATCATTGATCCATGCCTATCATATATCCATTCAACATCCATTGAATACACATGTGGTAGATGATCTTTGCAACAGATATCCCCTTAATCTCCATGTAATCTCCATGTAATCCATATAATCCCCGGATTTCCCCATGATCAACCAGGACCAACAACCCCACAACCCATGATGGGCCAGCGAAGTCCGGCACCAGTTGGTAGATGGTAAACATCCCATTATAGTCCTATTACATTGTTTCATAGGTACCTTCATAGTTACCTTCATTGTGCAGAATTTCTTCCATCTACCGTCTCAGTCTCACCAGTATAATCATTTGTAAACATATATATATATATATATGATATATGATATATGATATATGTGTATGTGTATTTGTATATATGATGATATTTAACCATGAACAATTGTCATGTTATGATATTTGCTAGGGATATCTATGGATATCTCGTGTCTCCTTTTTTTTGCATTTTTCCTCAACCATGAGCCGCTTCGCTCATCCGGCGAGATCGATCCCTGTAGGACACCTCTCTGCGCGACTTCGCGCAGGGCGCCTTTCGCATGCGACAGCTGGGCAAAGGTCAAACGGTGACCATCTTGGCGACGCCTGAGGCGCAGCGGGATGAGGATAGTTAATGTCTACCATAATAGGATATAGATATCTATGGATAGTGTCAATATATCTATGGATCATATTTAATATATCTATGGATCATATTTAATATACTATAAATATTACTAACAACACTATCCATAGATATATTAAATATGATCCATAGATATATTAAGTATGATATATGATAATACCATCCATGTAAACTTAAACTAAACGCTTAATGGAGATTGAGTATCAATACTATGACAGGGTGTCTAACTATCCATTTTGCACGGTATGGGATGACAGGGTATCTTATAAATTAGGGTGCAGGATTTGAAGAATCAATAATGCCAATTGGACATCCCCCATAAATTATGAAGGTTTATAGCTGGGGAAATGATCGATAAAGGGGTAAACAATGGCGATTTAAAGCATGACAAATGTCAATATGTGGTGATTTATGCATCACAACATACAAACAAAATTGATTTAGCCATGAAACATATCAGGATTTAACCCAAAAATGAGGATCTATGCATGAAACATATCAATAGCCATGGGGATTGAATCAACTTTCATGGGCTTATTTGGGTGTGTGTTATGAAGGGGTCAATGTCATCATCCTGAAAATGTGGATTTGCCCACCATAAAAATCGGAACTTCACTGATATGATTCACGGTAAACAGGGATGGTATGTAGGGGTTGAAATTGTCAACCCCCAAGATGGTGAAGTTGGGTTCCAATCCCAATCAGACGTGGGTACATGGGTACCCCATGTTTGACCCATGGCTGGATGATGTCAGTTCCAGTGGTGGATCGATTTCACCAGAGGGCCCATCACCAGTGGTGGTTTTATCAATTTTGATGGTTCCATCTTTCACCCTTCCACCGTTCCTGATCTCCAGTCACTTCTGGTGCTTCAACAACATTCACATAAATTCCCATGGTTATAGTTATAGCATTTTATCTATCATAGCCACAAACAATCCACCTCCAGTTATAAGTGGGTTTTATAAACTCCAGTCGGGCCAACTGTAACATTTCCAACTATCATGTTTTAACGTTTTAGCCTGGTTCTCCAGTCACTTATGGGGCTTTCCAGTGATTTCTGGAGCTTTACATGGCTTTCTCAATTCCTATGGCTAGTACAGTTATGGCCATTTATTAGTTATAACTGGTTATTTCTATGGGATTATACATTCTATAAATGGGATTTTGTTAGTACTTATAACTGGTATTTCGGGCCATAACTGTAGGGCCAACCTTTCCACCGTTCCACCGTAACGCTGGAAGACCACCAGGTGAGTCAACTCGTGGAGCAGTGCCAGAACGCCTGCCATGTGGCGCAGCGCGCCAGCAGCCGTGGACGGAGCAACTCAGTGACCTTGGACCATTTCCTGGAAGGCGCCCGGTGGAGTCCTGTGAAAGGTTGGGGAAATGCTGAGAAAAGCCATGGTGAAACCCATGATTTTTACACCTGAACACATGGAGAACAACTGGTTTTTCACGGTGAAAAAGTGAAGAAGAAGTGGTGAAAAAGGTTGGGGTATGAACGATGTGAAATGGTGAGTTACTGTAAGATGATGTAATAGGATATTTATGGATATTTATAGAGAATTCATGATATATACGTATACCGTATATGTATATATAATTTGTCTTCCCAATTTTTAACAGGTGGATTTTGTTTACCACATGTTCAGAGACACCCAATGACTTCACCATATATCTCAAACTTCATCATGGGGGACCATATCACATTGAAATTGGATCGTTGATTATTAACCCAAGTGGTAAATCACCCACATATTACATAACTGTGATTCATCGCATGGGTGACTTGACCTCACCTAGACCCTCTGGCATTGCATCCGTAATAATCTAGTGTTTTTACCTCATATATATATATATATGTAACTCTATCGTAACTATGTACATTTTTCGTCAGACACCTCATTTTTATCCTCCTTTACTTTTATACCGTCCTGTGCCATTTTGTGGTATCAAATTTGGTCAGCCTTCCGCGCCAGATCCCAGCTCACCGAAGTCCTCCCAAAAAACGACGCGGGTCGTGAGCACCTTGCTGTGGACGACGGCCAATGGCATTCGTCAGGAATGTCGGAAGCAGAGATGCTTGGCGTTTTGCGAATCTGACCATGGCATGGGGATTTCGCCATGGGGATTTCGCTAAAGCACATCAAACATGGAGACTTAACCATGAAGAACTGGATAGGACGACCATCAAACATACCGGCGTTTGAAGCGCTTGAAACATGGATTTTTGGCATGGAAAATAGGGGTAAAACCTGGCAAAGGATGCAACCTGCTGAGGATTGTTTTGTTGCCATCGGTCAATCCATCATATTTACAGTTATGAGTTATGGCCATTTACCAGTTATAAGTACTTATAATCCCATTTATAGAATGTATAATCCCATTTATAACCAGTTATAACTAATAAATGGCCATAACTGTAGAGAAACTATTTCGGAATATGTTTTTCAGAGGCTGACAGTAAAACCTGGAAACATCGCTATAATCGACTATGGGAACCTTTTGCTAGATCATGTTCTATGGTTGCAGAATTTGGGATTACCCTCTGGTAAACTAACATAACTATGGAAAATCACCATGTTCAATGGGTAAATCCACTATAACTTGCCATTTTCAATAGCTATGTCAGCTATTAGCAGAGGGTATGTTGAGTTTGTCCGAATAGATGAAGGGGAAGATCTGAAGGACAAGCCTATATAAATGGGCTTACGCAACCATTCCTGTGTTCCCTGAAATGGATCCATTGAAACAAGATAGTGTGTAATACTTGTTGGTTGGATGATCATTTTCATCATCACCAATTTTGTCAGATCCTGTTATTTTTTCCTGAAACTAATCCATTGAAACAAACACCACCTTGATTTCCCTGTGGTAATCCCATGATGTTTCCATCTTATTCCATTTATACATATATATATACATATAACCTGCAACCAACCATGGATCAATCACCATTTTCATTGGTTAAATCGATAAAATCAACTTTTCAAACCTCTGAATCCAGAGAAAGGCCCAACTGATCAATGGCAGATGACGGACTCAACTGATCTGGCCACTGCGCCATTCCCAGGCCTGTTATGCCAGCACAACTTCCAAGACATTTGGCGACGCAAAGCACGTGCCAAGTTGGAAGCGCTGACCTTTGATCCACAGCAACAGGCCGGGATGTAAAACCACCATTTGTTCAATGCATTTTACGTGGACACAATAAAATGTAATGGAATAGAATGCGATATTCTGGGGAGAATGATGGGATGTCATGGGATGATAGTGGGATGTCCTGTGGATATGAAAATTGGGTCTGTGGATATACGGATGATTTACCCGAAAGCACGGAGTCTTTGTCTGAATTTGTGGCATGTTACTTGTTGAGACAACACATGGGGATGGGTCAAAACATGTCAAAACCCGCTATGTTTCCATATTTTGTGGAAAAGTCACATCCATTGATCTAGGCTATGACTTAGGGCACCTAGAGGGTAGGAGGATGTAGCAGGGTTTTGACCATTTTTGACCCCTACATCTCAACCAGTTGCCAGCTCCAGGCGGCCCTGGCAGATCTCTTAAGTCATCCGCAATCTGCAGCGCTGGCGGAAGCGGTGGATCTACCCCTCCGAAGGGAGAAAAACAGCGGGACGCTTGGAAGATGAACCGGTCTATGTGCAATGGATATACCCTCTGGTAAACTAACATAACTATGGAAAATCACCATTTTTAATGGGAAAATCCACTATTTCTATGGTCATTTTCAATAGCGAACTGTTAAATTACCAGAGGGTAGTAACTAGTAATCAAATGAGACATGAACCAGTTCCAATTAATGTTACATTAATGTTACTATATCCATTGCAACAATAGACATGTCTAAGTCTATCATGAGACATGAGACATTTATGATAGATCCATGCAATCTATCGATCTATCCATTTCCCCTCTAGATAAGTTTCAGCGCCTTTTCGGCATGGGATTTACAGGTTTCACTGTACGCCTGATGGGTACAGGGATTCCCGGTTGTGTCGTCCCTCTTGAAGCATAGATTAATATGGGACAGTTTCATACAGTTTCTGGATCATGTTGCCTACAGCAATCAGAGGTCATTATGATTCGATATAGTAAGACAATGTAAGATAATTTACGATCAATCACTCTGACAAACACCCTGCTTAAATACCGTATACGATTGGCCTGTCGATATTTTCCATATGTCCATCATTTTATGTTTCTTCCATATGGTTTTGTCTCAAAATCGGAGCCATGTTTTCCCTTATGTGTATTGTGTGGGGAACACAATGATTGACCTTTAGGAATTGGAATTTCCCAAATTCAAGACACCCAGTCCAATTACACGTTTCATCAATGGACATGGGTTTGTTTTAAAATTGATATTCACCATTTACATGCCATACATTAGGGGAGTACTTTTTCCGTAGACACACCCAAAATACCCGAGTCATCACACTCGTTGGTTTTCTGTATCACATGAAATATCGTATCAACTCTCCCGCAACATTGGTAAAATGTCAGTCTATTCACTAAACCCTTTCCACCATTCATAGATGTTCCCTGTAAAACCTCCATATGTGATGAGGGTTTTTTAGGCTAACGACTTCGATTACCAGAGGGTATATCGCTACAATTCTATCCATATAGTTCTACTTCAGATATCCATATCATATAAAATCACGATGATTTTTTCTCCCTATTGTTCCCTATCATTATAGAGTTCAGACATCGGAGTCACATCTGAGGCTTCATGAGAGGCTGCAGTTAGAGCTGAAGAATCGCAAGGCCACGCCCCAGGAGCTCGGCGGAGTGCGGAACTTTTTTTCATCAAAAAAAAGGAAGGTTGGGAAAAGCCATCTATACTCAGGGTTGGGAAGGTTCGGGAACTTGCCAGTTAATGGAAAATGGTGATTTATAGTGGATTTACCCATTGAACATGGCGATTTTTGATAGTTATGAGAAGTAAACAATCCATCTATCTGGGTAAATTTCATCACGACCTCACTGTTCTCCCTCACTGGAAATCATGGTTAGATTGCGGGAAATCATCCCCTTTTATGGCCGCAAGATTCAGGTTAGTGAAATATTATAATTTACGCAGATCTATACTCAGGGTTGGGAAGAATCCTCAAAAAAGCAGGTTTGAATCCCATATCAACTGAGGAAACGAACAACAGTGGCAAGTTGGGAAATCCTCGAACTTCATGGAGATTTGAATGGGAAGACCATCTATAATCAGGGTTGCTCCAATCCATTAGAAGTAAATTATAGCCAGTTTTTTTGGGGGGGAAAATGGATCAGTTTACCTCCTTAACTAGCAATTTAATCCCCAAACGTATCTGTGGTGTTGGGGGCAACCTTGAACAGAGAACATTATTATGATATCCCTAGGCTATCATTCCATCTTTATTTACGACAACAATGATCATGAGGCAAAGCACAAACAGCCTTATTCACTAATCTATGAATTTGAATATTCAGAAATAGCCCCCCCACTTTGTAGCATTATTTATTTGCAGACTAAATACGGTGTATTGCAAGTTTGGAGTCTTTAATGGTTCTGGTTACTGTTACTACCAATAGCCATTTAGCCAGGAGATGAATCGTGAGGTTTTGCAGCAGCATCTGGCACTTTGGGCATATCCCATGCACTTGATTGACCACAGTCACGTTTCACAGCATTTCCTATACCTCACTAATTGAACCATGCCTATGTTTTCTACTCCACATATGTAACCAGCGGACTTGCTTCATAAAGTTCTTTGCATCTTTGAAGGCTTGGGCTCCCATGACCATTTCAGTGTAGTATAAAGATGCAAGTAAACATATATTCAACATTTAAATATGTGTATATGTATATATATACATATATGCGCATCCCATGATTAATATCAATGCATATCTTAAATTAATTACCACTAAACAACATTGAAGTCATTAATATATATTGCAGTACAATATTAGACAGTACTATATATATATGCTTAAGATTATTCCATACTAGGCAACCACTATATATATAGCAGCACTGCTGTTGTTGACATATACGTATCCATGTCGAATATTGGTTGGTTAAGAACGGATTTCCCAGTTCATGGATTATGATAATCCCCGATACTAGTAGGTAGTTCAACACCTTATAGTCATCAATCAAGAAAAGTATTGAACACTGCGCGATATTCTTTAGTAGAATACCTACTATTAGAATAACTATGTCCCAATATCTAATAACAATTTTAGAATAAATCATATATATATATGTACATACACATGTGGAGGTTTCCTAAAATGGGGGTACCCCCACATCATCCAAGTCATTAGACCATGACTCAGCATTTAAACGTTGAACCAATATTTTTGGGTACCCATATTTTAGAAAAAAATCCATATATATATATATATGTACAGTATACATACTATCAGAATAACTATATCTTACTATCTAATATTAGAATGTTATACATGTTGTTTACTGATATCATGTAATGATAATAGCAATACAATTATTCTAATAGCCTCACATATTAACAATAATAACAACAATAATAGTAATAACAAACATCATAAGAAAAAAACTAACATCAAACATAATAACACTAATATATATATATATATATAGCTTCAATAAACAAAATAAACATCAACATCTATAGCTTCAAGGGATCCAAGGGATCCGAGCCAGGAGCAGGCAGAAGCCCAGGAGGTTTTGAGCGAGTGCCTGCGCGAGAAGGATTTGGAGCTCTTGGAGGAAGCGCCAGAAGAAGCCTTGGAAGGCCGAAAAGGGGCACGTTGTTCAAGGATAAAAAACCTGGAAAATGCTCGACAAAATGGAAAGATGTGGGGATTTTGATGGAATTTCACCAGGAAAATGGGGGTTTATAGATAGGAAAATGGTGGTTTATAGAATTTATAGTCCATTTTATTTGGAAAAGATATGGGGGTTGCTCATCAAAAATGGTACAGAATCCAACCGGTTTTTCAGATAAATGTGGAGATTCTGACCGAAATAGAGCCAATTGGCAAAGATTGTGTTTTCAAGGAATTGCGGATATTCAACAAGTAAACAAAATGATTGTGATTTGGGCATGAAGCTAAAATTATTTGTGGTTTAAGTTGCAAACACATGTCTAAACCAATGAACAACGTACAGAATAGATATTTAATCAAGATACATAGGTGTGAACCAACAAGACTTTGTGTTTTATCAATCGGGTTATTTTCAAGATAGTACGTCAACGAACCATAACTGACCAAACAAGAGTGGTGCAACGTTTTGCTTTCACTTTTGCCCCTGAAGGAGAACAAGTGCAAGAGCAGCAGCAAGAAGCTGAGCAGGAGAGATGTGTGGCAAAGTCGTGCCTCAGTTTGCGATAGCTAAATTTGGTTTCTAAGTTTATATTTAATTAGTGGTATGATATGGACTTATAAACTGGTTATATGGATAATTAGTTGCATTGATTTACAAATATGTGACTAACCTAGATGATTTATATAACTTAGTTAACTTATATCATCCCCCTAAATTGTGTACCATTTTACAAAAATATAATATATATATACACATGTCTATATATATATTAGTTGTATGCATGTATACATATTTACACATAAGCAGTTCGTTGGGCTACCACATGGGAACAATGCATGGTGTATGTGCCTATATTTGAACCGTTCTTGGGGTAAATGCTGGTAACTTGCATTTGGGGTTGGTTGATGATCATGATGACCAATTTATGGGGATGTCATTGTTAAATTAGTTACTCAATTAGGACTCAATTGTTTCATTTAGTGGTATACTTGATAAATGAGGGTAGGTTCATACTAGTTCGCGGGTCTTGCTTACCAGTATGGTCAGCGTTATCATAAGTCCATGGGGGATTTTCCTCCATTTTTGTGGAATATGGGGAGGGGTCAACACAAAGTTGGGCGTTGGCAAGTCAGGTTTACCAACTTGTTTCTGGTGGATATATCATCAGATGGATTTATAAACCAGCTTGGAACTGGGGTGTTAACTTTCATGATTCAAGAAAATGAAGGAATTGCACAGAAACAAGACATGGAACTACCTTAATTATTCGACCTTGTCCGACTTGAGTCTACCCTCACGGGTTGTTTGTGACGTGAACTGCGCAGGAGCAAGAGCAAGAGCAGGAGCAGGAACAAGAACAAGAAGAGGAGCAGGACGCTGGGCTGTATGCGACCAATCATTTTACACTGTATGACCTTGTATACCTGCATATACCTGTACAAGTATATATATATGTATATATATATATATGTATATATATATTGAAGTGTGCTAAATGTACAGGTGCATTGGTAACTGTCCAACAGAGTTACATAATGGGGTGCAAAGGGGACAGACATCCTGTGTCACTGGCTAGACAGTTTGGGAGGGTTGAGATGCTGATCAGATATTTTGGGAACAATACATGTCAATAATCCACCAGCCCGGAATCCGATTTTTTTGCACTAGGATTAGGTTTGTAGTTTGTCATGGTTGGTTTTTTGAAGTCGGTTATTTATGTACTTGCCAGTTGCTGCTTAAAGTGCTCAAATGACATTGGTTCCGTCTGCATGTTTGTAAGTCAAAGGTTGTGGTTGTTGTTGTTGTTGTTGTTGTTGTTGTCGTCGTCTTGTTTTTGTTCTTGTTCTTGTTCTTGCTTTGTTTATTGGACAAATTATGTTTCAAATCTTTTCTTCGACTAAGGAAGTGATACGCGAAGACGTGGGGCACGAAAAGTTTGCGAAGATCGACAAGACGCAGAATCCCTGGAAACTACGCTGAGTGATTTCAATGTGTTTTTTCCAATTTAGGTATGGATCGAAACCCTGGTAGGCAGTATTTAAATATATATAGTTGTTCCGTTTGCTCGCTGAGATGCACCCCCAGGGTGAACATCACAAATTGTTGCACCTGGATGTTAATCCGGCGAACAATAGAAATGTTTAGTGTCTTTGTTTGCATGATAATGATTTATGTTTATTTTCCCTCAACATGGGATGTTTTTTTTATTAATCATCAGTCGTACCAGCTGCTGGGTGGATGTTTTTCTTTGTGGGTGAATTATTAGATCCATAACTGGTACCGCAAATGGGATGACAATCCCACTTGATAATATGTTTTACCCTCTGGTAAACGTTTACATAACTATGGAACATCACCATGCTATTTTCATGGGAAAAACCACTATTTCGACTGGACCATGTTCAATAGTTTTTTGTATGTTTACCGGAGGGTATGAATAAATGTTCGTAATTCCGAGCCGAGATTCAGAGCTCCCTTCTCCCCTTGCCTTGGGGGATGGGATAAGTCACATGATAAAACGGCTCAGCCAATCCCAGAATTGGTGGCAAATAAATTTAGGGAACTTGCCAGTTCATTAATGGAAAAAGTGACTACCTGTAGGCTTTTCCATGGTTTTCCCATGTTTTCCCTTTTCAATTAGATTAATAATAATAGCATAATGATGTTCATTAATCTGGGTAAATTTCATCACGACCTCACTGTTCTCCCTACCTGGAATCATGGTTAGATTGCGGGAAATCATCCCCTTTTATGGCCGCCAGATTCAGGTTAGTGAAATATTCTGGCCTTTACCCAGATTAATGGAAAAAGTGACTACCTGTAGGCTTAACACCATGGTTTTCCCATGGTTTTCCCTGTACCGATCCAGTGCAGCCCAGGAAATTGGCAAGTTTGGGCCAAGGGCCAGCCTCATCTGCTGCGCCCTTCTACCCACTTCTGGACTTTGCTGCCCATCCAGGGCTCATGGGCGGCGAGCCGCATTTGTTAAAAGAGATGCCCAGCTATTTGATGATGAGCGAGAATCATTATCGGAAGGTATCTTGGAGAACATGATTTTCACTAATAGTATATCATTATTTTTTATCTTTATTATTATTGTTATTTATTATTATTATTACATAAATTAAATCTATTTATACTATAGTATATATTGTATGATATCTTCGGAAAATTGCACACGACAGTTTGACATGAAACCACTACTATATGAACGAAACATCAACAAACACATATGTGAACACGCAATATGAATTTGAACTAAACATGAACAAACAACCATGCACAAAGCCCAACACGGGACTAACCGTTCACAAGTGAGGAACCCACTTTTCCATTGGAAACTATGTCCAGCGGACGTCCAAGGCATGGCGTATTCAGTCCACGAGGAGATTGCGAAATGTCATCTGTATTTTGGAGTTGGGCGCTGAGTTTTTCGGAGGGTCTTAGGATGTCTTAGGTCCAGCTCGTGGGATCGAAATGAAGAGGAGCTTCCTGTACTAATTATGTGTGGTTCTCTTTTGAACCAATTCTGGTAGGTGGTCATGAAACTGGTTATGTCACTGTTAAATTTGGCTGGTGATTGTCCTATTTCTCTTGAGGGTGACCTAGAATGCAACGTGACACGGGCCCTCATGGTGTCAGAGATTGAAGAACAGAAGTCGACCCCAGGCCTGATAGCAGGGTTTCACAATGGCTGAGGCAACACCAGGGTCATTTTTGTGGTGATTCCGGTGACAATACTGGAGCATCGCGGATAGTGGTGGCATTCAGGTCCAGAATAACAAACACCACCAAGCATCTTCCCAGCATTCTATCTGAATCATGGGTCAATACGATCGAATTTAATCATCCAGATATTTGATGCTGTATTATACATATATATATAATATAATAATAATACTTATTATTATTATTATTATTACTACACTATTGTTTCTTGTGGTTACAGAATAAAGCAACAGTCTTCAGAATGCTTTTACTTCAGTTGCTATATCCTCGCTTCCATGGTGGATGATCATTTGCCGCTTCAGGTGGGTCCCTGATGAACAACAATTGTCGCCTTTGGAGGTTCCTCACTTGCAATAGAAATGGAGGCAACAAAACTGGCTATTGCACCAGCAGTGACAGGACGTGCCAACAGGAGTAGAAATTATCCTATTTGTTCATTATTACCTGGCACTGGAAATAAACAAACGTTAATTCGAAAAGGACCACAGTTTGGCTTGTTTACCTGGGGGTATCATCAAGTTCCGGAAGAAGAAGCTGAAGAAATCACCACCAACCAAATTCACTGGGCCAATCTTGGTTAGACACTTTAGTCCTGTGATCTTTTGCTATCAATGGTAAAATGTACCAACCAGCAAAAAACATGCAATGTATCTAAGATTCACCATGAAAAGGTCACTAACCTCATGAGATTTGAGCCACAGGAATAAAGGTCCCAACACTGGCATCATTCTGATAGACCATGTATGATGTATGGAACATGTTCGATCATTGACTCCCAAAATGCTTCAACTACATAAAGATACCAGCATGGTTTGCATATGGGATTCATCACCAAAGGAAAAAAACATTGATTTTCAAATTACTTTACTTCGTGTGATCCCCACCATGACAATTATACATTTTGTTGCTGGCAAATCTTCTGGCATTCTATCTGGCATTCTACCTGGCATGTCTTCTGGCATATTATGGCATATTATTTGGCAAATCTTCTGGCATTCTATCTGACATTTTATCTGGCATTCTATCTGGCATACCTTCTGGCATTCTACCTGGCATATCTTCTGGCATTCTACCTGGCAAAACTTCTGGCATATCTTCTGGCATTCTATCTGGCATATCTTCTGGCATTCTATGTGGCATATCTTCTGGCATTCTATCTGGCATTCTATCTGGCATATCTTCTGGCATATTACTTGGCAAATCTTCTGGCATTCTATCTGGCATTTTATCTGGCATTCTATCTGGCATACCTTCTGGCATTCTATCTGGCAAATCTTCTGGCATTCTATCTGGCATACCTTCTGGCATTCTACCTGGCATATCTTCTGGCATTCTATCTGGCATTCTATCTGGCATATTTTCTGGCATATTATTTGGCAAATCTTCTAGCATTCTATCTGACATTTTATCTGGCATTCTATCTGGCATACCTTCTGGCATTCTATCTGGCATATCTTCTGGCATTCTACCTGGCATATCTTCTGGCATTCTATCCGGCATTCTATCTGGCATATCTTCTGGCATATTATTTGGCAAATCTTCTGGCATTCTATCTGACATTTTATCTGGCATTCTATCTGGCAAACATTCTGGCACTTTATCTGGCATACCTTCTGGCATTCTATCTGGCATATCTTCTGGCATTCTACCTGGCATATCTTCTGGCATTCTACATGGCAAAACTTCTGGCATATCTTCTGGCATTCTATCTGGCATACCTTCTGGCATTCTATCTGGCATATCTTCTGGCATTCTATCTGGCAAAACTTCTGGCATTCTATCTGACATTTTATCTGTCATTCTATCCGGCAAATCTTCTGGCATTCTATCTGGCATATTATCTGGCATATCTTGTGGCATTCTATCTGGCATTCTATCTGGCATGTCTTCTGGCATATTATTTGGCAAATCTTCTGACATTCTATCTGGCATATCTTCTGGCACTTTATCTGGCATATCTTCTGGCATTCTATCTGACATTTTATCTGGCATTCTATCTGGCGTTCTATCTGACATTCCATCTGGCATATCTTCTGGCATCACTGAGCTGGCAGGTCCCAGGTTGAGGTCCAGCGGTGCACACTGAGCTGGGCAGCTCCCAGGTTGAGGTCCAGCAGTGCACACTGAGCTGGGCAGCTCGCAGGTTGAGGTCCAGCGGTGCACACTGAGCTGGCAGGTCCCAGGTTGAGGTCCAGCGGTGCACACTGAGCTGGGCAGCTCCCAGGTTGAGGTCCAGCAGTGCACACTGAGCTGGGCAGCTCGCAGGTTGAGGTCCAGCGGTGCACACTGAGCTGGGAAGTTGGCAAAGAGCTTAGCGAAGAGTTGGCAAGGCGGAAGTGGACATGGAAGTGGAGGCAGAGGTGGTGGAGGAGAAACTGGAGGAGGAGGCGGAGGAGGAGGAGAAGGAGGAGGTGGAGGACGAGGAGAAGGCGGAGGAGGAGGAGGCAGTGGAGGACAGCTAGCGAGGAGGAGAAGAACAGCTCTGATAAAATCTAACAAACCTCACCTGGCAGGTGGGGAACTATCCCCATGACATCCCATGTCAGTGTCCTAAATATTTAGAATCGATGCCCGATGAGGTGCCATATGAGCTTTCGCAAGACCAACTGGACTGGCTTCGCCTGATCTTCGCCGTGTACAGCGGCGCTTCCGTGGTGGAGGACGGCAGCCGAATCACTGGGGAAGTGCTTCAGAAGTTCTATGGCTCCTGAGGCTTGGAACCGTTGGCACCCGAGGCGAACTCGAAGCTTGGTTGAAACTGGCTGGTCGTTGGTGAACCAAAGAGATCCCCCAAAAAAAGGATGGACAAAGTGAAATCCGAGCGGACAATAGATGGTAAACTACTTTTCTATCCTTTTGAGGGTTTACTATAAATCCATCTAACTATATAGAATACTATGGATATAATTAATTCGTATATCTATCAAGAAAACATAGACCTTTAGTTATAAACCAACTTACTTATCCAGGGATATGCCCTAACCCAACATGGGTTACCAATGGATCCACAAGGCCTTCATCTGCTTCCCAGGCAGAGTGTGAGCTTTCAACAGTTGCGGAGGGCCATTGCGTCACAATCCTTGTACCAATATGAACAGGTGCCTCATGACCTGCGGAAGACCTGCGGAAATCCTCCAATTTTTGTGGGATGTTGTGATGTTGCGATGTTGTGGTGCATAGCAACTCGTACTGGAAACCCTGAAACTAAGTAACTAGGTGGTCTCTACTGAAATTGTTGGGGAGGTTGGTTCCAGTATGTTGCAGTGACTTACAAAACTCTCGGGTAGCTGGATCAGCTGGTGTTTTCCATAAGATGGGGGTACCACCCCAAATGGATGGGTTATAATGGAAGATCCTAACAAAAAATGGATGGTCGGCTGCCTTCCGAGCCCAAGACTCCATGGTAGGAAGCCGAGTTGTTTGTCTTGCCCTTTTTTAAAGGTCTCAAGATTTGCTGCGACACAAATCATTGATAGATCTAGAATATACAAACAGGATCAAACAGGTGATACAGGGATCATCAATGATACAGGTAGATTGTTCATGATGAAAGTAGTCGATGTTTGTTTGATACTGCTTGGTGATACACATGACCAGCTGTGGTTTAATCCCAGATAAATATTTTGGTTTATAAACCATAGTAACTACAGAGAACTATAGACTATAGAAGTTACATGAAGTTACTTATTGAAGTAATCATGATTATATATATATACAGATAGATAGATAACTATATGGATTGTTGGTTTTTATTGGTTTAACTTTAGAAATATCTACCATAAACCCAACACTTATTGAACTTACTAACTTCGCTGTCCCGACTTGGGGCACGACCAAGCTAATGTAACCCCACCTTGATTGATTACCCAGAGAAAAAATACCTAAAGCACGTTGGTTAATCGTATACTTATATTTCATATATGCATATTATGTATATATTATGTATATATGTATCATATATATATATATATATGTATTATGAGGTACAATCATATTCATGCATGTGTGTATATTATATAATATTATATATATGTACATATTTTCCAAAAAAAGGTCCGATGAAACATCACCATTGTTCATCAGTTGCAAAGTCATCGAATCTTGGCTCTGCAGGGCAGATACTTTGTGGCCTTATCACTGGAAGAAGGACAACATTTGCGAGCTGCCATTCATCGCTTGAGTTTGGATCAGGCGAGTGTTTTTTTTCATCACGCGGATCCTATGTTGAACTAGGTTGATTAAGTTAATTGTTGATTGCTTGAGGAAAATAATATATAACTAAGTGTAACTGATTGAGAAACAATGATTTTGGGTACTTTGGTGGTTCCAGAGGTTGAAATCTGTTGAAAGGCCCCCTTTGTTGCACGATTGCAGCACATCCCCGGCTCAAAGGGACCATGTTTTCGAGTACCCCTTGGGATCTACCCCCTGATCTACTGCAAAACATCACCAGGCTGCCCTCTACTGCTAAACATGTACAGATACATCTAGATAGTGTTGGTCATGTTGCATGGTTGGTGCATAGCAGTGCCACATAGTGGATAGTTCCTGGTGAAGTGGGCGCATTTGATGGATTTTCTCTAGCTTTTACATTCCATACATCAGTCGTTTTGATTGGCACATCACCATATTTGGCAAATTTGGCAACCAATTTGACACATATTCCCCATAATAATTTCTTTATACATGTACAGCATGTCCCCCAGATCCATCCAAATCCCCTGGTTTTTCTGATCAGTTCTCATGAAAATCGCCACAAGTGGACCCCATTTTCACAAAACACCCAACCCCATTATACCCCATTGGTAAACTAACATAGCTATGGAAAATCACCATTTTCAATGGGTAAATCCACTATAAATCACAATTTTCAATAGCTATGTCAGCTATTACCAGAGGGTACCCCATTGGTATTGCTTGGTATCCACCGTTCAAACCACCTCCTGGAGGTAGCTCCGGTGTTGCCTGCCAGCTGCAGCTTAGCTTTGCGCATCCTTCCCTCCTCCCCGCGACACAGCAGCTGTCACCTGCTGGCCTCCCTGGGATCCTACGCAAGGCACGGCTATCAGTTGCAGGCGCGTGAGCATGCGTGAGCTGGTGACAAGTGAGCTGGTGAGACAGCCTGGTTGAGTTCATGGCTTTTCACAGTTCGTGGATTCTGATCATTCCCCATATCAAATTGCAGTAAAAGCTTGGAATTCATCATCAACCAGCGTTATTGAACCTACTTAGAACCTCTACCCATAAAAATTGCTAAAAATCCCAAGTCATTAAAAGCGGGTCGATTATATTAACCCAGTTTTGAAGGCACACATGTCAAGGTACTGCGGTTTCAGGGGTGGCTGGTTCCCCAGGCTGCAGAGCAATGTTTCCACTTCACCAACTGTGTGGCTGGGCTGGCGAAGATGCTGGAAATTCCTACAAATTTATGGGCTTTGAAGGGCAAAATCCTATAACTGGGGTATTTTCTTTGAGGATTGAGATGATTCTGGTGGAATTCTTTGGAAGACTCCATCGCCTCGGTGTTTGGTGAACTTCAGATCCGATCTTCACGGAGTCATCTGTCCGGCTGTCCTCTGAGGTGGCGGCTGATTTCCCAAGCGCACGACTAGTCAGTCCAAAACACAAATCACAAACATCGCAAGCATTAAAAAACACACAAAAAGCATCCATGTGTTTGTTAAATCACCATGTTTGTTTGTTAAATCACCGTTTTTGCTCGTTAAATGTCCATCTTCGTTTGGGGGTCCCACCCACGGCCACCCAGGATTCCCTACCTCCCCAAGCACAGCTGGTGCTGCTGCGCGTGCTGCGCTCGGCGCCCTTGGAGAAGCGACGCTTGTGGTGGGAAGACCTGCGTCGCTGCCGGCGCCGGCAGCGCGACGTGTGGAAGAGGCGGACACGGTGAATCCGCGGACAGGGAGCGTTCAATCCAGGTAGATGTTGGATGATGATCTTGTAATATGTGTATAATAGCCTGATAGAGGTTGTATAATCCATCCATGGTTTTTTATAGTGTATAAAATAGAGGGTATACCGTTAGTATAGAGCTCGTATGGGTTCTATCTCCTCCTTGTCCCATTGGTTGATTTTAGCAAGAGGGGGAAGGTTTACCCCTTTAACCAGAGGTTTGTTTGATGATGGTATACCAAACCAGCCCAAACCTATAGTTCACGGAGTTCAGCCCAAGAAAATTCTCTGGATTGCCCAAAAGTTTTTGGGGATTTGATCAAGGACTGAGAAAAGCAGAATTTCCACGAAGCAGTTGATACAATCATCTGCTTGGTGGTTTGGAACCATGGAATTTTATGGAATTTTATGACTTCCTTTTTTTTTTGCTGTATTGCCCACATCTTATACTGTACAATGGTTGTCCCATGCTGGTGACCTAAAAAGAACTGGTGGGTTTTTGGTGACTGCCTTCCTCCGAGGTTGCCGGTCAGAAGAATCTTCATGGAGGTTGACGAGTTCAAGGCTCAGTTTTCTGCCATGGGCATCATGAAGTCAGCAGTTGTGAAACAATTCCGTTGGAGATATGACATAAACTTAAACTCAGTTTGTAAGTTTTTTTCTCTACTTCTCCCCCCTAAGACCTGCCATATTTTCTTGGATTTGTCAATCATGCCAATCCCAGCTGGGAGGCCTTGGCCAGCGAGAGCCTGTTGCAACTCCTGCGGGACTCGTTGGAACGGAAGAATCTGTGGCCGGCAGATGTGTTTCACCTTTTAGATCAAGAGAAGCAGGGCTATCTCCTGCAGGCGACTCATGGCGCTTTTCGCGGGGTTTTTGAGGGGTGATAATTATGGGATGTTTCTGAAGGGCTGGGTGACACTTTGAAATTGGGGGAGATTAACAGTAGATATACAGTAGATACACTAGATATTAATTAGCTAATTAAGTCCAATTGAACAGCATCTAGAACTTTGAACTGTGGAGGGATCTGATTTCTGGGAGCTTGGTATGGGCCCCAGTGAAGTCGCCTCGTCTCCAGGCAGACTTGGCCCATGGCGTCCCATGGATGCTAAGCAGCGAGAAAAGCATCAAGGAGGCAGAGAGGACTTGTGTCCCTTGGCCGCGGAAAAAACATGGGGAAACTGCGGGAAAATTCGGGAACGCCGCCAGATCCGCCAGACTTTTGATGGATATTCAAGGAAAATCTAAGGAACACATGAGAAAATCTGAACGAAAACCATCAGTTTTGATGATTGTCCAGAAGAATCTAGAGGAAAACCATCAGATTTTACCAGCCAACATTACTTTTGCAGCATGTTCGAGGAAAACCATTTGATTATTAAAAAAAAACATCAGAATTTGCCGGCCAGAATTTAGGCTTTCCCCAGAAGTTCCCATTCAAGAAAATCTGGGAAAATAAGCAGGTGGCTAGAACAGGACAGTCTTGATCCTCCAGTTGATACCGGAATATGTTGTTATGTTCGGTTGCCATGTTTGATCAATAGTCTGAATGTTGATACTCATGGAATACAACACTGTAAAGATAGACACAATCAGCATCCGGACACTTGAGACGGAATCTAAGTTGAAATGGTGGTTTCAAGTTTCAATCATGTTTGATTTGTCCTCTAGTAATCCAACATGACCACGAAAAATGGTCATGTTAAGTTGAGTAGATAAATAATCTACAAAGGGGCAATTGTCCATGGCATGTTTTTCTTCAAGTACAGATATTTACAGATATTCACAGGATGGTATGATTATATAATCTATCTGGAAAGATGATTCAGATGATTGATTTGTTATTTGGAATGTGTTTTCTTTTTTTGTAAGGAGCTGAGACCGTTGACCAAAACTGCATGGACCTCCGGGAGCTCATTTTTTTTGAAAAAAACCAGCCACCTGAGATGGTCATGGATGGTCATGAATTTGAAGGAACAAACATAACCCCCATGTCTGACTGGATATGGTACAAAAATTATTCATGGAAAATCATGGTAAACTCCCCAGTTTCTGGTAGATTTACTGGAGGAACCAATCCAGAAAGGTTTTGGATGTGATCCCCTACGACCAAAGTGATGACTTGGAAACAAAAACCCACCACCTCTTGAGACATCTCATCAGTGCATAACATAGAATATGGAACCATGGCCATTTGCCCAGCCAAGACGTCTGTATGAGTTATGTCAATGAAATCAAGTCAGGGCTATTTGGTGGCTTTAAATATGTGGGTTTGCCTGAAAATAGGGTATACACCCCAAATCCAATGGTTGATCATGATTTCAACGGGCCAAAAAAATCGGGGCACCCTATTTCCAGACAGTTCACCATGTGGGCCCAAGCCTCCCCATGTGTTCATGGCAATCTATCATGGTTCCTTGTACCCTCTAGTCAACTAACATGGAAAAAATCACCATGTTGAATGGGAAAACTCACTATTTCTATGGCCATTTAATTTTCAATAGCGAACTGTTACTCATTACCAGAGGCTATCATGGTTCCCTTCATCAACTCACTGAATATATTCATCCCCAAAATAAACCAGGAATGTTTTTCTACTGATTGTTCATCGGTCGCGTCTCCGACGAAGGTCGGGGCAGAAAGAAAGTTGCCACCAACTGGTAAGCAACTAGTAACTGGATATAACCATCACTGAATATATAGGTATTATAGGTAATATAACCACTATTATGATGGCTATATTAGTATCTTTGGGGATAGCAGCTTGGGGATCGGCTCAAGCTATAGCTTCGTCTAAAGCTTGGGTGACCCGCAATCCAAGGGTTTCTTGTCATATGTCCGTATATTAGACCAGGATAACCATTGGATTGTGGGTTAAACAATGACATCTATAAACCATTGGTTTATGTGATATTACTGTACTATGTCCATTCAACATAAGTTATGTTCTGGAGGTCCATCATTGTTGGAGTTCTGGCGGAGGTCCAAAAATCTGAGGTTTTGGCTGTCTACAGCACCTTCCCTGCATTGTTAGAGACCCTCTTTGCCACCTTTGATGTGGACCGGAACGGTCGGATCGATTTAGAGGCTAGGGACATGGGTGGATAGGCTGGGTTTGACCGTTTGACCCCCCAGAAATTGCAGTGGTTGGTCCATTTTTTGTTGGCACTGGCAGACTGGCATTGGCCATAATTTGTTACGTATTTCCGGAAAAACACTGGAATGGATGAAGCAACTGGATGTCATTGTGCATTGTATTTTAGTTTTTAGTATATACTGAAATCTGGATCGTTCTTTCAGTCATGATTGTGAATGAATATCTGAGGTCTCCTTCAATGAAAGATCCATTAAGTCCTTGGTGCAAACCACTCCTTTGGTGCATTGTCAGTATCTTCAGACGTTTTTTCATGACTTAAAATCCCTTCAACACGTTGGACCTCATCTTCTTCTACTTACTCTCTGGTAATCCAGCATGGCAATGTAACATCTCCCATTCATGATTTCCTCAGCTAGAAACCTCCATATGCATGAGGTTTTTCAGGTTTTTTTCTAGGCAGTCACGTTACCAGATGGCATTTTGTTCTCAGACTCGTCCAAATCATCACCAACCATCTTCCAAATCACCATCTATCAGTCTATCACCGTCTCATCATCCCGCCAGGAGTTCAAAGTAACTCTGGAACCCGATCTTGGCAGCGACGGATGAGCCGCCAAAGTCTGCGGCTGCGACGTGCCCGGCCGAGATGGAGACGAAGAACAAGCCGAACGCCATGGGGAGCAACGTCTCGTGTAGACTCAAACGGCTTTGTCTGAAGATATGGGGAATTTATCATGATTTACCATGGATTAACCAAAATCTCCCATTTTTTCTGGCCACTTTTCCTGCTCAAGATGATTGATGATTGATTGATGTGTATGTGGAATGGGCGATTCATGGCGGTTATTCCCTATGTTCAGACAAAGCCAAATGTCCATGGACGATGAGTGGCAGTGATGCGGGAAAAAAACAACAATCGCCCAGAGCAACTTGTTCTTTCCGGGAGCGGATGTCTTTTGGTAAGGTCTTGAAAGTATGTACCCTCCAGTAATCCAACGTGTCAATGGAAAATCCCCTCTAAGTGGAGGTTTTTAATGGGGAAATCATCTACAAATGGGGAATGTCCATTGCCACGTTTCATTACCAGCTGGTAGGTCCCTTTATCGTTTTGGATACCAGATGTGATTTCAGAACAGTGAAGGTGACTTAGCTGCCGTCGTGTTTGGCTCAGAAGCTGGCTCCATTTTGCACGTGGCATTTTGCTCGACTTCATCCCTTCTCAAGATGTGATACCTGGCATGTTTTGAGACTCGGGCTGCTCTGCACAGAACTTGATCTTGGATCTGGATCTTGGGAATCTGTGGGGAGATGATGATTACCCTCTGGTAAACGTTTACATAACTATGGAAGATCACCATTTTTAATGGGAAAACTCACTATTTCTATGGCCATTTTCAATAGCTATGTAACAAATTACCAGAGGGTATCAGTATTGTTCTTAATGATACTCATCATCAGTTTTGTCATCATCAGAATTCTCATTCTGATACTTAGCTTCGTATCACGCTCATTAATAAGTATTCTCAATGCTTATTTATTACATGTTATTCCCATCATAGACCCAAATTTGGAGCAACACTAAAATGCTTTATTTATAGATTATAGATATATATCCCCAACAAATCCTCTCGACAATCCAGTTCAAAACCAACTTAGCTATCATAAATCCAGTATAAATCCCCAAGAATCCCCATATTATTTAATGGTTAACAACAGGCGTTTTTGAAACGCACCAAAGATTCGGATGAACATTCACCGAGCCAGGCATAAAGCGCTTCTGGGAGGTCCTGAGATCTACAAGGAAGGTGCCGGCGAAGACAAAGGCGGGAACCAAAAAACATGGACTGGTTGGGATGAATTTGGTCAATGTTTTTAATTTTCCATAATATATGGGATAATTTTCCAAACATTGACATGGCTACACTGGTTGGTGGTTTGGAACATGAATTTTATTTTCCATAATATATGGGATAATCCCACCCATTGACTTTCATATTTTTCCAGATGAAACCACCAACCAGTTGAGAATCGTTGCGAATCGGTGGGCGATGATTGGTTTGTTTGTTGTGTTTTTTCCTGCTAGAAAGGCAATTGATGATGATGATGATGATGATGATGATGATGATGATGATGACAATAGATCAATTACATCAATATATGAATATAGTATTATAGATATTGTATTTGAGATATATTTAATTAGTTTGATGGTAGAGTATTAGACATGATATTTACATTACATTATGATCGTATGCATAGAAGGGTTATGATAAGTTTGTGGACACAGCAAGAACTTATTTCAAACGCCGCGAAGTTGAGGCGAACTCGCACGGCTGCAGGTGGGACCACACGGATTCTGTGTGCTGATGCCACTGACTGAAGGGTAGATCATGAATGGAATGATGGCAACAGATGTTTGTTTGCTATCCCATAGGATCCATGTATGATATATATGCTAACATTTGGGGTATATATCCTATAGGTATTTTACTTCGACTTCGCGATTGTGGCAAGTAGATCATGACATAAACACATGAACGGAGCATGGGAGTGAAGGTATACGATTGGAACACAGTTTTTAACTTCAATTAGCCTCTCTGGTTATGTAACATCACCATCTTTGATGGGTAAACCGGGTAAACCAACTATAAATCACCCATTTTCCATAGTTTTTTGTATGTTTACCAGAGCTTAGATTCGTTGTGTTTGGAGTGGTTGAAACATGTTGAAACAAGCCGTTGGATTCCTCCACTTTGGGCTGATCGAATTCCACCGCTTTGATGATGTGCATACGATGGTCATCAAACCTCTTCTTCTATAGACCAATTAGTCATACACACACTATAGATAGTATACAACCTATACATATATTCATGACCTTTTTATCTATGACTATATAGATCAATCCTATTCTTCTACAGAAGATATAGTCATACACAACTGGTCGACCAGGTCGTCCCATAGCACACGATTCTTTGGATCAGATCTATGGTGGACGACCCACTTTGGGATGGCTCCACCAGTTCCAGAATTTCCAGAAATCTTCTCATACTATTGGCGTTTCTGAAATATGTTCATACAAATAAAACACGAAAACACGACCCACATGCGAACCATGGTCCAATGGTGCTGGAATATTTACAACTACATTTACCACAAAAAAATGACCCAAATCTACGTAAAATCTTCTAGCACCATGGAGCATCGCTTTATAAAACCTTGCCATGTGGAAAACCTTCGCTGCTGCCACAGGCCTTCATTGGAGCCATTGCCATTGGCGACTTGGTGAAGTCAACCTTGGGACCGAAAGGCGGACAGAAACGATGAAAGAAGACCCGGTGGAAGGACCATTTTGAATAGGAACATCAGGGATAACTTAATAAGCATCCTTAAAAAAAACATGGTCGATTTTCCATTGCTGAAATTTCTGGTATTTCGAATATGAGGATAGCCTCTGGTAAACTCACAGTTTGCGAAATGGAAAATCACCATGTTTAATAGCTACATCAACTATTTCTATGTGCCATTTTCAATAGCTATGTTGAATTACCAAAGGATAACCATCCATCTATACATGGTTGATTTTGAATTGCCAGGTGAAATTGCTTGTGGATTTTTCGAATATGAAGAGGTTGACACAAAACTGAGACCCCAAATCGATTACCAAATACCCATTCACTAAACATGAATACATGATATAAACGCGACCAACATTTGGTTGATGTTTTGATGGTCTTTGACCACATAAATGGGGTAATGCCCGTTTGGGAGTTTCATCTGGCTGGAAAATACCCCATGTAAGGTGACTTTTCACGATTGCTCAATGGCCAGGTTAGATTACCAGATCATCATCGCCAACATATTATGGCACACATGTGTTTTTTGTTTGTTTTATCAGGGACTGTTGCATGACCAGGCATAACATGACAGAAATCAATGGACATCAGCAAAACAAGGCTTATCGAAGATGATCGTTTTGCAATAATGTGATTGACTTTGACCACCATTTTTTTCAATGTGTGTGTGTATCTCAACCACCAAGCCAAGAAATGGATCAATATCACCTATGCAGTAAATGGTGCTCAAAAAGTTTGTTTTTGTGTTGTATCAGTATGACTCCGGGGTGGTGGTTTCAAATAGTTTTCTCTTTTCCTATATAGTTGGATTTGGGATAATTTTCTCACTTGCCTGTTCTGTCCGGTGACTACTGTATGAAACTTCGGTAATGAAACATGGCCAGGGAAAATCCAGAAGATTTGTATGTTTTTTCCCAGTGAAACCTCTAGAAACATCCGTGCATAAGGGATTCTTCCAGTGCCACGCTTGAGTACCAGAGGGTATAGTTTGCTCACTGCACATGTTCGATCTTCCAGTTGCTTGTCACATACCAATCAACTCCAGAATCCCTAAAAAATATCCATCCACTGATTAGATATAGGGCCGACAATTAGGATACCCAATGATACCGGTACGACCAATATATAGATTATTGCCATATTCTCATTCACATCGTATTTGTTTGAGGTTTTTCGAAGCCATGTTTGGACGCACCCAGTGCCCATAATTGTTGCTTGTATCCCATGATCCCCTCCACAACCCATAAGATTCCATGAAAAATCCTATTGGATATTAAGCCCTATGAATGTCCACAAGACCCAACGAAAATCTCATCAAATCCCAAGCAAACCCCATCTCATATAGGTGGAAAGTCGTCACGTCCACCCAATCTGACCCGCGTCAGGCATGGACAAGATCCTGCAACCCGCTGGCGGGGGCGGTCCTACTTCAAGTGAACAGCCCCAGAGTTGGAGGGTTTTGGTGGGAGATGGCTGCAGTATATTTCTGGGAGATAGTCTCAATTATGATAGGGAACAATAATCCCCTCAACTACTTAAGGTCTAGAGTACCCAGGCCTCCAGGCTTCAGGGGCCCAGAGTCTAGAGTACTTCCAGGAGCACTGTAGACCCTCCGCATTTAAGGTACTATAGACCCTTGAGCGTGTCTATGTTGGACATGATATATGGATATCCCATAATTTTCTGTTTTGAAGATGTAAGACAGATCTTGTTTTTTCAAAGGTCTGGACAGCTTTTCTGGCAATCATCAGGACAGGTTGGTTTTGATGACCATTGTAGCTCTAGACCTTTGCCAAGCTAGATTCCCCAGTTCTTACAGAGGTCTGGACAGCGTTTCTGGCAATCATCAGGACAGGTTGGGTTTGCTGACCATTGTAGCTCTAGACCTTTGCCAAGCTAGATTCCCCAGTTCTTACAGAGGTCTGGACAGCGTTTCTGGCACTGATCAACACAGATTGGTTTTTCAGTGACTTAATATAATTTGTAGTATTTTTGAAACATAGTTTATTTTCAATATTCACTTGCATTAAAATAGGTTTTTTTTGGTAAGTTTGATTTATTTATGAAAATTATATACTTATATGTTGTTTTGATTTTTCATTTTTTCTGATTTTTTTTTAAAATAAGATTCTCAGATTCTTATTGATGTTTTCAGATGTTTTTCTGAATTTTTTTCAGATTTTTTTTTTAAAAAATCTGATTTTTTTGGATTTTTTCTGATTTTTTTTTCTGAAATATCTGAAATTTTCAGATTTTTTCTGATTTTTTCAGATTTTTTCTTAAAATTTGAAAATTTCAGATTTTTTCTGATTTTTTCAGATATTTTTTCTGAAAATCTGAAATTTTCAGATTTTCTCTGAATTTTTCATTTTTTTCTGAGAATCTGAAATTTTCAGATTTTTTCTGAATTTTTCAGATTTTTTCTGAAAATCTGATTTTCAGATTTTTTCTGAAAATATGAAATTTTCAGATTTTTTCTGATTTTTTCATATTTTCTGAAAATCTGAAATTTTCTAATTTTTTATGTTTTTTTTTTTATTTTTTTTTCCTGAAAATCTGAAATTTTCAGAAATTTTCTGTTTTTTCACATTTTTTCTGAAAATCTGAACTTTTCAGAATTTTTATGATTTTTTCATGTTTTTTCTGAAAATCTGAAATTTTCAGATTTTTTCTGAAAATATTGTATTTAATTTAAATTTAAATTTAATTAAAATCTGAAATTTTCATAATTTTTCTGATTTGCACCATTCCTGAAGTGTGGATGTTCATGGCAAGAGCCCAAGAGCACTGGTGAAAAACGTGTGACAGCAGCGAAGAAAAAAATGAGCGAGAGAAAACATGTTGTTTGAAACATTTTTTTTTGGTATTTTTGACGCATGGGTAAACGTCTTCAGACCTTCAGCATCTGTAAAGTCGAAGGGTCTAGACCACTGAGCTTGTTTTTCCTGATTTAGCTATGGAACTCTTCTTCAGACCCCGTTTTTAGGGTCTACAGTGTAAGATCCAGGGTCCCAGCCAAGTAGCTATGGTATGAACAATAGGGAGATAACATATGAACAAAAATAGTGGTATACCCTCTGGTAAACTAACATAGCTATGGAAAATCACCATCTTTTATAGGTAAATCAACTATAAATGGGCAATTTCCAATAGCTTTGTTAAATTACCAGAGGGTAAATGGATATCTGAAGTATAATTCGATGGATGTAACTAAAAGGATATACCCTTTGGCAATCTCCGGCAATCAAAGTGGGTGGCTGGGAAATCACCTACAATCTGTCTATAGAGGGTGGATTTCCAGTACTATGTTTGATCAATGGCAGGTTACCAAAATGTGGGGAGCAGAAACCAGTGGACGCAACAAACAAATGGGTAAATGGAAATATGTTGTAGGAGTATAAAGCCAACAATATGAACAGCAGGGGTTCGAACCTCTTGGGAAAAACCCAGAATGCAATGGTTTATCATTACATGTTCGATAAACCGTGATGTCTTTGGCGGGGAAACAGCCTAGTTTGAGACAAACCCATTTGATGTCTAGCTGGACCCAAGCTCAATGATCAACATGCACCCAGGCTTTGCTGCTCAATCAAGAGCTGCAGCAGAAAGTGGAGACTGTAAGCAACAAAACTGGTAGCTAAGTTGGTGCAAACAACTCCAGTATTATATACTATCGTTTATGAAGTTTATGATACTGATAACTCTAGTTAATGGTGTTTATAAACCAAATTACAACTGGGGGGGCACCGCATTGTAGGAGTTCAAATCGACCGTGCTGGCCGACTAGCTGATTTTTGTGATGGGTATAGGATTAGTGGAATCATGCCCAAAATGGCCCTTACCAAATCTGATTTGGAATTTCACGAATTATCCTGAAATTGCCCTCCAACTAACATAGCTGTTATTCATTATTCTTTTTTTTTACATCAAGCACGAATGTAGATCTTGATTTTCCGGGTTTTCTCATGGATTTTCCACATGTATTTTTCGTTGGAGGAATTCTCTCTCAAGATCTCCCCAAACGCCCAGATGCCACGGTGACCAACGATGGAGCGACGATCCTGAAATCTGTGTGGATCGACAACCCTGCTGCCAGGCCTGTGACGCTGGTTTCGATCAGTTTCGCTTTGTGCTAATAGCCTATCAAATCCTATCAATATACATATATATATATATATATCCCTATGGATCCAAGTACCTTCTTAGGAAGTATCTGGGGTATGATTTAGGGGGTTAAGTACCTTCTCAGACAGTGTTTGAATCCATAGGGTATAATATGTTATATAATGTTATATATATATATATATGGAAGAAAATCATGATTGGGAATCCATTTTTTTCGGAAAAATGATGGGGATCTTGGGAACATCATAATCCTATCCGCTTAAAATTCGACAGCTCATCCTATGGTCCCAAGTAGACAATCATGGTTACGGGGTGGTCAAACAGTAGGGAGAAGGGATTATAGAATGGGGTTTAATGGGTATATAATAACCTGGTATCCCATTATCTCATCATATCATATCCCAGTATCTCCCATCATATCTCATTATATTCCTATGGTCAATCATAATAAGTTAATATATATATATATATAGTATATATAACCAACAATCGTGACTTCACGTCGTGCTGTCACTGGATTGATGGTGGGCGGAATTCGCGGGTATCATCCCCAAATGGCCCAAGTGTTCATCTATATTCAGATGAATGAACTATCCCATAGGATCCATGGTGCTGGTATATATGCTAACATTGGGGGTATATTGATGGTAAATGTTACCATATATAGCATACATGGATCCTGTGGGTATTGTAATTTACCCAGCATCAATAGTTTTCGTGAGAAATCAACAACAACGATCGTAGGAGTTGCAACACCTTGAAGCCGGGATGTAGGGTGTTGAAGCCCCCATTTCTGCGGCCATTGGGACATGGGCCACATTTGAGGATAATGAATACATACCCTATGGATCCAAACACTGTCTGAGAAGGTACTTAACCCCCTAAATCATACCCCAGATACTTCCTAAGAAGGTACTTGGATCCATAGGGATAACATTTGACAACTCCGTATTTTGGAGAGATGACCCTCCGTTTACATCCGCTTTGATCTTCACTAAAGATACTAAAGGGTAACAGGCCGTCACTGCGTCAAGCCAACCCGTGCTTCACCTTTTCGACACCAGGATTTTGGTCGACATTTCCAAGACACAGGTGGGCTGGGGCGGAAATTCGGAAGTTTGGATGGTTTGTTCCTCCAATCTTTGGATCACTGATTGCAGATCAGTCATTGACAAAAAGCATCACTGGTTGGTGATTTGGAATATGTTTCATTTTTCCATATATTGGGAATAATAATCCCAACTGACTTTCATATTTTTCAGAGGGGTAGGTCTGAATCATATCCAATGATTTTCCACTGTGTCAGAGCAGATGTGATTTGCAGAAAAAAAATGCAATGTGGTTTGACTATGTTTGACTCATATCCAACCAGATAACACTAGCCAGCAAAGAACACCATGCGCGCGAAGCGTGAATCGGGAGAAATGTCCGATGGGCCCAAGGAATTGAGAGCATTTCCATAGAGCATCATGTGTTGTGACATGACATGGGAGATACCCTCTGGTAATACCGAAATGGAAGTACCCTCTGGTAATGACTAACATAGCTATGGAAAGATCCACCATTTTTAATGGGAAAATCCACTATTTCTATGGCCATTTTCAATACCAGAGGGTATAAGATACAGCGACAATCACCATTTCCAATAGGTAAATCATGGAAAAACATCTAGAAATGGGCCATGGCTTCCATAGCAATGTTCGTTGGGTATCCAACTCAGAGCATGACGCTGGTCCCAGGATCAGGAGTGTGGTGATGGCACGTCCGGATCTCGGGTTTGGTTCCAGGATGATGTTAGCGGTGACCAAAATATGGCTCAAAGCACCATTAATAGAAGAAATTACTTTGTGTATTACTGGAAATTACTGTTTTTTTATGGTAAAAACTATCCGAAATAGTAAAACATATCTATTAATATCATTACCAGTGTTTTTGTTATTACTTCTTTTCATACATATATCCAGTAATTATATATATATATATGATTGTTGTGGATATATATATATATAATGGGACATGATCGGATATGATGGGATACTCTCTTGTATTTGTAAGCAGTGGAAAACAACCACTCTAGGCGAATCATCGACAATCGGCCATCCATACCGTGGCTATGTGTTTATACCAGAGGTTATGCAGTTCCAAAATGGCTTTACCTAGACTCTAGACCCTTCAAATACTGAAAAAGCAGACTCAACAACACACCATGTTGTTGGTACAATCCCGGAGGGTCTAGGTATCCAACTTTTCGGAATATAAGTCGTAAGTTTTATCCCATTATCTATCCATCCTGGAGTGGACAGAAGATGGAATTTGCATGAATTTGCACAAAACAACTCACAAACATGGGGATATGTTTAAGAACATCCCATATTCTATCCACTCCAGGTTTGATTACAATATTGTCATATAAGTTCTATGTTATATATAGTTAATTGATATATATATATACAATGTACCCCCGACGTACCTCAATTCATCCAACATTCAGGACCTCTGTGGTGGTGTTGGCTGCAGAGATGCTGCGAAACGCCGGGAATGCAATGGATGCGATGTGGGTACTGAGAGTTTTGAGTCGAAGATATTCAAAGTATGGGGATTCAACCCACAAAAACAGTGGATGTCTAGATTTTACATGAAATACATTATATATATATGATTATATATGATTAATTAATAATATAATATATCATATATAATATGATTTTAGATTATAGATTTTTAGATTCAACCCATATTAATTATATAGTATAATTGAAATATGATTTAGCAAAACTGGTAACTAACTTGGGCATATGGAATCAATATCTCAAACTAGTCAGGTTTGGGGGTCTATAAACCGACCTCAACTTGGGGATAGAATTGTTATTCATGACAGCTGGCGAATCATAGGGATTGGATTGCTGCAACCAACAAAGGAATACGTTGTATGATGGAATGTGATAGGGATGTCTTTCATTGCTCAAATGTCTCCCGAGTAGTTCAAGCATGAACAGAAATGGCTGTAGAGTTGCTCAAGTGGTAAGAAAACTGGGACCCAGAAGATTTCGAATTTGAGCAGCAGACATGCGTGAATAGTACATGATAGGTGTCTCAAATTAATTTTGCCAGCAACGCAAAGCGGGTGAGGCTGGACCCAAAAGTTCCTGCTCACGTTTTGTGAAATAAAGCATCTGATACGTGCGTCAATCAGGTAGAGCCACAACCATATGGAGGTTTCCTATTTTTTTTATTTTTACCATCCAGCTATTGGGTATTTCGGTATCCCCATGGAAACTCCTATATTGCTAAGGGCTTGAACTGTTTGTGCCCCACAATCACTGGCCAATTTGCCTTGAGCGCCAATTGTGAGGCGCAGACTCTCGTAGAGCAGAAAATGCATCCACAGGCACCGCTGTGCGTCGCAAACTTTTCAGAATGTCATTGGTGAGCCTTGGTGGTTCACCCCACTTAGTAAGATTATTTTATTCAGTGGGTCATTAGCCCAGTGAATACTACCGTAGTTCATTTGGTAGGATAAGTAGGACCAATGTCCAGTTATAAGTGAACTGAACTGCAAGGTCAGGCAGGTCAGGTACCGGGCTGAATCCTTCCTATTCATTCTGACCGTTTCGTTGCACAACTAGTCTTTTGACTGGTCACTATAGTAAATTGGCCTGGTTTTTGACACACAATATCACTATTGGTAACATCATTTGCTATTGTTGGTCAAATCATAAATCATATTGCTAGGAGATGCTAGGGTTCTTGAAGTTAGCTCTCCACTCCACCTACCCAACTCAATAGTTGCTGATTCAACACAAGTAGTGGAGAAAAGGGACATTTGCGCAACGCCTCTCAACTACTTGATGGTCATTTCACCACATGTATCTTGTATTTCTTCCTTCGGAAAATCAATTCAAGAGATTGTTTTTCTGGGGGTTTTCTATCAGGTTGGTGAATTTCCATGAATTTCCACTGGCTCCTGGTTCTGAAATTACATTAATACGTTTCACAATGTTCAGTCGCATGTTCAGTCGATGATTTCAAGTGTAAATCAAGTGACTTAGAATGACTTAGATATTTCGTGATATTTCTGGAATGGCTAAGCTCCAAGACCCTCTTTTTGTCGCCTTCTTAGAATGGGCTAAGTCGGAGTCCCAGTCCAAGTCCCAGTTGGGAACCATCGATACCCATCGAGGTCATCATTCGGGGCTACCGCTTTGCCTTGGCTGCTGCACGGGCGCAGTTGGCAAGCTCGGTCGTACAAGTTGGTCTTTTTGGGGAGTTGAAGATTGGTGTTCCATGAATCATCTTGGAGTGAGTTGGCTTGAACATTCTAGATCTCTTTAAAAAAAAAATCGGGAGTTGGGTTGGACATTCGGGTTTCAAAATGGGGGTTGGCTTTTGAAATGGGCTACACCTTTTAATTGCAATGTCGAAGGGAATTGCGATAAACCATTCATCGATTCGAGCTTTTCCCCCCAAAAAAATCAGACTTAAACCCAAATTTTGAATATTTTTGAATACATTCATGTGCATTAGATGATTTCATACTTTTGAAACATGAAAGCCATAAAGATGTCCAATCTCTTCATGTTTTTTTTTGGTTTTCAAGGACCCTTTTGATTCCGACCGCGGCATTTCGGTCCACGGCGAAACCCGAGGCTCGAGGCTTTGGCCATGGACAATGGAAAGGATCCAGCGAAGTTCCGAGAGGATTGAGCATGGGAAAAGCCATGGGAAATCCCATGGGAGTTTCAGAGGTCATGTTTGATTACCAGAGGGGTTACACCCGCAATATTTCATGATATTTCATGTACCAAATTGAACCTCAGCAGTGTTTTTCCAGGTGATTCCCAGATGTTGACTTAAGTGGATATATGATTTTCATTTCAGATGTGTATAAACTATAAACCGCATTAAACCGCAAAATTCATAATTTACCACAGTTCATCCATTCTTACCATTTGGAATCGTTGTGAACGTTCTGAACCTTTGGGCTTTAGCAACAGCCGCCACGGACGTGGCGTGTCAGTCGAACTATTTTCCGCAGGACTTGCTGCGTATTGCACGAACCACCTTGAGCTCCAAATTGCGCCGAAGCCCAGCGGTTTGAGAAATCGGACTTTCAGTCTATATAAGTTGGAAAAGAATATGATCCAATAAATCCAATAACCAAATAACCAATACAATACATATTATCATATATATATATATATACATTACATACAGTATCATGATCATTCAATCCAATAACCAGCGGATTTGAACATGGCGTTGTGAGGATTTACCCTCTGGATCCACTGGATCTCTCATCCCTCTGGTGATCTTTTTAAACGTTAATAACATCTTTATGGAAATCACAATGTCTAGTTATATGTAGGTCAATCATCTTAATCCATAGGTATGTCCATGGTCCATAGCTATTTTTCAGCACCAGAGGGCAAGCAAAAATGGAATGTAGGAGTCAGTTTTTTGTTGTTTTGTTGATGTTTGTTCTTCCTATGTTTTTTAGCTGTTGGCCGAAATATTGATGGAAGCATCACCAGAAATCATCAAATCATAGGTAATTATTCACCTGGGTACCCTGCTGCAGGTGACGAGCACAAATGGAATGTAGATCAGTATAGCAACCGTCAAGATAGACACACCAAATTCTACTAAAATTTTGGATACAGTGTGTTTCTATTGTTTTTGTTTGGGGGGTACTCTAACTATTCAAGTTGGGATTGCTAGTTTTGACTCTTCATGCCTTAGACTTTGGGGGAATTGTAGAGATCCAGGTGCGAAAAAAACAAAAAACATGGATTTCACTTGTCAGCATATGTGAACCATTCTAGTCGTCATCCATCATCCATGGTCATGTTTGTATTTGTTGCTCGTTTTTTTCACGATCTTTGACAACTGCTGTTTCGATCATTATGATATAGCCTCGGCTAATTTAACACAGCCATGGGAAATTGCCTACAGTTATGGCCCTTTGCCAGTTATAAGTACTTATAATCCCATTTATAGAATGTATAATCCCATTTATAATCAGTTATAACTAATAAATTTACATAACTGTATTAACTATATAGATGATTTACCTATAAACAAGGCGATTTTCCAGGTCGTACACCGAGCCTAGCCGGGTAGCCCAGTATCTCCCAGCATATCCCATTATATTCCCATGGTCAATCATAATTAATGAATGATATAGTACTGGTTGATGGTTTGGAACATTTCTTACTATGGGAAATCACCATCTTTAATGGGTATATCAAATACAAATGGCCATTTGCAATAGCTATGTTATTTGTACTGGTTGGTGGTTTGGAACATGACTGGATTATGACTTTCCCATCATATTGGGAAGGTCATAATCCCAACTGACTTGACTCATATGTTTCAAAAGGGGTAGGTCAACCACCAACTAGTTATTTAATGTAGCCAGTGGAAAATGGCCCATAGAAATAGATGGTTTACCTATTAGAAATGGGTGGATTTTCTATAGCTATGTTAGTCATAACCGGAGGGTAATGCCTGATACAAAATTCCCATGAGTCCTGCTGGGCTATGCTGGGCTCAGGTTGCAGCATGAGAAAGACCACTTTGCGACGCTCGCGGTAGATGCAGTGCTGCGGTTGGGTGGCAAGTTGGGAGAGCCCAGCGATGGCGATGGGAGATGTCTGGGTAGACCCACCCCACCTCTGGGTGAGTTTATCGGTTTATTTTGTATAAATTTGTATATCTATATATATATAATATGTATATATATATATATATATCAGATCTCAGTTGCATCCTGATATATGCTGTATGGGCTAATTTGATCTAATTTGTTTCTTTGATATATGATGTAAATGTACATTGACATAGATCTTAGTTTATTCTTAGTTGTATCCCTTCCTGAGCAATAGAAAAGAGGACTATGAACCACCATCTACAAGGATACAAGTATAGAGACCATGGTGTTTAATCACCATCCATGGGTCTCACCATTTAAGAGGTCTCTAATCACCATCTAGAACAAGTATCCATGGTGTTTAGAGACCCATCGCAACGATCCCCGGCCTTTTGGATCCTTTGGAAATCCACTGGGTTTCTCTGTGGCGCAAGGCCGAATTTGGACTACATCCAGGTCGGCTTCCCTGGTTTTGAAAAAACCACACGAGTCATCTTTGAGGGTCAATGGATTTGGATTGGCATGAAAAAAATGAATCAATGAACTTCCATCCCTATGATCATGCGATACTTGGGATGGTACACTGAGATGGACTGTTTGAATTTGTGCTCATGTTTCAAAACAGCTGGGTGTTTTGGTGGCGCGCGTGAGATTTTGACCTTAAGATTCCAAGATGGAAATGCTCTTTGCATCCAACGGGTTTTTATTATTTTCTCAATCAGATAACCATTCTGAGGTATTCACCATTTTCAGACAAACCCATGTGGCCATTTGAATAGAGAAATTATGATAAATTCTAAGTATGTCAAAGCCATCAGATCTTGGGCTATGCCACTTTGAACCCATCTTCATTGCATCCGAGGTGCTCAAGAAAGCTGGCGGTTCCTTGAAAGATTCCTTCCTGGAGGAGGCAGCACAAAGCTGATGAGCTCCACACCTAGGAGATGATATATGGAAACCTCCATATATAGACAGATTAATAGAGGTGAAAACAGTAACAGATATAGTAGCAAAATGAATCTCTATATATGCAGGTTTTGCCAAAATTATATATATATGGAGGTTTCCAATCTGTGTGGCCATGGGGGTATACCCGCAAATCATCCAAACATGTAGATTCCATTTTCCTATTGGAAACGATGGTCCAAATGGGGATCCCAGAATTGTAAATACACCACTGGGAAAATCGACTACGGAAGTATTCATGGCCCCCTCAAGCAATTCCTATAGATTCGTGTATTCAAAACTAGATGTGATAGAATATATTACAGTTATGGCCCGAAATACCAGTTATAAGTACTAACATAACTCCATTTATAGAATGTATAATCCCATAGAAATAACCAGTTATAACTAATAAATGGTCATAACTGTATTAACTAATAAATCAATAGATGATTTACCAATTAAAACAAGGCGATTTTCCAGGTCGTACACCGAGACAATTGCCTAGCCGGGTAGCATATGATTATCTCCCAGTATCTCCCATCATATCCCATTATATTCCCATGGTCAAATAGAAGTTTTAACTTCAGTTTCACGGTGCTGATCGTGCCGTCAGGGCTTCATCCTTGAAAAGAGGATCGGTGTAGGCGACAGTCCTGGGGAAGATCTTCACCGGAAAGTGGCTGGTTTTCCGCATCAAATACATATAATTATGTTATATCATATTAGATTATCATATATAATCATATATATATAATTATACATATCATAAATGTAGGGGTTTGAAAGCCTGTGAATTCACTGATATATCAACATTGTGTCCAAGTGTAGTCTTTTTTGGAGATCGATTCTTGGCCATGAGGAATGCATCAACTTAGCTATCGACGAGCCCAGGGTCTCCCTGGGCTCGTTGTCTTCTTGTGCGACCGTTTGGTACAAGATGATGCCTCCCCCCGAGTTATGTTAGTTGGTTTCTGTTACCCCATCCAGGTTATACTCTCGAGAAACCCAACAGTTCACTTAGTCACTTTGCTACTACGTTTACCAACTTGGCGATTCAGAACTGTACCAGAAGTTGAGGTCCTCCAACTCCAACATGGTTTTTATGGTTTTGATTATGTTTGATTTACAGTAATTATTTTTTTGTCCTGGTAAATATCTAGTTTCCAAGGCCTCACCTATAAAAAAAAATGCGGCGTCGCCAGGTCACAAGAAGGTTTTGGAGGACTGCAAGGTGCGACCTTCTGGTGCTTCAAAGCTGTACCATCTACCAACGAAGATTCCTGGTGAGTGGTAATATAAATTGAGCATACTGTAGTTGAGTTTCAAAAAACCAATGATACCACGGCGAGGCCTTATCGGATAGCTAAGTTAAGCTAGTTGTTGGTTCTTGGTGAATTCTATGGTTTGGGGGAGATGAGACATTGATATTATAGTTAGTGGTGTTTACCAACCGAAGTAACTTCACCTAGTGGGATGTTCCTTTCCCAAATCTTCGACCATTGTAGTTTGTTTTAGCAGTGCCCAATCCTGGATATACCAACAATATCCATCCCTTTAAATTGATGTTGTAGATGTTGCAGTTACTGTTTTATCTCCTCCAGGACTCGTAGCTCATCCGACTCATCCTCGGATAGAAAACCTGGGAGCCCCAGGTTCTGGTGGCGAACTGCCAGATGGACACGGACAAGATCAAAATCTATGGAGCTCGCGTCAAGGCGATGGTAACCAGTGGTGGATGATGATGGCAATGGATGGGCGAAACATTGGCGAAACGGCGAAACGACTAAAGCTTAAAGCCATATGAGCTACAGCCATATAGCAAGCCCCAGACATGATCAGGAGTTTCAGCATCCATATCGAACTTTTATGGAGGAGATAATTGATGGACATTTTAAGATGCAGAAGAGCTGAGATTTTAGTCACTACATGTTTAAACCGATTTGACTTTTCGATCTTTCCAGTCATAGAATTGGATGATGGGAACATTTTTTTCACCGGAAAGCCCTATATTTGATGGTAAAAACCATGGTCTCCGGTTAAGATTTTCCCTGAAACCAATCCAATGATCCAGGGGTTTCCGAATAGTGTTTGTACAAAACCAGACCAAGTCGCCACTTGGTGCGATCCTTTAAACGCATTCTGATGACAAGGGATTTGAACATCCAAATGACTCAAAGACCATCCAGAAAGGTATGATTGAATCATATATATATATGCTGGTACAGGATTCGATTTTACTCTTCAAAATGGAATATTCATGACGCAATGGGTAAAAACAAGGACACCATCATTTTGTTGTTTAGATGCAATGTTTCGTTTGTTTTAACTACAACCCCCCTATCTTGGTTCTCAAAGAAGCATGGGGCATGCGTTGGGTGGCAACGAAAAGAACCACATGATTTGCTAAAGAAAAAAAACAAGATATTAAAGCCATGAAAACCCAATGATCCATTATTATCCCTCTTTAAAGTCCCACAATCCCTCGCTGTTAGCGTGTTATTGTTGTTGCCGCAACAGGTAGATTCTTTGGAGGCCGTAGCAGAAATCGAACAGGCTGAGAAGGTGCGGGCCGCTTTGAGCGAGTACTTCAGCTTCGGGCCTTCCAAAGGATAGGTAAGTTGGTACCCTCTGGTAATGACTAACATAGCTATTGAAAATGGTGATTTATAGTGGATTTTCCCATTGAAAATGGTGATTTTCCATAGTTATGTTAGTTTACCAGAGGGTAACTCCAAGAACCAGGACCAGATTTGGAGCATTTGTTTGTTGATACACCCAAAATACTGTGTTTGGATTTGTTTGCTTTGGAAAAAATAGCAAGTCATGTCACTTAGATTTGTTTTCTCATGGTAAAATCACCAGTCATATATTTGGACCACCAGTTTGTTGGTTAGGTCACTCTCCGGTAGTTTAACAGTTTGCTCTGGACAATCACCATTTTTTATAGGAAATAATCTACACCTTCCATAGCTATGTTAAATTATCTGAGAGATTTATAGTGTTAGTGGATATGGGGTTATAAAACAACTTATAACTCGGAGGAGCAGCTTCTCTACAAAACCATGAAGGGTTGACCAAGAAATGCCTGCGGCTTTACCATCAAATTTTAGAGATCAAATATAATTCAATGAGCCAAGTGGTCAATGGTTAGTCAGTTTTTTGTTTGTGACCCTTTGCTAAACTAACATAGCTATGGAAAATCCCAAGTTAAATAGGTAAATCATCGAACTAAATGGGACATGTTCCATAGCAACCTTAGTTTACTGGAGGGTAATGGAGGAATCTATACTGGTTGGTGGTTTCAAACATGTTTTATTTTCCAGTTCATATATGGCATAATCCTTTCCATTGACGAACTCATATTTTTAAGAGGGGTTGAAACCACCAACCAGATCAACCATGTTGATAAACACGTTCTCGCTGTAGATTTTGCAGCGCAACACGGTTGGCCATGACCAGTGATATGACCAAGACGAAGCCATGACCAGCTTGGTAAATCAAAGCTTTGATCGTCGATTCCATTGGGTTGATAATGATGAAATGGATGTGGGTCAAAATGGAAGACCTAGGGGACCACAGATGTTAGTCTAGTTTAGTATTCACCATCCAATTATTGGGGTACCTAATTTTGACCCATACCCAAATAGGGGTAACACATGGTAACACGGTAACAGAAAAAAATCAGCTTCCCATCGTCGCAGCTTGTCAATTTTCTGAGGCAGTTCGAATCATTATATAATTTTGGAGGAGATGGAAAACAACCTCATAAAATTTTAGTAATCGTGTTTATAACTTGGCCGTTGGTTTAGAAAGGGAGATGGACGTAGTTGTGGCGACCGAATATCGCCAGGAAGCAGCGACTTTTCTTGGACGTGAAAGCCTAATATGGGGACTCTTCATGACTATATGGGGATCTCGGACATCCAATCTGCCCAAAAAAAAAACAGCTCCCTGACCGGTGAATTTCTTCATTTTGGGCTTTACCCAATGTTGGGGGAGTAGAACTGGTAAGAACTGTTTGGGTGGATCACAAAAGGATTCGGAAGAGGCCGCTCAGAAAATCCCATTAAGCGTCATCGGCGTCGATGACAGGACAAGATGAAAAAGAAGATCGAGAAGATCGTGGATCACAAGTGCAACGCCGCATTCTAAGATGCGTATCTGATGCGTAGAAGGCACCGCCAAAAACGACCGGAACATGTTACACCGGAGTTGGCATTTTGTATGGTAGGGGTTGATCATACGGATGTGCAGACATGTCATAGACTGTTAGACATTGTTACTGCATTGTATGACATTGTTTAAGTCCATACCATTTAGAGGAACAGGCAGTGGTGCGGTGGTGGTTTCACGTAGTTGCGTCCCTGCCAGAATGATTTCCCCTGACTACTACGTTCAACACTATTAATGACGTCAAGAACCAGATTGTGTATGTGACACGGTCAACACTTGGATAAATTCCCCAATATTGAGGGAGGGTCATCAACCTATTCGTAGGCTTTCACCCATGATGAGGTTTCCATTATTGGATGGATGACAATACTCAAAATATGACCATGCAATATGACCATGGCCAACAGACTCGGGGCGCCCTAGACATCCCATCAACCTTCACCTTGGATACCTTGGTGACTAAGGTCTTCATCAACCGACAGCTGATCTACAACTACCCAGATCAGCTCCTCAAGGAAGCTGGCGTCATGGCGATTGAGCACTCCGCAACGACCTGAGTTGCGCGTGTCACGTAACAACTGAGACAGGCTAAGGAAAACCTTCCCCTTGAGGTACTCTAAAATAACAGTTCGTATAGTAAAAAATGCCTTAAGATTCAAATGTAAATGTAATAATGTAGTTACCGTAAGTAAACATGGTCATGAACCATCAGGAACCGTTGTAGAAACATGTAAAAATAAATATAATTCCCTCCAAGCAAGGACACACAAAATTCACATGATGTTCCGTGAAATTCCGTCTCCAATCTGGCCTGCAGACCTGGGTTATAGGGGTTGGTGGCTTCAAATATGTTTTGCCACCTCTGATGTTTTTGTCTATCCCAAGGACTTTGATGGTAGCGAACGCCTTGCTGCAGTGTTGGGTGCTGACATCGTACCTTGGCTCGACTTGGCTCTACATTGCTGGTGTCTCAAATGTGGAAATCACAAGTGGGTGAAGAGGTTTGCTTCAAACGCCATGGACTCAAATTAAATCGGGATTAATTAACCATCTAAAATGTGATATATAATGATATATATATAATGGGGATCAACAGGGAATATATGATGATCTGGTTACCAGCTTGGTGGTGTCATTCTTTCGTGGCACAAAAAATAGTGATGAAGTGGCACCCCGGTTCCAGGTGGATGTTCAGTTGTGATATCTTTGGCAACATCAAACCTTTGCGGGTTTCCTGAATTGTGTTTTTTTTTTTTATTCGGTGCACTATATAGCTGAAATCTATCTATTGAACTAGTTGATGGAGTTTACAAACCAACCAACATAACTGGGGGGGCACCACCTTGCAAGAAGACGATTCGCTCTGAATCAGAATCTAGAGATTTGGGCACGATTTATTCATTTTAACACGGGTTATCACATGATTGGGATATTTATGTGCTATAATGGAGAACAGTTAAACATGATTGGGAAATTATTGGGATATGATATAACTATAAGTTTATTCATAGGTGTTGGAGTGCTCGATCATTTATGGATATTATCCCCTGGTAAATTAACATAGACCCTGAAAATCACCATGTTTTTAATGGAAACTAGTCTTCCACCCCCTATCTGCCAGGGTCTATGTTAATTTACCAGAGGGTAACATAGCATTCTAACACCTATTGCATACGCCGGCGCTTTGTCAAAGGCGTCGACCTTCGAAAACCCTGAGATGACGGTCCTTGGGAGCTGCAAACGCATCGAAGAGATCATGATCGGCCCGGGAACCCTCTGGATCTGGTAAACTGACCTATGGATCTATGGAAACTGAAATGGAAACTGGCTATTAACTATGAATAGATGATTAGCCTATAAATCCCATTTCTACCAGTATCTACCATCATATCATATTATATTCCCATGGTCAATCATAATTCATGAATGATATAATACTGGGTGGTGGTTCGGAACATGACTTTTATGACTTTCCATATATTGGGAATGTCATCATCCCAACTGACGAACTCATATTTTTTCAGAGGGGTAGGTCAACCAACGAGATATTGACTAGGTAAATCATGGTAAAACATCGTAAAATTGATTGGCCATTTTCTAGAGCTATGTTACAATGTTCGTTTGCTGGAGGTACTCTCCAGTGAAAGAAGCGGTTCGCGCTGAGCGGTTCCCTATGGTTGTATCCATATATACTGTATGTATATTCCCCAGCAAGAAATTCCAATCTAAAGATATGTCTATAACCAACAGTAACCAACTATGTCAATCGTTTACCAAGGCATTAGTTGGTTATAGTCATAGTTATTACTAAACATAGTAGGAATGATGACACGATAATCCCATTAGGAAATCCGGCTACCGCTGGTATAAATCAGCCACGAATGGGATTTAATGGGATGTAATGGGAAAAGGATTAATGGACTATGAATGAAGGTGGTACATAGTAAATAGTTGGTGCTTGCCCGAACTATGTCCAACTGTTTATTGCGCAGTTACCTACGTGAATAGCAAAGCAGTGATAGTTGGGATGATCCTGAACAACTCGTGTTGGTAATAGTCCATGATATCCAGTTGCAAGAGTTCGTACTGAGTTATTAAGGATCTGAGTTGGGAGGTGAACCGTTGAAATTGAATGACAATGTTTGGAACCCCAAAAACGGGGCTTCAACTGCTGTAATGTACCAATCACTCAGGTGGATTGGCGTGTTTCTGCAATCTTTGCCACAGCATTTCTTGCACAAAATGCATCTTCTTGTTTTGTTGGTCCCAATTTTATCCATGTTTTAAGGTCAAGAGATGGCAAACTTCAGGACCTAAGAGCCAGGGCACAGGTTTGAAATTTATAACAACATGAGCCGGAAGACGTTAGACACTTTAAAGGATAATGCTGCTGAATTATATGGATGTTCGGCAACACAGCAACCACTTTCGAAAAGTATTTCCATCGTTTAAAAGCGGTGTTATGTTCACCGCACGTTTCTATCGTTTTGGGGGTTGCTATGGGTTGCTACAAAGGTTGCCGTTGAGGGATGAACATCCATAAATATCCCAGCTATTTCGGGTGAATAACCAGGGTACCAAGGTTGTGACCCGTAGCCATATGTCTACGGAATAATTGTGTAAGAATTTGTGAAGGTCATGGGTCCCACTTGAAGAAATATTGAAGATTCAATTGATTAAACATGAAAAGGTGTAGGGGATAGATGGGATAAGTTGAACTTGTTGAAGTCACCAGCCAGGGCTGCATGGACAGCATGCTGTGCCGGAAAAGAAACATATTCTGAGGTGAAGACAAGGTCATCAAGCTCCAATCTCAGATTGGGAGTGATGACTGATCTGGGAACTGTAAAAGGGATATACCAAAAAAAAACTGCAGTTTCGAGGGAAATTGGTGATAAACCATTCTGATGTGGAGGCACAGCATATTTTTGGACAAATCTGTGCGTCTTAAAATGTTGGGAACAGGGACCAATCCAAATAGAAATCGAGGAATGGCGGGCTCAAACTCCAGAATCGCGGCGGGAAAATCAGCCGGTTCCATCCGGTTCCCCTCTATTTCGAGGGTAAAGCTCCAACATTGAGCATCATATCTGTTGGTTGAGTAGCAATGTTCATTGCTGAAGTCCCAGGTTTTTTCTGTCATAACCACATGTCCAATCAGATCCCCATTGTATCCTGAATAAACCACCATAATTATGGTTACCCTCTGGTTATTTAACGTAGCCATGGAAAATCACCATTTTTAATAGGTAAACCCAGGTAAACCATCTATAAATGGGTCATTTTCCATGGCTATGTTAAATAACCAGAGGGTAATTAACATATGTTAACAACCCCCCATTTTCTGTAGGACTTCCGACTTGGATTGCAGGTTTTCTGGATGCTCCAAGGGAGAAGCCTGTACCATCGTGTTGGGGGCCCTGGCGATGCTTTCTGCTGCGTCAATGGCGTATTTTCCCAATGAGAAATCCAGGAATCTGGGGGAATCTGGGGAAATTGGAATATTCAGAATATGTTTGATTTGTTGGGGTTTCCTTAAAGCAAATCCGCTGTTGAAATGCTCTTGGCCCTTGAAATGGTGCATTGGGGCCCCTACTGTAGATAGCAAAGTAATCGATAGGTAGTTCATGGGTTTCATGAAGCAAAAAACATAACTGGGGAACACCACCTCGTGGATCAACATGGATACTTGGATGATTGGATGGTTGTCCCAGTTGATAGTTGGTTGAAGTTGGTTGATGGCCTTGCTTGATTGGAAGATACGGAACCACAACTTGGGGGGATTTGATCAACAGTGTTATCAACCACTAGAGGGCGCAGCCTGGGAATGTCCACTTCATGCAGGATCTTGGACCATTGGACGATGCCATGTTCTTTGGATCTCTCATGGTTTGAACCAACATTGGCAGGTGTTTATCACTGACGACAATCAACATCTGGGATTATGTTCTATAATTTTACATAACTATAATAAATATAAAATTCAGGTCATAAGTAACACACTATATTCTGACAATATATTTATAGTTGACAACTCATATTTATATATATATATACACATAATATATCATAATATAATGTTTGCTATATTCTGACACTACGTCTCTACTGAGGCTCCGGGGAAGCTCGCAGCATGTCCTGGATGAGGTGGGAAACGACTCGGCGGACGATGGGACAATCTGGCCAACAAGGTGTTTTGTATATTTCTTAATGGCGGTATTATGAATCCTAACTATCTATATTTCATTAGGGGGGTATTATTAATCGTAACTAATCCTATAGCAAATGATGAGAATCGGTGGATTTGGGCTTGAATTCTTGGCTGATGCGGCTCATCTTTAAAAAAATATGTTTCATTGTATATGAAGAATCATCGAAACTTCAGCAATATAGAGAAAATCCCAAGTATCTATCCTGTTATCCTTTGTTGAAGTAAGTGATAGAACCACAATTTAGAGGACCAGCATCCCAGTGGATTCTTGAGATTTATGAGTTAATCTGGCGAAGATCCACTAGATCATCTACGTATGTCAATCTCATGGAAAACCAGGGTTGTTGGCCAAACCCCTGCATTCCCCCCACACAAAAATAAACAATTTTATCCACCAAGATGGTAATCGAAGTTGAAGAGATTCCACAATTTGTTCATCACTTTTACGCAGTCTATATATTAATATATATATATAATTATATATAGGGGTTTCCAGGAATGGGGGTACTCGTACCCCCCAAGAGCTGGATGGGTGATTTCATGGAAAATCCCAACAACAAAATGGATGATGACTGGTGATATTCCTATTTCAGGCCGAGCGATCCTTGCATGATGCACTGGCAGTGCTGTACCAGACCGTCCAGGTGGCGGGTGGGATGCAGGCAGTGCGTTCTGACCAGATGTCTGAAACACCATAGATACCCTCTGGTAATTTAACATAGCTATTGAAAATGACCATTTATAGTGGATTTTCCCATTAAAAATGATGATTTTCCATAGTTATGTTAAATTACCAGAGGGTATCCATAGACGGGGGTGTTTGAAAAAGGTCGTATACCCCTAAAAAAAGTCACCGTTTGATGACAGGGAAAGACATGAGGTTTTAATCCATTGGAATTGGGGAAAGCCAGATAAACATCCAACGGAGATCAGGTTACATTACCCATGACGGATCCATGGTGCTGCTATATATGGTAACATTTACCATGAATATACCCCAAATGTTAGCATATATACCAGCACCATGGATCCTACGGGTTATGATACATTGTCTTTGCAGACTGAAAGAGTGGTGAACAAGATTGAGGATGTCCACAGCAATAATTCTACAGTCAATCAGATGTTGATTGCTGGCACTTGCACACTCAACTCTTTGCCAAGACAAGCGTGGTTCTGGTTTGCCATGGAAGCCCATTCTGCACAATGCACAAGGTTATTGTCCACCCAAATGAGTGAATCTTGCGGCTGGGGTCGATGTTGTGCTTGACCTGGGCACGCGTTTTTTTCTGGTTTGGTTTTGTGTAGCATGAAATGTCAGGACTGTGGTGACCAAACATCCATTGTTTGACAGTCCCCGTAATCACCGGTACTGTCTTTTTCGAGTTGTTGGTTTCACCTTTTGACATGTTCATTGACCGGTGTGTGAATCGAACTGACATCGTCGTCTACCTCCCATCAGATTTCATCAGACCGAATCTCACAGAAAGAAATGGGTTATAATGAGTTCATATCCATCATGGATATAATGATATAATGATATATATATATATTATATTGATACATCTATATACTTAGCATGTTCGTTCGGTACGTTTGGGCGTTCAGAACGCGCGTTTTAAAAACTCGCGTTCCAGAACGCGCGTTCTGAGTGAATCCTTTTTTCCAATGATATAAAGTCAATTTATTTCCGGTGTTTGAACAGAGAAACCTTTTTCCCCCACTAAAAAAAAGGATGTGGAGCTCTTGTGGGCTCAAAATGGTGGATGCAGCCACCAGAAGGCTGATCAGCGATCTGGGCCATGACTTGGACCTTGATGGTGCTAAGCCGGGGAGATTCGCGAAACGTGGCTTGAGGAATGAAACCAGAACATTTCTGGGGCAGAGATATATTCCCTTGGAGATTCGTGGCAAAGAGGTCCCTGGAATGTTATAGAAAGCGCATACCACCCGAATACGTTGACGCGATGACAATCCAAGTAGGGCTGTAATGTCAACCCTGGATTAATAAACCCCTAGGCTGTTTAATTGGGAGGGTACCATTTAAGTATTAGATTATGACTATTGGAGGAGTACTCCCCTAATTAATATACCAGGGCTTATTCATCCGGGGTTGACATTAATGGTGATAATAGATGGTGATATTAGAGTGGGGCGTAGGGATATGTTTGAATTGATAATTAAGTGGATAAGTGCATAAGAGTTAGTGGGAAGGGGATATATGAGATATTAAAAGGATTTTTCTAGGGTTTCGGGTTGCTTTGTGTTGCTGATAAGAACCGTTTGGACAAAAAGCCTTAGGTCGGGCAGGCCTAAGACGGAATCCTTTTTTTAGAGGCTTTAGAAAGCGCTGGGCAGGCCAAACACGGATCCTTTTTTTAGGGCCTTTAAAAAGCGCTCGGCAGGCCAAAGACGGATCCTTTTTTGCCTGGTTTTAAAAGAATTGTGCAGGTTAAAGCCTGCAAGTTTTGCTCCTGGAAGATCGAAACACATTGGTTGCTCGCTTCGAGGCCGCCAAAGGCATCTTGCAGAAGCGAGGTGAGGCATTCTCGACAGTGGTGCACCAAGCAGCTTGGATTCTGGATCCCCGTGCCTTGACGAGGCGTTTGACGCCTGAAGGTGCTGCTCAGTACCCGGAAGAACGGCAGAAAGCTCTGTTGATCACCATGAACGAGTTCATCCCTCTTTTTTGGCCATTGTTGCAGGACCAAAGTAAGGGGGTGCCCAAACTTGCTTATTCATCTTTGAAGCAAATTTGTGACCAGATAATAGTGGAACTTAGCATACGTACCGTGTCTGTTCTTGTTTGACTCTCTACTTTGTGATTTCATTCTGTTGCAGGAACAGAGAGAAGCAGCTCGGAAGGCTCTTGATGACTTCTTGAATTTGACGGGCCACTTCCAGAAGGTTATTTTGCCTGATGGTAATGCTTCGAAGGCAGAGGTCACGGCTTGGTGGCGGTCCAAGCAGCCTAGCCATTGTTTGCGAGAGATGGGTCTGTGGTGCTCAGCCCTGGGCAGCAGTCAAGGGCAAACTGAACGCTACTGGGCGACTCCATCCAGACAAGTAGTGCCCATCAGAGCTTCCTTGCATGCAGAAACCAAGCAGCTGATCACTTCCGTTGCTTGCAATTGGCGTTTGTTGTACCCTGACGTTTCTGCTGGTTGTGATTAGCAATTTTGTTTGCTATTCGAAAGGAATAATATAACCACCGCAAACGCTCGAACACTTTTTTGTTCTCCCAAAAAAGGTTCCGAATGATTTCTCTTTTTTCTACAGGCTCCTCACGAATCCTTTTAGATTTTGGTGAAAAAAGTGATCGCGCAATACCAGGTTCCGAAAGCCCCCGTAGCTTCAAAGCCTCGCTCAGCTGAGTGGGCCGTCCCTGATGCGGACAACAAGCGCAAGGCGCCTGAACTTGGAGAAGCAGCTGAAGTTGAAGATGTAAATTCCAAGTCTGCTGATGCCGATCAGTCAAGTTCTTCCACTGACTCTGAAAGCTCTGATGAAAGCGGTGCTCCTTGGGCCGAAGAAGATCTTGATATCTGCGAAGCAGATGATCTTGACCTGGTGCCACCTCGCACCGAGGCCACAGAGGCAGAGGTCCAAGACGACCTTGAAAACTTCTTGAGAAACTCCATGTGCTAGAGTGGATCCTTTTTGCAGGGCGCAAAAAAAGGATTCGGACGCTTCTGGGACCCATAAAACCACTCAAAACACCCCTGCGTTCGGAACACGCGTTCCGCAACGTACGTTTTGCGTTCTGCGTGTTCAACGTGCAAAGTATATATATAATTATATATATATATATTTGTTGATCGACTTATCATGATTTTCCTGCTTCATCGTATTAGCTGGTCCTTGTGATCGGTGGCAGGAAACCCGAGTTGCTGGGAGACTCGGCTCAGCGGAGCAGCATCGAGGTGCATCCCATGATGGTCCGATGGTCATATGTCGCTTAAAAGCCGTGTTTATTACCCTCTGGTAAACTAACATAACTATGGAAAATCACCATTTTTAATGGGAATCCACTATAAATGGTGATTTTCAATAGCTATTGTTAAATCACCAGAGGGTAAGCACTCAATCCCTTTGAGCTATTCTAACGTAGCACCAATAAAGGGGCACCCAAACAAATCATTATATAGATCCAATACCACGCCCTGGATTTTTGTTTCGATGATATGCAAAAATCCTGATTTCGTCATATTTTTGAATGGATTGGTTTCGGGGAAAATCTACAGGAAACCATGTTTTTCTATATTTAAATATTGAGGTTTCCTGTAATTTCTCCCGTAAATCAATCCAATGAATCCTACGTTTGTTCATGTTGTTCCGAGAGGTTAGTGATTGATAGACATAGCCAAATGAAGAACATAGAAAAATAAGAACATAGATTGTTGATAGACTAAATTACTTACAATCCAATGATGTCTTCAAAAAAATAGACATCGTATGACATCGTCAACTCATGTTGGCCTTTTCATCGATGGTCGAGTTGCTTGCATCCCCACAAAAACCTGGTTGAAGCAGCCGAGAGACGCCACGAATATGGATGAACCATGGTAAGACATCGTTGAAATGTCTGCAACACATATGTCAAATCATGTCTTACATATGAATTGGATTTTAATCATTGAACCATTGTTGAATGGATGCCAATAATATGAACCATTCTAAATCATTTAGTGACATATGCCAAATTATGCATGTCAAAGCATGATTGAAAAAAATAACATACGTCGATGGGCCAGCGAAATCCGAATCACCAGTTGAAAACGGTGGTTATATATTTTATCCCATTATTTAGATAGGGTTTCAACCATCCTTTTGGTGATGCAGGATTTCGCTGGCCCATCCACAGTATGTTAACCCATGAGGTCTGGGGCGGAGGGTCCATGGAGATGGCATCGGGAGCCCAGCTGGTGATTTCCATAGTAGCAAAAACTGCTCGAAATTCAGGATTTACATGGATTTATCTTATAATTATATATAATTATCCATTAATCTTCGAGATATGATTTTGTTTGGTAGATTTTGGATTTTCATGTTGGCATTTTAAGTCTTGTTTTCAGAGTTTTTCAGCTGGGAACGTCATTTGTGCAATTGATTTGGGAACTGGTAAATGTTTTGATATGGCGGTAGCCAAAAGGTGTTGAAGAAAAAACAATGGTGCCCATCATTTGGAACATCATTTTCTGCATGAGCATGGCATTATAATAGAGCATGCCCTATTTTCAGACACACCCATAGATTCCACGTCATTCAGGTTCATTCAGGTTCTCTTTGCTAACCTTTGCCATAATAATGGCTCGGCTTTGGAGGTAGATAGATAACATTGTTGCATGTTGCATGGAGCATCTGGGGGTTTGTACTTCGACTCTCCAAGTGCCCATAAAAACTGGTAAAGATCCAAAAATAATTGGTATATTTGCCACATGTTTTAAAGGTACTTGGAGGGTCTAGGTATATTTCATACATGTATAGACATATGTCAAAATTCGGGATGTTCCCTCACATTTGTCTGAGATTTCACCCAAGACCTAGAGGGATAAGTAACACCCCAGGTGGAGGGGTGATGGGATGATCTTAAAGTATGTGCTACGGGCTCTTACGGCTTCTCCCAGCGTGATACTTTTTTTAATGGTTCTTGATGGTTTTCCTAAAATAGCTCAACATGATAAAAGCTTAAGTATTTTCCCTTTGAATCCCATTAAATGTTGTTTCAATCTCAGTATAATCCAATTATAATTCCATGAATAATCCCATAATAATCCCATACAACCCCATTATAACTCCATCAGATCCCATTATACCCCCACTTTAATCCCATGATAATCCCAAGACACAGCTCTTTGATGAGCCTTTTGTATCCAGCGCGAGCTTCGCGGTCTTTAGGCCATGGCCCAAGCAGTTCAGCAGAAGCTGACTGAGGTGCATCTATGGGATGGGTCAGGAATCTTTCGTCACTTTCGTGCCTAAACACCAGCTATTTTAAAGTGTCTGGACTTAAGGGTAGCTGGGTTTTGACAGATTCTTACAGCCAGTTGTAAATTCGACTCATCTTCGAGAGACATGATCTTTTCAGGTGTCACTTGTGTTTTCCAGCAAAAAAAAGGAGGTAATCAACTAATCAACCATGGAAATATGTTGAGTGCATAATAAGATGGTCAGCTCACAGGAAATCATATACTTTTTCTCCCGTCGAATGACTTGGACTTGGACCAACAGCAATGTGCAGCAATTAAATGAAACCTCATATATATATATATCATATTATATATATTATATTATATATATATATATATATTGATAAGGGCCTCCAAAAAGATAGAAAACACAGAGATGATATGTCCTCCATAATTTCCAGTTTCTCATTTCCTATGTGGGTGTCCCTATCAATTTAACCCCCATCCTTGTTGCCTCATTCCCCATATTCATCCAAACAGGTGGGCGGAAAGGAGAGTGTGGCCATGGAGTCCTTTGGGAAGGCTCTCATGCAAGGCATCTCAGGACGCAAACGCACGCGACGCAAAGCGGCGATTTTTGGCTAGGAATCCTATGTTGGAGGCAGGGTTCAGAAACCAGTATTCTAGATCACATTCCCTATGATTTTTCAATATTTTTCATATTTCGGGGGTATGAAAATCAACACCCTTTGTTTTGGGGTGAACAGAAACTGCACCCCTCGTGGCCCTTGACCCAGCGCGCCAACTGTAGCTTCCTTGGGATTTCCGTCTGGGATTTCCATGTCGATTCTCCACGGGATTTCCGAGGCAAATTCCAGTCATTCTTGCTGACAATGCGGGTCAGGACCTGAGATTTTTTCTGTCTGCGACACTAGAATAGTGCTTAGGATTCGGGAATTATCCAATTTTTGTTGGCTATATTTCAGGTTAGTGAATTGGGATCATTCCCCTGATAATAATAATAACAATAATAATAGTAATAATACTAATAATAATAATTGTAAACGTATAATAATTATAAGTATGATTAAGTTATTATTAATATATATATATATCAGATAGTCAACTATATGATATATAGATATATATCCCATAGTTAACTATGACACATTGATTATGGTGCATCATTTAGATGATTTCTCCACGACTATTATTTACCCATCATTTGGATATCCCATAATATACCCATCATCACCTGGAAGGTTTGGACTCCGCTGAGCTGGTGGGGCAGCTGCGAGCAGCACATGCCAAGGGTGGGACGACGGGGATGGGTCGACTGGGTCCCAGGGTTGCACGGCTTGGACAGGAACATCTGGTAATTATTTTAAGGGTTTGCTATGAAAAATCATCATGTTTTATAGCTAAATCATCATTATCATCTCAAAATGGGACATGTTCCACTGCTCATGTTTAACCAGAGGGTAATCTTATTAAAAGAAAAACATCGTTAAAAGGTCATAGACTACCACTGGGTTGGATAGTACCTCAATTTCCGAAAAGATTCCAAGTAGATGTACTGTACCAGTAAATTAATGATGTTGTATACATTTCTATGTTTTTGGGGTTTGCTGTCAATTGTGGCTGGTCATGTTGTTACTTCTAGATATAGGGATGGTCATGCCCTGTGAGACAGACAGAATGAGGGAATTGTCATCCATTTATCATGGGGATTTAAAATGGAGATATGATAGACTGGACTAGTAATGGAATATGCGTGGAATTTGCTTGGAATATTATGAACTATCAATGGGATATCAATATATCTGGCTAAATCACTAGGATTAAGGAAACCACCCACAAATGATGATCATTTCAGGATCTTGATTTATTGCAATATATCCATAATTTATAGTACTAGCATGTACTCCCTGTCCCGATGTTCACATTTTGCCGCTTGGCTACTTGGGTTTCCATTTTCCACACGCCATCGAGGGATGATTGAGATATGATGTCTGGAGGGATCCGTCCACGCCTATGTGCCTATGTTTGCATGGTGATCTATGTCAATACATGTGCGAATATGTTTGTATATATATATATAATCATCCCACAAACTGTTTATTGTTATAACCACATGTTTCCATTTCGGAGTAGAGTTATGGACCCAGCTAACTCAATGACTTAATGAGTTTAATGTGGACACCATTTGGTTCTTCAGTGAACCTCTTGACTGCTCCCTGCAGTAGGACAGAACTCTTTTGGTTTGGAGTTCAACAATGGCACGATTGCTGACATGTCGCAGTTCCGAACTGAGATCACTGGTGAAGTCACGTAGAAACAAAACTGTATATGTTTCTTTTTGCTTCCAGTTTGGGAATTCTATCGTAATTTTATGTAATTTTCCCAGTTTGTGATGGAGAAACAGACTCTAGGCACGCTGAACTGCACTTCTCCAGACAGCCTAGATGCAATTGTCCCCAAGAACTGCTTGATTTGTTTTTGGACATTTGGCGATAGCAGCGCTTGTTGGGAGACTACTATAGTACTATCTGGTGTTTATGTCATGTTGATGCTCTAAATAGCTGCATTGGAGCATGAAGTGTCGGCAAACACTTCCACGGATCTGGTATCAGGTACCCTAGGATGATTGTCAATCCACTTAGACAGGGACCACATTAAGATCATATTCACTTGATTTCTGTTATAAATAGATCCAATGTCATTTTTCCAGTACACCCCACCTCCCAGCAGAAGAGGTTGGGGATCATGGAGTCTTTCCGCAGCAAGATGTCGCAACTTTGTTCAGCAGCAGAGGCGGGAAGTGCAGTTGTTGTCAGGCACCAGAAGTGGTTAATAAACCGTGTATATATATGGCTGGAGTATACACTATTGAGTCGCGATTAATGGTAACTATATAATCAGTTTTATAGGTTTCCCTTTAGTAGTATAGTGTGAAATTTACAAAGTCGATAGTTATTCATATTAACTGGCTGATTTGGTGTGATTTTTACCCACCTTTCGTAAAGATGCGCCCACGTAACTTCGTATTTACCGGTGCACCAGGCTTGGGCTTTGTTCATTTCGGGGTGTTGATCCCCTCCAAACTGTAGCTTTCTGCAACAGGGGAGGGTCAAATCACTTCCATCACGGTGGTTTCAACCTGTTTAAACAGTACATCCCAAAAGGTTTCACAGAAGCTCTAGAGGTTAGATCTACTTTTGCTGGTAGAAGCCTCCCTTCTTTGTCTCAACACATGTTGATTTGCTGGAAAAGCAAAACAACAAATCATCTTTTCTGGTAACAACCGGAGGTTCTTGTCCAAACAGAGGTGTTCTCAAATGGGGTAGCCATTGTGACCCATGACTTAGTATTGAAACATCTAAAAGTCTAGACCGACTTGGTTCCATGACTAAAGATGGGTCATTTTTTGGTGTTTACATATCGTTTATGATACGCAAACAACTATAGTTGATGGGATTTATAAACCAATTTACCCTCCGGTAATGAATAACAGTTTGCTATTGAACATGGCCCAGTCGAAATAGTTGATTTACCCATGGATAGCATGATGGATCTTTCCAGTTCGTTATGTAGCAATTTACCAGAGGGTATATCCCATTAATATCCCATTGAATCCTATAAAATGCCATTGATTCACTATAAAATGCCATTAAATCACTATAAAATGCCATTAAATCCCATTAGATCCCATTAAACCACCTCTATATGTTAGGGTAACCAAAATCCCATTAAATCCCAATTTCCAACTGGGGGCCCCCCAAAAAAATGGACCCTTAGATCCAGTCGACTTCTTGCACCGCAGGCGGCCGAGATGATCATCCGAGTGGATGACATCATCAAGTGCCTTGCTTCGGATCGATTACGGAGAACGGTTTTTTCAGGAGGGTATGATATATAGGACAGATGAATACGTTTGAAACACACATAGAGAACATAGATAATATGTGATATATGTATAATATATTGATATATATATATATATATATTTACGGTTATACATAATATGTATATGTTTTAATGATGTAATGCACATCATACAAGATCATACAAGCCGATATTTTAGTTTAGCATCCGCATCCACCGTTGAAGCCTTGAATGGGACCTGGCAGGAATGCACCCCGTCAGCGAGATGGCTGAAACGGCACAAATGCTGCCGCCTGCACAGACCCAAAAAAGTGCCGGCGGACATGGCGGACGTTGGTATCGTTGGTTGGGATACGTCGATCCTCCGTTTGTACCAATAGGATCCAATAGGTAAATATCCCTAAATAATATGGGTACATGATGGTACATGTTTTTTTTGGCCCATTTTGAACGGTTACTTACAGGCTCTAGGTATGTATACTGTAGATACATTGTCTATGTTAGATGTTTGATTGCCGATCGATTCAATCAGCCTTTTGAAGGGTCATGTTAGTCATGGGGTGTGTTGAAAAAAATGAGCAATACCCCAAGATCAAAGATGATTTGAGTGGGAAAATGGTGATAAAAGCCTTGGAATTGGGAATTCCCTATCTTTAAGACAAACTTGTTTGGGTCTGAATGTCGTTTTGAGGTCGCCTGCATGTCATCCATTGACCATGCACAACCGCCGCTTTTTCGTGCAGCTTTTTGTTTGACATGATGCGGGATGCACCATGTGACCTGCAGCAAGAACTGACGGATGAGTTTCGGGCAGCCAAGAGCAGTCATTTGGATCTGGTGGATCGGGACACCAAACAAGGCGGCATTGAAGGCAAGAACGTTTCATCTAATTCTCATGCCAAAATCCATCAACTTCAGATCAAATGCCGAGCATCTAGACAGTAAATCCTAGAAGTGGTTCCGAAGGTAACAAGTGCAAGAACCCCTTTTTTTTGAGGGGAACCCAGCAATGTTCTCCTCTCGGCTTTCCCTTTAATCAACCCGTTTTTGTGGAGTCATTTGAGCTGCCCATGTTTAGCGGACCTAGCATCGCCTCCACAGACTGATGCTGGATCAGGCACCGGCAGCACTGGCTGTCTGCGAGCAGTGTGCTGTTGCTGTGGTTCACAGGTCATCACAGATACTTAAAGTATCGTAAAGTATCGTAAAGTCACTAATCCCCCTTTTTTTGCTTAAATCCACCATTCATCAACGATTCCTAGTGAAATCCCTACCTCTGATGGTGCAGGTGGATGAGGACTGGCCGCAGTTCCCGCAGGGTGAGGATCGCTTCCGAAGTTCCGAGCGCTTCCGATGGCTTTACCAAACCGATGGCTGGGAGGGATATCAGGAGCCCGATGGGAGATGTCACAGATGTGTTGGGATTGCTGGAACACTCCCACAGTTTCAAAAAAAAACAACGATGTAAAACCAAAAGGTAAAGGTTTACGTGTAGTGGAAACAAACATGTATTCGCATGGTAAAACACGGTATTCTGTGGAGTGTTGCATCGTTCAACAGGGGATGGACATCCATCGGTTCATTTAAGCGTCATGCACTGAACACACAACATACATTATATACATTTAACTGCAATAAGCAACCATATTCATTCAGCGTTTTAGGTCAGATTGCAAGTCATACAATTCAGAACTATTCTGTAGTACACTTAAACTTTTACATGATATGCAAATATGTACTAGAACCCCCAGGACATGTTATACATGTTTTACATGTTATACATGTTATACATGTTATACATGTTATACACTAGTACAGAGAACATCTATATGGGATCTGTGACATTCAGGACGACGAGGTCGAGGAGATCTTGACGCGACCGCGTGAAAGCAAGCCCTGGCACGTCCCGGATGAGAAGATCAAGGAGCCATCGGTGCTGGGGAAGAAACTGGGGACAGTTTGACCCAAAAGATCATAGTGTTGCTTTAATATCATGGTTGAGACATATATACTGTGAAATAAACAACTTGTTATCTATACTTGAAATTATGAATAGTCTTATGATCATTATTGGATTTTCTTATGATTCTGGTTTTGACCTGCTAAAATGGTGGTATTTGGGATGTATTTTCAACAAATAGGACCTGAGACTCGGAACCCATCCGGATGATGATGTGTTTTTGCTGCTTGTTTAGTCCCAGTTTTTTTTGCGGCGTGAAATCATGTTCAATTCGTATGTTGGATCATTTTGGACGGAACACTCTCCATTTCAGGGGTTTCACCACCGTTCAACCACTTAGTTGGATGGTTCACACCCCATTGATCTCAGGTGATATCATGGCTATAATAATATCCTATTCCTCTACCAGTATCATTATCCTATTAGTATAGGTACTGATATCATTATCATTATGTTAAGTATATCATTATCATTTGCATTGACTCGTCTCATGATTTCTGTATTCCAATTGCCTAGTATTTCCATATATTGGAATATATTGGAATATATATCATTTTTAACTCGTCTTATATATTCACCCCGCTTCGCGTGGGGTGGCCGCCCACACCGCAGGTTTATTTCGGTCCGTGAGAGGGGCTAAGGGTGGTTTTCCCCCGTGGGGGCTCCCCAAGCTAAGAATTTTCACTTTCCCCCCCCGTGGGGGCTCCCCAAGCTAGGGAATTTTCACTTTTCCCCCCCGTGGGGGCTCCCCAAGCTAGGGAATTTTCACTTTTCCCCCCCGTGGGGGCTCCCCAAGCTAGGGAATTTTCACTTTTCCCCCCCGTGGGGGCTCCCCAAGCTAGGGAATTTTCACTTTTCCCCCCCGTGGGGGCTCCCCAAGCTAGGGAATTTTCACTTTTCCCCCCCGTGGGGGCTTCCCAAGCTAGGGAATTTTCACTTTTCCCCGCCGTGACAGCTTCCCAAGCTATGGAATTTTCACTTTTCCCTCCCTTGGAGGCTCTCCAAGCTGCGGAATTTCAAATAGCTAGACAACGACGCCTAGATAGTCCCCCAAATCCCGTGTTCTTTGAATGTGTTTCCATGTTTTTGCAATGGTTTCCTTCAAAGCACGGTACTTTACACTTTTGTCGCCATAAAACCGGTCGAAAACATCATGTTCGACAATGCTTCCAATTCCCTTATCTCCCCAACCGTTGAAAATACCGCTATTTACAGTGTTTTCTTCAATTTTTCCATGTTCCAATGCCGGTAGCCAACTCCAACATATATATAAGAAATCCTTCCAAAACATTGTTTTTGACAGTGTTTTTCCAATGTTTCCAGTCAAACAGAAGGTAATTTACACGTTTTTTGCCATAAAGGCAGTAAATCCTTCCAAAACATTGCTTTTGACAGTGTTTTTGTAATGTTTCCAGTCAAGCATACGGTAATTTACACGTTTTTTGCTATAACGTCAGTCCAAAACACTTGTTTTTGCAGTGTTTTCAATGCTCTGGCATCCAAAAACCCTGCAAAATCTTGCTATGTACAATGTTTTTTTCATTTTTGGCCGTTTTTCCATTGCCGGAAAGCTACCAAAATGACCCAAAATTCCATTTCAATACCCTCTTGCGCTCAGACACCCAAAAATCCTCGAAAAATGTCGAAAACACCACCGTATTCTGGTCTCGGTGCGAAACCGTTTTTGGCCCCCCCCCCAGCTAAAGCTGATATAGCGACTGCTATATTAACAAATGTCATTGAGCATTTAGTGTTTCTGTTTTGCCCCCCAATAAGCACGCCTTCACCGCCAAAGCGGTGTGGGCGGATTTCCTAACCAGACTCTTTGTTTTAACATGTTTTAACTGCTTTTTTGCGTAGGCCATGGTGGAAGAGGCCGGGCAGAAGGAAGGCATTCCCCAGAGCCTGCTGCAACACGCCAAGTGTCGCCGTCCACGGCTGCTGCGGCCCAACGGCAACGGCGTGCATGGCAGCGCAGCGGAGACCGACGAGGAATGGCAGGCGGTTGCGGCTGTTGATGTTGGAATGGGTTGTCGGTGTTTGTCAGCAACGCTATGATCTCATTATCAGGTTTTATGAGGATATACCCTCTGGTAATTTAACATAGCTATTGGAAATCACCATGTTCAATGGGAAAATCCACTATAAATGGCCATTTTCAATAGCTATGTTAGTTTACCAGAGGGTATATTGAATATAATATTGGATAAAAATTTGATGCGGATACAATGGGATAATTCTCATCAGCCGATGAACATGTTGGATTTTTGTATCACCAACAACATGATTTTGTTTCATCTTGGGTTGGCAGGAGAACATCAAGTTGATGGGATTTGTTTGCATGATTTGTTTGCATAAAACACTCGGAGATGTTTGCATGATTTGGGCATGGCTGAAACCGGTTGAAACCGAAGATACCCTCCAGTCAACAGGTCCATATTTATAGTTCATGTCCATTTATAGTTATGTTTTACCCATTAAAAAAAACAGGTCAGTTCTGATCTTGATATTAGTGATGTTACCGAAGTACTTTTCTTTTCTCATTTAAGATGGGTTCCTTGGTCCAAGATGTCCAAGAACCAAGCCTAGTCAAGCCACTCTCATCAGTACATTGTGACGAAACTATAGTGTAATTATCAAGTGGTGTTCTTCGCAATTCAAACTAGTTCTAATGGATATGAATATTGATTGGAGCATCTCGCGCAAACTTTTCCAATGTGTGTTGCTCCGAGTTTAGCTGAGATATTAATTAGATTTAATTAATATAATACAATGATCATGTGTGATATTCATTGTGCGATATATTACGGATATTGGCGATTAGTGATTGCTAGTAAGCAAATTGTATATATATATAATATCAATAATCTGTTCTTATACTAGTTACATCAGTAATAAATTATATAACTAAAATTGATATTTGTTGTTCAATAATTAGTATCTCCTAGTACTCTTATTGAACTAAATTATAAATCAATTATAGTCCTAGCACTCCCAGTGATAGTATCACTAATTGGCATTCCTACTACCTCGACCCTGCGTTTGTACCCATGGGTACTTGGAGGGTCTAGGCAGGTGCGATTACTTCATAACTTCATAACGATAGTTACTAAAAGTTAAATGCTATAAAATAGCGTAACTAGAGTTCCACACTAGAAACCAGTTTATTGATATAAACATATATGACATATATAAACTTGAGAGTACTGCATAATTTATGAGTGATGAAATATAATGTTAATAATCACCTATAACTCTATAATGTGATATCATATGGTAATAATCATCTATCATATATTATCATACTATAATCATCTATAATATCATCTATAATATCATCTATAATATCATCTATCATGATAACTATTATAGTGGGGATATTCGTGTTAATTAACCATTATTCAGAAATTAATGATGATTTTTCATCATAGTGTTTTTATCACCATCTATTCATGTGAATGAACCATGATTAAACATAGAATTGGATTATGGGAAAATTTTAACCGGAAAGCCTTAAATATTTGATGGTGAAAACCCATGGGTTTCTTGTAATTTTTCCATTAATTAACCATGATTAAACCATCATTTTGCCCATCCATTCTCTCTGCAGTCAGTGACGCCTCCAGAAAACCCGCAGGCCTTACTGCAAGAACTGGACGAGGCCGGGGAGTCCTCCCGGGCATCCCAGCGACCATCCCAGGCCTCAATCCTGGCGCCGGAGGCGGGCTTGGCCAAACATGTGGATTTAACCTCTATGGAAAATAACTATGGAAAAATAACATGTGGAAAATAACATGTGGATAAACGTTTACATAACATAACTATGGAAAATACCTCTGGTAAACGGGCTAACATAACTAACATGACATGGGATTTTTAATGATTCAATGGAAATTTATAGTGATTCAATGGGATATTAATGGGATATACCCTCTGGTAAACATAGAATATAGGAAAAATCACCATGCTATAAATGGGTAAATCCACTATTTCGACTGGGCCATGTTCAATAGCGAACTGTTAGTCATTACCAGAGGGTAACCAACTACAAAAAGAGATGGGGAGATTGATTTTTGTTTTTGTTTTATGAAATGGTGATTCTAATTTTGAACTAGGGCTTTTGGTGATGACAACGTATATTGTAACGAGAGATTGGTTTTTAAACCGGGCAAAATAACCCATATGTTCAGTTTAGTTGGCTTAGAATTGGGTAAACGATGGTTTATCACTGATACAACCATACTTAGATGCATTGATCATATAATCATATAATTATAATCATATATATGTATAGTATATAGTGTCCTTTTTTGAATGGTGGTGGGATTCAAAAACCATTGGAAATTTAGCAAACATCAATATTGCTAAACATCAATCCAAACAATGTGTTTTTGTTTGTTCATTGGGATGTAGGATGATTTTGAAAGCCAAGCATTTAAATATGGACTTGTCGGTGGCCTCAACCGTTCCGTCCATGGATTCGTTGCTTTCGGAACGTTGGTTCAGTAGGGGGCCCAGAGGCCTCAACCGTTACTGATATGGAGGTCTGGAGGTCTCACCAATACATCAATCTGTCCGAGTTACGCGGATAAGAATGGCATGGAATCAATGACTTGTGATGTCCATGCCTACAAGGTGGTGCCCCCCAGTTATAAGTTGGTTTATAATCCCATTAACTATAGATATATCACCTATAAACCATAGTTATTGGAGTTATAAATAACTTAGCTATCTAGGGGGCACCACCTTGTATGGGATATTGGGATGATAAGCTGTATGTGTTTTTGTTTTTTTCCAGGAACATTCTTATTGCTAGCAAAGCCACATAGCGCATGGTGGGGCACGAGAAGCTTCACCAATGTACACTATGCCAATGATGATGTCAATCATGGTTTCACCTGGTTTCCTACCGACATTTCACTTGGTTTGCTGGTAAGAGATACCCTGAAAGCTGAAAAGGAAGACCAACAGGTTTTGACATACAAGCACAGAAGTGGAAGAGCCTCGATTTCAATCGAACCATCGAAAGGGGGTTCCTGAAATGGGTTTACCCCAAAATTGTTTGGGTTTCAACACTAAAATTGTCCAATGACTTGGATGATTGGGGGTACCACTGTTTTAGGAAACCACCTTATCTTCCAAAGTTGTTGTAGGTGGTAGATTGAAACAAAACTCCTTGGAAGGTCTCAACGCTACCCCGACGGCCCTCGGTCATGCGAAGGCGTGGTTTGGACCATGGGTAGCAGGTTGGATCATACCTGATTAGGAGTTTTGTTTACATATACATATCACAAATATATATATATATATATTCACTAGGAAACTGGAAACTGTATGTTTTTTTTCATGGTTTCCTCTCCATAGTTTCCCATTAATCAAACAATTGTGGAGGTTTCTTGTACATTTTCCCATCATCCAATTTTAGGACTTATATGTTCGACCCTATTTCAAGCGAATTATCAAAACTCATCCAGATGTTGTTGGATGATCGGGCATAAGTGGCATAAGTTTTATAGGTTTGCTGCTTTTGTTTCCATGGAAAATCCAGCATCAGGATAACCTGTAGAGATTTGTTTGTTCGGAGGATGCCAAATTGCGGCCAAATTCAAGACTTTGGGGGAACATCCAGATCCACATGCACCATTTTGCCACCACCATTGGACCATGACTCTTCAACAGCAAGCGAGACATGGGATTTTCCATGGGATTGCGAGTCGCGGATCGGTACTGGGACCTTCTTAATTGGAAGGCTGCCGTGCTTTCCAGCCAGGCATGGCACCCGCCAGTCATGGCAATGACATGATCCTTTTGTGAATATAATAATCATACCCTCTGGTAATTTAACATAGCTATTGAAAATGGCCATTAATAGTGGATTTTCCCATTGAAAATTGTGATTTTCTATAGTTAAGTTATGTTAGTTTACCAGAGGGTACTTCTGCCATGGATATAATGTGTTGATTTCTGTCAGTTCTTTAATGTTCATCCTTTTTCAGCCATGGATATTCCACGCTGCCATTTTAAAAATAAAATCTCATCCATCTCCAGTTCTAGAGGTCGGTGAGATTCGAAGAGCAGAAGGATGACGCCCTGGATAGGCTGAAACTGGAGATCCTCTGGAAGATTGGTGGAGTTTGAGAGAACAATGACTTGGCATTCCTTGAGAAAAGACATCTGGATTTGATATACCCTCTGGTAAACTAACATAGCTATTGAAAATGGCCATTTATAGTGGATTTACCCATTAAGAATGGTGATTTTCCATAGCTATGTTAAATTACCAGAGGGTATTGCCAAACTCTTGCCATTTCTTTTTTTGACTGGTGGCATTTTTTGAGAAAATTTATTGGCATCTGGGTTTTGGCGAGACATCAACCTCCAAAGATTCTACTTCAGGGTGCAGTTGGGGTTATGGCTATCTCAACTTGGGGTTATGGTTATGGTCGGTTTATAAGCCTTATCATGTTGAGATATAACTTATAAAACAAAAACTTATAAACCCCTATTTCCCCATGTTTTTTTTTTTGGCGATTCTAAGTCCTTAAAATCCCTTGACATGTCCCCAATCACCCTGCGTCACCATGACCGATGGGGCCAGGATGTTGAAACACGAAGAAGAGCTGGTGCAGAGTGGCCAGGGCTATGAGGAGCGTGGGCCCTGGGGCCTCCAAAAGGTTACTGAAATGGTGTTATGATCCTTTACTAAATATAATATTATGGAAATGGATGGAAATACCAATATCATATTCCTTTAGATGGAACTATTATTATGGACATAGGAATATTATATTGGTTATGATGGAATATTTCCTCTATAGTACTATATAATACTATGGAAATAGAAATACTATAGAATCTTAGAAAAAACATATAGAATCTTAGAATACTATTGGGTTATACTTATTGGGTTTATAATAAGCTCATCCAACTATATAAGACTATATATATATGATATATCTCTCATAAACCCTAGTTATTGTCGTTATAGACCAAGCACACTATCTTGGGGGTCCCACATAGTAAGCATGGTTGTTTTTTTGTCTTATTCATTTTGGAATAGTGATCCGTAAGTTGTATTGACTGGAGCATCATCTATTCTCTATGATTTGCATTGAGAAGCGGGGCCCCGAAAGTGTTCAAACTCTTCTTTTTTTACCATGCCCACTATCAATATTTGTTGTTGCTCACCAAGCATGCAAGGGCTAGAACAGAAACAAAGGGCCAGGAATTCAATCTTCAGGTCAACTTCATTGTTGGCTCACAGAGAACATGATTGAGATTACATGGCTTGAGACCACGCGGAGCATGATTCTCCACTTGTATCCTGTTGTAGTGTAGCCGTTGCCATTGTTAGGTCTAACATGACATAACATGACAGATGTCTGATTTCATCCTCGATCATCCTGGATCATTTATTCATACCACCCCAATTCCCCACCGCAGGAGCCTCGTCGAAAGAAGTGGATGATCACGGACGAAGAGTTCCGGGAATTTGTATTGTCCATGGCCAAATCCAACGCCGAGCCTCGCAGCGAGCTTGGCGCGACATGTATTTTGTGGTGCCCCATAGGTAGCTAAGTTGGTAAAACGGAACTCCACTAACTAGGGTTTATGGATGTTTATGGTAGATATATCATGATATATCAAACTATCTAGCCAACAAGCATCACTGGAAAAAGCACCACCTTGAGGATTTTCATTGGTTGAGCCTCTTGGAAGTCTAATGGGTCATGGGGATAGAATGGCATATGCTACAACCAGCATCTGAAAGCCGAGTAAGACCACCAAATTGTACCATTTTCTTGGACAATGATGATTGACCATTTGGGATAGCCTGTTTTCAGACAGGCCCTTAAGTTTGTGATTTTGGGGAAGGCTGTGATAAAAGAATATGCAACAAGCAACTATAGCAAATCATGTGGTGAACCCAATAATAAAACACTGATACACAAAGTCATATGCCATTTTTTTTAAACCAGTTCGGACGCCTTCCAAATTTTCGAACTTTCAGAGTATCCAATTGGATTTCCGCCCGACATGCTGGAATCGATGAGGAAGCCACAAGTGGTTTGACGCTGTCAATCAAGTGTGGCAATCAGCAGATCTAATGATGGGAAAATGCTGAGAACTGTCAGAACTGGTTTTAGAGCTGTGAGTTGAATCCCCGGTTTCCTGTGACTTCTCCCGGACACCTTTTTGTTCAAAAGGGACTGGCTGTTTCAGACGAGTTTTCCTGTTGGATGAGGTCTTGGGGAAACCGCGATGGGGAAACCAACATGACAAGTTAAAACTCATCTTGAATAGCACATGCTTTGATATTCTTGGGCTTTACAAGGGACTATTTCAGGGCATAGAACCGATTTACTGTGGGAAAATCAGCCATTTTGACCCCCCATCATCAAAATCAGCAGCCTCATTTCATCCATGCATATATTTGAGATGTTCCGGAGTGGCCGTTAGGGCGTTGAAAAACAACATGGTGTCATGATGTGTCATGCCGATCCTAAGAACCAAGATAGTCTCGAGTCTCCACCCAAATTGCTACTCCTAATATCCCAAAGTTCTAGCGAGCTCACAGCAAGGTCCTAGATGATGCTTTTGATCGGAGGAATTTGAGAATTATAAGTTGCCCAGATATGTATGGCCACTGAATTGAGGGTTGCTCTAACCCATTATCAGTACATGATAGCCACAAGGCGGATTGTCCAACTGGTCTAAATTGCTCATGCTACCATTGTTTACCCTCTGATACTTTAACATAGCTATTAAACATGGCACATAGAAATAGTTGATTTTTCCAAAGATGGTGATTTTCCATTTCGCTTTTTGTATGTTCACCAGAGGGCACCAGTTCACCCCTTTATCGCAACCCTTGGTGGCGCCTCAGGATCCCAAAGTCGACGCCGTGCCAAGCAGCGGCCTTACGTCGTCTGCCTCGGCGCCACTGTTGAAGGCGCGGATGTGGATGTTGGGACTGAGGATGAGGATTTGTTGTATGTTTATCTATGAATGTTTGATTGTTACTATGATGTACTATGATAATATATGATTATTGTTAACAATTATTGCGGTTGTTGTTATGTTTTCACAGTTATTGTTGTTAGTATTGTTATGTATTGTTATATGTTTGACATGCACTGTTGTGATTATTGTTGTGTTTCTTAATCATTGCCGAATGATGTTTGCGATGTGTTTTTACTGACTTTCAATAATATCTGTGGATTGTATTTGATCAGAGCTCACTGAAATGTTTGTACATTGGGATGCTCACCAAGACTCACCAACCCAAATGGGAAAGTTCCGACATGGTCCTTCAAGAATTGGAAAAAGGTTCATCCATCAGTGGGATTTTAGTAGCAATATGGATGGTTTCGTGATCAATGAATGGCTTACTGGTGCTTAGTAGGGAATGGATGGGAATGGGGGAATGGGATTGATAGTGCTTATGGATCATTCCCTCATTCCCTGCTAAGCACCAGTAAGATGGAGTTGTTCCAGCATGGATCTTTGACCATCGAGTGGGTTTTCTCAAGAATTCCCAGCAAAACAGCAGAAGTCAACCTTCCACCTTCGAACATCATGGAGATTCAACCACCATGTCAGTTGAAGATTCCCCCTTAGTGATCAGTGCTTGTTTGACATCCCAAGCCCGTGGGTAGCTACGGCAACCCGTCCTACCTATACCAGGGGTTGCCGTCGTTGCCGTCATGGCAGGGATCTGTGAAGGAGATGATGCTGCATATTTACTTCGTGGATTCCCAGGCGTTCTGCTTGCCGTGATGGTTGTTGTGTTTGTTCTTTCTGATGGTGAAGAAGAAAAAGAAGAAGAAAACAAAATACTTTACTTCGTGTGATCCCCACCATGACATTTATACATTTTGTTACTGGCAAATCTTCTGGCATTCTATCTGACATATTTTCTAGCATTCGATCTGGCATTCTATCTGGCATATCTTCTGGCATTCTACCTGGCATATCTTCTGGCAGGTGTTCTGGCATATCTTCTGGCAGATGTTCTGGCTTATCTTCTGGCATATCTTCTGGCATATGTTCTGGCATATCTTCTGGCATTCCATCTGGCATTCTATCTGGCATATCTTCTGGCATATTATCTGGCAAATCTTTCTGGCATTCCATCTGGCATTCTATCTAGCATATCTTCTGGCATATTATCTGGCAAATCTGCTGGCATTCTATCTGGCAAACATTCTGGCACTTTATCTGGCATATCTTCTGGCATTCTAGCTGACATTCTATCTGGCATTCTATCTGGCATATCTTCTGGCATTCTATCTGGCATATACTCTGTGGCATAGGATACTCGCGGTTGAGGTCCGGCAGGGAACACTGGGCGTGGATGGTCGTGGTTGAGGTCCGGCAGGGAACACTGGGCGGGGATACTCGCGGTTGAGGTCCGGCAGGGAACACTGGGCGTGGATGGTCGTGGTTGAGGTCCGGCAGGGAACACTGGGCGTGGATGGTCGTGGTTGAGGTCCGGCAGGGAACACTGGGCGTGGATGGTCGTGGTTGAGGTCCGGCAGGGAACACTGGCGGTGATGGTCGTGGTTGAGGTCCGGCAGGGAACACTGAGCATGGATGGTCGTGGTTGAGGTCCGGCAGAGAACACTGTGGATCGCGGGTCGCAGTTGGACGAGGAGGACGACGAGGAGGACGACGAGGAGGAGGACGAGGAGGAGGAGAGGAGATGAGGAGAGGAGAGGAGAGGAGAGGAGGAGCAGGCAACTGACATAAAATCTAACAACCCTCACCTGGCAGGTGGGGAAATAAGATGAAGGTGAAGATGAAGGTGAAGATTGAAGATTAAGATGATGCTGCTGATGATAATGATGATGATGGATTATGCTGCTGATGATGACCGTGACCATGATCATGATGATGATGATGACGACGATGACGATGTGGATGTGTTGTCATCGTTTTCTAGCGGTTTGGCAACGCCCAGCAGGATCATTGACTCATGACACGTCACCCGTCTCGCGAGACAGGATGTGATGTCAATCCGTCCGCAGCACCCAGGGAGCAGTGGTCTTGAAGCGTTCATTTGAGCAACTGGCAATCTGGCTACAAACACACAGTAGGGAGGATAGATGAGGATAGACATCTATGGTTTGATAGGGCCCATTTCTTGAATCAAATATTATCCGTAAATATCAGTAATATTTAAGGAATTCCCAACAAAACTCTTCTTTTAGGAATTGTGATCGTGTTTTCGTAAACTTGGCAGCTGCACTGCCAACAGCACTTGTCAGAGGTCCCGAGACGGAAGCAATTTTTCCATGTTGTCCAAAGATGGGATTATTCCGGAGCTAGTGAAGCATTTAGCCAATTTGGATATGAGGAAACCATCCCAAAAAAGTGACCGGAAACTGGACACTTGAGAAAATCATGGAGAGCAACAAACATGTTCTTAAATGCCCAGTCAGTTTTCACTATACAATGTCCCTGTTCTTCTTGGATGATCAGCTGTTTTGATACATTCGGATACATTTTGCTGGTAGCAAGAATCAACCCACATGTATTTCTGGTTGCAATAAATAAAGATAATAAAGGCCAGGAGGGATTGCGCATTCCCACAACAGCAAGTCATTCAGCCCACTCGGTTTACTCTACTGTAAAGTAAGACGGAAACAGTCCCGGATACAAAACTCATTTCCAAGTGGGAAAAAAAACAAAAACATATGACTTTTCAACATGAATGTTATGCAGTTTACCAAAGGGTACGGTATTATATTGTTTTCCTCATACCCAAAACTGATCAAGCTACACTTCCGGGCTGCGAGTATAGGACTGTGTGGCCAGCCAAAATTGGAAACTGCGAGTTGTAGACCATTATAGTACCCCCTAAAAAAGATAGGAAAGTATACCATCTGGTTATTTAACATAGCCATGGAAAATCACCATGCTATTATATAATAGGTAAACCTCTATTTCTATGGGCCATGGTTTCCATGGCGAACTGTTAGTCATAACCAGAGGGTATTGGAATTCTCACAGTAAAATATAACACTTCTCTTGGAGTTGGATTTTACTGGCATTTCTGGCTGAGAGTTGCTCTACTTCTCTCTTAATGTTCCCATTATTTGAAGGTTTCCTAAAATGGGGGCCCAAATCATCCAGTTTGATAGGATTTTCCATCATAAACCATCCAAATCATCCAGTTTTACTGGAGAAACACTTATCCATTTGGGGGTACCCCCATTTATTGAAACCCCGAGAAACGCCCCCCATGACTGGCGCCCTAGTGCCTCGATGTGCCGAGGTGTTTCTCCGGATCTGCGCATTGGACCCCCAAGAGCGCCCAAGGGAAACCGCTTCACCGACATGTCGGAGGGCTCAGTGCGAAGCTCTGGGTGCTCAAACCCACGACTGCTTGGTGTGTCTGAAAATGGGCGGACTGTCCCCACATGGCTATAGTTTAAAATATGGGAAAATGTGCAGTAAACTGGACTTTGAGGTACCTGATTTTCAGACAAAGCCTGGTGACTAAATGAAATGTCATGGGATTTAGTGAGATCTAAGTTGCTAAAACTTCTGGTTGATAAATGTTGGTTGTTTGATTAGTGCTTATATACCCCCATTATCCGTATATTGACCATAAACCATACAAGGTGGTGCCCCACAGTTTTGCTGAGTTGGTTTATTTGCCTAGTTGTGTTTTTCAATAGATATGTTTATACAGTTAACCGCGACTATAACTAGACTTGTAACTTATAACTGGGACTTGAAGTCGGGGGTTATTCACGCGGAATCGATCGGATATATATCGGCTGACCATCATGAACTGGGAATCTTGTTTTTGACCAACCAGTGTGTATATATAATATAATATATATATAATAATAAATACATATATAATAATATATATATAATAATAATAATGATAATAATAATAATAAAATAATAATAATATATATATATATATATAATGATATATATATATATAATGATATATATAGTATAACGGAATGAAGTGTGGGTTCAACACTGATCATGTGGGACCATCCCGTGATGTTTGTTGGTTGATGTTCCCCGATAATGTCAATATACCATATCTATCAAGCCTAGGTATAAAGCGATTTACAGTACTTTGGGGCTCCACATTGTGGGCGATGTCTCCGACCAAAGCAGGAGAAACCATACAATTTATGAATATGTTCAGGCCCTCCATAGTGATTTTGGCATAACAAAGAATATCGATTCGAACAATGAACATGGGAGCGGACGTATACATGTTGCGGGCAACAAATTGACTAAAACTACCACAGTAACTGATGGATTCAAGCTGAAGGCTGCAACTGATCAGTCATTTGTGCCATGATTCCTGGAATTTCTTCAGCACTCCCTGTAACTATCCCTGACCTCCCCGTTGACGGCGGACGTTCGGTTGATGAGTACATAGCCCAAGATCATCAACCTGCCGATCTATGACTCCATTGTAAGCAAGAAACATGTACTGTTTGTTGATTCTAGGTTTGCTAATTCAAGCTAATTCAAGATATTTGAGTTTCTGTCATAGTCATAACATATGATGATGACTAAGTATCATTTTTTCTGTCATAACATGTGATGACTGCTGAGTCAAACTATACCAACATGTTGGACCCGCGGTTCCTTCACAGATACGGCCTGGGTGCCAACACCAAAGGCTTCGCCGAGGCGTTGAAAGTTTTGGAATGGGCATTGGAAGGGGGGTTTTGGTGATGAGAATCCAATGGGAAATGGGATCCTTGATGCTCATTTGAAGAATCATTGGATGGTAATTGCCTCAAATGGGTAATACTATAATGGTTACCAAGATTCCTTGATGATCCTTAATTCCGAATGATCCGCATAAATGGGTAATGTGATGGTACTTGCCTTATTTTTAGAGACAACCATATATGCAAACTTAGAGGAAGGGACAAAAATGGATGGGTGATACCAACCAGTCATTTGAAGCGGTTCCTCATTTCCTCATTTTCTCCGGAGGTTCAAAGGTTGACCCATTTCCCGTTTGGCTAACTGTTTGACAGGTACCCTGAATTCGAATGGATTCGAACCTCATGTTCCGAATGTTTTTTATTTTAGGATGGCCATATTTTTTTTGTACTCAATCCTCCATTTTCAGACACATTCCCACTGGTTGGTGGTGACTGGAACCATGGAATTTTAAATGACTTTCCCATCATATTGGGAATGTCATCATCCCCACTGACTTTCACTCCATGATTTTTCAGAGGGGTGGCTGGCGAAAAACCACCAACCAGCCCCTGGAAAGTTCGCCCCTTTCGGTGGGCCGAGTTCAAGAAGTTTGACTACCAGCGGCGGAAGTGGCTGGGAGGATTCCAGAAGGATTGGGTGCCGGTCTCAAGCTCAGCCTGGTGGCACTGACCGGGGTGTTCCACTCCGGGTGTCCCATGGTGAGTTGAACTGTGGGCAAAGATGATAAACGTTGCTATGGAATGCCAAAGATCCAAACTTATAACTTTGTATCTTGCCAAGCACACACACATACATTTAGATGGAAGAATAGAATAGAATAGATGCAATCCCCAGGTACAGATGTTTGTTGGGGATAAAATCATATTTTTTTGTGTTCAAACTATGCTGTTGAGGGAATGCAAGTAAAGTCTGCAGGGGTTTGTAAATGTCCCAAATTTGGGTATTCTATCATAATGGCTTTGACAGAAATTGGTTTACTCCGAAATCTGTCTAAATCCACAGTTTAAGAATAATCTTCCCTATTCAAATATCGGGGTTTCCTAAAATGAGTGTAGCCCCAAATCATCCATTTCAATAGGACCGGATTTTCCCTTATAAACCATCTATTTAGGGTACCCCACTTGTGAAAACCCCATATAACCATAACATAACCAGAGATATACCCTCTGGTAAACTAACATAACTATGGAAAATCACCATTTTCAATGGGTAAATCCACTATCACTGGCCATTTTCAATAGCAAACTGGTAGTTTACCAGAGATATATACCATGTTTTTTTCAGAACCATCAAACTCATCTCGTGCTGATTCCCTGCTCCCAGGCTTGGTCCGTCTCATTAAAAGGCCAGGGACGGCGGAGGATGGTGAATCCGTAGGTAAGTTCATTTATAGATAAAATACCCTAGATATGGATAATGGGGGTTATATATAGTATATACTATAGTATCTATATATGGATTATGGATAATGTGTTTTTTGAAATACTAATTTAGTCTTGCTTCGCCTTGGCCTTGCTGAGGGTGTGCAAAACTGCAAAACCTTTATTACCTATAGGGGACCTTTTGCGACACCCCTGTCTTGCATGAGTTGCCTCAAAATCTCAGAACGCAAATTCTCACGGATAGGGGACGACCCACATTTGTGCATGAACATGAACATGATTTTGTGTGCTATTCATATAGATACCATCTAGTTATATGTGTTGGTTTATAATGTTTATAACACCATCCAACGATCCTATCGTGAAATGTTTACCAACTTAGCCATTCCGAACTGGGGCATCACTGGCATCACCCTCAATTTGGTAGGTGGCAATGTGGCATCAAACAAACCACGGAAGGCTTGGATCCAATTTAATCCAAGGTGACGTTTAAAGTTGTTTCAAATGTCAGGTTTCCGAGCCAAGAAATATGGCGTGGGTCACAAGAACAGGCTGAGTTAGTGAAGCATCAACTGTTGTTGTTGTGGTTGTTGTTCTTTTTTTCTTCTTCATCTTTGTCTTCTTCTTCTTCATCTTCTTCGTTTTCTTCTTAGTATTATTTGTCTGCGTTTTCTTCTTCTTATTCTTCTTCTTCTTCTTCCTGGGTTTAGCTTACCCCTTCGGACAGGCAACACCCCTGGAAACAAAAGGACCGGCAGCTTCAGTAAATCATCTTCTCAACATTGCCCAAAGCCTTTTTTCTTATTCATGTTCCATTTCCGAATGCTCGCCAGTCAGACCTTGCGAGGTATGATCGCTGAACTCACAGGGATGGATGTTGCCAGGTTGGGGATCCAGATGTTGGGGCCATCTGCCCTGACTATCCCTGATCTGTTTACCAAAGATGGTAGGTATCTCTGAAAAACGGCACCCTGAAGTGGCCATTCATGTAGAAGAACCAAGCACTGAATGGTGCCAGCTTCATTTGTTTCTTCTTTGAACAGCGTGGAAACCGTGTGGATTGAAAATAATGATCAATCAAGTCAGGGAACGCTACCTATCTCTCCTGGTGGGAATCAATATTCACAAAGCCGGAAAAATCCTGGAGACTGTGTGTCAAACATCGGCTGTAAAAGATGGTCAATGGTGCTGTTTTATTTCTACAGGAACCACTTAGAAACCTGGTGAATGGTCTTTCCATTGAATCTCATTGATCCCGTATGTTTATTTTGGTGCTGTTTTAGAGCTTTGTGACTCTACAGTGCTGGTTTGAAGTTTCCCACTGTCCAGGGGGTGTTGAGTTGTTTTGCCACCAACTAGACTAGCAGTAATTGACATGGCAATGGTTCAGGTCATTGTCATGATGATCCCATCATCCATGAAAAAAAACGGGATTTTTACCAGCCAGGCTAGCCATGTTACCCTCTGGTAAACGTTTACATAACATAACTATGGAATATCTCCATGTTTAATTGGTAAATCGTAACTATTTCTATGGGCCATTTTCAATAGCAAACTGTTAAACTACCAGAGGTGACTTTTTCCCAGGGATCCAGAGGTTCTTTGCGGGATATCTCCTGGACAGATCTACGACACAGGCAGCGCTTGTTTTGCAAGGGCATGGCCATGGGTAGTTGGCACCTCAGTGGTTCAGGACCTGGCTGAGCATGGAACAATCTCTCACAGGATTGGTGAACGGGAAAGTTGGAATCGGAAAGCCCTATCTTGCTTGGTAAAAACCCATGGGTTTCCCGTAGATGTTCCTTGAAACCAATCCATTGATATTCATTTAAACCAATCAAATGATATGTTCATATTTTATTTATAGAAGACACGCATATAACTTCATATAACTACCATGGTTTCCATTGTGAGACCTCTAAATTATTGTGATCCATGCCACATGCAAAGGAAAACACCACCGCAAGGCCATAAAGCCTTGAATATTCTTGGCACCTGCCATAGCTTTCTGATGATACCCCCGGAAATTTCACAGCCGGAACCCCATCTACACATCATTTTGATCTATGATTGGGGTAAACAGATATCATAGATCAAAGATCAAAGTGTTCTTCATTCATCATAGATCAAAAATACAATCAGATATCATAGATCATTCAGATAAACATCACACATCCTCCAGGATAAAAAAATCGCACCCCGTCTTTCACCTCCCCCGGTCCCAGATGACAATCTCACCCTGCAGTCCTGGAACGTCGGAATCCTGGAGGGCGTTGTTGTGTCCTAACAATCAATGCATATCTACGCCAGCGAAAAACGCCTAGCCTCATTCTTGATCTTCATGGATTCTGTTTGGAAACGCTTTTGTTGGAGCCCAATTCTCTACAGCTGCGGTCCGCAGCCCCAAGGTGACGGATGGCGATACGCGAAGCTGGCCAGATTGGCTATAGACGTGCCATCCAACCCGGAAGCTGCCATTGAAAAACTGAGAATGTTTAAATCAAGGAGGAGAGAGGTTGCACTTTACCACCATTTGGTAAACCAACATGGAAAAATGGAAACCTTCCCAACTTTGCATACTGGCTCTTGGATCTAGGTGTGCATGTTCGCATTTCTTGTCAACCTGTTGCTTGGATGAATCATTCATTTGGACTTGCACATAATATGATTCTGGAATAGATGGTTCAGCCAAGCATTTTAGTTTTGCTTCCTGCAACTCTTGAAAATCTCAGTTGTGAATATGATGTTGTATGTTATTCTCAAATATATGTTCATACTTCATATATATATACATATATATAATTACAATATATATATACCATGTGTGTTCAACTCGATGTCTTTTACCCAACTCTTGGCCACACCTGGTTGCATGACGCCAGGTTGCAAGTGCGCTTTCAGCACAAGATTTCGCAGGAACAGATGGAGGCAGTGCACAAGGCGCTGGTGAGGTGTTGGGAGTTTTTGTTGGGCTTTTGGGTGCGTGCATCAAACAAAAAAAAGTCCCTTGGTGGATAATAGACAATCTGGTTGGTTGTTTGGAACATGAATTTTATTTTTCCATATGTTGGGAATAACAATCCCAACTGACTAATCTTTTTCAGAGGGGTTGAAATCACCAACCAGTAATAGATTCAATAGACAATAATGCCATAATATGACATGCGGAATGATAACCAATGGTAGATGTGCTTGATATTTTCGTTGTAGATAATAGTGATAGATAATAGGAAGCCATTGGTTATATACATATAAAGAGAAAACATGTTTTATATGTATTTAGAAGAGGGAAGCGACTGGTCTTGCAGCCCAATGTTTACGATCCCAGTAGTGATCTTCCATAGGAAACTGGCCCATGATGTGGCAGATTGATCAACATTAACGGCGTTTGGTTGAGGAGCATGTCCAGTATCATCTGACACATTCCAATAAATTTGGTCATGATGATATACTGTCAACTATATTATAGGAAAACACAAAATGGAAAGTATAACAGAAGTATAGGAAAGTATAGTATAGGATTCTCAATACTATATGTTTTCCTATACTTTCCTATACTTTTCAGCAAGAACTTGGCATGTGTTGCGTCAGGCATGCCAAAATGCCGGGCATGTGGAGCGGCTCGAGCCTTAGGGAAATGATTTTTGCTGATTTTCTTCGGCAAAAGCCATGGTTTTTGTCCGTGGTTTTCTATCATATTCTATCATCAATGGGGAAATGAATCATCACCCATACCCATAGGATCCATGTATGATATATATGGTAACATTTACCATCAATATACCCCCAATGTTAGTATATATACCATACATGGATCCTATGGGATATGCGAACCATGGTGCTGGTATATTCACCTGCATTTGGGTGATCGTAATCGGGCAAATGTTGACATAAATATTCCAGCAGCATGGAGCATAATTATGGGTCATGGAATGTCATGGAATTTCAGAATCCAACATGGATTTTTGGGGAATCCAATATCTATTTTTTTTGGTAGGTAGGACGAGGTTAAATCAGAGGAGAGAATGGGTTAAACCCAGGTGACTGGGATCACTGGAAATTCTCGGCATGGAGCTGATTACCGAAGGGGATGAGGATGGTCCAAGATTTCAAGATATTTCAAGGGGATCCCACATTTCTAGATGGAATTTACCATTGAAACCTTCATTGATAGTAAAAAAAGTTACACACCTCTAGTTTATAGGTTTTTTTGCAGCTATACACGTTCATTTTTGATACCCTGGTTTCAAGATTTTGTCGAAACTACCGTGCTTCTACCTGCAGATCGGTGGCTTCCATCAACGACCCATCCTTGCCGGTGCGAGCTGACACTTGGCGCACAGCACGTTTAGGTAGGCTGTGAATCCAAGAAGCATCGAGATCATCAATAGTCAAACAACATATATGATATGATCTTACGTCATATCATAGCATAGCATTCCATATCATATCATATCATATCATATGATATCATATGATATCATGTCATATCGTAGCATATTCATATCATGTCAATATCATATCAATTCATATCACATTCTATGTTTGTGTCAAACATGGCTTTACTAATCCAATAATCAACCATACCTGATTTTACACAAAATTCGTATGTTTTATCAACTAATAATTATCATATATTAATTAAGTTCTTTGATCGTTTTGAGATAGTTTTTTATCGTTTTTTGATAACCTCTACAGCTCCAAACACAGCCCACCCTGAGACCCTGAGGAGATGGAATCCTCAACGTCTTCGGATTTCTGGAAGCCTTGGATGGGGCGCATGAAGCGACTCAGCTGATGGGGGGGTACCATTTTTAGGGCAGCATTGAGGAAGCCTTTTTTCCATTTTTTTCCCGCATCGCCATGGTCATTAGCAGCGAAAATGGGAGCGATTTTGCCGGCATTTGATCATGAGGTTGACCAATGTTGACCATAATTTCAAAGAATGATACACCAGGCGAGGCATGATACACCTGAGACAATGAGAGGCATGCCATGCTACTGGAGGGACCAGCAACCACAAACATGGGGTTCTTGCGAAGGGCCATTCTTTTTGGATCGTAGATCTCCAGTTTGGTTGTCAAAACGGCAATGTCCATCACTCGTTTTTGGCTACATCCTTCTATATGATTCCACCATGTTGCCTGGTTTACATCATTTATTCTGTGGTCCATTTATTCTGGAAAAATATATGTTACACTCATGTTTTCCATCATATTTTTTCATCATTTCATACCTTCTATGCAAACAAATATGGATGACACATGGTACTCGTATGATCCCCACGATCCCCTGATCTCTGCTGCGAGGCCTGCGGAGAAATCGCAAAGGTCAAGGTCCACCAGGCCGGACGCAAAGGTGCTGGTACGAAACTGCGGAGCTAAGACGGAACTTACCCTCTGGTTATGACTAACAGTTCGCCATGGGAAATGGGGAAATGGTCCATAGAAATAGATGGTTTACCTATTATATAATAGCATGGTGGATCTTTCCATGGCGAACTGTTAGTCATAACCTGATGGTAAAACATGAACAAATGCATCAAAGAAGTAATTTACTGATTGCTGGTGACTGGAGCCATGGAATTTTATATGACTTTCCCATCATGGGAATGTATGACATTCCCAACTGACGAAGTCATATTTTTCAGAGGGGTGGCTCAACCACCAACCACATCAAAGAAGTAATTATACATTGACTATGGATCATATATATTATCATTGATATTCAATCAGATGGTTGAAGCCACCAACCAGATCAATATCTATTTCTTGTTGACCTTGGTGTTTTGGAACGATACGATGCAGCGAGGACACCCCGAGATGCCAAACCTGTGATGTTTGGAGCTCGGCTGTTGAGCCAACGAACTCGAATGAGTTGTTTTTGTTGTTGGGCTATGAAAATACCAAGATACAATGGGATTTGTTTTGGGGGAAACATGTGACGTTTCCAACATGAGAATATGGGAACTCTAGATGGTTTTTTTTTGTCGACCAATGCTTTGTGGACATGGAGAAAAAATGGGGATAATGGGGATACAACCAACAAGATCTGAGAGAAAGGATACCGGAAGGGTACCGGAAGGCTCCCCCCTGTTATGTTGTTGGTCTACAGCCATCCAGCCGAATGTAGATGTCTCTGATTCTCTGCCTTTTTTGAACCAACTTTCGCCGAATCTTTCGTTTGGGGCACACGTGTGGCTATCAAAATTGCATTGTCCGCGATGAAAGTGGACATCCCCCATTGACTTGTCGTGGCTTTGTGGCGTCGTGCATGGTTTCTGCTGTGCGATTTCATATTCCATGTCGCATTCGAGCTTATGGTCTATATTATGAATGAATATGAAATATTAATCATGTTTAGCTTATGGAATATTATGTCGCTATTCCATTATGAATGAATATGTATGATTCCTAAATTGATATCTAAAAAAAGCAGCAACTCGTTTTGTGTATCTACTTCCCAAAAAGCTCAGCAATCTGACAGCCGGTGGTGTCGAATCTGACAGCCGAATCTCCAAAGCCTGGTCTCTTTGATAAGGGTGGTCCTTCTTGTAGGCAAAGTTGTAGTTGCATAGTGGCTGACTGTTGAAAACTCATCCACAACTGGTCCACAACATTCCACAACTATCATTTCTGACTCGCTTCTGGCACTTTCCTACTTAAATGGCAGTTTAAGATTCATCCCCCAATGGTAACCATAGGCCTCATTTTAAGCCCCAAAGCATAGGGGATGCCGGAGGTTTTTCAGAACGCCTGAGTTTTGTTCGGCCACTCCTTCAACTTCCACCTTTTTGGGGTGTGGAAGATCATGTCCAATTTTGCAGATACCTAGGCATACCTATAGGCCCTGGAAATATCCATAACTTAAATCGACAAAAGATGCAAAGGTATCCAAATTGTGGGTAAAGGTACAATGTTTATCCAATATTTCTGGCTGCCTTCTGGTAATCAAAACAGGGCTGCAGAAAAACCTCAGTGTTTCTCCATTTATATCCATTTACATGTATGATCACACATGGTTTTTCCCGACTGGGTGATGTTCGACTACCATAAATGGGTGCATGCTTTTTAAGGTGGAGCCTCTCATCAGCCAAGGTTGAAGGATGATTCCCATACTGCCCAGTTGCGGCATAGCAAGTGTGTTCACCCAGATGAAGGGCTTAGAGCAGAACGATGGAGAAGTTCCAGGAACAGCGTGAAGGGTTGAAGTTTTTTTGTTCGCCAGTTGTAGATACATGTCCGCATCGTATATCTCAAGGACGCATATATTTCATATCCTTGAATGACAAACACGATCCTTAGAGTGCTTGGTTTGAGTTTTTTTGTGTAAAATCATCCTTGTTGGGGATGATCCGAAATGATCTTAGAATTAGAGGCGGTTCTCTCAAGCACCAAGCTGTGAATAACCAATGTTCCCTCGTATCGTAGCACCATTCCCTAGGCACATCCGTCGCTGTACTTCGAAGAGCGATGTGTGGATGATGCCACGCTGGGTGTCGTGCGGAGTCCTGGCCAAGTCGCGGTGGCGTAAACGGATGGTTATTTTTTTTCGTGACGACTCTCCAAATATCTCCAAACAACCCAAAGAAATGGCTTAAAAGTAATGTAGGCATATAGGCTAAAAACAACATCTTTATGGGTACAAACGGAGGATTTGGAGGGTCTAGCTATACTCAATCGGGGAAAACAACCAGGGCAGGGTCGAGAAGCAGCGGGCACATCACCGTAAAGCATCGGCTTGAGACCCTGGTACTTCGAAGATCTTCAAACTGTTTGAGCATTGACTTGAGAACTTGAGCAGCTAGAGTTTTGAGACAGAATCTACTACCATCTGGTTATTTAACATGGAAAGATCCACCATTTTTTAAATAGGTAAACCATCTATAAATGGGCCATGGCTTCCATGGCTATGTTAAATAACCAGAGGGTAATTTTAACTACACTTTAGAAACATGTCACCAAACCAACAATTGGGGACTATAGTTGTCGGAGACTTGTCGTGTTGATAGCCACGGTCAGGAATGCCAGTTGGGAAAACCAGTCCATTGGCCATTCAATTGTTCATGGTGTGAGTGTAGTTCAACAACGGACCCCAAGCCACAGATTGGCCGGTTATTACAGTAGATATTATTTCATACGGTTGCATGGCTCTATGAATGTGACCCATACATTTCCCATCTTTCAGGCCATACGAACGCGCCCATCAGTGCAGGAAACCTCTAGACCTGATGTCCTGTTGTTGGTCAACCAGTGGGCCGCTCGTGTTTCCTCTTCCAATCGACGTGACAGCCTGTCGAAGTATTGCTTGAGGCAAGACATCCCTCATCACTTTGCAGCCACTGGCAACCCGAAGCACCACGTGGTGAGTCGGGAGCGTTTCTTTTTTTTTTTACGTTGGCATCTTGGGATGGGATAATTGGGCAATTTTTGGCACTGGTCAAAAAAGTGGCTCACAGATAAGTGTATGTTTTTAGATTATGTAGATTATGTTCCTACAGTAGCTTGACGAAATTCGAAATGAAGAAATGTTGTCAACTCTTCATTGTTTGAGAGGATGAAGTTTTGCATTTTGCACATCACCATGGTGGGATAGTATGCGGGAGTCCCGTCATTTGCGTGTCATTGGAATGACATGAATGGCAGACAAAACCAGATGGCACAGGCTGGGCTTTTTGTTGATATTCGGACATTCCAACATTTCCTTCGAAACACCTCAAACATGTTGTTCGGGCCAAACTTTAAGGTCCACTGTGAACTTAAATGCATTGGATTCTTATTTCATGGCATGTCTCCAGCCGTTTCCTGCGCGCAATGAGTTTACCCAACCCCCATCGTAACTTGGGGATGTACATGGCCACGCGTTGCAGTACTGTTTAACAACCATTCTTACCCAGCCAAAAAACATCCCCTTTAGTCACCCAAACTTGTTGCCTTGATCTGACCCCTATTTCTTCACGCTGGAAGCAGTCCCTCTGCGGAAATCCAACCGCTAAATTTGCTGGTCAACATCGCATTCTTCCTGATCGTATTGATTCCAATAAATCCATATAAATCCGATATCAATTCACTGTGCTGAATTTGGCCATTATTTAGATATATATCTATATATAGATGGGGTGCTGCGTAGAGTAGTCACCCCCCACTATATGCAGAAGTCCATTACAAGCCCCAGTTCACATACTCTCTCGAAAATCCCAACATGTTTGATCATTTTTGAGACCACCATCAAGCAAAAATAAAGTATAAACCTGTCAACTGAACTACTAACAGGAAAAGTGAACTGAAACCGTTTAGCCAATCTATCAGCCCAGATTGCCTCATTCACATCCTTGTCTGAAAAGGGGCACCCCAAAATCCCATGGTCTATCATGTTCTTCACTAGCACTGCAAAAATGTGTGGGTAAGTTTCCGTGTTTGGTCAAAGCCAGAGATCGCAGTGTTGATTTGATAATATTAGTTCTCCTAATATATCATAATTGGTTTCCCACTGACTTCCCTGTTCAAGCAGTCCGCCAGTGTCTTCCTGCGTTTTTGTCGATTGGTCCTAAAACGCCCAATGTTTCTTTAAACCCCGAGCCGGTAAACATCCAAAAAGATGTGGAGCTTTACCCATGGTTTACGCCCTGGTAAATTAACATAGACCCTGAAAATAACCAATGTTTAATGGAAACTAGTCTTCCAACCCCGATGACTGCCAGGGTCGAACTGTTAATTTACCAGAGGAATATCCCTTGGCGGCCTTGGCGGTATATCTGTTGGGAAAATGATCAAAAAGGTATATCAATAATGGTTAACAATGGCCAATAGTTAATAATGGTTAATAATAGTTAATAGTATCAATCAATGATATCCCCAAACCTCAGTGACTCCACCCCAGGAGCCCGCACCTTTTGCAGAGCAGAGCATTTATCTCCCTCGCGCGATGCCACGTTAGGGTGCTGCCATTGGGTCGCTTGTTGGATGGATGGATGAAGTCATGCACCATGGAGGTTTTTTCCACCAAAATGGCCAGAAAATCCTTAAGCTGGGCCAGCAAAGAATATAGAATAACATATAATGACATAGTATGACATAGTACTCATAGGCCACAGGAAGAGCTTTTTGAAGAAACAAAGCTAGGAATCTAAAGAAACAGAAACATTGGATGCTGTTCATGCCCTGAACTCCGCTTGTTTGGCTGATTTGAGTGGGTACGGGGGTAAATACAACTGTAAACCAATATGGTAAATGGCCATGTCTATCTGGTTAAACAAGTTTTGTGTGTTTTCTTGTTTCATTGTTGTCTGTGTAAGTGTAAGACATCATAATCATAGTTGAAAAACCTAAAGCATCATTCAGCACATGTCCCTAGAGCTATATATATTTGATTATATTTGTTATAAACCAAAATTTATCAATTTTCCAATATAGATTACATAGCTTCAATGTGGGATCCCAAGCGATAAGAACTTTTTTTTCCCAGTGGATTGACTAGATTGATTTGGCGTAGATATACTGACATAGTTAGATGGGTTTGGGTATGGGTCAATACATATTATACCATATTTTGGATGGATGAACATCCCTAAGCAGCTATAGTTTGATGTGAACCACAGGGCTTTGCCGCGTGAACTGACCCATATGCAGCAGCAATCAGACATTGGGTTTTATCAACCCCATTAAGTATATCGGGCCGTATATGCTGTATATATATATATATATATACTGTATATATATATATATATATAGGCTCGTCCCAGGTCCTGGAACTACATACGATGGGGTTGGGGGATGGGGTGGGATGTTAACGTTCATGTGAACTTGCAGAAGCAGTTGATGCTACGCACACGCGGGGTGGGGTGGGGATGGGGTGGGATGTTAACGATCATGTGAACTTGCAGATGATGATGATGATGTGATGATGATGATGATGATGATGATGATGATGATGATGTGATGATGATGATGATGATGATGATGATGATGATGTTGATTATGATTATGATGATGATGATGATGATGATGATGATGTGATGATGATGATGATGATGATGATGATGTGATGATGATGATGATGATGATGATGATGATGATGATGATGATGACCCTAATGAAACTTGTCAATTCCGCGACGAAATTTCGTCACGGAATTGACCAGTTTTACCAACCTAATTCGGGTTTGCGCAGTTCCAAGACCAGGGACGAGGCTATATATACATATCAATTAATATACAGATGGATATATCTATACTGTCAACCATTTTCAACCATAGATATGTCAAGCAACTTAGCATTCACCACCTGGACCCCCTCGCTCCGGAGGCGTCTGAGGAAGTCCGTGGGGCTTTCATAGTGATGTGGGAGGCGCAGGGACGAATTGGATAGTGGAGATTTCACCATGGGATTTCTGAGATACCAAAAACTGGGATTGAAACATCGTGGGAATTGAAGTTGAAGCAGCAAAATTCATGCGGAACAGGAGATGATTGCAGCAAAAATCGAGCGGAGATCACCAATCAGATGGGATGTTTGCAAGAAAAACTGATGGGTTTACACAGCTGTTAAGCCTTCAAAATGGGATAGACCCTGGCTGGGTTTGAAGTGTTGGGGCTCAAGGGGGTTTCTGGGACAACCAAGATCACAGCGGCGATGTTCATATGATGACAGCTCATTGTTGAAAGTTAAAACATGGCTGATTTGCTAGCAATGTTGTTGGATTGTTCAAAGGATTCAAAGGGGTGTGGTATAAAGGAACTGATAGCAATTGGCAACTTAGCTGTTTCGGTGTGCATTCCAGTCGATTTTAATGCCACTTAGCAACAGATCTTGCGAATTTTATTCCTGGAAAATCGGAGTTGCAATACAATACCATGAAGTAATTAGGCCCATTAGGCATGGCAAAAGGATATTTCTAGGTCTTGAAGTAATTAGGTCAGTAGATGCTCATTAGAAATGGACAGAAACAGTGAATCCAGCACTCTTATGGCGTAGAGCCCCTGTTGTGAATGTTTGGATATTGTTTGGATATATTCCCATTATGTAATAATAATATCACATATATTGCCTAATTGGCTAGATATATCAGAAAATTATCCTTGATGATAATGGTATTATCCATCAATTTAAGTTTGCATGTGAAGCAACGCCAGCAACGTTGCATCGTTGCTGTTGGGTTTCTAAGGCCCCTCAACAGTTCTGAATCTGAGCTCCCACAGGCCCTCGCCGTCCAGAGATGATGTAGACGATAGCCGATAGATGTCGATAGCAGCACCGACATATGATTTGTACAATGTGGAATACTGTAGATGATCATGACATTTTTTTAAAGTGTAAAGATATTTCTTGAATTGTCAAATTGTGTCCCCGATGTAAACATTTTGACTCAAAGTTTGACGGTCAGAAAACCGTATCACTGCTACAGTCGCTAGACATCTGGAGAGTATTTGGATGATTATAGTAATTGTTCATGTGTGACAAGGAACAACGCTGTACAAAACAATGGCGCTTGTTTTTTGTGGTCGTCGATCCATTTCTTTTACTTCTGCGAACTTCCCAAGGAAGTTGCTGAACATAGAAGCAAAAGCACGGCCCGCGCCAAGCTGAATTCGGACGATTTCGGCGTCCAAAAAAGTGTTTACCCGCGCCGGGTGGGGTGGGTATAAAATGGTACAAACTATACATAGTATGAACCTTGGTTGGCTGATCTCACACTCTGCCATGGCAGATTTGCCGTCACATGGGAATCATTGGTTTGTTTGTCTTCCCATGTTCATCCCAAATATAGGACCCCATTCATTTCATGAGAAAGTAATTTCCGTGAGTGCGAGATACGGAATTTCCTGGATTGGACATGATTTGGCTAGAATTTGATAAGATGACTCTGGCCTATGGCCTAGCAGAAGATAACATTAATATATTAGATATATATATATAATACCATCCACATTTCTTAGATTTGCTGAATTTTACGTTTGGGACTGCTGGTCGATGAACCATAGGGCGAAGAATCCATTACATTTGGATACATTTGGCTTCTCGGTGCCGAGCCTTAATACATGCGATATATGGCATATGTTTGCCCGGACGGTGCAAGATTTGTGTGCAAAGCATCTATGCAAATTCATAGAAAGGTTCAAGTCTCCAGAAATCAGAGTTTCTTGCGATCGATACGCGCTCAGCTTTCATGGCACTTTCCATTCTTCAGGTTGAGGAACACCTGTCGGCTGCCTACCGCCAACACGTTGTCTGAAACACGTGAACCGGGCATTTCGTTTACCACAGACGGCAGACTCCCCATTTGCCAGTGCCACATGTTTCAAAGCTGAAGTTGAGCCATGCACTTTGTTGGCTGGAAACTAAATATGGATTTGCACAACGGCAGCTCTGTGAGAATTTCAGAATGGTCACAAAGGTTCTTGCAGAAATCTTGTGACCTCGAACTGCTATGCTTCATGGTTTTGACTCGCCTACAACGAACCAGTGATGGATTCGCCACTTATCCGGTGAGTCCGGTGGTAATTAGCGTGCTGTGGGCTGTCCACGTTGATTGCCATGTCCACGTTGGCCCTGGGTGGGTCACGCAGGGCCAAAGCGGGAATGGCAAGCCACAGTCCGACTGCGGCCTATGTCGTCATCAATCGATTGGATACGAACACAGCAAGGGTTAAATGAAGATGATATAAATACCTAGACCCTCCAAGTCCAGCAAACAACAGTAGGGGTACATGTTGTCAATGGCTTGGAGGGTTTACTGTAGGATACTGTAGGTATATCGGAAATATCGTAAAAAAATCCCTATCTCTCGCCTAGCAGATCCTGAGACGGCTGAGGGTTTGAACCCATGGAAGCGAATGATCACAGGAGCAGTCCCAAAATCACCAGCACTTGTTGCACCACCTGTGTAATTCGTTTGCAAACGTGCTGCAACATGTGTTGTTGATGTGGTCTCACCTGATCTCATCAACAACATTTGTTGCACAGCTTTGCGCTTCCAAAAAACATCAACGCAACTGTCGTCCGCATCACAAGAGATGGTGACACTGGATGTCCGCATCTTGAGTCGGAGCAACAAAAAGGGGTTGTCTGAACATATGGTCCAAAAATCCACAACTCCAGTTGTTCATCAGATTTCCCATGAAAATCAGAAAAGTTGGCTGTTTTCTGACCCCCCCCTCTTTAGCTTCAAAGAGGACCACCTCTGCAGCGATTGCAGTTGCCCGAGTTCTTTCCGGGAAAAGACGTTCGCCTGGAGACATCGTTGAGGGATTTTTTTTTAATTCAGGATATTTTTTGGTCAGTGAAATATGATCATTCACCATATTTTACCCAGATTTCATGGTTAATCAATGTTCATAAATGTGAAAATAAGGGAAAAAACTTGCCCTTTTATGGCTTTAATATGCTTGAATTCAGGTCAGTGTGAAATATTGAGAAATTTACCCAGATTTGCAATCTTGAAACGTCGGCTGACACCTATCACTGTACTATCGGTTTCTTGGATGTTTTTGGTGGCTTTGATGTTGCATTTTTTGTCTCATCTATTGTGTATATATTTGTTTCAGGTCATGTTCTGGTTGAGACTGAACAAACGATCGAAGAAAGGACGGTACTTATATCCAAAGGCCTGTGTGAGGATACAATCATATTGTGCCAGTATGGACAGTGATTCCAACATGTACATGACCATCAGTAGTGGGATTATTGGGTCTCCACGGCATTTCTTTATATTAGTGGTACTTTAATTTTGGGTTGTTCCTCTACCCGTGATGCCTTTGATTTTTGCGGGACACACTGGTACTTACTGAAGAGAACTACATGATTGTGTTGTAGGTGTACATTGGATATTGATATTGAAGCTTAGTGTGAATTATGTCCCCCGGGTATTCACACTTCTACAAAGGTTACCCTATGGTTATTTAACATAGCCATGGAAAAATCCAGGTAAACCATCTATTTCTATGGGCCATCTTTTCCATGGCGAACTGTTAGTCATAACCAGAGGGTACATAATATGGATTAATATGGGTCAATAGTAATTTTTCAGACCCTCTGGTTATGACTAACATGGCTAATGGGAATAGAATGGGATAGCGCCCTGGCGCCGCCGACCCCTCCTTAATGGGAAGGTTGGTAACATGCGCATGTTCCCCGCATACAGCAGGGCTTGGTGGAAGCTGCCGCGACGGATTTGAAGCATTTTAGGAGTTTTAAGGGTTTGGAGCCTGGCAAACGGCAGGCGTGGACGCCCTAAGAACAGAGGGCTATGCAGGCAAACAGCAGGTTCCAACGCTGGAACAGCAAAGGCTCACAGCAGGGCTTGGTGGAAGCCGCCGCGACGGATTTGAAGCATTTTAGGGGTTTTAAGGGTTTGGAGCCTGGCAAACGGCAGGCTTGAACGCCCTAAGAACAGAGGGCTATGCGCAGGCAAACGGCATGCTGCAGCGCTGGAACAGCAGAGGCTTACGGCCACAAGGCTTGGTGGCAGCTGCCGGGAGGCGCCCTAGGCATGGATGCCCTAACAACAAAGGGCTATGCAGGCAAACGGCAGGTTCCAACGCTGGAACAGCAAAGGCTCACAGCAGGGCTTGGTGGAAGCTGCCGCGACGGATTTGGAGCATTTTAGGGGTTTTAAGGGTTTGGAGCCTGGCAAGAGGAGGGTTGAACGCCGTAAGAAGAGAGGGCTATGTGGAGGGATGCGCAGGCAAACGGCAGGCTGCAGCTCTGGAGCAAAGGCTCACAGCAGGGCTTGGTGGAAGCTGCCTCGAAGGATTTGGAGGGCTTTAGAGGTTTGAAAGGTTTGAACGCTGGCAAACGCCAGGTGGAAGCGGCCGCGAAGGATGTGGAGGGTTTTAGAGGTTTGAAAGGTTTGAAGGCTGGCAAACGGCACGCTATTTAAAGGTTTGAAGGCTGGCAAGCAGCAGGCATGGACGCCTTAACAACAGAGGGCAATGGAGGCAAACGGCAGGCAAACGGCAAGCTGATCGAAGCTGCCGCGGAGCAGGGAAGCTTTCCCAGCCAAGACAAACAAGTTCCACACCTGCAGTGGTCCCAGGCGCCGCCCCTGCCTTGGGAAAGGCCGGGGTCGGCGGATAATTGAAAACATGTACCCTCTGGTAATTTAACATAGCTATGGAAAATGGCCATTTATAGTGGATTTTCCAATTAAAAATTGTGATTTTCCATGGTTATGTTAGTTTACCAGAGGGTACCCTCTGGTTTATTTTTCGTTGTGGCTCCTTGCTGATAGACAGCCATGATCCCAGCTGCGTGGGCTCCAGTGACGCCACTCTGTTCAAAAATCACGTGGGAACCTCGAGGAACGTCAAGGTGCGAAACCTGCGAAATTACCCGGGGGCGGGGGGGGAACTAGGTGACTCATAGTGATCATGATGGACATAACTTAAGTTCCAAAGCATGATGTTTTTAATTTTCTAAGATATTTGCATGTTAAGAACATGTTTTTCCCGAGAGCGTCTGAGCGCAGGGTTCTTCCAATAGTGGGGGTCTGTATCTCATCTTCTCATCTTCACACCTTCTCATCTTCACACCTTCTCATCTTCACACCTTCTCATCTTCACACCTTCTCTCACACCTTCTCATTTTCACATCTGCTCATCTTCACATCTTCTCTCACATCTGCTCTCACATCTGCACATCTGCTCATCTGCACATCTGCTCATCTTCACATCTTCTCTCACATCTGCTCATCTTCACATCTGCTCATCTTCACATCTTCTCTCACATCTGCTCATCGTCACATCTGCTCATCTTCATATCTTCTCTCACATCTGCTCATCTTCACATCTGCTTCATCTTCTCTCACATCTTCTCTCACATCTTCTCTCACATCTTCTCTCACATCTTCTCTCACATCTTCTCTCACATCTTCTCTCATCTGCTCATCTTCATATCTTCTCTCACATCTTCTCTCACATCTGCTCATCTTCACATCTGCTCATCTTCACATCTGCTCATCTTCACATCTTCTCTCACATCTTCTCTCACATCTCCTCTCACATCTTCTCTCACATCTGCGCATCTTCACATCTGCTCATCTTCACATCTCCTCTCACATCTTCTCTCACATCTGCTCATCTTCACATCTGCTCATCTTCACATCTTCTCTCACATCTGCCCATCTTCACATCTGCTCATCTTCACATCTGCTCATCTTCACACCTTCTTTCACATCTTCTCACCTTCACATCTTCTCTCCTTTCTCTCTCCTTTTTCTCTCTCTCGCCTTCTTTATCTTTCTCTCTTTAGGCCGAGGGTGGTGCCGGCGGAGAGTCACGA